TAATAAATAAATACTATAAATTTTAAATATATAATTAGAACAGTAAATATAAATAATTAAAAATTCTATTAATAGTAATTAATTTAATTAAATTTTATAATAAAATTTATACTAACTATAATATATTTTCCTAAGTAATTAATACTCTGTAAAATAAATAGTTAATATAAGAAATATATCTAAGTAATTTTTATTAAATTTAAATTTAATTAAATCTGGCGGTAGATTATAAGTCTATATAGAAAATTTAAGATAAATATATATTGATCCTAAACCGGCCCACCCACTAAACAGGTCGTACCGCAAATTGAATATACTATCTTTTTCCACCCCTTCTGGACTAGAGCTTTTATACCAGAACCGTCGGCAATGGATTTCACTACCCTTGCACCCGTCCTGGTCGGCGCATCCTTACATAACCAAGCCACTGCATCTAGAAATGTCTACATGTGTCCTGGGCCGTACGATAACAATCTTCTTTATCAAACATATCGAATAGTATAACTTATAACAATCGCAGAAATTGGACCGACCCGTGCTCCCTCTTCTCCTTCAACATCGGCGAATGCCTAAATATCGAATTCTGGGATACGCTCGGTTCCATCGGTCCTGATCCTGGTACATCCATGGCCCCAAACACATAGCGAAAACGATATATTAATGGCGGTAGATCTGGTCTGCTACTTGTGGATCGAGTCCGGTAATTGCGTCAATACAGTTGGAAACATTGACTCGGGTGGAATCGTGGATCCCGGTATTGCTGGTTTGCAGACTTGGGATGATGGGGAGACGGGGAAGCCGGCGGGATATTGGTTTAATGAGGCGAAGTCTGTACAGTGTTTGTATAATCAAAAAGATTGGATATAAGTGACTAATATAAATACGCTACCTAGAATGTTCCTGGGCCATAATGTTCGAAAGGAGTCATAACAAAACCAGGGAAGCATCTTGCCATCGATTACTCTACTCCAAAACAACAGCCAGGCCCCAATCCTTGAAGCGACTAATATTTAGGCCTTTGTTGGCCATAGCGTATAGGGATATCTACACAATATTGTACCGGGAGATAATGGCACCGTCACGGAAATCACTGGGTCAGCTGGCCAGAACTCCACTCTTCTGGATCTTAGGATCGTTCCTCATCAAGCAAAGAGCGATTGACCGTCTGATACTTTCATAATGTCCAAGTGCAACCTTTCGAGGGCCTTTTCTTCCTCGCCTGCAACGCGGATATAACTAGGCAGGTATTTGTGTTTAGGAACCGCATCCTATGGGGTAATTTGAAGCAGTGAACGAAACCAAAGAATCCTTGGATAAATTAACGAGGAACTCTGACTCGAATAGAAGTCAAATAAGCTATCAATATAACCATCAATTAATCACCCGATTGTGTAGACAACCATAATTGTAAGCTCTTCCCTAATTCCTACCCAGTCAACTACATGCTTATATGCCTAATCCTTGGGGCTAGACTAGGGTTGAATGATATTCAAACCTATTGCGGCAATCTTCGGCTTTCATCCCATAATTAGTGTGGCAAAACTCTTTTGGTGTTTGTGTTATTCTGTACAACACCAGATTCGCTCCTAGCGGTGATATTATCCGCTAGATCTGCACTACCCCCGCCCCTAATGCCTGCAAGTCCGAGTTGGAAGGGACATACAGATGTCGGTGATAAATTCTGAGTTTTCACTTGGTAAGATACCCCAATTGATGGAACTCCGTGGCATAATATGCATAGTCATTTACAAGTTCGCGACAGATGGGGTCGAAAAACTATTACGTATATTGGCTGGCTAACCAGGCTCTCGGTATGAAGCGAGTGAATCAGTCACGTTTCTGTGCGAGGAAGGTAAGGCTATGGATGCCCAACCAGGTAAGGCTATGGATGCCCAGCCAGGTAAGGCCATGGATGCCCAACCAGGTAGGTATACCTATTAACCTCCCTTTATCTTTCATATCTGTCATTTTTGTTATATTCAACCAAACAAATCTATCATCACTGTACTTGAGCACGTCGTATCTAGAGGCCCTCCACATAAAGGGATCATTTCAAAATGTCGGTGACATTCCCAGTTGACTACATCATGGATGTAAAGCTCGAGGCCAACCTAGGCTCTGATATCCCTCTTTACGATCGTCGGTTTTACAACGAAAGGTGCCCGGATGAAGTACCCAGCTTGAAAAGGGTCAACGGAACGACCTTCAACTTGGAACAGGAAGACTACTGGCTGTTCTGCGTCCATCTGAACAAAGCCGAGATGGAGTTCGCAATTGGGGGCGAGAATCCCGCCTATGCGACCTCACACCCAAACTGGCGTAATTTGTCCACGAAAAAGGATAGGGAGTTTGTACTCCATCATCACGAGGTTGGAATTTTTAATGCGCCGTGTCAGACCTGGTGCGATTTCAAGCTGGATTTCGATCGATATGTGGGGATTCGGTGTCCCAAGATGACAAACCCGGCTATCACGATCAAAGCAAACGGGAACCATGGCGAGGTCAAGTGGGTAGGCTTGTTCGTCAAATCGAGCGTCGAGGAGAAAAATGAATTTATTGCAGTCAAGACGACGAATCGGTTATTGCCCGCGTACGCTAAACGTAACGAGTCATACGAGTGGTATTCGCCGGATCGCGGCGTGGATGTAACAAATGATCGCTGCATCATGCTCTGGCCCAAGCAGTTGTATGGAACCAAGGGGAATCGGCAAGATACATATAAGCAGTTTGTGACTGTCGATCCGAACAGCCCGCTGGCTGCAAGGCATATTACGAGGGTTAAAGAAAGGGTGAGCTCCCCGTTCACCTGTCTATCCAAATCAATATCTTTGCTAACAGTCCGCATCTTCAAGGTCAAGAATGGAACCGCTCTCGACGTCACAGCCCAAGGCAGATCCTATACATGGAATGCCAACAGCATAACCGAGATCTGGGGTACTCACACCAAACCACGCGGTGGTGGTCGTGGACGGTCTGTATTTAATTACTCGGCCGGGACCAAGGTTACGTATGATGACATGGAAGGTGTCAAGATCCTCCTGCGCGTCTTCGGAACGGTGACTAAGATGGCAACTGGGATGGTTAAGGGCGACTTTGCTGCTGTCTTGGAAAGTATTGCCGCTCTGCCACAACAATTCAACAATTCAAGTGTGGATCCGGACGTCAAGGGCTTCATTACGGCGTTGGCAGCTCTCGGGCAGCATCAGTGGAATAATCGTCCTAGACAGCCGGGGAGCAAAGAGAAGACCATCAATACGGCGGGAGTCGAGCTGCTCTCTATGAAGCGGCACCCGCTTGATAGTGACTTTGGTTGTGACTAGCTGTTATTACTAGGAAATCACGACCTACATACATTTACATTCCCTCAAGACAATACTATACTGTACCTTCAAAGCTAAAGCACGTCTCAATATCCCAGTCCACAGTCCTGAGCCCTATACCCTAGTGCATGGTCCACCCAGCCCTCGCTGGATTTACTCGCCCGCCTATTGGCCCGCCCCGCTGCGATCTGCGCCCCCACCTATATATATATACTTCTGCCTGTCAGCAGTATATATCCCTATATATTAATTCTATTTTTATTTCTTGATCAGTTTAGTAATCTTAAATTTATAAGTTATTAATTAATTTTTTTCTTTTTTTTTTCTATTTCTATTAGACTGGTGTTTGGCCAGGTTAGGTTAGGTTAATGGGGTCAGTTATATCTAATTACTAGATTTAGAGTGGCATAACCTAACTGTTGTAGCCTAGCCATAACCTAACCTAACCGGGGCCGGTTAGATTAAGATATAAAAATGTTTAACCGACCTAGATTAAGGTTAAAACTAGGTTAATCGCGGTTAATCTAGTTCTGTCTAATAAGATCATAAGATACTAAACTATGTCTATTCTAGTAAACAGTAGATTAGGGCTATTTTCTGTTAGCAGTATTTTAAGCAACCCTAGTTTACTGCCTGTCTAAATAGATCTAGTTGGCTATCTTAGATAGAACTAGGTTAACTGCCGGTTAATCACAGACAGTATAATATATATATATAACCTAGCCATAACCTACCGGTTAGGTATACCTGACCCCATTAACCTAATCTAACCTAGCCAAACGCCAGTCTAGTAAGTATCCAAACATTCATATTCTTCCAACATTCAAAGCTGACTCGTATCCAAGAACCAACCCACATACATGCGTCAGAGTCTTGAAGAAGGTGTCCAAATCTGTATGCTTTCAATAATTCAAATGAAATTACTGCGCTAATAATCAAATAGACAAGAGAATGGCGACCTATCTTGATGAGTATGCTAAAGAGGTATAGGCCTTGGGGTGTCTCTTTAAGAGAGTACCTCGGCTGCTTGTCAATGGGCTCTAAGCTGATATTATTCTATTGGACGGAGGTGAAGACGGGGTGTCTTGGGTCAGTATGGCGCTCCAACCTTGATATGGGCTTTCCCCTATGCTGTTTAGGTTTCCCCTATTGTTGTGCGAATACAGAGGCTGGATGCACAGACATTCTGGGATTTTAATGAAGTTTTATTACATATAACTACTGCCGCATATCGTAGATTCTGTCAGGCTTTTAACCAGTTTCTAGCACTTATAAAAATAAATTAATAGCCAATATTATACCTAAAGGGCGATTAGGATATTAGCATATAAAGATACTGGACATTTTGATCTTGTGCTGGTACGATGAATATCTATACCTACAATGGTGCAGTTTGCTTTCTTTGTTCCAACTGGTCCTAGGCTTTGTTAGGCCTTGCTATAACTAGGGCCGTAGGCTTCCATGGTTGTGCGGCTCTCTCGGTTCTGGGTTACGTAATGTTTAAGCGGGATGTACCGCAGTCAAGTGCCGAGACAGGAGCTGCCCCGGAGTCAACGTCACTTTCTCCTGCCAGCGGCAGATATCATTCAATCACACCTGGATACTGTCAAGTACTTTCTTTCTCTGCCGGCAGACTGAAAATTCCAGTTGAAATGAGTGAGAATGTGTCACCACCAGCTCCTCGCCGCCGTCGCCGGGGCATGCCTCGGAGTGTGGCGGCATGCCAGCGCTGCCGTCGACGAAAGCAAAAGGTAGGTTCTCCGTACGATTGCGCAGACAGCCGCTAATAGTGAATAGTGTGATGGTATAGTGCCAACATGTGGCCCATGTGCAGCCGTCTCAGCGACTTGTATCATGTCAGGAAGACTGATGATTCAACAAACAAATCTCAGTGCCGAATGTGTTTCCTTACGGTCTCAACTCGCTGCTGCCGAACAGCGAGGCAAGGAATTATATAACAAGTGCCATCAGCTCGAAACAAAAATTTCCAATATATTGGTTTCGTCTCGGCCTGTCATATCGGGTATATCAAGTCCGGGGGGTTCGTTGGTGGCCCAGACGGTCTCCGAAACTATCAGCCAGTCTGACCAAGTGAGAAGCAACCCTGATAATCGATTAACCAGTCGGATTCTGACACCAACATTTTCAATAAAATCTAATCTCAGAGGTGTGCACCGCGGTGCCATGAGCAGTGCATGGGAATTATGGGGAGACGACACAGATACAGAGGTGCCTGAGGTGAGCGCGTCAGACCTCAATAGTGATGCGTACTTCACCCTGGCCAACGAATTTTTCGACAGGCGTTGGCCATATCTTCCCATTCTTCACAGAAAAAGCTTTTTCGATAATCACTTGACTCCTTTCCTCACCAAGTCTGATATGAAGCCCTTGTCGAACTTCCTGGTCAACATCGTCTGTGCCATCGCCTCCACCGAAAAACCAGCCCGGAGTTCAAGTCAGATTGGCTACAGGGTCCTTTTCAGAGAAGCAGTGAAAGACCTCCATCTTGTTATGAGCTCCGAAAACTTCGACTGCATCCAATGCCTTCTTCTCTTGTGTATGTACGGTCACAACGAGCCTCAGTCAGTCAATATGTGGTATACGACTGGACTCTCATTGAATTTAGCCATCAGTATCGACCTTCATCGCAAGGAGAGTATCTCTGAGTTGAACATAAAGGAGGCAGAAATGTGCAAACGTGTCTTTTGGAGTGCGTATGTGATGGGTTGCAGTGTGGCAATCAACATGGCCCGGCCATTAGGAATACGCGAGTCGGATATCAGCATGCCCTTGCCCCTGCAGATGACGGATACGCAGCTAGATGAATCCATCCAAAGCCCCTACGTTGAGCAGACATTGATACCATCTGTGGCTGATACATCTACATTCATTCATATCATAAAGTTGCGCCGGATCAATGCGGCCATATATACAGTATTCCATTCTATCAAATCCACCTTAACAGATCGTGCCGAATTGGACCGGCTTCGCAGTGGATACTTTATGGAATTGAACCAGTGGCTGACAACTGCGCCACGCTACGTGCAGACTTTGTCTACCTTCCAGTCCACCGAATGGTTTCAAATTGCCTTTCACCATGCTGTGCTATCGCTTTATCGCCCGTCACGCGCCGTTCCAATGCCATCTTCAGATGATCTGCGACTGTGTACAGAGTCTTCTATTGGCCTGATCAGCTCATACAGTGCGCTATACGCGCGAAATCGCATCAAATATACGTTTGTCGCCATCCACTCGCTTTTTATGGCAGCGTTGACCATGCTTTACTCCTTGCGAGCGTCTGCCCCTATCAGGAGAGAACTGAGTAAAGGCGTGATTAAAACCAACATACTTACCTTTTTGAATATCTTCCGTGGTATCTCCGATGGCCGCATGGTCGGCGAGAAATGCTGTGCTATCGTCGAACGACTCGGCGATTCGATTCTGTCACTATTTGAGAATGAAAACCAGGCAGATGTCAATATCGATATCGAGTTCCTGACTTGGTTTGGACTTCAGATGAACACGTCCACCTCCCAGATGACCGACACAGGCCTAACAACCCATCCTCAAGGGTCACCACCACATTTTCCAGATGTTCAAGTCGATTTACCATGGGTTGATCTGTTCACTGACGGGATTGATATGGGGGCGGCAGATATTTGGAGTACTCTATTTTGATAAAATTTATGGGTAGCCAGCAACTTTCTTTTCCGATCTACTTTCCGCCAACGAGCTTTTCCACCGTTTCTTTCGCCCTAAAAACTTAGGATGATGATCTGAACAGGATCGGAGAAGACTTACATATCGCCGAAGGCAACCATGCAGACAGTCTGCCATATTCCGAGCCCAACTCGAGGCGTAACGCCTCTATACAGTCCTCTGAGTCCGTTTTCCTGGTATATATACCTGACCGTGCTCAACATATTCAGATTGGCCGGTCGATTGGGATCCGCCTTCATGCTCTGCATCTCAACTCGCACCACTTCAATAGGCTGGTTCCAGGCCGATAGGCCACCACCCAAACCAGAAGCGAGGATCTTTTCACCGGCATTCAGTTTCTGACTTTCGTCTGTCTTCCCTGTCACCGAGCGAATGGTATTCTCTGCCATTCGGGACAGGCCGAATCGAGAGCCCCAGTTGGTAACTTGTCGAACAGCCACAGCATTGACACCTTTGTTGATGCCTCGGATTCCACCTCGATTATAAGCATCCCTGAAAGTCGACCATGTTGAGGCGGGTTTGCCACCCGCCTCCATGACCTTCTGCTTGGTAATCTCGGCTGTTTTCATGCACGTGCAGAAGCCGACTGTCGCGTAGGCTTGTACCAAGCCTCCCATCATTCCACTGGTGATTCCAGCACTGAAGTTTCCAAAGCCAATAGACCGAGTGGCACGATCGGTTTCACTTGCAACAAAGAGAAGCACGGCCCCCTTCGAAGAGGCCTCGATCCACGCCCATGGGATCAACCCCTGGTAGACTACTTCACATCAGCCCTGAAATCTGATCGACTCGAAGAACAGGAATTTGATACATCCAAAAAAGCCCCCGCGGGCCCAAATCCTTCTCAAGGCCATCCCAAAAGCGTCACTTCGGTTTGCAGCCATTGTCGTCTTGATAACTTCCAATGGCTGGGCCAATTAGTATTTGTCTATGGAATCATTACAGAAACAAAAAGTGAAAATACTTGTCCTAGGGAAGTCACTCTATCTTCTTCAGCTTCTGGTTGTAGCTATTATAGACTGAGGGTAACTTACTCGAAGAAATTCAAACCAGCACCCACTGTATTAGTTTTGTTAGCCTGGGAAGCCATGGCCGGATGCCAATTCGCATATCTTACACAGCAGGGCGCTGGCCTTGATTTCGCCCTTCTCAATGGCGACCATGGCATTCACGTTAAGAGATAATTTGCCGTTGGAATAGAAGAGATAGGGTTATAGATGCCTAAAGTACTTCTTGCTTTGGTCGGGCGATGTCGGGCAGAACCGGATTGTTCCGACCGGACTTGCTCCGGAGGACTTCAGCGAGAACACGGAAGCCGACCAGCACAGCTTCCCACTCTCCCCCCTTTCCCGACTTCTATTTGATAAATCCAGGGAGTACTCACCCTCAGTCCTATAATCTTCCTTACTCGCGTTCAAGGGGTGTCCGAAAAGGTTCGAAATGGCTCAACGGGCTCTGCAAACTATGAAGCGATTCACCACCTGTGATGTATGGTCCCAGCTTTCCCGATTTATCTGACTTTGTATCAACTAACGAACCAGATTGGTGATGCGCTAGTGAAGCTCAAGCAGCCCTATGGGGGCTTCCTGGACGGCTTGAAGATGTTCTCTCCTAAGCCAGGCACCAGCATCTACGGCCCTGCCATCACCGTGAAGATGGTGGAGACCAACAGCCCCGGCCCATCTCCAAACGTTCACTTCGCCGATGTCAACAAGGAGGGCCATATCATGTATATCCAACAGCCTAAGGGGCTTTCTTCCGCATGTTGGGGAGGTCTCATGTCCACGCGAGCACACCAACTCGGCGCGCTTGGTGTGATTATTGACGGTCGCATGAGGGATACGCAGGAGCACCGAGACATCCAATTCCCAGTTTGTTCGTCCATTTCAAGTTTCGCAATCATTGATACCAACTATCCGGCAGGTCTTCGCGCGCGGAACCTCGGTTCTCGGTTCCAACACTTTCACCCGTGCGTCTGAAATCGACGTTCCTTTGCAATTTTGCGGCGACTTGTGGATTTACCCGAAGGATATTCTGGTCGGGGACGAGAACGGAGTTGTTGCAGTTCCTCCGTCCTTGATGGAGCAGGTTGTGGAGCTCTGCCAGGAGCGTTTTGAGATCGATGAAAAAACATTTGCCGCTTTGCGAGCGGGTGAGCCGATGGGACCCACAATCAAGCGATTGCGAAAGTAGGGTGTGATCGGATGTCTCCGATACACCGACGTCGACCCTTTCATAAGGTGGAAATGGTCTTGGGAAATCATTAATTACCTGTCGAATCTGTACAATCATTGAAGTTAGGAAATCCCTCCATCAATAATATGTTCCAACCTCTTTTCCAACGACGCGGTGTCCTCACCAGCACCAAGCGTTATCTGTCGAAGCAACACTCCCTGCCGGCCGCCTATTACCGCGGTGGCACCTCCCGCGCCGTTATCTTCAATCAGGCCCATCTACCCCCTCGCCCACAATGGGATGATATATTCCGCAACGTGATTGGGAGCCCTGACCCGTATGGTCGGCAGCTTGATGGTCTTGGAGGTGGTATCTCCAGCCTGTCCAAGGTGTGCGTTGTGGGGAAATCTACCCACCCCGACGCCGATGTGGATTACACGTTTGTGTCGCTGGGTATCAAAAACACCGATGTCGACTACTCTAGCAACTGTGGTAACATGATCAGCGCGATTGGTCCATTTGCCCTGGATCAGAAGCTTGTCTCCGCTCAGACGCCCGATACAGCTACCGTCCGCATTCATAATACCAATACCGGTAAGATTATCACCGCTACTTTCCCTGTGGTGGATGGCGAGGCTGCTTCGAATGGGGACTTCTCAATCGATGGTGTTGCTGGAACTGCTGCTCGCATCCAGCTAGATTTTGTCAACCCCTCAGGCTCGGTGACCGGGAAAATGCTGCCGACTGGTAACAGCAAGGACGAGTTCGGCGGCATCCAAGCCACATGCATTGACGTGGCCAATCCCTGTGTGTTTGTCCAGTCGGCAGCCCCAGGTGTTCGGGGAGATTTGACTCCAGATGAGATTACTGCTCACCCGGATCTTCTCCAACGCCTGGATTCTATCCGGCGCCAGGCGGCAGTCAAGATGGGGATCGCCAAAACCACCGAAGAAGTGCCGGGAAGCATTCCGAAGATCTGCATCGTATCACCACCAGAGTCATATGATACCCCAGTGGATCTACTGGTACGGGCTATCTCCGTCGGACAGCCACACAAGGCAGTGCCTATCACGGTTGCCCTAGCCGTCTCTGCGGCCGCTCATATAGCTGGTAGTACGGTTGAGGCGGTGGCAAGGAAGGATAAAATCGATGATGCTGGTACCACAATTGGTCACGCCAGTGGCACTTTGCTTGTTGGAGCACAGTTCAAGAAGGAGGAGTTGACAGCAGCAACTGTCTTCCGTACCGCACGTCGGTTGTTTGATGGTAACATTTACTGGAAGAGCTAGCTTTTCCCTGAGTAGTTACTCGTTGTTTCAATTATTCGATGTCATGTACTTGTTCAACTACAAGTGAATATCTCTTCATCTTTAAAAGAAACATCACGGTAGTATTCGTGTGTAGACCTCAGTCATGAAACAATGAGCTCAGCATTCTACTTCAATTTTTTGCGTCACGTATCGAGGATGGGCCAGTTCGATTAATGTATTATAGGAATCCTCTACCCGGGTGATGACGTGCCGATTGGTTGATATCACGGGGCTAGTAGTAACCCTAACATTCGCCACCTTGAGAACCATGTCTCTTGCCGGTGAGCCTTTTTCGCTCATCGGAAGCATCCGATGGGCTCAACCTCGAATCATGTACTGTAAGGTTCCTCCACGCTGACCAAGTTGCCCGAGAAATAGTCCTAGGAATCAGGAGTATCACAACAAGATCCTATCTGGAGTGAAACGACAATGGAGAAATCTCCACATGTAGTCCCTAACCCCAATCCCCCGCTTTCACCATTAGTTATTTAAATCAACACGCACCACTCGGTTGAGCAGTGAGAGTGGGAAAGAGAGAGAACAATCTCCCCGTGAAATGAATTATTTCTCTCTCCCATTTATCGGCATTCGGCTCCAGGTCGCCCTGGTAGCTCTTATTGTCGCACCCTCTTTCATTCTTTTTGGCTACAACCAAGCGGTCTTGGGCAGTCTTCTCAGCTTGAGAAGCTGGGTCGAGATCTTTCCACAGATTGACACCGTGGACACCACCGGGGCAGAAAAAGCCCACAACTCAACTTCTCAAGGAGCATGCAATGCATCTTTTCAAATGGGCTGCCTTATTGGAGCCTTGTCGCTCTCTTATTACGGAGATAAGCTCGGGCGACGAAAGACCACCTTCATTGGGGCTGCCATTACCATCATTGGCCAGGTGCTGCAGCTCTCTGCGACTACTTTGACTCAATTCGTCGTTGGCCGGGTCATTCTGGGATTTGCAATAGGTCAAGATCAGTGGAACTGTCCCTGTTTGGCTCTCGGAGTGTGCTCCAAATAAAAACCGAGGGCAGCTGGGTATCTGTACCGGTATCTTTATTAGCACAGGCTATGCTCTGTGTAACTGGATTGACTTGGGTTTTAGCTATCTGCCCTCTTCTTCTACTCAATGGAGAGTACCACTGGCCATCCCACTACTGTTCTCGGTGATCCTACTGGTCTTTATTTTCTCTTTCCCGGAATCCCCTCGATGGCTGGTATCAAAGAGGCGAATCACCGAAGCCACCAGCAGTCTGCGTCACTATCGTGGGCCAGAAAGTTCAGAGACAGAAATCTCGCGAGAAATCTCCGGCATTGAACTAGCCTTTGAGAGCACGGAGAGGTCTTCTCTAAAAGACATTTTCAGTCGCAATGACAAGACACGGCTGCTCTACCGATTCTGGCTCTGCATGGGATTAAACTTTTTCCAGCAGGTAAGTTGATATAAAGCGCATTGATTCGCATAATGTCGGCTAACCTTTCAGGCCTGTGGAGGGAACCTTATTTCAGTGTACAGTTCAACGATCTTCGAAAACTATCTGAACCTGTCACCACATATGGCTAAGATCCTCGCCTCCTGTGTTTTAATGTGGAAGACACTTTGCTGCCTGATATCTTTCTGGGCGATCGATCGGTGGGGTCGCCGCCTTTCCTTCATGATCAGCGGTACAGGAATGTCTGTATGCATGGCAGTCTTGGCAATCACAACTAGCTTCAACACCATCACACACCCAATGGCTATCGCGTATGTGGCGTTCATGTTCGTGTTCAACTTCTTCTATCCGATCGGATTCATGGGCGGCAATTTTCTGTACACGTCCGAGGTTGCACCTGCGCGGCTCCGAGCTGCTATCTCTTCCCTTGCAACCGCTAACCACTGGCTGTGGAACTTGGTTGTTGTTCTTGTCACCCCGGTTGCGATTGATACGATTGGATACTGGTACTACGTGATGTATGCGCTCATCTCTATCACCATTCCTGTTTGTATCTATATCTTTTATCCCGAGACTATGGGTCGCAATCTGGAATTGGTGGACAAGATCTTCGTGGAGGCGCCCTCTATCTGGAAGATTGTTCCATACGCAAGAGCTCTCCCAGAACAGCAATACTCTGATGATACCCCGTCCAAGTCCGAGAAGTTCGATGCTGCTGATGATGTTGAGATGCGTGAGTATGTTTGAACTTATTGAATGTCTTTATCATGCTGCATGGTCATCTACTTCACGGCTAGCAGAACAACCTTCCCTGAATGCAGTGAAATTTGACCTTAAAGCCATTCAAGTTTGGAATAGCCCTCAACAATCAAGCGATCATCTCAACGCATGTGTTTTGGGGGCCAACTCACGAGAATTGCATTCCTGCAGCTTCAGAGGCTCAGACCCCTTTCAAACAAGGACATGTGACCAACTGATTGACCTTTGATAATTCATAAAAAAAATTACGCAAGTTGTTTGCACCTGAATCTCTACCCTGTTCGGGATCGACAGTCATGATGCCACCAAAAGATCACTTCAACTTGACATTTTTACCTCGCTCAATGAAAAACTGGCCATCTGAATATGAATCTCCAGCAGGCTGGGCATTGGCAGATTTCAGACAGTACAATCGATGACAAGTTGTCTGAAATTCCCGGGCATACCTTACTCTAAGCTATAATATAAAAACCTTTACCTTCAACAACCTTGGAGTCAATTGTTACTTAACTCAGGTGCATGAAGCTCGAGCGAGGGTATCATGATGTAGAATGTCCCACCTGCGTTCAAATACTTCGACACTGTCAGCTGGCCAAAGTTCGGCATGCCTTGCTGCCCATTTTTGCAAAATGATAGATTGGTTGGACAACAGTACGCGAAACTAATAGGGTCAAGTATTTTGTTGGTTTTATATAAGGATATATTATAGATGGACAGCTACGCAACTTCTCCATGAAGCGTGTCGTAGGTTCCCGGAGTATTCGTGTTAGAACTGAGGTTAAATTTCCAGTTATATATCGCTGCAGCCAGGCGTGCCAAGGTGCATCTTTCCAAGGTAATATGGAAACTCCTCCCTAAGCCCGGGGCCCCCTTTTGACCGGTACTTGCCAATCTTCTGACCTCGCTTTCCTTTAAGGAATTTCCTACTTTCAACTACTTTCATCTGATCTTTCGTCCGTTTAACCCGTCTGTCTGGATACGAACGAAGCTAGATTTACGCGAGATGGAAGGGAAGGCCTAATTGAAGATATTCTGCAATTGTAAGCAACTAGTTCTCTCTCCCCAATTCCATTTTTCCTATTATTTCTGCTTATCCCTTGGATAGACTAGGTCGGTTTTGTCGTTGTCTTAGAAGGATCAGCTTCATATCTGTGAGGCCCTAGTAATTCTCAAACAGCTTTCAGCATCCTGATGACCTCAAGTGCTTGTTTGAGTACCTAGGTTCCTTCCCAAAATAGCGATCTGGCCATTTCCCTTGCGAGGCAACTCTTTCGCGAGATTTCGTAGCATCCATTCACCCAGTTGACGAACCGGGCGGCCATCCTTCCACCACATACTAAAAGTCATGAATTCCGACAGCGTCTCCGGAAAGTAGACACGTCTAATATATAATCTTAGATTGTAATCATGTAGGCAGCCCTGAGATTTGTACTAGTATAGTTCAAAACTTATGGTGGATATACAATGTTGTAATCTATCATATTTACCATGTGTTCCACGGTGGCTAGCTCGTGTGAGAAGTACTTGAGTTCGCTACGGAACATAACTTAGTTAACTAACGTACCTTAATATCGAAATACCTTATTGGAGAGTTACAAACGAACATTCGGTAAATCATAGTTCCAGAACACCGTACTAATTGCGATAAAGTACAACGCCAAACTTGCCACACTTGCCACACGCCCTCGGCTTAGCCGGCGGGACTATCCGAAGGCTTGCGGCAGGACATCCGAACGAATGAAAATGAAGACGTTAGGAATCATACCCCGAGGCTTAAAAGAAAGCACCATGCGACCACCTTACTTTTATCAACAACTCTAGAATGATTAGAACGATCAGAACGCGTCAGGCTTTACACAAGTCGGCGAGAGGCTTTGCCTCTCATGCCAAAGTCCCGCTGAGTCGACTTGAATCTCAAACCATCAATTTGAGCAAGTTCCCCTCAAGTGTCAAGGCACTCCGAGATCGGTAAGAGACAGGTGTCGTTGAATCATCTTCATACCGGCCCATATTGACCACATTTATATGTGCAGGCTCAATCGCCCTTTGACGTACTCTGAAAAAGTGCTGTATAGCCATCTCGACAACAGCTTTGATGAGCGCATTGAGCGCGGGGTCTCACAGCTGAAGCTGCGCCCTTTGCGTATTGCTTGTCAAGATGCGACTGCACAAATGGCACTGATTCAGTTCATGTCTGCTGGTATGGAATCAGCTGCAGTGCCAACAACAGTCCATTGCGACCATTTGATTGTTAGCCGAGATGGAGAAGCCGAGGACCTTCCTAGAGCACTGGAGGCTCATCGCGAGGTCTATGAATTTATGGAAAGCGCCTGTCAGAAATATAACATGGGATTCTGGAAACCCGGAGCTGGAATTATCCATCAAATTGTGCTCGAAAATTATGCTTTTCCCAGTGGAATGATGATTGGAACGGACTCGCACACCCCCAATGCCGGAGGCCTGGCGATGATTGCCATCGGTGTTGGTGGTGCTGATGCTGTTGATGTTATGGCAGGACTGCCTCTAGAGCTGAAAGCACCGAAGGTCTTAGGTGTACGTCTGACAGGAGAGCTCTCACGATGGGCTTCGCCGAAGGATATTATTAATGCAGTTGCCGGAACAATCTCGGTCAAGGGTGGTACCGGTTCGATTATTGAATATTTTGGACCTGGCGCGAAGAGTCTTTCGGCAACCGGAATGGCTACTGTCTGCAATATGGGTGCGGAAACAGGCGCCACAACTTCTATTTTCCCTTATGCGCCCCAGATGGCTGAGTATCTGCGGTCAAATCACCGGCACGAGATGGCTACGGCTATTGAGAATATTTCCCCAGAGCTGCAAGCTGATGCAGGTGCGGAATATGACCGTGTGATTGAGATTGACTTGTCGACTCTGGAGCCACGTATCAACGGGCCTTTCACTCCTGATCTTTCCACCCCGTTATCACAGTTCGGCGATGCTACTAAGGAGAACAAGTGGCCCGAAAAGTTGACCGCTGGTTTGATTGGTTCATGCACGAACTCTTCCTTTGAAGATATGGGGCGCGCTGCTAGCCTTGCTCAGCAGGCGTTAGATGCTGGACTGAAACCCAAGATGCCGCTTTTGGTGTCCCCGGGTAGCCTTCAAACCCGTGCGACATTGCAAGAAGCTGGGATTTTGCCAGTATTTGAGAAGCTTGGAGCTACTATGCTTCCAAATGCCTGCGGTCCGTGTTGTGGATCTTGGGACAGAGTCGATATGCCCAAGGTATTACTTGATGACACATTCACACCTTGATAATTACTAATTTCACCTAGGGCACCCCTAATTCCATCATCACCTCATACAACCGAAATTTCTCCGGTCGCCTAGATTCTAACCCAGCCACTAATGTTTTCTTGGCTTCACCTGAGGTCGTCATGGCTAAGGTCTTCTCTGAGGATCTAGCGTTTGACCCCAGCGTCGATGCATTGGCTACCCCTTCCGGTGGAGAGTTCCGATTCCAACCCCCGACTGGAGATACCCTTCCGCAGAATGGATACATGAACTCGGATATTGCATACAAAGCCCCCCCGGCTGACCGAAGCAATGTCGAGATCAAGATCAACCCGTTATCCGAGAGACTACAGCGGTTGGCTCCGTTCGAGCCCTGGTCGGGTGACGACTTTGAGGATTGTGTCATCTTGATCAAGACCAAAGGAAAATGCACAACGGATCATATTACCCCCGCTGGCCCTTGGTTTCGGTACCGCGGACATCTCGAGAACATCTCTAACAATACGTTGATTGGCGCTGTGAACGCCGAAACCGACAAGGTCAACACCGTCCGTAACCAGCTCACCCATGAAGTTAGTGATGTTCCTGGTACTGCACGGCACTATAAGGCGCATGGCCAACCGTGGGTTGTGATTGCTGACCACAATTACGGCGAGGGCTCGTCGCGAGAACACGCAGCCTTGCAGCCTCGCTACCTTGGTGGCAAGGCAATTATTGCCAAGTCATTCGCTCGAATCCATGAGTCGAATTTGAAAAAGCAAGGGATGCTTGCGTTGACTTTCGCGAATGAAGCGGACTACGATCGGATCTGTGCCTCGGATCGACTCAGCATCCGGGGCCTATCTGGTCTAGCCCCAGGCAAATGTCTGAAACTTTCGGTGAACGGAGAGTGGGAGGCTGAGCTGAATCACACATTCACTCCAGAACAGATTGAGTACTTCAAGGCGGGAAGTGCATTGAATATGATGGCGAAACAGTAAAAATATATTATGTTGACCGCGGGTTCCCGCTCTGGCCCAGCGCCTACGCGCGCCTTTGTTGGATAGTCACGTAGCTAAGGCCTCACAAGTAGAACAATCAACGATTTCAACCACCTTGAGAGTTTATGATATTATATTGTACAATTACCGCATCAGGCCGGAGCTTTGCGTTCTATGCAATATATTTAGTGATTTGGAAATTATTGAGTGTTAAACTTTTGTATTCGTTCACCCTACATCAGTGTCCATCAGATGAAGCTACCGAATGCATCGCTATTGTATCCAACCAATACCATATTTAGATATGAGCAATAGATATGTACGTAATAAAAGCCAATTCGGTCATGTATTGGGTTTAACTCCACTAATTACCCATCGGCCTCGTGTCGAGTTGACTTCAGTTCTGTTCGCCAAGGGTCGGAAGACTTCATCCCGTTAAAATTTAAGCCTAAGTAGAGACAGCGCTTCAAACGAATGATGTCAACCCGCTTAGCATAGCCCCAAAAAGGTGGGATCTGATGAATTCTCATTTGATTCTCGAGAAAATCCGTGAAGGGCTCTTAGCACTTCAAACCAAGCCCACGGCCCTCAACGCCTATATTATCTTTTGGCCTGTCCCATTAGCTCTGTACGCTAAAGGTAGGTAACAAGAGTTCCCAGCTTGAGCCGAGAATCCTAATATCGGCTATATCCGAAGAGCAAGAAATATCTTGGCTGACGTGAACTAAAGAGCTTCAGATTGGGGAGTTCGTCCCCTTTTATTGACTGACCCATATATTGAAGATGTACAAAGCTGAATCTTAGTTAAACGGCATCAATTTCGGCCTCTCTCAATCTCTTAATGTTATCGCATTTATATCGTCTTTTCCACCACTATAGGATCAAAAAGAATTCAGCCGTCAATTCCAAGACAAAGGTCAAGACCCAGATCCAGATAAACGCGTAGAAGATTCATGGCAGTTGAAGCGACGGTAATAAAAGCGATCGATCGGCTCATCCGATACAAGGCCACTCGAAACCAGTTTCACCTCTGTGTTCCCTTTAATTCTGTCTTTAATTCTATGCGAAAATATAATTAAAAAGAGTGTTTGTAAGAGATACATCCAGGGCCCTGTATTCCACAAGACCAAAAGATCATATTATTCTGGATCATCGATCCAGAACGCCCGGGAGTCACCTATATAGTATACCGCCGTTACAAGCTTATGAAGAGAAGGAAATAGATATAAGCTAATTTTGAGTAGTCATAAAGATGAAGTTTTTCTCGTTTTGCCTTAGGACTGAATTAACTTTTGAATAGAGTTTTAAATTGAATCTGGTAATTGGAGAGGCATCCGATAATTATGTGACCGGTGGATAACCCCGTCTGGGGAATCTGGAGTCTGGGGTTAGACCCACTTCCAGCTCGTGGAAGCAGGGCATAAAAGCGAAGGGCTCAGCACTTTCCACCGGTATCAGTTCTTCCTCCAACATCCATTTTCACAGTCAGGCCAACTCATAAATTGGAGGCCATGGGAAAGCAACAGTCATCCTTGGGAAAATACCTCCATGCCATCAAAGACTCCCCACGGGAGGTTTTCAATCGACGGCTCTTCCTGACGGTCATTGCGTTTGCCCTTGGAGGATGTGCCAAAGGTAAGATTCTCTTCCAGTGATTTTTTTGAATTTGACTGAACACTTCTCAAGGATGGGATGAAGGGTCGGCTGCTGCTATTACGCAACTTCCATCCTTTCAAGACGTCTATCATCTCAACGATAATGTCATATCCAACGTCGTGTCTCTCGTTAACCTTGGCGCTGGAATCGGGGCACTCCTTTCGTTTTTGCTGAACGATCGAATTGGCCGAATAAGATCACTTCAGGTATATCAGGTCATCTACATTGTAGGCTACCTTATATCCTGTTTCTCGACGGCAATTGTCGGGGTACTATATATTGGTCGGATCATTGCTGGTCTTGGAATAGGAGCCTTGTCCGTTGTCTGCCCAATGGCGATATCCGAAATTGCTCCCAAGGCTGTGAGAGGACTAATGGCATTGTGGTTCAATATCTGCATGCTATCAGGTCAAACATTGGGCGTTTTCATTGTCTACGGCTGCTCTATCCATATCTCACCTTTCAAGGATCTACAATACCAGGTTCCTTGGTTCGCCCAAACATTCGTCTCTGGAATTAGCATTGCTTTGTCATTCTTCATTGTGGAATCACCTCGGTGGCTTCTCATTGACCAGAAGCATAACCAGTCTCTCGGGGCGTTGGCCCGGCTTCGTGGACTGCCGAACGACGCGAAATTTGTGGCCACCGAATTTCATGCCATGGCATCGCAGATTGAGGATCGTGAGGCAGGCCTTGGCAAGAACAAATCTATACAAATCATCCGGGATACCTTCCTGATCAAATCCAACTTGCGCCGGGTGCAGTTGACAATCATTGTCTACATCCTAGCGCAAATGTCTGGGGCCAACGCCATCACCAATTATTTACCAACAATCTTTGGCTTAATTGGAATCACAGACTCGCATGTTAAGGTCTATTCCACCGGCCTATACACTGTTGCTAAACTAATTTGCTGTGTGGCTGCCTCGCTTTTCCTTATTGACCTCCTCGGCCGCCGAAAATCCTTGATTCTGGGCATTTCTTTTCAGATCATTTGCCACTCCTACCTGGCCGGATATCTGAAAATTTATCAAACGCACAAGCACAGCATGAGCAAATCCTCAACGGATGCGGCGTTGGCGTTTGTTTATATTCATGCATTTGGGTGGGCCATTGGTCTATATAGCCTGCCATATCTTTTCGGCGCAGAGCTCTGGCCTAACAAAATTCGTTCCTTTGGTGGAGCACTATCGCAGTGCTTTCACTGGCTGTTCTACTTTGCTATTACTAAAGCTACCCCCTTTATACTTACTGGTCTTCACCAGTGGGGCGCCTTTGTTCTATTCATTGGCTTCTGTGTCTTAGCTCTCCTCTACACCTATTTCATTATACCTGAAACCGCGGGAATGAGTCTCGAAGAGATCAACAAAATTTTCGAGCGGCCATTACTTTTGTTGGCTCGGCCACTTCAGTCGTCTGAGCACGTTGAGCAAGGAGGGTGAGTGAACCCTTTTGTTTCTCATTTCTTGCTAAGATTCTAACCTAAGTTTAGATCCACGGGAAATGAGTTGGGCGACTTGAAGGCAAATGAGAAATGGATTGAGAAAGCATGAGAATGAAACGTACTAAGAAACCACTCTCAGTGGCATAAAGCTTCCTTATGGGGTTGGCTTCGGAGGACTGTTTTTAGTCTTGCAAGCTTTCATTCAAGACCTTAAGATGAGAGCTCGGACTTTAAAAAGAAAGGGACTGTGACAATTTGGTAATATATCTTCAATTGATTAGGGTACTTTCACCCCTGAATTTGCTCTTCTTCTTTGCGGAAATCTATGCATTATCTGTTACAATTGGCAATTACCGTAGACGCGAGGTGACTTATCACCGGATTTGAGATCACCGGTATTGGTCTAGTAGAGTGTTGATTGATTGATTTATTGAATGACTATGTTATATTTAGGCGCCTCGTCACCTTCTTCCACAGGGGGCTGTCACAGTTGCCATTGCTACGAGTCGCTGAGCCCGTCTTCCCCCTGGCGGCCAATCTTCCGTCGAGCATATGTATTAAGCATCTGCCTAATACTGTTTCAGCCGAATAATATTCTAGTCTTGCTTGCACGACTTCCACACCGGTGGCAAATTATACGATAGAGATTTATAGAAAAAATTACAGTTGATTCAAAAGTATAAACTAGGATAGTTCATGAGATGGTTTCGGTACAGTTGCTCTATCCAAATGTTGCCCCCGCTAATAACTTCCCGTGTGTGCCTCATCCCTCATTGATTCTTAACTATCTACCTGTCCTATCTAGGCTAGCTATTTCACACTTGTTAGGCGTTGTGGGCCCGCTTAGCGGCCTGGAAGAACCCACTTTCTGGTCTTTAGGACGCCAGACGGAAGCCTCTACCAACATTTATTCAAGAGCCAGTTCTGATCATGATCACTGTTTATCTGCTCTCCGTTTGCGGCATCTTATACTTGTCATATCAGCCTCTCGCGCAGAACTTTCAGAACCGAGGCTGGCTCGACGCCTCCTCCACTCTCTTCCTGGTAGCCGTCGGGCTTGGTGTGATCAGTGCCACTATGATCATTGTGATACATACTCTGACATGCTACAAGAGGCGGTACGACACTTCCGAAGAAGGATTAGGCGGAGGAGATTTAATCTCTCCTGTCCCCTTCCCTCCTGAATTGAGACTGCCCCCGCTGGTGCCGAGCCCAGTGGCCATGCCTCCTACATTGCTCTGGTGTGGATGGTCAGGCGATGTGCAATGGGCATCGTGAATCATTGCGTGCTGCTTCATTGGTTACTCATGCAGCTCATTTCCACCACAGGCATCGTCTATGTTGCCGATGTTTACATGGGCCACATTGTCTCGGCTATTTAAATACATGCGACGGTGCAGAGCTTGGCATCTGCAACTTTCCCGATGTTTGAGTTGCCCATACACGATAGTCTGGGCGTTTCTTGATCGTTAACCCTACTACATTATCTGTCATTTACAATCATGCTCTGCCCGTTTCTGCTATGGAAATTCGGTTCTCGAATCAGATCGTAGAGTCGCTTCTTTGTGAATGATGTAATGTCAATCCACTCATTCTCTTTTCATGGCCGTTCTGCTTTTTGCGCTGCGATTGTTTAGATGTACATGATCTTGAAGGGATATTGTGTTGCATAGAAAATAATTTAAGCATCATGAAGATAAATGAATTAGAAAAACAAAAGTACTTGAGAAATAACCCAAAATCACCAAAGGTTTGTTGAAGGGGCCCGTGTCCACGCTGCTGCCCACCTCCTTAATGTCCAGGTCAGTGACACCGGGACTGTTAATATGTGTGAAGTGATCCGATTCAAAATCCCCGAGTCGACCGAACTGTTCCGTAAAAACACAATGTAATAAAGTGAAGCATGGAATACGAACAAGTTAATACTCGGTTCCCTTCTCCGCACCCCACAGAGGGCTTTGTCTTTCCAACCTTTACGCCATTGAAAAGAGCATGCAATATAGCGTCCTGATGAGACATTTGAGGTACTATGGCTAATCGGGTGAATAACCAATTAGGAAAGTTTATATCACCCGGCAACAGGTTCGGCTTGGCTTAAAAAGCTAGGTATGTCCTCAACAAATACTTGGTCTCTATCTTCTACCCCCCGCTATATCCTGACAAGGTATGAGCTAAACGTGACCCATGAGGTTACCTGTCTCGGGGGATAGCCAGTTTTGACCTATTGATAACGTAGGAAAAAGTAAACCTTCTCCGTAGACCGTAACGAATTAGCCGTAGCTGCTAATTAAATATTACATCTTCCTCGATAACTCTAGGTCGGAATACTAAGTAAGATACTCAGAGGGAGTCAGAAAGCTTCCCAAAAGTCTACAACCAAGGTCAGCACGACCTGGAAATGTATATATTTTAATATGCTCAGTGACTAGGTACTCTGGAAGATAGACCGATAGAAGGTGGTAAAAGCGAGGCCGGCGCTAGATGTGTAGTCGAACGAGTCGAGAAAGTTAGCGCTGGGGCCAGGGAAAGATAAATTGCTAACCTACGTATAGCCCTATATATGAGGTACTGGCGTAAAAACTACCCGCAAAATCCAATAAGCAGAACATGAACTCGGCCTATTGAGACAGCCAAAGAGACAAATTGGAATGGATTCTTAGATAAAGGAAAGCTCTGGGGAACCGCCACCTTGACGGAACAGCACAAGACTTGCAGGTGCGCCCTGGCTAAGTCTTCGGTATTGAGGTTAATGAGTCCAAGGAGTGGGCGCGTTCTTTCCCAAGTATTGGATGTACGGACATTGGTCACAAGATCGAAAATGTCAAAATAGCAAATTTCGAAACGTTTGCTAGTAATTTGGTCCAAAATGAATTGATTCGTGTAAAGAGAGTATAGGTTGGTTGCACCCTTGTTTGTAGTCTATGGAACAACCAAATCCCCTCCGATCTATGGATTTGAAATAATAAATTTTCTTGAATCGCCGATATCAATGCTGTTCATTTATCTTCAACAAGGTTAAAGATTCCTCAACTTGGATATAGTCGTCTCGGGTTGTCTACCAGCATTTTCTGATAACCCCCGCTTCCCATCCAATCATACAGCCGATCAAGAATCGCGAAATTATCAATGGTTCTGAATGGCTCTTTCACATCCAGTCTTCTTTCAAGCCTATTCTGTCCCTCTCCGGTGTGTGGCCAGTCGCTTCCCCAGATGACCTGGTCCGGGATCTCTCGAGCGAACGTCTCAATGATAGACTGCAGGTCGCTGTAAGTCGATGAGGTATCACTAGACACACGATATAAACCTGAGATCTTCACAACAACACGGGACTGTTTTGCCAATGATAGTAGCGATTTAAAACCGGGTTGGGACATCGGTACCGACTTGAAATCGGAAGACAGCTTGCTTGAGCCCCGTAACCCCCCCAAGTGATCTGCGATAATCTTGACCGGAAGCTCAAGAATGATATCATGTAGATCTAGCAGAATCTTATTAGCAAATTCCATTCAATCAATCCAACATGTATTGAGCTTACTGTCCCATATCCAGCCAGGAACAAATAGCTGGATCATCCAGCCCTGGAGGTAGCGAATACGATCCGCAGTCCGGTGCAAAGCAGCCACCAAATTATCAGTGCTCACTTCCTTTCCATCTGCCTGAAAGTTGAGCCTGATTCCACGTATGCCGAGGTCATGCATCTCGTTTAGTTGTGCGTCGGTAGTGTTGTCCAGGTCCAGCACTGCGATGCCGAAAGCCTTGATGTTCTGATTTTTGAGTTTCTGCAGGCATTGTATCAAAACTGAACAATCATTGTTGTAGGGAGACGGCTGGACTAGCACTAAAGTGTTGCTTGAGGGGTTTGACGATAGAATTTGATTGAACGCAATCAACTTTTTGAGTGGCGCATCCTCGGGGGTGTACGCGCGCCCAGCAGCGTATGGCCCCAGCTCCGGATCAAAGACATGCACATGCGTATCAAACGCCCCCGGATAAAGTAATGAACTAAGGGAATTAGAGGCTGGCGAAAGCGAGGTGGAGCCATCAACTCACTGGGTGTTCCCATCGCGAGGTCTGACTTGGGATGCCATTTTAGAAGAATCACTCCGAGGTGAACTTTGGAATTTCGAAATCAAGGGAAGCAGACGACTCGGCACACATAATCTCATTACGAGAAATATTTATCGTACATCTTGTAAGCGCAGAACTCCGGTATCTTAGGGGTTTCTGACATTTCGTTCTGGTTAAGGAGAAACCCTATTGTCCAATCCGTATCTCATCGGCTTTGCCGATAAAGCGGGTCTATTATCCCCAAGCCTGTCTCCTGTCGGCTTTGCCGATAGAGCGGGTCTATTATCACCGAACCTCTCTCTTGTCGGCTTTGCCGATGGAGTGTCCATCTTGCCCGACGGCGATGAAGAAAGACCACTCGCTTATAAAATAGGATCAAAATATCAATACGAGTGGATCTAACATCATTCATCGCCTAAAAATGTCACAACTAGCTGTTACGAGTGTGTCAGCTCCACAAAATGCCGTCGACACCAAACGACCTATTCCTTATAGGAATCTGGCGGTCGGAGCGTTCATGAACATCTTCCAAGGTGCGTGTTAATTATTCTTAGAGCCACAAACCATATTCTGAATGAATTAGTTACCTCTCTCGGCCAGCCTATGGAAGTCCTCAAGACTCATGTATGTTTGCTCCGGCTGTGATGGATTTCCGGATGTCATCTTACATATTCAAACGTTCTAGTTGGCTGCCAACAGGAAGGATACACTGCTTCAGGCAGTCCAAAAGACGTGGACCCGTGGTGGTGTGCGTGCCTTTTATCAAGGGCTTATCCCATGGGTATCAAATATGCTCCTCGACTGACACCAGAGAGTCTCGCTAACACTTACTACCGTAGGCGTGGCTAGAAGCATCTACCAAGGGTGCCATCTTGGTCGTAGTATCAAGCGAGGTTGAGTATCATGCCAGAACCAAATTTAGTGCTTCGCCTACATTATGTGGCGTCTTGGGTGGTATTGGTGGCGGTGTTGCACAATCCTATCTTACGATGGGAATGACCACGTGCATGAAAACAGTCGAAGTCACTCGCACAAAAGTCGCCGCTGAGGGTGCTAGGGTTCCTGGAACAATGGAGACCTTTTTCAACATTATCCGTGAAAAGGGGATTCGAGGTGTGAACAAGGGCGTTAATGCTGTGGCATTGCGACAAGTGACCGGTTGGTCGTCCAGGATTGGTATCTCCCGTTTTGCCGAGGAAAGTATCCGATCAATAAATGGAAAGAGTAAGGAAACAAAGCTCCAGTTTGGCGAGAAAATCTTAGCTTCCACAATTGGTGGTGCGCTTAGTTGCTGGAATCAGCCATTCGAAGTTAGTCTACTTACCCCCAAGCAAGGTCGATAGTCGCTAAATTTCTAGGTCCTCCGCGTGGAAATGCAATCTATGAAGAATGACCCCAGTCGCCCAGCATCTCCAACCATGCTGTCCACATTTAAGCACATTCTTGCCACCTCTGGTATCAAGGGTTTGTTCCGTGGTGTTATTCCCCGCATTGGAGTTGCAGCATGGGCTACGGTATGTATGGTGGGATTCGGAGACACTGTCAAGGAGATGTTAGCAAACAAGTGATTAGCGACGAACTAGAACGTATTCTTTGTGACTTTATGCTGCCTTGGATGTACTTCGACGTATTTTGCCTGGAGTAGTAATATGACAGTTGAATGCGGTTGAAATGGCCAACCGATATTAATCAATCAATCAATGAATCAACACTCTATTAACCTGATGCAGCCTAACTAGTGGTGTAATGGCTATGCAGGCGCTTCGCCCAGCGGACACAAAAGTAATAACTAGCACGATTTGGGATAAAGTTGAACAATTAATTCCTAAGTGGACTCGGGAATCTGTTTTTGAATATGGCAGTATCTCAGCTCCCCGCGACGGTTAGGTTATGCCACTCTAGTAGTATCTAGATTTAGGGGCTACAGTATATCGATTTTAGTAGCTATACTGCTATAGTATCTAGATTTAGGGGCCAGTATATTTAAAATTAAATGCTCTATCCCTACCAATACAACGTATTATATATATAATATAGAGCTATTTCCCAGTAATTTTAATTTTTAAAACCTAGATTTAACAGAGAAATGTATAAATATAAAAATTTCTTAGTATTTCTATAAATTGCTTAGGTATAAATACAGAAATCTTAAATACTCGGGATTATTATAGGAATTCTGCTGGCAGTAATCGATAAGAACCCGTTGTTGTGGAGTGGCCGTTATGATCCTCCGTAGTAGAGGACGTTGGGCAAGCCGAGAAGACTGCCATGCTCAATAGGCTGAGGGGCATGTTAACGTTTATGCCTGATAAAAGGCTCACTGCTACGGAAGTCATGGAGTCTGAATGGATACTACGGTGGGATCTGCCAGTGCTTAAAAGAATGGTAACTACGTGATATGTGGTATTCTCGTGTGTTCGACCTTTCTATGTGGATATTTAACCCAACTTTCAGGTGTTTCTTAATGCACTTGACGATGGAACTTCCTCTTCTATACTAAGGTAACCTGCCATACCACGAACTGAACTCATCAAAGACCCTAATGGTTGCGCTATGTATCCTGATTATATGCTTCTAAATCTCGCTTTATGCGTATATAACACCGCTGCGGCTGAAATGACTCTTATCATAAGGCGCTCAATAAGATTGGGGTATGAATCAAAATTACAAACGTATCTCTTTCTATATAAGCATTATGCTCTACATCAACTAGATAATGTTTAGAAAGTGTTCATAAAACTACGAACCCTTGTTGTCTCTTAGGCAGTTGAGAAGGTGCTAAAGATCTTCGAAAGACTATCTGCAATACATTCCTGTGATACATGTTAGCTGATGAGCAAGTTTTTTATACCTTAGACCGAATCCACTCACGGATTGTTCCGACATTGCAGAGTCGAACCTCTTCCAGCTGATTTTCTCCTCATTCCCTAGCCCACTGATCGCCGCTGTTGAATTCACTGAGTTTTCCCCCTGTATTTGGTGGACCAGCTTTAGCAAAGCCACAAGATCTATCCGAGGGATGAAAAGCATAGATAAGTCGCCAGTCTGTTTTGGCAGCGATGGTAGGACGATACGGTAGCTTTCGCGTAACGGATTTGTGGTCAGCGTATCAGATTCGGGGGGACACTCTGAAAGGACGTCTACAATGTCGATCGATAGCTCGCTCTCGTCCTCTGTAACAACGACCTGCTGGTCGGGTTCAGGCCCAGAATCAGTTTCTTCCTTTTTGGATTCGAACCATATGAACCGAGGGACCGTTATCTTTGTGTCATAGCTGGTGCTGGTGCCAGAGCTGGCAGGAAGAGCAAGGCTTCGGAACAACCGTCTGCGAAAGTCGCTGGCGTCTTTACCGCGGATGGCAATATACCAACCACCATGTGGGCCCCAGTTTGCTGAAGAATAGCGATGCACAGTCCCCGGAACTTGGGTGCCGTGTCGTTGGACAGGACTCAGGGTCAGTAGACAAACTGCGCGCACAAAACCGTCCTCATCAATTCCGGCCTGTTCTAAGTCGATGTGTGATGGTGGAAAGGGGTAGAATGCATGCGAGCTGCAGACTTTGAAAAGCAGCGCGGGTGCATTCGGTGATTCATTGACTCCAAATTCAGAGAGCCTCTCCGCAACCAGGCGCTCGAACATCGCCTTAGAGAGATCTGCGTCTCATGTCAGCCTCGGATTCACAGCAACTCACCATGACCAGCCATAACCTACATCCGTTCTTTTGGTCGCATAGTCGACGGAATGACTGTCTGATGTCTTCTATTACGGCAGGTTGATCAAACCGTTTGAAACTGATGAGTCTCTCAGATAGCTCCTCTGTGAGCCTCTGGTAAACGACGACTAGACTGGATTAGAACGAGCTCAGATGACGCCTTACTTTGAACCTCACCTTGGCTCATGAGTCCTCGATCAATGAAGTCTTGAACTCTTTCTTTGGAGGTTCGACGGCGTTCGTCAAGTCCATACATGTCGAAGCTTTCAGAGCTAATGATGCAGTCTGGTTCTATCTCCATGATTGCGACGTTTATGACCTGGTGTAGAGGCCGTTGATTGTGTTCTCTAATGTAGACGGTGGCTATAAAGACTGTCAGAAGGCAGAGTGTCAAAAAGCGGTGCAATCAGGCACGTGACGAGCTGGACATCGAGCTGGCTGACAAGATGGCTGACAAGCTGTTGACTTAACCGAGTGAGATAAGCACCGTCGTACTGGCAGGGCGAGTAACGTTCTTGACAGCACCTGTGCCTGCGAGCTACAATAACAATTATAAGAGTGTCGAGTTCTCGCTGTTCTTGGCTGAATCCGCACAACATCAGAGTATACACTACCAGATCTAAATTCTCGTCTCATTATAAGACTGCCTCCCCTGCATCTTAAGTCAAAGCCGTCCAAGAATGAAGTTCCAAATTCCTCTGCTCCTCCTGGCGAATGCTTTTACCTACATCTCTGCTGAGGCGGCCGGTGCTGGTGCGGCCCTTGACGTTCGCTCCCATGCTCGTGACTTCGTAACAAGAGCGAGCAACGCTGTTCCAGACCTTGACTTATCTAAGAGGGCTGCTCCCCCAGTGCCCGCGGGCAAAGACGCGACGAGGCTTCATGCATGGATTCGCACAGATGAGCGTCCGTCTACCTACGATGACCGCAGCGGCGCGAAACATGATGGGCCCAATCAACTGATGAAAGACACTGGCGGTCGCCACAAGGACGTTGTCATCGGCAATAGTAAAGGCTATTACGAGTACGGGCTCCAATTTAACAACTCCAGTTGGCAAAACAAGCCGAACGGTGACGGTGCCACCGTGAGCGAGTACACCGGATCATATGTGGAGGTGAAAGGTGGGCATGAATCGTACGAGTACAAGGGGGAAGTAAGAGACAAGAGGAGAGCCCTTAACAGCATTTTTAACACGGGTAAGCAACACCTCCCTTCGCCCGAAGCATAGTAGGATGGCCTTCAGAGCACTAACGATGTTATGTATAGTAAGAACTGAGATCTCAGGCAAGGTTTACAACCACCAGTCGTACAACTGTGGGTCCTTTGCACAAGATTTGGTGCATGCGCTTGTGTGACAGGTCGATTTGAGGAAGACAAGAGTACGAGCATCACCCGGCAAGTTGTTGTTTCACCGACATCTCGTATTCAAGTCATAAAGTGCGTGCAAAGCTGGATGAGTATATTGTTTCCTTGATTCCTTTCTATCTCGTTTGGAAGAACAGGCTACGTTTATAGGCGAATTAGATGCTATTCAAGCCGTTCTTTCCTGATATCCTCGGTTCCTTCAATGTTGAACAACCTCCATTTATCAATCTCGATCGTTTCTACAATTCCTATTGTTTCTTAGCTGTTTCTGTTGACATAAACCCCTTTTTGTGCGAAGGGTGTCAGTGCATGTGCGCAGCTGTTATGACCTTGTTCAGATCTTTTCAGCTATTCTGGGCTTGATAAAGACCAGCCATAATGGTATTCACTGTCCGGGTGTCATAGTTCTTCATTCTTCACTACCCTGTCCAACATGTTCTATTTTTATATTTTGATTTGCAGTGTATGATGATGACGATCAGTAATAGCCACTTAAATTTTAATCAAATGGGAAGGGATTCGGTGCCTTACTCAATTTCCGCACTAGTATATAGGAATAGACTGAGAACCCTCCTAACAGAGTAAGATAGGATTTACATGCACCACTGAGTAAATCTAAACCATGGATCGCTGTAATACAGATACAACCCTATTTATATTTCACGTTTTACACAACCAACAATTTACAGCAGCCCTCAATTAAGAGGAGGCGGCTGCATAGCAGTCTCAAACTAAGGTCTTGACGGTGAGGCAAGAAAAAGTCATCAATGTTTGTTGTTCAAGCCGATTTCGAAAATAACTGTATGTGGTTGGTTAACATTAGGGAAATGAATCTCTAGCGGCGCATCTAGCGGCCAACTCTTCCCACGTAATTTGTTTCGGCTTTGGATAGTATGAAGCCTACAGGTGCAGTCAGTACGGAACTATGAGCGCGATCATAAGGAGAAGAATCCACCAGCTCCTCCAGGGATGGGGGGCCATTTGTTGTTGGAGTTAAAGAACTGGATCTGGTCATTGTGCTTAAGCCGAATCATAATGAAAATATCCGCATCGCACTCCTGACGGTACTCGAAGGACTTGAAGAACAAGCTATCTTTACGACGGGCCCGTTGTTGGCGTCTTGACTGTGGACTATTCGAAACACGCTTTTGGATGCTTCGCAGTCAAACCACAGTGGACGACGGCGTTCGGAAATGCCCAAGGACGAAGGCAAGGGGTATGTGGAGAGTGAGAAAGGCGACCGAGCCTTCTATCTCCCTTATACCAAGCCGACCAGGTGAAGGGTCGCGCGAAGTGGTGATCGAGTGGTGACCGAGTGGTGGTCGATACGTGAACTGGGGTGAGCGTATTCAGAGGTTGTGCAAAGGTGCGGTGGTGCCGCTGCCAGGAAAGAAGCCGGTTTTAAGGTCAATCAACGCTGGAAACGCAAGCAAAAGGCCGCTATTGTGTTGTCAGCCTATATTAATGCTATAGTGATCGCTGTGCTTTCAGAGGAAGCCCGGTGCAATATAGTGGTAGAAAGGTTGGGCTTCCAGGAGGTCAAATGGTTTGGGGGAGGAAATAGAAAGTCGGCACAGACAACTGGTTAATGCGAAACACCGGCGCACAAGGCACCAGTCCGTGATCATCCAATCATACTATTGACGACGTTTCCAGGGGTGAGTGCTCACTTAACGCTGGGTGATCGTGGGTGATCGCGGGTGATCACCCGATGGTCAACGATTTTGAAAGGCAGAAGCATCCTCACTCTGCCTCTTATCTGCAGTCCACGTTCGGCTACGCCACGCATCTGGTTCCTCGGAAGGCTGGAACCCTGGCCAAGCTGCAGCCTCGCCTGGTCTCAAGACCACGAGTACAAGACCAAGCGGGGCTCAAAAAGAGTGTCTTGCACTCTGGCTTCCACGCCCCGGCTCATAGCTCTGTGGATACATTTAGCCAAACTCATGCGCCAGGACTCAGATATAACTCGGTCTTGTGCCTTGCTTATTGTGAAGATGTTGGTTCGATTAGGGTTATCCCGTATCTGACAGTGTCGCAAGGGTACACGATTCCTAAGAATCGGTTCCTATCCTCTGCTTACGCCTCTCGGCTATGAAAATGTCTGGCAGTAGTAGAGTGAATCCGACATAATCATATGCCCCCGATTCTTTCATGTCTCAACCTTCCATCTTCCATGGTATTTTCGTTCTCCCACGCACAGTAAATGGCAATGTTGATGTTATGTCGCCTTGTTTCGATAAAGCCGGAGCCTGTATATTCGCCGTTTTGAATATACCTCGTTTGGCTGAGCATCATACGGCCACAGAGCGATAAACATGTAATGACCTTCATGTTCAAGGCAGTAGATGCATGTTTCTTTCTCTGTTAATATCCCGTAGCACCCATGCCCTCATCGCTTGCTGAAGACGACAGAGACGACCGGCTCCGTTCAGCGTCCGGCGTGCTTCAAAAACGTTTGGGCGTAAGTCTGTTGCAAGGTCTATTCTCATTGTATCGCTTAAAAGGCCCAGGTATAAGGGATCGCTGTCGTTCAGGTACATAGTTACATTCTATTCAAGATTGTCGTGGTTCTGCATAGACGCGAAGGGATTTACTGCCTTGCGGATCTCTCGAACTGTGCAATCATACCTTCTTTATCACATAACTCCTTTCGCTGGTAGTATCAGTCTGTCCAACCATAACTATTGTATCACATGTTTCTATATAACGAGCCATGAGGCCCCGATGGTGAGGGCGAGTGTCTATCTACCCATCATCAAGGCCCTTTCGAACGTAGTGAGGATGACCAGCTTATGCCGATATGGAGGGATTCGACACAGGGTCGCTTTATTGAGAGGGCTTGCGAACTGGCACCAAGTAGCTAATCAGACTTTACTAGCATCCTCATAAGCCACCTCCGAAGGCTTCGTCTCTTCGTTGACCGAGTTCTTGCGATAAGCTTCAGAAGCAGACATTGTATGGAGCTCCGAACGGTAGTTAGGGCTCCTCCAGGCCTTGGAAACATTTTCATAAAGCTCATTGACCTGTTCCAGGGACAGGCCCTTGGTCTCATAGATCATGGTAAATGTGAAGACGAACGCAATCCAACAGAAGCTACCCCAGATCCAGAACACGTTCGACTGGGTGGGGTTGAGAGCTCCAGTGAGGTATGGCGTAATGTAAGAGAGCAGCCAATTGAAGAACCAGTTTGCTGCAGTTGTCATGGAAAGACCTTTGGCACGAGTCTGGAGAGAGAAGATCTCTCCTGTAACAACCCAGGCGCAGGGACCGAAGGTAGATGCTTTTGGAGGTGTTAGTGCGAGTTCCCTGGGGCATGATCGAGTTCACTCTACCGAAGAAAGAGATGTATATGCAAATAAATGCGAACTGGGCGCATTGCGACGTAAAGTTCGAAGTCGGGGTTGCGGCACCACAGGCAGAAACAATATATTGCGAGACACCCATACCGAGTGCTCCCGTCAGCAGAACAGGTCGTCGCCCGAAGCGGTCAATTGCCCAAAGTCCGGGAAGTGTCATGACCACGTTAACGGAGTTGACAATCACCTGCAGGATAAAGGAGTCGGGCAGACCTTGCACATTCTCGGCAAAGTAGCTTGTCCCATAATAGATGATGAAATTGATTCCCACCAGCTGCTGAAGCGATTGAAGTATGATTCCGGTGATGGTACGTTTACCAGCAGTTCCCTTGAAGCATTCAAGGTAAGAGGCAGAGCCGAGGGACTTCTCATACTCCCAGTTGTTCTTCAGCTCTTCCATCTCGGCGAGAAGGTCAGGATCATCAGCACTCAAGCGGCGAAGGAAAACCAAGGATCGAAGAGCTTGGGTGTCGTGGCCCTTTTTGATAAGAAAGCGAGGGGTCTCGGGGAGGAAGAAGAGGCCGCCAGCCTGTTTGCAGTCAGTTATAGAGTCTTATATTGTACCTTGTCCCAAAGGTGGCTCACAAGAATGAGGGCCCATGCGAATTGAATTGCAAGAGGGATACGGTAGCTTCCTATAGTTCTGTCAGCTTTGCTACGTCATGAAATCAACCGACCTCGACTATTGGGCATACCGCTGTCAGGCCTGTGCTGCGTTGCCCAATTCACAATGGCAGCCAGGAAAAGACCGATTGTGATACAAAGCTGGTAACATCCAACAACTGCGCCTCTGATCCATTTGGGCAAAGTCTCGGACTGGTACATAGGGACTGGGAACAATTAGCCATAAATCCGAAGCAACTTCTGCCGATGAACACACTCTGGGCAGAAACCAGGCCAACTCCGAGGCCTGCAAAAAAGCGACCAGCAATGAACAGCGGCTGCGATGTAGCGGCAGTTTGAAGGGCGACACCGAGATTGAAAGGCAACATGACCGACAGGATGATTCCCCATCGTCTCCCAGTAATGTCTGCCATGATACCCGCTGCGAGTGCACCAACGAAGGTGCCAACTGACAAGATGGAAACGATTAGGGCGATGCGGCCTGCGTTCGGGTTGTCGAATTCCTCGATCCAGTAGGGCATGGTCTGGATGCCGGAGATGGTCCCAGTGTCGTAGCCATAGAGGATACCACCGAACGAGGCGAACAGTCCGACCAAGATGGCTGGCCAGGCAGCACCCTTCTCATTGGAGGGGCGATTGAATAACATTGCTGTCGTGTGACTAATGGGCCCCAAGATTGGCGAGAACGAGGGAAGATAGTCGAAGGTGACAGGAGGTGCAGGGGCCGCTCGCTTCAAGTAACTTACGGGGGCACAATACTGTGCTATCAGCATTACAGATGGACGGTAGCGGAGAATGATCTCTTCAAGGCATTTTATGGCTCAAGCACCTCCTGGGTTTCGGAGAGTCGAGCCTATCGCCAAGGTTGGTGTGTGGGGGGATTGCGCACTCTAGCCCGCGACAAGAGCGCCAATGAGTCCTCGAATGTTCTTTGCCCATCTGCTTTGGAATCGAGACACAGAGTATGATGGTGGAGAATCCTGACCGAGGAGAACCTCGCGACCAACATGTGTCAGCATATGCTCCCTGTTTCAGGGCATAAATGTGACATCCAACGTTCGTTGCCAAGGTTCCAGGATGCAACGCCACTCACGATCACAATTCTCCTGACCACTACGAATCTCTACTGGTGTATATCCGTGGGTCGCCAAGCTTCCCCATGGGTATCCGCAAAGGCAAAAGGTTTCCAAGCCCCTCGAATCCGCCAACTAGACGAGGTGATTAGCGTCGAATTCCCAAGCACACCAACTCAGTAGCCTTCCTTCTATTGCTTCTTTAGAACGGCTACTACAGTTCAATAAACGATCTAGGGAACGCCACCTGCACTCTGCTTACGCAGGCCATTCTGGGACTCTGCTTGAGTTCAACAGGACATCTCAGACTCGGCAATTCATTTGCGCAGAACTTCCATGGAAAATTCCTTGGCAACTCCTGGTGTACAGTAGTCCGCCGATGGCAACATATACCGGCCGGGGAAATGGGGAGTACCTGGGGAAACGTGGGGTCTGTCCGAATATGGCCGGAATATGGAATATGGCCTCGGGCAATTATCGGCACTTGCGCCAGAACAGACACGACCATGTGGAGCACCAAAAGTGGAGCGAACTCGGCGTCACTCGAAAGGGAACTCGGTGTAGATCCGATGCCGAGTGAGACAAGGCCATGTTTGCGAATATCTTCGGAGGAAAGGGACAAGAACCCGAAGTAACGTGGGTTGCCGATAAATTCATACGGAGCACAATGATCTCATAGAATCTTATATTTCCATGCACAATGTACAAATGACCCGAGAAGAGTTCGCTATCGCCCATGTCGGCCAGGCATGGACTCTTCCGAAGGCGTGCTTGGACAATTGCAGCCAAGGAACAACTTGCCGAGTGGCTTGGGCCCATCAGGCTTGCAGATGCGCACGGCAATATTTCGTTTATAACAGGCTACATAAAGCTATAAAACATTTCCTGCACTGCCGGAGGAGGGTGGCGTCCACGTCGACTGGCGCCATTACTCAATAGGTTGTGGAAAACAAGGCTGCCTGTCATCTCAGACGTACTTGTACCACTATTGTCAAGGTGGCGAGAAGTCTGATGAGCCCCGAGTGTGTTTCTGCTGTTAGGAGTGACAGACACTAAGTCCTAGGTGAGTGCAGGTAAGATAGGGAAGAAAATTACTTATCAGGGGAGGCGGGGGTGACTTGTGGCTCCTGAGTAACCAGCTTCTACCCAAGTTAGTCTACTTCTACCCCGGAGCCAGGTTAGGGTCCTAAATTTTGGACCCGAACCCGACCCGATAACAACTCTAGCCCCACTATGACATCAACCTCCATATCAATACCTCGTCTGGGTTAGGGCCATTAACAATATTTTCTTCTTTCCACTCAGATTTTACTACTTCCTTACATTCACCGATTTAGATTGGAACCAGTTTGTTGTTACCAGCTTGCCATGTCTTGCCATGTCTTGCCACTATTCATGATATATACTTCGTAGGGTATATATATATTCCGACTGGGGAAGCTCCACAATCACCCTCTGCTAGTCTGGCTTCCACTGTCTATAGGATAGTGTGGCTTTATAGTACCGTTTTTGCTTTGCAAGTTCCAAACGCTCTAAGTAGATAGATAAATCCCTCGGCATATCTCGGGAAGTTGTGTATTTGTCTATACATACATAACAAGCTTCTTACCTACCCAAGTATATCTACAATGTTGAACCCCAGGCTGTCCTACACAGTAAGGATAACATATTATTCTCAAGTCTACCCTGCGAATTGTTTTTAGTTGCAAGGCTTCCCTTCCGTCTTTCTAGTTACCTAAGGTGATAGAGTAGATATAGGTCGTGATTAGTGTTCGGACGACAGAAATTTCCGCCTTGGTCACCCGCTACCCAGTAGCTACTTAATCTTGGTGGATTTGGCTAGCGAGGAGAGGTTGTCAGATCTGGGATAAAGATACAAGCGTATTCAGTGGGTTTTATGTGCATGTGAAAGGATTAGAGCTTGTATATAAACCAGAAAGGCTGACTGTAGGGGTAGGATTGCTGGCATGAAAGATATGTTTTACAACCGGAAAATTCTCGTTTTAAGTGGCGGGAACTTCCTTGCGGTACAAATTCCATTGTTATCAACGCTGAAAGTTTGAAACTAGAATACAGAAAAGTTCAAGGCCAAAATGTTTGTACATACTTTGCATGCGGGAGAGGGGTGTGTGCTATGAGGTGGTGAAGCACCGCAGCTGAATCTCATCCGGACCGGGACGCATCCGACGTATCCTCAATATCCATCTCGGAGCGATCCCGGGACGAACATAGCTCCGGTGCAAAATCACCCGTCCGTCTTGCGAAGTCAATGCCTCCTATCTCAAGACAGCGACACCAACGGGATACCGGTTGGTATCGGGATTGTAATAAGCCACATAGTGATCTCCATGATTTTGTGGCTGAACTGTAGGGGTAAACCCGTAACTCTTGTACGTGAATGCGAAGAAAGTTCGGTCTACAAGGTATACGTATATGGTTGTCACTTAGGAAAAGTTTCCTTTCAAGCGACTAATGCAAGGGCGGCAACTGTTCGCTCTGTGTTTCGCTTGTTGGGACATCAGATTCGACAAAACCCTTCAATGCCTGATTTCCCCGTGCGGCGAATTCTGCATTAGACTTTCTTATACCCTTTCGCCCGTGGTATCTAGAATACTCCTGCCTATCCGTATCAAGTTCACAATAACTTTCGCCCCTTTTATGTGGGACGATTGTTCCACTATTAGACTTTTGACTCTACATTCCTGTTTCATATAATGCTATCATGATTATCCCTTGTTTGGGGGCTTACCTATAGTGCTTATGCCGACGGCGCCAGACTGCCATCAATCCTGCAACTCCTGGTACCTGACAATGACATCCGGGTGTGCTCCCTCTATATTCCAGGTGTTCGCCTTTTTGCCGTCCAAGGATTAGTCTTGAATTGATCAATTATAAGAAGGTAGTATATAAGATATAGAAAGTAGATGTGAAAAGGAACAGGAGCAGCAAAGACCTGTAGTAGCGAATGTTTGTCCTCTGAACGCCTCCACTTTCGCTCACTAGATTGGGCGTCCTTTCCATGTAGGCAAAGAAACGCGGCCTCATTGCCTGGCCTCAGCCCAATCAAGTCGAGAATATAGGCTTTCCCTTCATGGTCTACTGGAAGACTTGCAACGCGACCTCGGGCTCTGACAAAATGTTAGCTCGTCATTGTCCAGCGTGCCGGATAAGGCTAAAATGCACGTTTGATCCCGGTACGTTTCCGTGAAGCTTGTCCGAAGAATCAGTTAACGGTGACACGGAGGCTTGCCTAGGGTTACATCGTTTCTTATGGGCTGATTTGTACTCCGTACAAAATCTCAAAAGATAACGAACACGACAACCTGCAGCACACACTATTGGAGCATGCCGAAGTACTCGGCTGCTGAAGGCACATTGCGCGATGCAGAACACAACCCATGACCTCGCTTCTCCCTCCTTGTAACCTAGCATGCATGACCCTGATCCACAACAGGTATTCCCCTGTTACACCAGGGATAATGGCATCTTGATAGTAGTTAAGCACACGATCGAAAAGCCCGCGAGGTTTAAAGAACCCAGAAAGTCCAGCCCGCCAAGTGCGTGATAATGTATTCAAAAGCTGGCCTTCTTTGAGACATATTAGATATTAGAGACTGTGCTCGCATCACGATGTTCAAAAGAGGCATGTTTTCTAGTCTCGCCTCTCTACTGCTGTTCACCGTCACGGCAGTGACTTTGCCGGCAACAGATTCTGGAACTTTTCAGGTGCTTCAGCAGCCCAACCTGAACTTCACCAAGAACGCTGCTGCTATTTGGTCTGCCTAGAGACAGAGATACGAGAGTATACGGTCGGCATTTAACATCTTCAGTTGGTATTTGTGTAAACTTTTGGAGGATTGTACTTTTTCTCTTTCCTCTCTTAGTACCATAAGAGGGTCTTCTGAGAAAGCGTCGTGAACGGCTTACAGTTAGCAAGTCATACTGGTTGCTCTTACTCAGGCGCCCAGCACTGTTCAATATCCTAGATGATGATAGTTCTTAGTTGAATGGTGCAGACTGGCATTTATGCGTCTATAGTGACGATATCCTGTGTATTCTGTTCTTTACCCGCAGTGCTTGGACCTGTCATGTCGACCAATTCGCAGATGACCTAACAATGGGAAGAATGATCTGGCCATTGTCGCATCTTTGAGTGCTCAGTGATGACTGAAAGAGGGTCGATCGCTTGACTCCCTGGTCTGTCCCAACTAGGCATTAGCCATCCAAATCCACCCGCTATCAAACCGTCTATCATGCGACCATCACCGTCGGCCCAGCCGGCGGACTTGACAGGGAATCGACAGGGAATCGATTGGGAAAAGACAGTGCTGACAATACTGACTTCCTGGACCGGCATCGTTGTGTACGTCTCCTCGCCCTCAACCCGACCGTAGTAATGATACGAGATGGCGATGACGACCCAGGGGATGGTTGCAAGCCTTCTGGCAATTGTGTGCCACTTGGTGATCAATCCTCCGCTTGAACCTCACGGCTGGACTCCTCGGGGGACATGGCACCAAATAAGTTCAACAGAACCTGATGGTGCCAGGCTGAGATATCGACATAGCCAGCCTGCAGACCGTCAATGACTCCTTCAATGGTGTGTCACTTGTTTTTGTTGATTGTGCAGACTGCAAGTTAGCGGGAATCGAAATATCAACAACATTTGCAGGTACAAGATAAGCTTTACCCCTCAGTCAGATCATCATCCTGATCCCCTGGGCATTTGTCAATTATCGTCTGGCGTATTGGCCTAATGTTGACCCTAGGTATACCTACGTTAACCTCTGATGCAACTGTCGTTTGGTCCCCTTACTATGCAGGCGCACATTGTACGTGAGAAGTTGTCTGCTGAAATTTCTGTAAGACCACAGCAAGTCAATCAGATTCAGGTTCACTATTTATCTATCGATTGTCCCTATATTCACAGGCCTGGTGGAATAACGCACACAATAGACCTTTCACTTAATAACGTGCTCACCTATACGGATCACAGGATATAAACATTATTATATATCATCTTATCATCATTATCTTAGAGTTCATCTCATAAGCCCCCATGTCGCCTCTGATGCTCAATATCAATGGTCGATAGGATGTCTCCCTTCCCGGCATGCCGGTCACGAACGTCATCCAGCACGGATTGGAGATCGGAGCTGTTATCATGAAGTATCCCTTGTACCGAGTTAATCAGCAAATCATTGACTGGTACCTTCGCTGAAAGGACCAAATCACGCATAACTTCAGTGTAATATGGGATCACCACGCCGTCGTATTCCACTTCCCGTGTGACAGCATCGAGGCTAAGATATCCGTCTCGTAAAGAGCTTCCTTGCGCCTGTAGAAGGGGCAGAAGATTCTCCATAATTGTGTGCATATCTACCACTCCCTCTAGTGGCGTCGAGTGGTTTCCGGGTCGCAACGTCAGGTTTTTAATAGTTGCGTTTCCTACGATGAGATCCTTGCTTTTTAAGTCCATGGTTATTGTTCCCTACTATTTCGTTAGCCACTGTTTCGTAGTCTCAAGGGGTGACTACATACAATCTCTATGGTCATGACCGAGGGATTAGGCAATGTCGCATGTGCAACCAGATTCACCCCGTCATCTCGCGGCGGGAAAAGCATTTTGGGATCGTCTATCGAAAATCCAGCGAACGAATTGAGAGCTACAATCTTAGCCCATGCCCTCAACCTCTTTCCCATTTCTCTCGTTCTGACTCCTGGGGCCCACACTTACTATTTTGAGGGAGGTCCTTTTTCATGGTGATGTGACTCTTCAGCTTTCCCAAGTATATGTTGGTCGTTCCAAACGCAGATAACGGAGCATGTGGCTCGAAGACCACACTGCGGACGTAATGCTTCCATGGGTCAGGATTTATCGGACTTGGCTGGTTCTGAACCCCAATACTCGTGTTCCCATGGATGACAATAGCATCGTTGTAGACCTTCAAATATGTGCTATTCCCCGGCTGATCATTGTTGAATAGGTGGAGAACGTTTGGGTCAAGACGTACAGGGACGTCGACGGTAAGCTTCAGTGCAGTTTGGATGCTGAGCAAAACAGATTCTGGCCGGGGTTGCATAATCTTAGCTTCCACTAAGACGAGAGAGGCGTTGTCAATCACTCGCTGGGAGATTGCCTGGATGATGACGGTGAAACTGAACCTATTAGCTATGATTTGATGGGTGAATACGTGGCTGTGAAACTCACAACAGTGGTAGAAAGATTGCCAGGAAGATAATGGCACCGATCAGGTAACAGCACCAAAACCGAGTCCAGTGCCGACGCAGCCTTCCTCTCCCCTTCACCGTGCTGCCACCTGCCAGCTCCACATGTGCGACTTGGGATCCGTCTACATGCTGCTGGGCTAGAGGTCCTCGATTCGCTCCCAGGGCGTATTGTCCCGCCTTAGTGGTGAAATATGACGGTTTATCAGCCATAGCCTTGCTTTATGATAATGTGGTCTATCCCAGGCATCAGAGAACATGGTCACCGGCCCATATTTGTATAGGCGAGTCTACTTGAATTCTTCTAGGATCCACATAACTAGCTTGACTGCGAAATTTACTAAATGAGCCATGCATGTGATATTAGTCCATCTTCATAAACTCGAAGTTAACAATCTCATTGCGTGGGATGATAAATAATCAAAAGTAAACCGAGAGAGCTCCACACAAGTCAGAGCAACAACACTAGAAATCGTTAATGCGAAGCTGATCCAGAGCGGGTTATTTGATGCTCCGTGGTGATCGGCATGCGCTGCCCAAAAACGGTAGGCCTTGCGAGTCGGCTCCCGAGATTGGGATCCACTTGAGAAGTTCAATATCATGGTTACCACCTTCCTGAAAAACTGTGTGTATGGTTCAATTGGTCTCAGGTTACATGTACCAAGTGAATCGTGAGCTCACGCGATTATTACATTGTATGGGTTGACTGTTCTGACTATCACTCGGATTACTATGCCATTTCCTGTGCTGAAATTGACGTACGCTCTCGGAAAAAGAACCACCAAGACCGGGGCGAAGTTCGCAAGCTTGGGGAGGTTGGCATCGCAATGAAGTATCCTAGCATTCTAGCTTCTCCCGGTATGGTACAACATAAGACAGTCGCCAGTCGAGATGAGGGGTGAGCAGACTACTCAAATTTATGGGAAATCCTAGCAGTGCAAATGTAATATGTTCTCCCAGTACTAAGAGAACTGAAGATGACAGGTATGACGGTAGGGTACGTAACGTATCTTGTCTCCCCAATCCAAAGCGCTGATGCAGAGGGAAAGATGGAAAAGACCCAGTCACAGCAGACAATTCCCACAGCTTCCGACTACTAACCTGCCAAAATGCTTGGTACTAGAGATCGCGAGAGCCATGTGTGGGGGATTCCACAGAACTGATACCCTTGGCATAGCGAGGTCTGGATGTGAAAGAAGACAAGCGGGGTTAAAGACGTGACTACTAACCCGAATTTCCCGATAATGACCAGTCAAACGAAATTGATTGACGATAGAATTGATCGGAGAATACAAACCAGCGCACCCAGGGCTCTTGGCGCGACCCATCTCAACCTCCGGCTTCAGCGATGCGCTGAGGGCTTGGGCAATATTCCGTGCATCATCCGTATTTCGTAGCTCCGATGCAACCTCTTCCTTCCACATTCGACTATTCTTGACGGTTTGAGTAATTTGCATGGAGGAACGGATTTTCCTCCAGTCAAGTTACAATTCCCAGATTTCGTAGAAAACCCGAAAGCTCGGGTCAAGGACAAGGGCTTTGATATATACGTCTAGCACCAGAGATCAAAGCTTCCTGAAGCCCCTGGAAAGTTTCTAATCTAACGAATAGTGTACGGAAGAACCCGTTTAAACTCGACCTAATCCAAACCTAATATATTATAGTAAGGCTTTAGGTCTAGTTCGGCAGGATAAAATATAACCTATGATCTATAATCTAGTAGGATGTTTGGGTGTAAATAAGGATCATAATTTCACTTTTTATAACTGGCTTGATTATATTCGGCTACTCCAGCAATGACGAGGCCTAGGAGTGCGTAGATATACTGTCTGCATCAGAGAAGCTTATCGTCACCATATTTCTCTCTATACAGGGCAATGGCCCTGATAGGAAAGCAGTAAATATAGTTGTAATAAAAGAGCTGACTACAAAAGACATCGTCAGGATCTCACCTCATTCTTCGGTAGGGTCACGACTTACCACGTGAAGATGCCTGCCCCTACACCTGCTTCCTGTTCCCATTCGCCATTTGGCTTTTGCCGGCTCATTATAAGCTGAATACCTCGTCGGATTGGCTCTGGGTCGGGATAGTCAGCATATATTAGTGCGATACAGCACCATGCTGTCTGAACTACATGGGAAGATTCTGCTTGAATATAGGTTTTCTGGAGAATGGACTGTGCGTTGTTTAGCTTGACGGTATAAAATTTGCTAATAGTTGAATGACATACCTCGATGGTTTCCCCCCATCCACCGTCCTCTTTTTGCTTGTCAAGGATAAAGTCGCACCCCCGTTTGACAACAGCATGGTTTTCATATGTTTCATTGACACAGTGAAGAGCCTCCATGGCGAAGAAGGCACCGTAGGTGTAAGCGATTCCCCAGGATGCAAGCCACCCCCCATCGAAATGTTGATTTTGATGGATAAAGTCAACACCACGGTCAATAGCGTGGACCACCTCCTCTGCGCGGTAAGTGCCATCACGCTTTCGGAACAGACTCAGTGCTGTGATGCAAGAAGAAGTACATTCTGTGTAATCGTGCTCCGTCATTACGTTGGCAAAAAGCTCGGTCCCATTCAGACATTCCAGGAACGGGCCACTGAGAATGGGCTCGAAGGCGCTATATCCTCCACTCGCGTTTTGTATCATGAGCAAATTATCGATTCCTAGCCGTATATTCTGCTCGGTGCTAAGTCGAGGAATGTTTGTCTGACTTTCGAGAAGCAGAATTGCTTTCAATGCCTCCCCAGTACAGTCTGAACAGGTTGACCCACTATATCTCGTGGTGAACGGCCACCCACCTAAGCGACTGGGGCGATGGCACGGAGGTGAGTCAGGCCAGTCCTCGAGTAGCTGCTGCTCAAGCAGGAATTTGTAGGCATCTTCGGTGCAACTTCTCAGGTCCGGATGTTCTGAAAGCCCTGACATTACAAAGGTTTGAAGGGCGAGAGATGTCTCCCATGCGTGTGCACCATGAATGCTCTGGACTTGCATCCCTTGTGGACTGAACCAAAGATATTCAAGACTTCTATCTTGATTTTGTTTCAGCTTCTTAGAGTTGGGTCCTTCCTCACAATAGAAAACAATCATATTCAAGAAACAGTCTACGCTAATCAATCCAGTACCGTTAAAAGTGTTATCCGATGCCTTGATAATTGCCAAAGCTCTTTGCTCGGCATTTTCAGCCAGAGCTCTGGGGCGCAACCATGGATTCCACACCTTGGATAATGCCCAGTTAACTGTGCGCAGAACGCGGCTCTGCGGCTGATGACGTTCGCACTCGAGGACGGTTCCCTGGAGTGAAGCAAAATTGAGAGAAGAATATTGCTCAGTGAATAGTTCTGTTTTAATTTCATCGATAAGAGGGTTTGATGGAATGGTGAACCTTCTGCTGGAAAGGTAGCACATTGGTAAGTACACCTGGCGTACGATGTTGAACCATCTCCATGGGCTAATCGGTGTCCACTCAGGGAGGAGCCTGTGTATGGTGAGAAATATTGTTAATAGAGACTCGGGCATTTTGGAAGAAACCAGGGGGGAACGGAGGAGAGAACGAGTCATACCAGACTTCGACGGGATAGGGATCGGTTCCTTCCCACTCATACAAGCCAAGAAGAGAGAACCAGAACTTTGCCCAGCTAGGTAGGTACGCTGCACCGCCCATTTTCAAGAAGCATGTTCTTGCTTTGGCGAGACGCTCCTCATCAGAGGGTATACCGATCAGACGCAGAGCAACATAAATCAACATGGTGCCCATGAGGGTTGTCTTCCCTCCTATGTACGTCGGAAACCCGCCGTCTGTTGGGTCCTGAATGCTGAAAAGATAATTGACTAACTCAATGGCATAAGCTTCGTCAATCTCAGCACCAGTGATGTACCAAGACATGATAAGCATCGGGGTCACAAAGACAATGCATTTCAAGTCATCGGCCCAGCAGCCACGTCCAGCTACTTGGAGGCGGCTATGGAATCGAAGACCATTGGAGATCGATTGCGATGGGCTCTTTGCTGCCTCAAACTCAGGAACAGACTAATATTTAGTTAGCCATGTCCTCATTTCGAGAGGCTGGGAACAAGTAACAAAAGAGTGACAAACGGAAGAGAGAGAGTAGATAGGACACTAAGCACGAACCAGAGGGAGCCCAAGGAAGAACCGCGACACAACATTCTGCGGTCGAGAGTCTCGTTCACTTTGTGAACTCAGGTATTTCCACTTCAAGCGTCCAAGATCCTTTTCAACAACTAGACGCCACGCCTGGCGATCAGTGGTGGACGCCGAGAATGGGAGATTCACGTCCTCCCTATCTGCTTGGGCATTGAGGCGGTTTTTGATCTTGAGTGAATAGTTGTTGGGTGAGACGAGCTTGGGATTCATGTTGTGTATATTCTACCTCGGACGGGGGGAAGAAGGAGACCAATAAAACTTTTGTTAAGATCCCCTGAATGAGTGTCGGCGCACGCTCGATCTTATGGGAAGGAAGTTCAATACAATGTAGCATCTTAGGAGTGTCGTGTCGAGTAAGACTTGCAGTGTATATGTGAAAACGGAAACTGGAATTACTACATCCAAGCTTTTCCCTAAGAATTGTACATGTCCATGATCTAATGTTGACCTAATATTATGTCTTAGGATGGAATCGTTCGAGCGACAATACTCAGGAAAAGTGTGTACGGAAGACAATGGCCCGAGCGATGTTGCACTTCGTCGATTGGGTAGCCTTGTCCCTTGGATGCATACCACATACCGCTGTAGAGCTCATGGCTGGCTGATGACCTCTTAGGAATGGATGTATTCGGCCCAAGGAATCCTGCTGCTCTGTCCGATCAGCAAGAAATATCTGGGCACAAATGCCATTGAATTATTACGTTGTATGAAGATAGGATGTCGCTTGCAATAAGCGTTCGGGGGACGTTCATTTTCCCGCCAGAACGATATACGTCAGGGACTCATACACCTGCCAGATCAAAAGTCAAAAAAATAAAAGTAAAAATAAAAACAAAATAAAAAAGTTTATGAAATCTAGACCACTGTATCAAATAAACTTTTAAGAGGTAGTGAGCCTGCCGCATGCGGAGAAGGTTTGTGCTCATCCACAAAATTCGCGATGAAACTGCACGGTGCCGGCAGATGGTGAGAAAACATTTGATTACACACAGGATACAAATAGAAGTGTAGAATTTTTAAATACTTGGGAGTAAGACACCGTAGAAGGCTCTATTATTTGGTAAGGGGCAATCAATGCAATCATTATTATGAGCTTCATATAGATCCCCGGTGATGTGCCGTCGCTATATTGTTTTGCTTCGGACATAAATCCTTATCTACAGAAAGCCAACTCATGGGTAATCTAGACTACCAGAATCCATAATGATTCACCCTTTCATACCCAAAGTTACATCCAATCTATTCCTTGTAATCCATAGATCTATGGTTCCGGTAAGAATCTGGTTGGGGATAACCACGGTTGACGCGCGTGAGAGGCATGTCGGCGACGTGATGGTTTGCTTGTCAGGTTTCGACTTACGTTATTTAAGTCTATGGAGGCAACCAGTCAGTAGCAATTAGACCCTTTGCTATCACTGCTACAATCATTCGGACCGTGGATAGGATTACAGAATAGAGCTGAACTGTGCATATTCCTCGATCCTACAAACTCATATCCTCTCCGAGTCCGGAGGATTTCTACAGTATGATATTGAACAGTATCGATGTCTCCAAGAACGCCATATCCTGGGCGGTGGCATGCGCGGCAGCTGTAGGTTTACCCTATACACACTGTGTGGTTCTCTCTCATCAAAACAGGTCACTGTTTACCTTGTGAGCAACGCTGTCTATAATATCTTTTTCCATCCGCTCGCCAGATATCCCGGTCCGGTATCCCACGCCGTCTCACGCGTCCCGTACTTCATCCGCGTATTCAAGGGCACTCTTCCCTTTGACATGCTCGACCTCCACAAACGCTACGGTGACATTGTTCGCATCGCCCCGGACGAGCTAGCCTTCTCCCATCCGGACGCGTGGAAGGACATTTTGGGCCACAGCAAGGGAGGCTTGTATCTCGAAAAGGCGAGTTGGTTCTACCGACCTCTGGAATATGACCCACCAAATATTTTTAATGAGAGTCGCCACGAGCACAGTCGTCTGCGTCGGCAATTGGCTCATAGCTTCTCAGACAAGGGGATGAGAGACCAGGAGCCCATGATCCGGGGGTATATTGATCTGTTGCTGCAAAGGCTACGGGAAATTGGTGGCGGTGAAGACGTCGTTGATCTGTCCGCCTGGTTCAACTATACCACCTTTGATATCATCGGCGACCTATCCTTTGGTGAACCATTTGGCTGCTTGCAGGACTCCAGCTACCACGAGTGGATCGAAAGTATATTTCTGGCCCTCCCCTTTGCCACGGCTCTGCAGGCCCTCTCATTCATGCCCTTCCTTAAACAGGTCGTGCTAGCCGTGATACCCCGGGCGATGCGTGATCGGCGTGATCGTCTCACCGACCTCACACGGGCAATGATGCTTCGTCGGGTGGCAATTTCCGAGGAGCGACCTGACCTGATCGAAGGGCTTTTGAAGAAGAAGGAAGAGCTGGTACACCCTCCACGAGATGATTCGGGGTCATGACTAACTCATCCAGGGTTTGACCATCGACAAACTCACCTCCAATGCGGAAACTCTGGTTATCGCCGGTTCCGAGACGACGGCGACGTTGCTCTCCGGCGTGACTTATCTGCTTCTCACCAACCCGGAAGCCTACCAGACGCTCACAAAGGAAGTACGCTCGGCGTTCCACCGTGAGGAGGATATCACCCTCGGGTCCGTTGTTAAATTACCATTTATGCTGGCGTGTCTTGACGAGGCATTACGCATGTATCCCCCGGGTGCTATTGGCCCGCCTCGTGTCACTCCGAAGGGCGGAGCGGAGATCTTAGGAGCTTGGATTCCCGGAAGAGTATTTGCCAGACGGTCTTGCGCTCCGGTGATTTGCTAATATCTGCGATATAGACATATGTTTCAATTCACCATTGGGCTCTCTATCGGCGGGAAGAGTATTTCACAGACCCACATACTTTCCACCCGGAACGATTCCTCTGGGACACTCGGTTCTTGAATGATCGACGCAACGCCTTCCAACCATTCCATCTTGGCCCCCGAAGTTGTCTAGGTCGCAAGTACGTCGAGTCGCTTTCCCTCACGTGAAGGGCGATCACTGACCGGTTCTCTTTCAGTCTCGCATATAGCGAAATGCGCCTGATTTTAGCGCTCATGATCTTCCACTTTGACCTGCAGCTCTCAGAGGATTCCCAGGACTGGATTCGGCAGAAAAACATTTTAATGTGGCAAAGGGGTCCTTTGAACGTGCATTTAACCCCTATCCATAGAAATCATTCTTAGTTAGATCCGATCCCGGGTGCCTTTATCCCCACCATACGATTGTTAGAACCGCGACAGGCACTTGACGAGCCTGGATACGCAGCTGCTGGTGGACTTGAAAGCAACCAATATAGGGATAGCGAAGGAAATGGAATGACATCCCCTGAGCGAGAATCCACGGGCACCAACCTCGGGACACTAGCCCCGCTACAGGTCAATTCCCCGGTCCTAGAATAGTCCAGTGATCAGAAAAATACCTTGACGTGGTGAATAGCCAATCGGTCGGAGAATCTCGTCCACGTGCGACTCGCGATACACTCCAGGTAAAACTGACAATCGTAGAGGCAGTTCAAGGCACCTTCTCTGTGGTTCCAGAGACCTTCCCAAAGGGATGACCCCAAGTACAGGGAAATGAGTTGAGCATGTGACCGCGAGAAGGACGCATCCACGGGAGCCTGAGGCAGCCAGGCAGCCGGGGCAGGTCCAGGCCATGGTCGACGTCATTCATGCCCTCCGGAAGGTCCGTAACGAGTGGAGACCGAGTGGATGTCATTGGGGATTTGATTGCCCAGTCAGCATGCGCCGTCATGAGTCAAGGTGAATCACTTGGATTCGACCCCACAACCATGCCTTCCATTCAACTCATTCACTTCATTCTTTTCAAGTCCAGTCCAGTCAAGTCAATGCGATGCCCTTCTGGACCGAGTGATAAATACCCTGGATTTTCCACGTTTCAAGACACCATCGATCCTGCATAAAAAAGAATCCTTTAAATCCTTCACCATGTCCAACGCATCCACACCGATCGTCTTCTATGACATCGCCATGCGTCCCCCGCGGGAGAAGACCTGCTGCTCACCCAATCCCTGGAAATCCCGATTGGCACTCAACTTCAAAGGGCTCCCCTACTCGACCTCCTGGGTCCCGTTGCCCGAGATTGAAAACGTTCGCCGCAAACTCAACGTCCCGGCCTGTCGCAAATTTGCCGATGGCACCGACTTCTTTACCCTGCCGATCATCGAGGACCCCGCGACCGATGCGTCGGTCGGCGACTCCTTCGATATTGCCGTCTACCTCCAGAACACCTATCCGAACTCGGGTGCCGGCGATCTCTTCCCGCCGCAGACGCTCGACTACGACTTCACGCATCCGATGATCCTGATCCCGCTCTCGGAGTGTCGCGACAGTCCATTTCCCGACTACGCCAAGTTCAATATGAACGTCGACGCCGCCTTTACCGCACACGTCCAGCTGGCGCTGCAAGGCTTTCCGTTCGATCCCGCGACGGCCGAAGCCACGAAGGCGGAATTCGTCCGGCGCGCGGGCGTGACCTGCTGGGAGGATTTTGCGTTGGTGGGCGAGGCGCGAGAGAAGGTGATGGAGTCGTTCCGGGAGATGCTGGGTGGTCTGGCCAAGCTCTTCGTAAGGGACCCGAGTGGGCCCTTTCTCCTCGGCACGAGGGCGAGTTATGCAGACGTCATCGTCGGTGCGTGGCTCCGCATGATGCACACAACCCTACCGGAAAGCGAATGGAAGGAGGTGAGCAGTTGGCATGACGGACTTTTTGGGCGGTTGCATGATGCGTTGGAGGTCTATGCCGAGGTGAAATAGACATGAAAAGGATCCCTCATGGTTGAAAAATGGTTTTAAGATCAGCAAAAAGCAAAGGTTACGATATTCATGTCGGTTACGTTTCGAGGGGAGAGTCGGAGGGGAATACGATCGCGATCAGAGTGGGATGGAATAAAATACCAGCAACACGATGGCAACCCTGCGCGAAGGGGCCACCACGTCATAGTTAATATAACCACTATTCATATTTCAATTCTTCCAGAGAAGGGCAGACCTGAGCTATCCAATTTCTCGCCGACGTCTACTCTGTACTTCCGCTTGATACGAAGAATTCCCGCGATGGGTCTCCTGTGGGTCCACGTCGTAGCACGCCGTCTAGTAGGAACATGGAAATGATTATTCTTGTAGTGCTCTGTATCTTTTCAGGGACTATGAAGAGGCGGCATCAGCATAAGGCTATATGGATTTGGTGGAAAGGGGATGACAAGGGAAGGTGAAGAGGGCAGTTCGTGTTGGATTCTCGCTGATTTATATATATCCAGCGGTGCAGATGATTATTTTTCTACGCGGTCTACGGTTTGATGTGGATGACGATGAATACCCATAATCTATTGCTCCTCAATCGCGACCCTTGCTCAACGAATGATTGAGCTTAGGATATATCAGGCAGAGTTATTTTACTTCTCTTCTGTTTTGGTTGCTTACCAGATCCACCCGTAATGCACGGATTATTTTTATGTTATGTTATATTATGCACAAAAGCCACGTGATGCTTGCTTACATAACCACGGGGCCCTCGAAAGCGATATGCATAGAGTCAGATATTACCAGCCGAGATCTACTCACGTTCACTGCAGTAGCCCTCTTGTGGCTAGTTGTTCTCTGCCCGTCGTTGTCGAACACATGTGGGTTGAGGAGGACAGTTGCAACGGTGATATCTCCATAGAACTAACTAAGCCTTGAATGTTCCCCAAGCAGGCGCCGCAGCAAGATCCATCTGGCAGACGACGTCGCCAATCGGATACAGTTAGGTATTCCCTGGTTTTGGTCAATGCGTCGAGAGCTGCGTACCCACCTTACGAGTCGAGTACTCCGGACCACATCAAAGCCACACATGCGCATATTGTCATGGCCATACGGCAGAGCACATTGCATTGATTCCCCACAAGATATATGAAGTAGCCAATCCCTTATTATCCACCCGCTGAAGCCCCATACCCTTATAGGCGGATTAGGCCCCCAAGATCAGTTTGCTGGATTTATTCTAGCCTTGAGGGTCAGTTATTTTGCTGCCATATACGCAAGGCTTCAAGAGGCTAGGAAACAGTCGGGACTCCGGGAACGTCAGCGAAAAGTTCGGGAGAATCCTTTCTCGGATATAGTCCATCCTTTGAGCTGTCTAGAAAAGGTGTTTTCTTACTATTATTATGGTTATGAATTTGTAAGAAGCGTTTCCTGGTCAGGTTATCTCAATTAGCGGCTCTTTACCGCCCAACCAAGGCAATTATTATAGGAGATCATTTCTTTCTTTCTTTTTTTTTTTTTCTATTTTCCGGGTGGATATGACAAAAGTCGATATGGTCTGTGCCAGTAATTTGCACCTCGCACAAGATGCATTACGAAATACGGTGTAGGAGACAACCTGGATAAGAATTGATTCAATCTATCAAGAGCACGAGTGCTATCTCCACATCAAAGACAAAACAAGACTATACTTCGCCAAAGTCCAAAGTCAACGCGGATGGCTGCTCGATCAAGATCAATGGCAAGCTCACGACACTCTCCTCGGTGGGTGCGTCGTACTCATCCGCAATCACGATGATGATCAGGCCAGCCCGCACATCAAAGTTCGCGGGAATCACGGTTGTGTTGGTCTTCGGGTTAAACGGGACACTGACCCGATTCACTCCATGATAGAACACCGCCCAGTAATCCTTCTCCTCAAACCAAGGAATATGAGTCGCGGGGGTCAAACTGAACTCGAAAACCAGCGGAAGCTTGGCTCCGGGTGTCGCCGTCGTCCCGTTTTTCACATAGTTGGTCGTGGGCAGTTGCGGACGTGGGTTTGGATACACCGGGTTGACACTCGGACACGACCCATTGACCACGAAGGTGTTGGTCAACTCCAGAATGTGGTTCGGGTAGGGGTATATCGTATCGGAGGGGCCGGAGAAGGGGGTGACGTCGTAGATATCGATCAACGACCAGGCATTGTGGCGACTTTCGATCTGGCCGATGGCCATGAGCGCGGATTTGGAGTCGTCGGCTTCGGCCTGTCGCACCAGGCCCGTCAGAAATGCCATGCTGGAGACTTCGAGGTACACCTGGAGGGCGAGGTACACCTGGGCGCTACCGGCGAAGCCATAGTTGTAGGCGCACGGGCCCGGTTTCACTGATGCGTTGGAAATCTCATCCTGGAAGATGCGAATATGGCCTGCTTCGTTGTCGCGGATTTCCACGAGGCGTTCGTAGGTGGTATTCAGGAGACCGAGCTTGGTGAAGCTGTCTGACGTGAAGGCTTCTACCCCTTGCTGGTAGAAGGAGTAGATGGCCCATTCGGCAGCGAGGAGATTTTGAAAGAGGAGATCGTCTCCCTGCCGTGGGCCAGGGTTGGTTGGCAGAATGGCTCTCGTGTAGTTGCTGGCCAGGGGCGTCTGTCTTCCCTGGTAGGTGGTGAAGAGGCTGGATTCACCGGGGACAGCAGATGCTTTGTCCTTTGTTGGAAGGGACCAGGAGGGGAGGACAGTTAAAGCAAGAGGGAGGAGATGGAGATACATTGTGATAGTATCAGAGTCGAATGGATGGGTGAGAGTGAGTAGTGTTGATCCTGAACATGAAGAGACAGAGCAGAGGTGCCGTGAAGGGTTTATATAGGGCTTTACTCCCTATGGATGGGTAACTCGGTCGCATAGCCCCGGTAAAGATGAAAATGGCCAACAAACCCGGACGACTGAGATCTACCGATCCTAGTATTCAGGATAGCACGGCATGCAATGCCCACTTCGTTCTAAGTGCGGTTGACTCCGCCCTATATCGATGCATCGCAAGAATGCTTAGCTATGTGAGTATCAGACTGGATTGGCTGCATCGCCACTGATCTGCAAAAGCCATCTCGCGGAATCCACCTAAACAGGTTAGTGTTCTATGTCTTGAGATGCTTGTTTTTTCTATTTCCGAACCCACTTGGGGCCAACAAGCTTTTTGCAAGCTCAAGCTATCAATGGCATTGATAAGCCCTAAGTTAAATCTCTCAACCAAGCGACACGCCACGCAAGGTTAGGCTCTGCTAGGGTGGGGGCCAGAAGATATTAGAGGAAGATGAATGGCTCTAGTGACCCGTAACCCCGATATGATATGCCCACCTTCGGGTAAGCGAGCCTGACGTGTACGTGTCTCTTCGATAGACCGTGTTGTGTTGTCATTCCACTGTCAAATGGTGGTGGCCACTGATTTTGCTCATGCCTGCCGAGCAGAAAGCATGCTCTGGAACGCCTCAAACATATCCCCTCGTGCATGGGCGTCCAAACTCCCCCACAATCCATTTCACTCGGTGAACGAGAGCCTTACCTAACGATCCAGTTATAAACCCCTTCATCGTCATTCTCAACTGCCCCAGACTGCTCGTCGCAAACAACACAGCATCACCCCACTCGCGACGCAACAAGGAATGATACCGCACCCACTGATACGCCAGATCCGCTTTCCTACACCCCGCCGACTGGGCGATATCACTGCGCTCATCTAACGGGTCGAGGTAGGTGGGGTTGCCGCACGTGTGCACGTATATCTCACCCCGGGAAGTTGTATCGTCAAATCTACCCGTGGCGGCCATGATTTGATCGCGGGTTTTGGACAGAAACCCACCCGAGCGAGGTGAGTAGACGTAGATTGACATAGAGAGGTTACGGAGGAGGGGGAAGAGTACCCTCGCTAGTTTGTAGGAGACTGCCGAATAGTTCACCTGATACACGCTGGGGAGTATGTAGCCATGGGTTTGGCAAAATGGGTGTACACTATTTCGACTTGGGACGGAAGATAGTTTGATAGGCAGAATCATGTAAATTTGCCTTGGTTGTATAGCTCTTTCACGGATGAGAGAATTTCAGTAATTGGGATGATATCATCCGGGGCGTGAAGGTAGAGAATCCCCAATCTCTTCACCTGTGGTCGTTTCAATGATTTATTTACATCGCCCATCACTCGCTCTCGAAATAACGAGCCCGGGTCAAACCCACCGGTGAGCTTTGTATCGATAATAAAAGTTATGACTGGCCTGGGCTTGTCCAAGTAATTCTTCGCCACCATAATATATATGTGCAGTATCATCAGCATGATGCTTTCGGTACATTTATACTTGTTCACAATGCCCAAGGCATCATTGATGGATTGCGGGGTTTTGTATGTTTCGGTAGTGCCGATGTAGCCTTCACCAAAGACGAGATGGGGGTAAGGCATTGGTTCGAGCCGGGAATATCAATCAGAGGGTTTAGTAGTCGGTGGTTCGAGTGATGATTTTATTCTGAAAGTCTAGTCTGTATTCTCTTCCTGACCCCGCGCTTAGCGTGTGTGGAAGGTTCAGAAAGATCTACCGAGGGAGTCGGAAGGTAGACTGGATTAGAGACTACAATGGGAAGAGAGAAGGGATCAAGTCCTATTCGGTTTTGTACTGTACATTATGAGCCCGACCCATTTCGAATCCATGCGTATCAGCAATCTGCGCCATGGCCTGATCCAACCACGCAATATCAGACTCCAACTCCAGATTTCTCCGTGCCACGTTTAACGGAAAAATGAGCATCAGCGCCCCCACACTCCCCTGGAGACAGTCAAGATGGTAATCCACCGTCCGGAGGATCTCCATCGCAATGGCCTGTTTTGTCCCTTCCCTGGGGAGTAGAGGGTCATTGATGCTTTCCTTCGATGTGGGGTCGGGATGGCAATGAAGAAACTCGCACATCCTCAGAATTAACAACAGAATCGAGTTATAAAGACACAGTTCCTGTGCGCGGGAGAAATCATAAAACCAGAGGATAGTTTCGAATGGGCGGGGGGTCGATGTAGATGTAGACTCTTCCATATTGGCACCTGCAGAAACAATATAGGAAGCATCAGGGAATATATGCTGCCATTTCCAGCGCCAGGTATACAGCTCGTCTAGCATTGCTAGAGCCTTCTGACACAGTCCAGGTCTCGCCGTTTCATCCCCTCCTATCAGGAAGGAATCAACAGCCTCCAACAGGCCGGGAGCGTCGCACATGATATCATGCAGACAATCCGTCAACGTCTTGGATTCTGGCTTGTCCGCCCACGGAATCGTCTTCCATTGTGGCTCTTCCAGAAAACATCGCTTGCGATTCGCAATATACCCTATAGCCTACCTCCTAGTCAGCCAGCCAATCCACGTCTACTATATCGGAGGATAACATACAATGTTTTGCCTCAAGGTTGGGTACAACGCAAACCCCACCCCCTGCATATGTCTCTCGGGCCCGCGGAAGGCAGTCAACTGTGCCAGGCCCGTGTGATGCTGAAACCAGGCATTTGGGACGGTGAATGTAATAGACTCATACATGGCTAGATAGATAATCACCACGAGCAAATCTTCTCTGAGCACGTATTCTGGATGGTAGAGCTGGAGTTGCAACTCCTTCAATGCGTCGGAATACCATTTCGATCCCCTGTGGAGGAGATCAGGGTGGTGCTGCACTTGGCCAAAGTAAGTTGTCGAGAGTGCCCGGAGGGAGGTTTTTGACAGGGCGAGTGATCTGTCGGTCGCTGTGTTTCTGTCCGGTTGATTCAGATGGAACGAGATGGTGGATGCCAGATGCACGGCCTCGGCATCGCGTTGGTTGAATATCTTGTGGACGAGATGCGTGGTGAAGATGTTGTCATCGTCCCTGATGGGAGTGACAGCCCGTAGAGGAATGTTGGTTTCCGCACGGGTTGATGTCGATCTGACCAGGGATGTCGGAACCCTGGACCAATCCTGAGGAAATCGCTTAGTCTCGTCGTGAAACTCAACAAATTCGACGTAGCCATCGCAATGGTACCCTCCTTTGGTGCACCGACCGCAGTACGGCTTCGCCTCGTCTTCAATGTTGAATCAGTGTTGGATCCGGTAGCACAAATAGAGCACTGAGACCAACCGCATTTGACCCGTCGTTGGCGACAGGTTTTGCAACCTTTGCTTCTTCCTGGGACCCCGACCATGACTTGCTTTGCTGTCTGGTACCGTGGTGGAGTTGGTGTCTGTGCAGGGAGATTTAGTGTGAAGAAAATCCCGAGGTGGATGCTGATATCGCTTAGTTAGAAGGTCCTTGAACCCTCTCCAAATTCCATCCTACAGGAAGTTGCATACTGTATACAACTAACTATAAGGACCAGATGCTGTGGAAAAACTGATGTAATTCTTCCATAGTAGAGTAGACCAGAGTCTCCTTCATCGTCACCGAGTTCTTTATTTTCCCATTTGTAAAGGTTTTGAAATGATATAGGTACTAAATTGAACCCCTGGAGAACTCCCCCAAACCTGCTCGGTTAACAACTCTACTGACGCCTTCCTATGGACTGGTTGCCGTGTCGCATATTTCCGGTACATATTGGCCGTGCGTGCGCGGGCCCTCTTACCATACACCATCAATAAAATCGGCAAAGTCACAGTGCGGAGAGCCAGCATGCCGATGACAATAAAGGTATTTTGGATGCCCATGCCAGTGATCCAAGGGGTGAAGGCAAAGCGAACTACCATTGCAAATCCATTACGAATGAACACAATGGCAATCAACGCATCACCAAGTATCTAGACACGGAATGACCTTTACGGTCCCCTGCACGCATACTCTTCGTGGTGAACTTACATCGGGATAGCAGTCAGTAAGATACGTCAGGGCCACATCCGCAGTGATGATAAATCCGAATCCATATATTCCTTGACCCACGGCGCGCACCGCCCAATGCAAACCCTATACGTGTTGTTGGCCTTCTACTGGAATACAGCGTGTGCGGAGAGGCAGAAGTCTTACTCTTCCCAGCCCAATCCCATAAAGTAGTAAGCCGGCGCAGTTCAAGAGAGCCTCTGGGATGCTCATCCCGAGACGCATCTCCGGCTCGAAGATTCCCCCATTCTTCTTCGCTGCTCGAACAACGAACCAGTCGTTGAGGGCCGGAATGGTGAGAGTCGCGATGAATGTCCCTAGAAATCCACCTAGGTGGAAAAGGCCAATTGCGGACGGGCTAAACCTGTAGGGTTCGTCCAAGAGGAAGTAAGAGCCGGATGAAGCATTCGCAGAAAACCATGCCAGAATGGTGCCGTATGTGACGGCGGTGTACGCTACAGCAGGGAATGAAAATAGAATAAGCAGCGGCTGATAAAAGTGCTGGGCTACTGGCATGTCCGTCTTGGTGACGAACGCCAGGCGTTGCCGAATTGACTTGCGGCAGCGACGGGCATCGACCGTTGAAGGCATAGCCACTCGCAGGGTAGACGGTTCCGCAATCTTCTCGTCATCGTCATTTGTCATTGTAGTTTGTTGGCCAATATCAGAGGGCCCAGAATGGCCAACAACGAGCGGAATGTATTTCGACTCCTCGAAGAAGAACAGGACCAAGATGAGGTTGACGCCCAGGAAGATGGCGATCATCCACCACATCCAGCGCCAGCCCATCGAGACGACAATATACCCGGCTGCGATCGGGTCACCTGTGGATCCCAAGCTCCGCATGAACAGAAAGATGCCGTTCATACGCGCATGCTGATGGACAAAGAAAAGGTCCACAATAGTGATCACGACCACAGCCTCGCTGATAGAGCCAGCGAGTCCCGCTAGTAAACTGACGCCGATGAGTTCCCCTGCCTTGTGGAGATTTGCCCACCAGATCGCACAAGCCAACTGCACAATGGCGCTGAGCAAGTAAATAGGACGACGACCAAACCTGTGAACACAGGGGATAAAAAAGAGGCATCCGATCGCCAGTCCGGCAAAATTCGACCCACTCGCCTGGTTGAAGGTCGCATAGGTCAAACCCAGCTCTGACATGTAGCCTCGATAGGCCAAGCTATTGAAATCCACCAGCACAAAGGTGAAGAAGACATACGAACAGGTCAGGCTAAAGTTGACGGCTTTCCTTAAAGGCGACCGGTTCTACACCTCTCGTTAGCTGCCGAAGCACGGGGGGAAGCGGGTTACCATACCAAAGGGTCATCGGGATCATCGGAGGGGGTGGGACTTAGCTTAAATTCTGACTCGAGTCCTTGTCCTGTAGTAGTAAGTGTGAGACTCTACCTACACCTGGTCGTGCCTGCTACCCAGGGCAACCAACATGCGTTCTTCAAGCTTGGTTGTCCCCGGAGGAAATACATCTTCGGAGTCCGGACTCGACATTGTGAGCAAAAAAAGAAGCCAACACCTGTATCCATGCTGGACCTAGGATGCGGGCATACTGGAAGCTTTATGCGTGCTGCAACGCTATCGATTGTCCGGAGAGTCTAACCTCCTCTCCTGTCTGGTAGAGCGGGGAGGGTGAGGTTTAAGGGAGGCATACGAGTCGGTACGAATGGCTAGGCGATCGGGAACCAATAGCGGACCGGAACCAGCCGGTGAATTGGTAAGTTACACGCGTTTCGGGCAGTCCATACATATCGATACACCTTTGATACATCGTGATCAAATCATGATAGTGAGCTTATCCCGGCAATCACAGAGGGATACTGAGGTTATCATCCGTATCGAATAGGTGGAACAGATATCGCGTGGCTCCCTCGTCTCGGCTGGTCCAGACGCGACTGAGGAATAGCCGGAGATTCGCCACGAAGGGGTAGAAGCTTGATCCATTGATGCTCCGCAGCAACGAAAGGATATTTTCCCGGCCAACAGCGTCCTGGACCTCAGCTCCGGCCACAAGCAGGACCAATGATATATTGGGGGGATGTTGTTTGGTCCTCGCTAGACAATGCTGCATCTCCCTAATAATTGTCCGGGAAAGAAGCTCGGCGTCAGCATCTCGCTCTCCAAACGGGAATCGCAGCCGGTGCAAGATGAGAAGGGTTGCATTGCGATGGAGATTAGCCTGTGTAAGAAGGAGGAGCATCTCCTCCTCTGAGAAGCGCTCAATAGTTGCAACTGACACACTAGGGGCCCAGGCGATAATCTCCTCACGAAGATTATCGAAGTTATCGGGAGAGGCAGGGCGTTGAGAGCCTCTCCTGATGGCTGCCCCCAGCAGACAAACACGATAGAGCAGGGGTAGGAGTGATCCACACAGGCCTGCATGGTGGTTTACAAGGTGCGGATCACGCACGCGATACTGGATGACAGGAATCCTCGCTCGGAAAAGAGATTCGGTGATGTCGAGGAATACCAGACAGAGCAATTCCCTCATGTCGGACTCCTGTAACTGCTCTGAGTAGTAGAGCGGGCGGATCAATGATAGGGTGAATCGGCAAATGGTGGTCGCCGAAATGCCTGAGATGAGACGATGAAATGTCACCAGACTTAACCCCAAGGATAAAACGTAGCCCGCATGCTCAGGGTTGGTAATTTGGGCATTGCGCAATGCCTGTAGAGCCGATGCACAGCGGGACCAGTCACCGTCACTGCAGGCGGGCTGGTTGGTGGTTGAGCGCAGAAGGACGCGGCTGACGGCCACATAAGGATCGAGCAGTAGCATGGGAGCCTCCTTGATGCGGGTGCGAATGGTCTGGCTCATCTCACGACTTAACGACTCTCCGAATGAGAAAAACTTACAAATCTCGACCGCTGTATACTCGGAGACGCGCGACATTGAACCTTCCCAGCGTAGCAAGCTCAGAAGCTCTATTTTTGGCGCACTTGTCGTGGTCAGCTCGCCATTCTCACGTTCATTTGTTGCTTCAAAAGTGAAATCTAATGAGGTATCTGAAGTGGGAGAGATGCCTTCGCAGTCGTTCGCCGACGCTGATGCCGCGACCGGGGCAACCCGTGGCTTTCGCCCTGGTCGCTGGCGTCGCCGCGAGTAGGTGCATGTGTAGTGCAAACGATAGCAGCGATAGCATGTCTCCCCGAGCCCTGCAAGACAGCGGGATCTGACCGTGTGGCATCGATCGCAAGCGGATGGACGCATGGAGGGATTTTAAAATAGTCTCTCTGTTGGCGTCGGTAAATGCGGGGATTCAGATTCGGGATGGTGAAAGATCGTGGTCGAGGAAGTTGAAGAAATTCGGGGCTTGGCACCTCCACCACGAGTTCGCCATTACAATAGCGTTTATATTAGTTCTTTTCACTCAGCAAGATTAGGCACAGATCTTGGGATATCCGTGCCGTGAGTGATTACTGTACATTCTTCTTCGTTTTCTCGACCTTATGGCACGAAGACGCAACTTAGAACGAGAGAGGTGGGAATATATATTAGACCGGATTGGGGCATTGTCCTGCTAAGACCTGCTTTGATGGTATGCCAAAGAAGTTATTGTAATTCATGTGACTTGCCTAGGATTGTAGATTGAAGGCCAGAGCCATTCAGGATTACAAGGGTTGACCTGATTATTGTAAGGTAGATAATATCATTTAGCTATCCTCGCGTGTTTTTCTTGCAACCTCAAACAACTCCGTGGATACGCAGCGTAATGCAGGTCACCCATACTTCCAATTTACCCCTTCAGACACTGATCAATAATCTTGGACATCTGTAGACATTCCTCGTCGCGCATTGTGGTCGTGAAAACCTGGATCCCACATGGGGCCCCTTGGACCGATTGATAGTCATCTATAACATGTTAGTTCTCATATCACCGTCAACCAATCGCTGATATACTCACATTCTGGTGCAATTTGCTCATCGCCAACCGGGAAGGTATCTGTCGCATCCAACTCGTTGACCTGTCCAAATGGAATGACACATGCGGGATACTAATGATGTGTCAGCTGGCAAAACGCAAATAGAGTGAAGGTGATATACATCAAGACAGTTCAAGAAAATGGTATACGGTGCAGGACCAAAGGCGTCATGGGCGACCGCGGTGTTTTGTGCTGGTGGTGCAAGGCAAATATCCAGATCATGTTGTTTCCACGTCTTGCGATATTCCTCCTTGAGTTCGGCTCGACGAGTGTTTAGAGCGGCCAATTTGGCTAGACGGTCCATCGAACTCATATCCGGTAGGGATGGTTTATGAAACTGCTTCACCTTTGCAATCTGGGAGCCAATGTGTTGCAATGCGGGCACCACGGGCTCGCTGGCGGAGATGACATGGCCGAGGGCGCTCTGGTCCAGCCCGAAGATTCCTGACGCCACTTCATTAAGTTCCTTGATCCAGCACTCTTCGTTAGTGAGGTGAACGATCTCATGGCCCTGATGCTCCAGGCGTTGTATCGCTTCTGCCAGTATCCGTTTGATTGGAGGATGCAATGGAAAGATTGGATGCTCCGGAACAACACCGATTCTCAATTGAGGCTTCACCGTGACATCTCGCCATGGCACATCGATGACAGTAGAGTCATATAAACTGGGCTGGATATCGAACACGGAGCGAAAGAACACCTCAAGCCCGTCAAGGTCCAGGGACAAAGGCCCCGCACACGAGAGAATGAATCGCATTCCGCTAGTTGAGCAGGTACGAGTGCCTGCGTTGGGAACTCTTGACGCACTAGGTCGGAAGCCGTAAGTCCCGCAACAAAGAGCAGGGACGCGAATGGAGCCTAACAATACTATCTGTTAACCGAGGGAAGCGAGTGGTCAAATACGTTAGACTGACCGCCCACATCAGTGCCGACTCCTAGAGGTGATCCTCGCAGCGCAACTAAAGCGCCCTCGCCACCACTCGATCCTCCAGGAGTCAGAGTGGTATTCCAGGGATTCAGGGTACGACCGAAGACGTTGTTGTGCGAGTCAAGTGCCTACATGTGTTGAGTTTTGATCCGCCCATTGGGTGACGCGATCTTACCATCATCGTCTGGGGTACATTAGTCTTCACATAGATGACGGCCCCAGATTCAAGAGAATATCCACGAGCGGTGAATTCCCTATAGAAACCTCGTCCAGGAAACAGACCATGCCGATGGTAGCCTCGGTACCTTTATAGTGAAAACTATCCTTGATACTCACGGGCAGACCGTGAAGGGGACCCACCAATTTTCCTTGCGAGCGAAGTTGGTCGAGATACTGAGCTCGCTCATGGGCCTCCGCAAACATTGTCTCTGTAAGACAGGAAACCTAGGATGGTTAGCGGTTCGGACGTGGAATTGAGGAGATTGTCGGTATATACCAGTTGCTGTGCCATGGCAGCGCGCTTGCAGTATGCCAGAGTAACTTCCACCGAGCTTAACCTTCCGTTGGCCAATGCTGCTAACAAATCTGGAACCGTGTATTCTTCTGTGATCTGCAGCTCGTGCTGGGTCATGATGCCAGATTGACGGATGATATTATTCCGGATCAAGTTGTTTTTGTGGTCCGCTAGAGGAGCGTGTAGAGAAGCCATCAATTCATCTGGAATCCGCCATTCGGCTGGTATCTTGTTGGCACATCTCTGTCGTTTCTGCTCGACTCGGTGTTGCCAACTGGATTCTTCCCTGGAGCCCATGATCGCGGCGACGGTCCGGTTCAATGGGAGAAAGAGAGTGAATTTACGAACGTCTTCGCTTTTATCTGATGACCTGATCTGCCACTGGGTGAGTGCAGCGCTTGAACCATAAGAAATATGAACGATTGACAGGGGAATTGAAGAACGTGGGATTACCCATGTTCTCTAATACTCTCATCGTGTACGACAGCCGAGGCTCCGGAGAAAAAGAATCCACCGGCTCGGTCAAGGTTCTCGTTGGCTCAATCTCGGCACTGTGGAGACACCAAGGAAACATGCATATCGTACTTCCAGCCTGAGCAAACAGACGAGGAGGAGTGCAGGTAACAGAAAAATGCCAAGAAAAATAGCAAAAGTATACAACAGGAGGGACAAAGTCAAATTATATGGCATTACATGAGCATTCTTCACTGGCCGCACTCTCCCTCTCGTAGGTGGATGCGCCATCGACCTGCGGTTAGCTCCCGCTCGTTCCAGTATCATAATTGTGCAGTGGAGCGAAGCATAGCAAGCAATATACGACTCGGAGACTGCTCAATCGGATCTGGGTTCTGATTGGTCCAACAACTCTGGGTTTTGATTGCGCGAGAATTCACTCCTGACGTCAATTGCTGCGTTCTCTTATATCTATAATCATTTAAAGCCAATTTAGGTAATCTGGGCAGTCTCCAGGAACCTAACCAATTTCTAGATTATGTGAAATGTCTGTGTGGCCTTGATTTCTAGAGCTTTGAATTGTCTGCGTGGTCACGATTTCCAGATTATCTAAATACACTGTATTACCTGCACAGCCTATTTAAGTAGGGTAGGTAATGTAAATAGTATGGTATCACCTTTTAAATAATCTTAGTAATTTAGGTGGTGTAATAAAAGGTGATAAATTTGATTCTTTCCCTGCGCAAGTATTCTGCCAGTTCGTCGACATGGCAGCCCCTACTAGTAGTGAGATCAGCCGCAACGCAATCCGTCGCCGTCCTGAAGCCGTCGGCTCTGTGATCTCGCATGATGCGTACCGTTAATGTATGTAAAATAGGATCCTGCATATCGTTCGCGAGGGATCGGGGTAACTGAAATTACTACCATGGAAAATAAAAGGAATAGTTTTTATTGGCGTCACCTCGCGTGATATCTACACCGACGTTACTGAAGGCTTCTTCCTCTGTTACAACTGCACTGCGAGAGTTAGTTTCTTGTCTCTGTAGCTATCTCATCATCTCTCACGCAGTTAAGGCTGGACTTGTCCCTCCTGTCTTCCCTCTGTACATAGAAACTGTCGTAATACAGACACATTGCCTCCGTACATGTGAGCGTGGACGGGCCGTATCTGACGCCACAGTCTATGATTGCAGCGGCAGGTGTGACCTGTTACGGCCAAACTAAACATAGTCCTGATTTCTCTTGGCTGCGCGAGGTCACCGATAAATTGTCTTCTGTTATGGGAAACTAAACTGTAGAAAGAGTAACAGTAACATCACCAGGGCCAGCCTGGGTGAGTCCCCGCTGCCCTGGGATGCACAATGTACTATTGAATACCTGTGAAGATCTCATATACATACATAAGACGATCTTAATCCATTCATCTATTCAAATCTGGCCTGCAAAACACGGACCTTCCTAAGATAAGGATCCTTATCTTCGTAAGTTCCCCGTCAACTACCTTGGCTTTCCCATATCTGCCATGTCAAAGGCTCGGCGAGAATGCAAAGCTCTTGTGTTATCGAACAAAATACTATCACCGAGATCTATTTTGCATTCGTACAAATACTCTGGCTGTTGTAGGAGGGTGTTGAATTTGCAAGCAGCCTGGTGCCATTCGTCGGCTCTGCTGTTCAATGTTGAAAGGGTCGACTGCACAGAACTATTCTGGTCAGTTGGTAGTAGGTTATCGTTATTCAAGAACGGAGCAAGGAATGGCGGGCTCCAATTGACCTTTTGCAAGGGGTTGACCAACAGGGTCGTCTCCCATTATCACCTGGGCCACTTGCACGATGGGGTTCCATCGCCTTCACAAAGTCCCGAAAGCGAGTGTAGTTAACATTACCAATCCGAAGGGGACATAGGCCAATAACAGGTTTCGTTGTATGATATACGTTCGACTTCCAGAATGGGTATAATGACAGTTCACCGGAACAGACGCAAGGGCATCAAATACATCCTTCTCTGCACGATATAGATCCACCGCCGCTGTATAAGCATCGGCAAACACACTAGCACCCCCAGAGGATACAGACTGGATACAGTGCAAAACCTGGATATGTGGTGGCCGATGGAAATAGAGCAAGCCTGCATAGGAGCTCAAAGCATACGACGTATAGGGGCATTAATCACTTCCGGGACAATGCGCACTTGGCAATCTATGTCAGCTGAGTTCGAAGTAGCGGCATTGAGAATGTACCATCCCATGTATAACCATAAAATGTATCTTTCACTGGCCTAATGCGGGTTGCAATTGTTGCTAGAGACTCCTTGATACCAGACACATTGGTAACAAAAGTCAACCCATCAGTACGGAACTGTTTGACGAGTTGATACAGGACATTTTCGTCTTCCGTATAGCGCTCATATAGGTAGTCCTGTAGATACAAGGCTTTTCTGCTCTACAAAACTTGCGAGGTAGATTTATCTTTCTGGGAACCAGGAGTATAGCCCGATTCTTTTATATCTTGGAGAGCTGTAATGCTCAGTGTAGTGGTGTGCGCCTGTCCATATCTAGCTAAATCATTCCGCTAGGTAGTTTTCACGGTATCAGATAGACTGTCGACTTCAACCTTTCGAGCTTGAATATCAGCAGGTATATCGGCCACAGAAAAAAGCCTTTGCCTGGTTGATTCGTGTACGTATGCTGGACATGAACAGACGTCGCGAAAGAACACAGCTGAAAGGTCAACCACATCTCCATTTAAGGGGATGGATACTTTAGACGGAACCTCAGTGATCAAGACCACCTGCGCGGTAGATGGATTGCGAGGTGGATCTCGCTAACGCCTGTGGATGAAAAGGGCTGGGAGAAGCGACGGTGCTTTGTAGAAGGTCCAAACTCCCTCGTTGAAGACTTTGACTCTAGAGGTCAGTCTGATAATCTGGTACTATACCAAGCAAGTACAGGGTGCTGGATACGCACATTGGAAAAGAATGCATGGAAATTTTTGGCACTTCTGCTCTGTATAGCTGATTTTTGCTGACAGACAGAAACCGCTTGGCTACATAACCTATATCCGTATCTAAACTAAGCGATATTTGCAACTCCGCCATTCCGTACAGAGTACAGAGTACATATTGTCGGAAATAACATTTGTGAAGTGAAAGATCTCGACGAAGCCGAGATTACACAATAGCCAGAGAGATCTTTGAGGGACGTATTAATCGTCCATGTATGGTATTATTTCGCGAGTATCAAAAACCTATCCTTGAGCGTTTCCGAAACCCAAAAATATGCAGCTTAACTTGATTTGCAAAACTATACGAGAACCATGTGCATATCTCGACATTTACCAAGTGGACCATCAAGTTATGGCCATTGCGTAAATGTCTCTCGGGAATATTACAGTGGATACAAGTGAGTATCCTCCATACATACTCCAGGAACCTTGTTTATCGAAGAATACGAGCCCGCGCAGGTCGGTAGTGGAGTTTGGTAGACCCACTCGTATTAACTTGCCTAATCGGTTTCTTGCCACAGGGCTTGAACGTTGATACCACTAGGCCATGGTTGGAAAAGGTATACGCTATAGTTCAGAGGAGCTTCTATTGGCTCTCGAGTGCCCTTGAAAGTGGTCCCAAAATTGAAACGGAGTCATTCGTATCGAATATTCAAAAAGGGCCTAGAGCTTAATCAAGCAAGATATGAGCCTTGCTGAAAAGGCCTGCTCGAAGCGAATGCTATTCGGGGTGTTTGAGTATAATACTTGTGTTGTCCAATCTTTAAGACACTTTGAATATTCAGTAGTAGTATCTTCTTCACATCTCGCAAGATGATTGCAGTAGAGACGCAGATATCGAATACATCTCCAGACGCCGACCGGCGCCAAACGGGGAAGACGCCCTTGCAATTGATTTCCCAAGGTGCTTGTCTCCCTGGAATTCCAAGCCATCCAACGTTCACTGCTCATAGAAAATGGATCTTGGAGCAAATGGCACTTGCCTTCCGGGTTTTTGCACGAAAGGACTATACTGATGGGATGGCCGGTCACATTTCTGTACGCGATCCGGAGAACCCTCACACATTCTGGACGGTAAGAAGAACCACGATACTGTTTACCATCCACTAAAGCTGACAAGTCACCTAGAACCCACTAGCTGTGCATTTTGGAATATTGAAGGCGAGCGATATGATCCTGGTCAACTACGAGGGTATCCCAATTGGCGGTAATTTGACCCTTCCTATTTTTACCCTGCCCTAGCCTAATCCAATTTCGAAGGGAACATGAGCCGCCCGGCCAATGCCGCGGGCTTTTTAATTCACAGTGCTGTACATAAAGCTCGACCTGACGTTGATGCTGCTTGTCATACCCATAGCCCCCATGGGATGGCATGGAGTGCTTTCGGACGACCTTTGGAAATGTTGACGCAGGATGCCGCTTACCTCTACGGTGATGCACAGGCGGTTTACAAGGTATGAATTCTTATGGCGATCGTTGTTCACGATCTAACCCTCTTAGGACTTTGGAGGTGTTGTTCTTACGGAAGAAGAGGGCAATAAAATTGGAGAGGCTCTAGGTAAGATATTGAAGTTCCTTTTGAAACGACACTTGACTGATAGTTTTATCAAGGGAACAAAGGCAAGGGCATGATTCTACAGAACCATGGTCTGCTAACAGTAGGCTCCACTGTCTCCGAGGCATGCTTCTTGATGACCCTCATGGAGCGTGCCTGCCAGTGCCAGCTACTTGCTGAGGCTGCCGAAGCAAATGGCCTGAAAAAGGTGTATATTCCCGAAGAAAGCGCAAGATACACGTTCGAAAATTCCAGCGATGCTGAGACACTGTACTGGGAGGGCCAGCCAGACCTTCAGTTTGAAGAATATATGAGCAAAGGGGAGCATAGAAACTGATATAGTTAACTTTAAATATGATCATGACGATATGGTAGCATTGTCACAATTCGATTTTCAATATCTCAAGGAAAGAGCAGCCTTGTAAGAACTCGAACGGAAACTCACCATGTTTTTAGTATAGTTCACGTCGCAGTGACGAGACATCGAGATGTAAAGCGATTTTCTCACAGGTGTTTCTCACTCCTCACTGGTATCGATCTGGCCCTACCAGCGCAGTAGTCATATCAAATATATCAGTTAAATTAATCACGACATACTATCATATCCTTCAGCAGGATAACGCGCAATCTCTTCATGTACCAAGTAAAATTAACACGAACCCCACTGCAATCCTTTTCATCCGCTCCCTTTCTGCTTAAGGAGATAGAATAGCAAGAGTACCGGAAAGCTTCAAGTTGTTCTGTGGATACTGGGCCCACTAGGTATTTGAACGGTTACCGTATCGGCACGTTCAAGTTCTGATAATACGGTCCCACCTCTGGTACCCTATTTCCGGGGCAGTCTTATCTATTCATATCGAACTGCTGCTTTAGGCTTAGATCTCCAACGGATGCCTACCATACACAAGCCGATGCGCAGACCATTTAGCTTCTTATGAATTCAAAGCGACATAGAACAAGTAGGGAAATGGTCTCAAAGGCTAAGAATACTCATAAATATATTCTGCCATCTCCTTCACTGCAGTCCCATGCTTCCACATCAAGACCGGCTTCAAGTTCCCACTGCGCCTTTGGCCCCACTGCGCCCTTGTGCTATTTCCCAAAGCGCCCTTTATCTCCCACTGCGCCTTTGAATCACTTAAAGTATGCGGGAATTACAAGACATAGAGCAAAAAAGGTCTCCCCAACCACAGTACGGAGGCCATAGCCCCCCTGCGGAAACCAGGAACGACGATGCAGATATCAATGGAATCATTGAAGGACACCCCCAGCTCGATCGCAATTTCTCGGTGCTTTCCTTAATAGGAATTGCATTTTGTATGTCGAACTCATGGTTCGGTATTTCGGCGTCGATGATTACCGGGATTGCCTCTGGCGGCACGGTTCTAATCATCTACGGCTCGATATGGATCACATTAGTCTCGATGGCTGTCGGGGCATCCCTTTCGGAGCTGGCGAGCGCGATGCCCAATGCAGGAGGCCAGTATATCTGGGTACACGAGCTGGGCCCTCGTCGCTGCGCCAAGTTCTTGTCATTTCTCACAGGATGGCTGGGCTATGCTGGAGCCATCTTTGCATCAGCAAGTGTCGTACTGAGCTTGTCCCAGGCAATACTTGGCATGTGGTAACTAAGTCATCCATATTTGTAAGATCTTCAGTTCCTGTAACTGATTCGGCAGCTATGCATTTTGCCCTTCATTGGGGTCATGTTCATTCGAACAGTATCTTCCTGCTAACTGACTACATAATCGCAGTGAGATCAAAGCCACGCACATCGTGCTAACTTATGAACTTATCAATTTCCTATGCCATATTCTCAACTGCGTTGGGAGGATTCTCCCTACCGTAGCCAAAATTTCTCTTTACACCTCGTTGGGCTCCTTTTTTATTATCCTTATTACGGTACCCGCATGTGCACGAACCCACGCCAGTGCCAAATTTGTGTTCACCAACTTTGTCAATTCGACAGGCTGGAGCTCAGACGCCCTCGCGGTTGTGGTTGGACTTGTCAACCCCAATTGGATTTTCGCTTGTCTGGACTCTGCATCACATCTTTCGGAGGAGGTCCCAACTCCAGAAAGAAACATCCCCATTGCTATTTTCGCAACCATAGGAATTGGCTTCGTTACGTCTTGGACCTATTGCATCTCGATATTTTTCGCAATCAACGACCTTGACAGCCTAGTGAACTCCCCGACTGGTGTCCCCATTCTCGAACTATTTAACCAGGCTTTAGAGAACAAAGTCGGCGCCATTTGCCTTGAAACGATTCTAGTAGCAACTGGTTTTGGTTGTATAATCGCCTGCCATACCTGGCAATCTCGTGTTTGTTGGGCCTTTTCTCGTGATGGCGGCTTACCGGGCCATCAATGGCTATCAAAAGTCCATGACAGATTGGGAGTACCATTGACAGCCCATGTTAGCAGCTCCATGTTGGTTGGTGCTCTTGGTCTCATTTACCTCGGTTCTTCTACAGCCTTCAACAGCATGATTATCTCATGCATTTCGCTTTTGTATGTTTCATACATTATTCCAATACTGTGCCTCTGGTATAGGAAGCGATCGATCCGCCATGGACCCTTTTGGCTAGGCAGACTCGGCTTGTTCGCAAATGTTGTCACCATTTGCTGGACGATGTTCTCACTTGTGATGTATTCGTTTCCTGCAACGATGCCAGTTCAAGCCAATAGTAGGTTCGATTCATAGTAACACTAGCGTGATTAGTGCTGACGCCAAACTAGATATGAATTATGTTGCGGTCATTTATGTGGTGTGCATGTTGATCATACTGGTTGATTGGTTTCTGCGTGGAAACCGGTCGTTTAGGTCACCGGTGCGCGCACCAGAAATCTTACAATGAGCCACCCTGTGTTCACATAGCTTAAATTTTCAAAAGCATAGCATAGGAATGCCCCAGTCCACGGCCAAATTAGGTTTTCCATATATTCAGTTCTTAGTAAGAATAGAAATGTGAAGAAACGACTCGCACCTGATCAATACTATACTAGTCCTTGTACTGGTACTGGCACTATCTACTACGTAGTCATATGGAGACTTCTGGTTGTCAAAAAACCTTTTTATATCCGTGTTAGCGGTAGAATTTGAACCGGGAAGAAAATTAGAAATAAGTGACCCGATTAGTGGGTATTGAATGAAACGACTCTTTGGTCCAGTTTCTAAATCATACTCAATTTTTCTTGTATCCAAGTGATAGAAGGCGATTCCTCGCAGATGGGCCTATTACGAATGATTTTGAACGGATTGATATTTAATTAGATGGGTAGTGTAGTATTTTCAAGGAGATAGAGACGACCTGAAGGACTTAGAGCTTCGCTCCTAGGTTTACGTGGACAGATTTGATCACCGAGTAGGCCTCCATTCCAGCTTGACCCAGTTCACGACCAATGCCACTTTGCTTCATTCCTCCGAATGGCGTCAACGAGTCACTGTCATTGCTGCTGTTTATCCAGACCGTTCCACTTTCAATCTTCTTCGCCAAACGATGACATCTAGTAATGTCTTGAGAGAACACAGCAGACGCCAACCCATATGGAGAATTATTTGCTTGCTCAATGGCATCCTCTTCGGACTCAAATGGTGAGATGGCGACAACTGGTCCAAAAATCTCTTCTTGGTAAATTTTCATGTCAGGAGAGACATCACAGAAGATTGTTGGCTCAATGAAAAATCCTTTGCCACTGGGACCTCTGCAGGAAGATCCTCCCAATACGAGCCGGGCGCCCTGTTTCACGCCCGAATCAATATAGGCCAGGATTTTGTCCTGCTGAGATTTCGAAATCTGGGGCCCTTGGAATGTACTTTCGGCAAATGGATCGCCGACTTTGCTAGTCTTCTCAGTGAAGGTCTTGAAGGCGTCAACGAATGACTCGTATACTTCCTTTTCGACCAGAATGCGACTAGTACCGGAGCAGATTTGGCCTTGGTTGCTCATGATACCGGTATGTGCCCATTTCACAGCCTGTTCCATGTCGGCGTCCTTGAACACAAGCAACGGCGACTTGCCGCCAGTCTCCAGTGTAATGGCTTTGAGATTAGAAGCAGCCATCTTCATTATTTCGCGGCCAGTGGATGTGCTTCCCGTGAACGCAATTTTTTGAATATCAGGGTGTGCCGCGATGGCAGCGCCCGCCTCTCGACCGTGCCCATTGAGAATGTTCACAACGCCCGGAGGGAAGCCAGCAGATGTTATGAGATCCGCGAGATAGAGAATCGCCAGTGGCGTGAGTTCAGAAGGCTTAAGCACCACAGTGTTTCCACACTAAAAACAAAAATCAGTAATCTGTCACTGGGCTCGTCTTTTCCATCGGGGCACGATCTTACTGCTAATGCGGGGCCCAGCTTCCACGCCGCCATCATCAACGGGTAATTCCAAGGGATAATCTGACCGCATACACCGAAAGGCTCCCGAATGGTATACGCAAATTTTGAAGCGCCACCATCAACGATCTGACCATGTGCTTTATCCGCCCACCCTGCGAAGTACCGTAGACACGTGATCAATTCGGCGACATCTTCATTCAAAGCGACCCTATAAGGCTTTCCACTGTCCCACGCTTCAAGAGTCGCTAGATCGACACTGTACTCTTCTACCAAGTCACTCAGTCTCCTCAGTAGGCTTCCTCGGCTTGATGGATGAAGATCTGCCCAGCTTGGATCCTTGAGTGCGGCTTTGGCTGTTTTCACTGCAGCATCCACATCCACTTTGGTAGCGGCTTGCACAGATGTGATGACGGTCTCATCTCTAGTGTAGATGTCAGGAATTGAAAACTCTCTACGCATGGTTATACCAATTTACTCACGCGGGATTGATGCTTTCAATCAGCCCGCCTTCGGTGGCGCGCACCCATTTATTGCCAATGAACAATCCAGTTTCAAGAGTGATTTTGCGCCCATTCGGGGCTACTAGCTGTTGGCGTGTTGAAGCCATTTCCCCGGGGTGTAATGATCTTGAGGAAGGTTTTGGGGGCAAAAGAACAAAAATCTTGTCAAGGTTGCGGTTTCGGATACTAGTAAGTTCGCGGAGAATAAATCGAATGCAAATGAATTGGCCATTTTTACATTTTTACAGCGGCTGAAGTACTTACTATAGAAGGTTGTCGTGTTTAAGTAAGAGACTAAACCGGAACAGGCAGCCAAGACGGAAAAATAGAGTTCTTTTGAATGTGGGACTTGGACGAAGACGTGCCTGAAGCTCTGACGTAAGTAGACTCAGTTACAAAATCAGGCCAAAATTACCACAGTAGAGACTGCATGGTCGTACTAGTCAGCTTCTTAGAACAATACAGGTACTCATCTTGCCGTCAATCCCGAACAGGCTACAAATTTTGCACCGGTATAGTGTATTTACTAAGGAACTACTCACTAGTCCCGAGTACTTGTCACCTCAGTGACCAAACAGGTTTGCTAGCATTGGGGTGCTCGTGGACTATTCTTGTCTTATAAGAGAGGACTCGAAACTCAAAATATGTGCCGACTTTACCCATGGGTGGAAATGCCTTTTTATGGTTGTTTAGATCCCCCGTTCATCCGAGTCCGATCCAAGTTTGCTTGGATGACTCGATACATTGGTGAGCCATTGTATGATCTCTTGCCAGTTTCTTGTCATGGAGTACCTGGCCCACACGTAATGATTCAGACACATACCAACCCGCATGCTATTGTGCATTACTAGTACGTTTCCGAATCCCATAGTTCATAAATGCAGGATTACATGTCCGGTACCCGTACCAAATGATCGTAATCTAGAATCCAGATGAAGCACCTGCCAATCAGGTTAGGAAAGAATATTCGGATTCTAATTGCAAGTAGACGAATGGGTGTCATGCTAGCGCCCTTGTCAGAGTATTTTACGAAGTTTGAAACTGCCAGTGCCAGTGTGGGCACAACTGCACCACCATCAGCATTAGTACTTATACTCCCCTTTTCCACTCCCCCTGTCTCAAAAGATTCCCTTGAAACACTTGCAAATTTAGGTTTACTGCCTCGGTCGCCGAAGGTTACCTCCATCAGTCCCTGTCTCCGGAAGCCTTGGAAGATTGTCCCCCTTGGTTCCTGAAAATGACGATTGTCAATGAAATCTCGGCACCTGAGGCCAACAGCTACGACTATGTCATTGTCGGGGGTGGAACAGCTGGCTGTGTGATCGCCTCACGGCTCGCCCAGTTTCTGCCGAATAAACGAATTCTCGTTATCGAAGGCGGCCCCAGTGACTTCATGGACGATCGAGTCCTGAAGTTGAAAGACTGGCTCAATTTACTGGGTGGCGAATTTGACTACGACTACCCTATCGTTGAGCAGCCTCATGGTAGATATCACCTGGATGCCGAATCATTGTATTGTGAATCGAGGATACACTTTCAATACTGACAGGTGGTATAGGCAATAGTCATATCCGTCACTCTCGGGCAAAGGTGCTAGGCGGTTGCTCTAGTCATAACACTCTCATCTCTTTTCGCCCTTTCGAATTCGATTGCCAGAGCTGGGTTTCCAAGGGCTGTACAGGCTGGGATTTCGAAACTTTCACGCGACTGATCGACAACCTGCGCAACAGGATTCAGGTTGTGGACCCTCGTCATCAGAACCAGCTTTGTAAAGACTGGATTGAGTCTTGTTCGACCGCCATGGAGATTCCTATCATCGAGGATTTCAACAAAGAGATCCGGAGCAATGGCGATCTGACAGCGGGGGTTGGGTTTTTCAACATCTCCTACAATCCGAATGACGGTCGCCGCAGTAGCGCAAGCGTTGCTTATATTCACCCTATTCTGCGTGGGGAAGAAAGACGCCCTAATTTGACAATTCTTACCAATGCCTGGGTGTCCAGAATCAATGTTGAGGGTAATGATTCTGTCGTCGGTGTCAATGTAAAACTTCATTCGGGTGTTTGTCTGGATGTCCGCGCGAGAAAGGAGACAATTCTATCTGCTGGCGCGATCGATACTCCCCGCTTGATGATGCTTTCCGGTATTGGCCCTCATGCACAGCTATCTGCTCTAGGTATCCCCGTTGTTAAGGATATCCTTGGCGTTGGAGAAAACTTGCTTGACCATCCAGAGAGTCTCATTATGTGGGAGCTCAATAGACCTTTCCCCCGTGATCAAACGACTATGGACTCGGATGCTGGAGTTTTTCTCCGCCGGGAAAATGGCAATGGTTCTGCTGCGGACATAATGATGCATTGCTACCAGGGAGCTTACTCTGTCAACACGAATCGTCTAGGTTACGAGGAACCTGTGAATGCTTTTTGCATGAGTCCAAATGTTCCTCGCCCTCGCTCTCGTGGTCGCATGTATCTAGTCTCGCCCGACCCAGACGTCAAACCGGCTCTCGACTTTCGTTATTTTACCGATCCGGAGGGGTATGATGCGGCCACTATCGTGGCTGGCCTAAAAGCGGCCCGACAAATTGCTCAACAGACCCCGTTCAAAAACTGGATCCAACGGGAGGTTGCTCCAGGCCCTGAGATACAGACAGATGAGGAATTGTCTGAGTATGGCCGCCGTGTGGCGCACACTGTCTATCACCCGGCGGGAACTACGAAGATGGGCGACGTTGTACGCGACAAAATGGCCGTGGTAGATCCTGAACTCAAAGTGCGTGGCCTAAAAGGTGTACGCATTGCCGATGCTGGCGTTTTCCCTGATATGCCAAGCGTCAACCCAATGCTCACGGTGTTAGCTATCGGTGAGCGTGCTGCCGAATTGATCGCCATGGACGCCGGCTGGAAGCCTTCAAAGTCCCATCTGTAGACAACATTGGCTGTTCAGCGTCGGAAGCGGGAGCCCCCTTTAGTGTCAATACGTTGATTTGCCAACCGTTAGAAATACCACAATATGGAGACGTTCATTGACTGCAGTAAACATGAGAATTTGCAAGGGAGAATGTGCTCACTATACCTTCCCTTTTCGCTAGTATCGTGCCTAAATCTCTCTATTAGGGTACCAAGAGTGAGTGATGTGCTAACAAATAAAGTAGACGCCGACGAGGACTTTTGAAACAAACCATTTTCCTATAACTGTCATTGAACCCAGGACCAATTGGGAGAATGGAGACATTCAGAGAGAAAATCGACAGCAAGTGCCAGGTTAAAAATGTAAACAAATCCATGGGCTAGTTGTCCGTGTCCACCGTCTCTCAACCCATTTCTGGATGTCATATTTTGAAAGCTCCACCCATTATGGTCAGGGGACCCATGAATACCCGAAAGCAACTCCTAGTTGGCCCAAGCCATTTACCACAAATCCAAAGCCAGCCAAGGCATCCACAGAAGGCAAAAAAAAGCGGTTCCCGACTTATCTGGAGCCGTCTCGAAGCGGCTAGGATCTCCGCCTGCATCTCGAACGGCAGATCATCGATTGTAGTTGCAAACCCCCACAACCTGCCCACGTTGCCAAGAATTTACATGTTAGCTAGCACTTGGCTTTTCTTGATATGTTGACTTTGCCATTGGATGTGAGAGGGGCTAAGGGAAAGCCTGGGAGAAGCAGCAGATGGATTTCGTGCATCGGCGATTCCCTGTAGATGTTGCTTTAGTTTTGTGTTTGTCCTCGCCCTCGTCCGGGGAAGTGGAGGGATTCGGAGATGGTAAATCGGTGGGTGACATGTTCCGGATCGGTTCGACTAGTGATGGTTTTGCTTTTGTCGAAAGAACAAGTTCAGAAATGTTGCACTGGTAGCGGTTGTGCTCACTTTAATTAGAGTCTTTGTCGAAGTATGAGGGTAAAGCGTTGCCGAATTTGGTCTAGTACACAGCTGGGGCTGTCACGTTACTTTTTGGGCTACGCTCAATGTGAACCCGTGCGGGGTCATTTGTTCGATCTATGCCCTGCTTTTGCTAGTAGCTGCCACAATTACCCTCGTCAGCATGGATACGACAAGTTACCCTGGGGATGATTCTACTCCATCAAGTAATCTCCCGGAGCGCCCCACCAAACGACCTCGTAAAAAAGCACCCAAGTCCCGAAACGGCTGCGCACGGTGCAAGAAGAGACGCGTGAGTTATGAACTTGCTTCCTGCTTGCGGTTGTTTGACCTTGCTAACCCTAGTAGATTAAATGCGACGAGAAACACCCAGCATGCGATAACTGCATCAAATTTGGTTGTCAGTGCCCGGGGTTTCAGCAAAATCTTCGCTGGTCGAAAAAGTATCAGCGAGTTGGGAGACCTTCGGCGGTTGATAACCCCGAGGAAACAGTTTACCCTTCTGCTGTTGTGGCATCCTCAATACAACAGGCGGGCAATGCGGACAATGAGCTTGTGCCCCTAGATTCATCTAATACTTCCCAAAATGATCTCAATGGCTGGAGTGTCGACGATGATCCGTCCACACTACCCGTATTCCCAGATTCTTGGCTATTCACACTAGAAGACTGTGGAGTATTCCTAGACCACGATGGGAGTCCAGAAGAAGAGACTACTTCGGTCCAGGATGGTACCTTGGCTGTCTTAAATTCACCTAATGGTTCGGATGTGACAACAAACCCGGCAATGTTACGAACCCCTACCCACCTCTCGACGATGTTGATCGAGCATTGGTTTGCGTATGTTTGCCCACTATGGTCGGCCTTTGACTCTGCAGTCAGTTATAGTCGGCAATTAGCCCTAAGTACATGGGGTTCATCGAAGGCTGTCTTTTATACAATGCAAGCCATGTCGGCAGCCTATATATCGGTCACCATGCCACATTTTGACGAGACTCTACACTCGCTAAAATCTCTAGCGGTTGGTGCAATTGAAGAGGAGACTCGCCTGGTGCGCAGATCTCCGTCGCCTAAGGTCAAGGCCGATCTTGTTTATGCGGTATTCACCCTGGGGAACTCGGTCAATTGGACTGCTTCGGGAATGGACGAGAATCCATGGCTGGGATCTGCTCGCGAGCTGATGTCGATGTGGTCACTGGACATGTCCATTTCAGATGCTCCAATACATGCGTATTTCTGCCAAGCTTTGACGTATTGGGAAATGCTTCTCGCTGCCAGAGGATGTGGTTCTGTACCAGGAAAGCTAGCAAAAAAGCGACAGCGCTATTATGCGAAGATCCAACAAGCGATGGGCTTATCCAATTCCAGCGATGACAACAACAATGACCCTTACGGGGAACCTATTTACGGACCGGGGCCGGCTATGCCAGGAACCGGAACCAGGCCGAATTCATGGTCTGGGGTGTCGAATGAGGTTATTGATGTTTTTGGTCAGGTCCTGGCTTTATGCTATCATGCACATCATTCCAGTCGCAAGAGCCAAGGAAACTTCAACACGAAGAGAGCAACTCTAGGACTTTGTGATGTATCACTGGCACATGAGTTACAACGAGATTTGTTGAACATGGACTTCGAATCGCTTATTCTCATAGACGAGGTGCACGGATTTCCCGTTCAAACACAGGACGACAATACACCAATTGCTCATTTACTACAAACTGCCGAAGCATATCGTCAAGCTGCTTTGCTACAGCTGCATCTTTCATTCCATGATCTGACGATGACATCAAAAAACACGTTGTCGGGATTGACAGAGGCTCGCCCTGGTAATATCGGTGATACAGTCGTGGGAGATGGAGAATCTCGAAAGGAGGATATTCTTTCCATGACGCTCCACTTGATCAATATCCTAGAACGAATTCCTGGCCAATCAGGCTCTCGGTCACTTCATCTCATGCTTTATCTCTCAGCTGTAGCGGGCCTTCAAGTCGATACTTCATTTGTCGGATATCCTGAAAGCAATCACGGGCCTGAGGGTCGAGGTGCAGGTGATCGATATCATGGTCCCGCTACCTCAGAACCCTTCAATAGAATGATAGCAGTGGACGCCGGTTCACAAGATCTCTTGGGCTCGAATACTGCGGCTTCCGTCGATAGAGTCGTTACACGATCGACTTTGGAGGTATCCCGAGCTAGACAATTCATTCTCGCACGACTCGGTAGCCTCCGACAGACACTCCCTCACAGGAGGGTGGACAGTACCATAGAATTCGCGAAAGATATCTGGAAACAGTACGATACTCAAGGCTCACAGCCTTATAGTATTGTTTATTGGCTAGACGTTATGACCGAGAAAGGCTCTAGGGTGACACTTTGGTGATTCAAGTTTACTACCAACTTAAACTTGAACGATAATGTATCGGGAAATACATTTTGATTTTCCTCAGATGTCTTCTAGCTCTATTCCAACCCACGAGTAACTGATGCGTCCCCTAGTGTCGAATACGTCTCATACTATAATAAAATTATAATTTTCAGATCTAATCCGAGCAAATTCAATCCAAGAACCCAACCCGTCACCATCAAACTCCCACCAAGATCGCAAGAACGACAACACACGAGCTCGATCCAACGTCCGGCTTACATGCATAACAGCCTTGAAACTATGTTCGATCATTTCCTGGGCTGCACGATCCGAACGCACCTCCGTCCCGGCGATGAAAAGCGGCCAAACAAGATCCTGGGCGAAATGGAGCCCGGTTCGAAGTTTGGTTAATTCTTTGAGGTCGTGCATTATGTGAGTGTGGGAGTATGTTATTTTTGCGTCGGCACTCGCATCCGAGTCCGAGGCATTGGACAACAGAGCTTGGGCAGTATAGATCAATGTAGCGTGGTAGTACATTCGTACCACCAGTGCGAAGTTCCGGCGGTCGACATCGGACCAGAAATTGATGTTGTTGGTAATTTGTAATGAATCAGCTCTGGCCGATTCGATTTCTGTATAGATACCCTGAGCTTGACAATGAGATGATGTGGCGGTCCGGTCCGAGTCTAAGGACTGCTCCCCAGCTCTCTTCAGGCGTTCCAGTTGAGTGATGCGATGAATGATATGCACAAAGCCGGATAAGGCAGCATCTTCGTTGCTCGTTGGCGGCTTCATTACTATCTTGTCAACTGGCTTGAAATTGGTCAAGTTCATCCATACCGATGTTGCATAGTATTCTTGTAAGAAGAACCGCTGCATATGTGAGAGCGATTGCTCAATCCCCGGGTGGGTCTTTGCGACATTCAAGATTTCCCGGGCGACTGTTAGATGCATGCGCCATTCTGAGGTTTCCGTATTCAGCAGATCGTTGTTGCAGATGATCATCACAGATGCTAGAGTTGGGAACAAGGATGCAGCTGGGCATGTTTCAGATGGAGGTAATGCCGACAGTCTCTTCAGTTCGGAGACCAGTAGAGACAAGGCATGTCGATGATGCGACTGTGATAGGTCTTTAAATTTTTGACACCATGGATCGTTCTTTGGATATTGTAAGGACAGATCCGTTGCTGCGAGCGCGAAAACGGAAGAACGGACGGCATCGCAGGTTTCGCTTAGAGGTAAAACGATCCTTCGCCAGGGATTTTGAGGTCCATCAACCCATGCCAGTCTCCTCGCGACGCGGTCTGTGAACCAAGCGAGTAACCTCGGCGCATGTGGTGAATGTGGTGGCGGTTGCAGCCATCGCAGATTACTCGTAGGGTCCAGCAAGTGCGAGTGCGACTTGATTCGAGGGTCGTTGTGGCCGGGCGATTTCGACACTAACGAGGAATTCTTCATAGGCAATGACCTTCCCATCAGATTACCTCGACTGGCGACGCCTTGGTCCCATTTTAATTGTACGCCGTAGCCTGGACATTTGAGGCAACGCTTGCCGCATTTCCTGCATGCTGGCCGGACACGATCGCACTTTAGGCGCCGTCTTTGACAATTGGAGCAATCTACACCCGTTTAGTGATGCTCTTACTTGTGTGAGTTGGGAATGTACCTTTTGCAGCGGTGGGTGGCTGTTCAGACATGTCTTACTACTAGTAACAAGAGGGGAAGGCTTCTTGAGGTGGTTTTTTGGAGGTTCACCAAAGATTTGAATTCATTCCTCATACTAATTACAGGGTGTGACAAAACGCCAGCGGTTGATGCGTATTACCAGTACCGTGTGGGGAAACATCCTACTAGACCGTATAAATCGACTTGAGGGATCTACCGCCTCCGACACCGCCGTCTCTGGTGCCTGTGGATTCCCGTTTGATTTGTTCTTCGGACAACGCTGCTTTTCCGAGGTTACCCCGAGTACCATTTTTACAAAACAGGTGCGAGATTGGGTATGCGCTGAATCATCCGCTAACATATCCTCCTATTCATTCCAACAATGTCGTCTCTTCACTGCAGTTGATAGATATTTATTAAGAATGAGAAAAGAGCAGTTAATTCAACTATTAAATCTATATTCTGTTCGTAGTATCTATATACCGCCTTCGTCCTCTTTATCATGTATCGAACTATTATCGAAATATATAAATTCCTCTCCGAGCTCCTCTATTTCAAATATACTTAATGCTTCAAAGCTTGTTAAACTGTTATTGTCTTCCAATGCAGAACCTATTTGAGTATCTGTAGAAGAGCAGCTAGTCTGGGAAGCCTGTGCTTCAAGCTCTAGTTCTGGCTCTGTGTGCCACGGTCTTTTCATTAACGCAGTTAGAACAGGGCTCTTTAGTAAGATGTGCGTCGATGAAATGGTTACAAAGGCCCGAAGGGTCCTTATAATTTCATCTGCTGGCACAATAGATGAGAATAGATAAAGACTATTACGATTCCCAGAGTGTCTATATAAATGTCAACATAGTTCATAAGTGTTGACTTGACTAGCTATTACTGAAATCTTTTGTCCGGCCATTTGTCTTTGTTGTCCAAGCAGAATAGCCAAAAGTCAGGGGTAACAAGTGTCTACCGCAGTATTAAAATACTACATTAAGGGTACATATTATTTAGTAATAGTTTATCTACTCTTCATCACAGCAAATATCTGTATAAAGATGGGAGAACTGGATTTTCTCGGAACCAGGTTTTGGGTCTTTGATCCTCAAGTGAGTAATGGCCTCTCGCGGTAGAGAATTCACCTCCTTATAAATATCTATCGTCGTTATAGTGCTGTCCGTTCAGATATGCGGGATCAGGTCGGATGAAGGGAAAAGGATAGGTGGGCGGGGGTCATAAATCAAAATGAATCCTGCAATAAAGACACTTGTTAGTTGTTACAGTACGCATTTGACTCCACGACAGCGCCCGGTCTAGTATCTGAGCCAGTGAACATTGTGAGAGCACTGTCTGTTTAAACACAGGTCTGTTTCTGTCCGTAATTTGTACCAATTATCCCCGAACAGATCATGAAGAAGGTACTCGATATTCTTAGCCGTACCTATGAAGCGTTCACGAGGCTTGGTGCTCAGGTTATAGTTAGGAGTAAGATCCTGTCTAATATACTACAAATGATCAGCGAATATAATAATTATTTGTTAATGGCTGTCTCATATTTAGAATATCGTCCTTAACCGAATCCGATAGGGAGCGAGAAGTTTCTCGCTCCTATCTCGAAGTAAATTTAGTGAAATTTAAACGCGTAGCATGTGCGTTTCTCTTGTTGAGCTTCGTTTGTATGGCTTCTGCGAGTATCTTCTTTCGACTAGCTGGGCAAAAATGCAATAGAAATGGCGGACCGGACGTGCGCTGTTATTTATCATTGTAGACTGGGAGTGAAGGTGGGAGTGCCAGGGTGGGTACTCTCACCCTCACCTTTCTTACCCCCAGTCTCCAGAATTATCACCCATATCACCTACACTCACCCTAGCACAAAGCGCGACGCTATTTAAGTGCGAGGGCTCTGTGAGAATTGACCGCGCTTGGTATGTGGCTGAAGTACGGCTGAGCGGATGGGAAGCCCTGTTCTCCACACCCTATGGGCGTATGTACCAGATTGCTAGCTGCAGAGCATTATCTGCCTCCAAATGCAATGCCCGCATCGATTTACCTATGTGCAGAGGTGAGCCCTGCACATGTCCGGTACAGAAGAGCCATCAGATACCGCTGAGATGACTTCTCGTAAGAAATACGTAATTAATCGAGGGGTAGACCATGACGAGATCTTTATTCAGAGGACCCCTTGATATCTAAACCTGCCTGGATTAGGCTGCCATCCTATTACTATTGAACACGGTTTATCACTGGTCATATGATCATATCTTACAAGGCACACGATTCCCCACGAATCCAGAAGAACGCCACTAACTACGATTCTCTTGGGCCATCTGGTCCAGAATCTCCTCTCTCCAGCCCCAGCCAAGCGCAAATGCAGCCCCTGGTCCAAAAGTACAAGTCGTCCCCACCAAGCCACAGATAGCTTTGCACCATGAAACCGACGCTCCGAGCTGCTTCAGCTCGCGAAATTTCAGTGCAAGCCACACAAAACCACTAGCCATGGAGATCACCTCGTCGTACTGAAGGAATCGTGCTATCCCCCCGGCAAATGAGGCAACAGGCTCCAGATGACCCCGGAGACCAGGCAGGAATATAGTAGCAAAGGAGGCACCTGCTGGGACTGAGAATCGAGCATGAACGAATGTGAGACCGGAAACCAGGGCAAATGTACGGTATGCATAGCGAACAAACCGCATATTCTTGCGGGTTTGCTGTTGCGAATCTTGTTGCTGTGAGCGATCCTTTATGAGAAGGTGCAAAGAGCCTTGCAGCAGAGGGACGATTACGGGGAACAGTTGCCAAACTGCGTTATACCAGCGACGGGATTCCACTGTCGGGGCCAGGAAATTGGCAAATGTCGGAGCATAGTACCCCGCAAGCATAGCGATGAGAAGGGAGCTCGAGGCTTCCGATTGCACCTGGTGCTTCGATTCCGGAAGCAGTTTAGAAAGGGGTGTGCGGATGTGTTCCAGTGCATAGTAGATAGGGGCAAGCTTTCCGATTCCCTTTAGCTGAAACCCAATCCCCATGGTTACGGGGCTGTTATCAGCCTTGTGTTAGTCACTGGTGGTCTCTGAAAGGGTGATGCAGGGTGGATGAAATCTACTCACAGCAAGACCTCGCGCCAGGAGTGGGCCTGACGGTAACTCTCCAGTAACCAGATCCCATAGAGCGGGCCCAAGTCGGTCATGAAGGACAGCATTTGAACCCGGGAACACGGATCAGACCCACTAATGGATGGTAAAAAACATGTAATCAGGGGCCTGAGCAAGTTGTCGAGGAGCGGGATATGGTAGATAGGCCTGTGCAAGCTGAGAACCTCTCCATTACTTGCAGTCCAAGCTCCCTGGGCAACTAATGGCAGCATAAGGGGCTTGAGGTGGGTGAGCAAAGTTCCCATTGTAGCCTGAGCAGCAGCGTAACAGCCGAGAAGGGGAGTCGTGGAAAGCGCGCGGCTCAATCTGTGATCCTCATTTACCGCATGGCTCTCCGAAGATTTATACGGCATGGAACATTGGAGCGATTTCGGTGGCAGAGGTTCACAGTCAAGCTTTGCAGCTGGAACAATCCCGGCAGACGTCTTGTCAAGCAGATAGCTGGTGAGATATGGGAGGAGATATAACCCAATAAGCTTCTCCTTAATACCTGCCAGAGCCTCTATTCGGGTCAACCCATGAGCTGAGAACCAGATGCCATCCACCCGCTTTTGACGCGGCTTCTGCCATTGTTGCAGACAATGATGGATATCATTGACGCCGCTTGTTGCACTGGGAGAACCATAGACTAGTGCAGAAAGGCTGTTGGCAAGCGATGCTGCGCTCTCAATTGCGCTGTTCCCGCCCTGCCCAAGATTGGGCGTCATCTACGACACAAACGGTTAGAGATACAATGGGCCAAGCATTTTGTTATACGTAAAGATATATACGCACCTTGTGGGCAGAGTCACCAATGCAAACGTATCGGTCGACGGACCAATGTTCGTATAGCGCCTCCTCTAACGGCACAAAGGTGCGCACTATCGCTCTCTGGTAAACCTCGGCGAATGCCACCTCTCGGGTGATGGCTCTGTGTAAATATGGAGCCACGTGGTTATCAATGTCGTTTTGACTGTAGCGGGGGATCTGAGATGCGGGATACTTTTGACCCATCTTCGTGAAGAAAAACCAAAATACACGACCTTCTTTACCGACGATGGTCAAGAGTGAGTACCCCTCGGCGAACGTGCGATGGATGTCGCCTGGTGTCAGTCCCGGGGTGGCCGTGGAGATGCCGAATACACAGTTGTATTCAGATGTCATCACTGCCCCAACTGAATTAGCCAAACCGTGTGCGAGAGCAGGGGGCTCTACTTTGAAACGTACAGGTCCGTTCCTTCCGGGCCTCCTCCCTGAGTCCTCGAGATTCCATGTAATGCCACATTTGCTCCCTCACAATACTACGTACCCCGTCGGCTCCAACAACCACATCGCCCTCGAACATAGAGTCGTCCGCACAGTGAACCACGACCTTCTCGGGGAGATGCTCCACCTTAGTCACCTTTTTGTTCACCAAGACACGATCTCGCCGATCCTTAAGGTGCTCATACAAAATAGCGAGCAAGATCTGTCGATCCAGGAATGCAGTGGGGTAGCCATGTCTTTGGTAGGTTAGAGCCATTCGAATCATGGACCTTGGGGTAAGAGTAATCCTACCTCTGATGTAAGATGAGAGGAGCCTCCGTATTCGTGATACAGCGTCCAGCATCGGTCCACGTGAATGCTCTGCGAAGGGGCTCAACCACATCGAGGACATCATCATACATGCCCAGTTGATCTAGAATACGTGCTCCGTTGGGAAGAATGCCAATAGATGCACCTACCTGCGGCGCGATATCGGCATGGGACTCCAGCACAACAAAGTCGATGTTGTTTCGAAGAAGACAGTGAGCAAGTGTTAGACCCGCGATTGATCCGCCCACAATTACCACACGAAAGTTCGGCCTCGGTGGCTCCATTACGTATGATAGCTCTCTACCGTTCAAATGATTCTTGAAACTATACCAAAGGTTGATTAATCCACGGAAAACTCGAAAACCGTTAGAGGTTGTCGGTCTTCAGGCGCCAGCCACGACATGGTTTATATATGATGACTATTGACAGACTATCATGAGTAGGCATGGTGAAAGGCCGGGACAAGACTCTCGGCTTTGATGCTGCTCCACTGAAACTGGATCATTTAGTGTGAAATGAAACCACTAGGGGCACTCGCGTAGAGAAAATAGGAGGATATTAGAGCAGGTCGAACTGTCGATCGCGGTCCCGGTGGGTCCAGCAGAAGCGAGAAAGCCGAGAAAGCCGAGAAAGTCGAGTTTCGTAAATACCAGAAATCCGGCATTGATTTGCCACTGGTTTGCCCTCTCTTCGGGGTATTACTTGGGTGTATTTTTTCGAACAATTGTTTATTCAGTCCCCATTACATACTGCTTCAATGGAAACGTCTCGTCCCAGGTTTGATCGTAAGCGAAGAGACCAAAAGCCCCGGGTTTTGCTGTCCTGTACCAGATGTAGAGAGAAGAAGTATGTCTTCGAGATTCTTAGATCGCGTACCATTAACGGCTTCGCAGGCTAAAATGCAATCGGGAGCTTCCCTGTGCAAACTGTCTGAAACGGGGCCAGAATGCAGGCTGCCGCTATGTTGCAGAGCGACCGAAGCATATCAGTCCACAGGAAAGGTCTAGCATAGACCATCGCCTGCAGTATCTCGAGCAAAGATTATTGAATTTGGAAAGAAGGCGTCCACCAGATGACCGTTCTTCATCCACACCAGAAGAAGCCCGCATTCATGCTCGCCAACAACACGATATCTATCCTCGGGATCCGGAAATGCAGACAGAGTCTGAAGCTGAACCGGGCCCAGATCCTGTAGCCGGGCTCCTACTATATGAAAACAACGGGACTAGATTCATCAATCCAAGTCACTGGCAGGCGATCATGAACAATGCAGTATGTAGCACCTAGATTCTCTTGAATATATCTTTGATAGAGGCTCGACTCCCGAACTACTCTAGTGGGCACTGACATGTTTGACAGACTCGAGAGCTAAAGAAAGATAGGTATGATACTCATGACGGCCAAGAGACAGCGGCGGTACACTTCAGTACAGAATGCCCTGTCTTGCTATTGGCAATCCCACAGATAATGAGCGTTACGGATCTTCTCGCTGCATTGCCACCCCGACAAACGGCGGATTCATTGGTTCTCCGCTGCTTAGATTCCAAAGAACCATCACTAAGTATGACCACCCTGTCTCAATGCTTGTTTCTCTGTCTCGTATCGAACTTGGGATAGTTGGCTGTCTAATAGGTTTTATTCTAGTCAGCATTCATGTTCCGACATTTAAACAAGAGGTAGAGTGCCCCCATATGTTTCTACTTGATGTATGAACAATAAACTCATGCAGGACCCTCACAAAGTACCTCGAATTCTGGGAGAATCCTTCAGGGGTCTCTCCTTCCTGGCTTGCACTATTGTATGGCGTATTGTCGTGTGCAGTGTACATCCAGCACATCATGAACCCGGCGGTAAGCGAATGTGGATTGCCGGGGACCTTCCAAAAGTATCGAATGAATTGTGCAGTCGCCTTAGCCAAGTCAAACTTGGTAGTCCCTGGGCGGTATAAAGTCGAGGCTGCCATCATGTACCTCGGTATTGAATATTTGCAAAGCAATACCCTCAAGTCAGGAATCTCCATGCTCGTCGGGATTGTCTCACGCCTGGCAATCACGATGGGATACCACCGAGACCCACAGCCATATCAACCCCAGATCTCGAGCTTTGAGGCCGAGATGCGCCGTAGAGCATGGCTTGTATTGCTGGTCACTGACTCCATCGTCTCGAGGCAGACGGGGCTTCCTCGAGTAATCTACCCCGGGGTCGGAGATGTGACTCGCCCGCGCAATCTCCTTGACGAGGATTTCGGTCCTCACACCCGCGCCCTTCCACCTTCTCGTCCTGAAGACCAGATCGACAGCAACATCACGTACATGTTAGCAATGGAGCAAATGTTAGCTGTTGCGGGTGAAGTTACGAACACCGCCTCAGGGTTCACCTTGGAGCCCAAGAGGACGCTCGAACTGAACCACCAATTGGAAAGAATCCGAGATCAGTTACCTCAGGCTTTTCGCATGCTGCCACCAGGGACTATCGTTTCTGATGATGCAACTGTTATCCAAAAATATGGCTTGGAAATGATATACCAACACGCGCGGTGTGTCTTGCATCGACAGTATCTAGTAACTCCACGGTCGGAAGGTCAACACCAAGCCTTCCGGTGGGCATGCGTCGATGCAGCTCGACAGATCCTAGCACTCCAGTCCGAGCTTTTCCAAGGTGTCCTGGGAAAGCCCCGCAATCGGCAACGGGTGTGGTTTGGTGCCTCTCGTTCAATATCGGACTGCATGACTGCCGCCATGGTGATATGTCTAGAGGTTATAAATCAGTCCCAGAGGAGCCAATATCCCCATGGTACCGTGCGGGGTGAGCTTATCCAGTTACTAAGGACGTCCTACACGTCCTGGAAGTTCTCCCTGCGACCATCGCTGGAGACGATGAAAGCTGCCGACATAGTTGCCACGATGCTACGTCTTCTAGGCGCGGGTGGTGTTGATACTCCGCCTACTATGCCCGGCGATGGAGAACAGCAATCCATTTCGGCAGACAATGTAGATAATGTTGCAAAAGCTGCTCCCACGCGGATACATGAAATGCTGAACGGCGACTTTACGTTAGAGATGTTTGACTGGGTAAGAACTCCGTTTCCAATATTCCGGGGTCATCTCCAGCCGGCTAATCTTGACGGAAGGCCCTCTGGGATCGTGAGATGCAAGACCTGCATGGGCTTGTCTCAGAAACTGGAGGAATTTGAACTATCCAATCGAGATGAGCATTACTTCCAGAGTCTCGTCCTTCCAGTGGAGAAAGGAAGATCTCGCTTCTGAATTACCTATCCAATACACCCGGGTGGATTAGCAAAAACGAGATGTAACGATGAGGAAGGTTTAGTTCCAGGAGGCGACGTTTACCAAGATCTGTTTAGGTTCCCATTGATGCATGTGTCCATGTCAAACTGTATGTGTCTGACTATTAAGTATAGCTTTTCCCTTAAGGACAATCACCGGTCAAGCGGACTTGGAAGCGAGTTACACTGTTTTTAACATTATGACTTGTTCATACACATGTCCTTTCTTTTTCTTTTTTTTTTTTTTTCTTTCCCTTCTCACGATGATGTCGTTACAATCACGGTGGCAACTCGACCATTCAGCCATTGTTTACCACTATTAAGTCACAGACATAGGGACGATTTTGGCCTCAGAGGGGAGAGGACTTATCCGAGATAAGCAACTGGTGTAAAAGTGTCAGAAAGTAAAGCTAGATCGCTGCAAGTATGCCCAACGACCACTGCCATAACAGATGAGGCCAATCGACTTCAGGTGGATGAAGTTAACGGATCATCATGACGCGGGAAGTGGGGATCATCGTGCTGAAGAAAGTTTCTTTCGTCAGCGCAACATGCAGTTGATCTTCCCCGTAGGTGCGTGTTGAGGAATTCAAAATGTTGTCCGTGGTGGTTGATCAGTTCGTATAAGCGGGAGGTTTCCCCACTTGAACCTTCACGAGAGCCAAGATAATATATGAAGGAAGAATCTTCCAAGCATTGCTCCCCCATTGATGAATCCAAGACACCTTTCTGCTTCCCAGGATCCAGGTCAATTCACCTCATTGAACTTTCTGGTGGAAGATGGGGTTAGTCGAGGTGTTCCGAGAAACCCGCTGGTTGATCGTCGGCGGTCTTCTCGTCCTCTACTGCGTGAAAAAGTTTCAAACGTACTATCGTCTCCGAAAGTTCAAGGGCCCTCTTAGCTGCGGTGTCTCCAATTTTCTGCACACCAAGGCGGTGCTCAGTTTGCAGTGTGAAAGATGGTATAAAGAAATGACCGACAAGTACGGTGGGTGATTTGATGATCGCTGCGGGCAGGGTCTCGGTCTGATAGGATTCTGTAGGCTCCATCGTGCGCATCGGTCCCAATGCACTCATCACCTCCTCGCCAGAGTTATGGGCTCATGTGAACGCGGTCCGGTCGCCATATAAAAGGTCGAACTGGTATTACCATGCTGCGCGCTTCAAGCCAGGCGAAGACCACGTCTTCAGTGAGACGAATAACGACAGACATGACCGGAGGCGGAAGCAGATGTTAATGGGAGTCGGTCTTCCTCGAGGCGTGGGCTCGTTCCATCAGCTTATTCTTTCTTAGTATTCCGGAAAAGAGAATCGGTCGCTAGAATCGGATATCGACCTGCGAGTGCTGGACTTTCTAGATCTCATTCGCAGCCGATATCTCTCCACGGAAGACAGTCTAAAGCCGATGGACCTGGCGAAGAAAGTCCAATACTTGACCCTGGATGTGATCAGCACGGTCGGCCTGGGAAACAGCTTCGGTATGCTCACGGCCGATCAAGATGTCAATAACTATATCAAATCGGGAGAAGAAGGACTCTGGATGTCGAACTTCTTTATGGGTATGGGTCTACACTGGATCATGCAAATTGAGTGGGTTGGGAAGCTGCTCGGACCCTCCACGAATGATGCGACAGGCTTCGGGAAGATGATGGCCACGACCGGGCAGATGGTGGCGAAGCGACTACACAGCCCGACCGATGCGAGGAGTGACATGCTTGCTTCATTTATCCGACATGGGCTAATCGGCAACGAACTCTGGATGGAGGCGTTTGAGCAGGTGCTGGCCGGATCCGATACCACGGCGTCGGGCATCCGTGGCATCCTACTTTGTCTATTTTCAAATCCGCGAGTGTATAAGAAGCTGCAGGCCGAGATTGATAGCGCGGTTCAAGACGGCAGGGCACCTTCGAGCGGGATCATTTCTGACGCCCAACTGCGACGACTCAAATACCTGCAGGCGGTGATCCGGGAAGGACTGCGGATCTTTGTACCAGTCGTCAATATCTTCGCGAGGGACGTACCGTCTGCAGGTGATGAAGTGACCTTGGATGGGGAATCGGTTACAATCCCTGGTGGTACTTGGATTGGGTATTCCGCGCTGGGCATGCATCACAGCAAGGCCACCTATGGGGAAGATGCGGAAATCTTCAGACCGGAACGATGGCTCATTGACGACAAAGATCACCTGGCGAATATGACGAGAGTCAATGATCTTATATTCGGTTACGGTCGCTGGAAGTGTCTCGGCCAGACCGTTGCATTAATTGAAATCGGCAAGACGATTTTCGAGGTACATGATGCGTTCCCTCTCCTGAACATAGTCGCTCTTCACATACTGACTTCGCTGTAAGGCGCTGCGTAACTTTGATTGGGCGCTTGCCAATCCAGAACAACCGTGGCGTAGAAAGAATGTCAATGGGCTTTTTGCCGTGACCGACATGTGGGTTACCGTGACTGCAAGGGAGAAGCTGAGTAGCGGTCCCAAGGCATGATATTCCTGGCCAGATATATGAGAACGATGGAGCACAGTTCGGGTCCAGCACTTGTTTCGCGTGAAGTTCGCTCAGTTGCACAGGTTCCCAGAAGCGCTCCCATGAGTTAATCATAGGCACAACGTAAAACCCGCACCTGTTGTGATTGACACGATTAGGCTGCCGGCAAAGTGTGGATGAAACGGTGTGCCTGATCATAATAAGTATTTCAAACACAGATCGAAGTGGGCTGTCAGGGTCAGGTATTAAATTTCGTATACTATGCGTAGATGAGTGTAAATATTTCAACATCAACAATGGTGTATAGCGAATCGGCGGTGCTCATGGTATCAAACAAGGGTAGCCTTTTTCTCCCCCCTGCTTCCCTTAATGTCGCTCTTTCACGGCATCGAGAGCCCAGGCTACGGAAGGTTTCCATTCCGGGCTCAAAGTCGTGACAATGACATTCATCACGCGCTCCCCCCATGATGCAACCCACCAGCACTTTCTCATCCGATGCAGGACTACACAATAGTGTGCTATAACCACCAATGCAAACGGGTTCGAGGTCTGGATTAAGTCAATGAATGTCTCCGGTACATCGCAAATCCACATGAAGGCCCTCGAAACAATGTCCCCTGTGCCATCTAGCTCCATATATAGCTTTTCGAGACAGGCGATAGTATCGGCAAATACTTGGTAGAGTTCATGCGTTGGCGAGTACACAGTGTTCAGTAGTTCATGGAGAGCGTTAATCACCACGCGGGAAGAAGAAGATAGACTCGACTGTACTTCCTCAACCAGGAGAAGGCCGCCTATTTCGCTGGTATGAACCTTGTCCATCGTGGGGGTTGCGAATTTGATCATTTTGCGGCTCAGCATGAATATCTCAACCAGCTCATCGAGCGAATTGGCTTTGGTTTGATGCTGCGAGGTCATGGCGAGAGGGAAGCCAAACGCAAAGCCAATTAAGAGACTCGACAGAGCAAAGCTTACATTGGGGTCTGGCGGTTTCCCATAAATCCCGATTTTCGTGAACATCTGGATTGCTTCGCTTTGGTGCTGTTCTGCGGCTTCGACCAAGGTCTGTCGTTCATTGTCATGGCATTCGCTAGTAATCGCGAGATGTAGCGCTGAGACAGCAAATATACCATGCATTAGGTGAGGACAAGATAAAGCCTGTTCGGGAATGACGGCTTGCCACACTCGAGAATCCGCATGATTGCGCGAGATGGTATGGCAAGTTGATGTTGTCCAATTGAGAAGCAGTCTCAGATGGGGGACGTTGAACTGGCTCATAGAAGTCGACGCTTCATGGCCAGCGCGCAGGGTTTCAGTAGGACTAGGATGGGATTCTGATGTCCTTTCCCTGTCCATAATTATCCTTTCTGGCTCTGCTGCTGTGGCGCCACCGCTGGCACCGTTGTTGGTCCAGAGCCATGGGCCAGGGGTAGCATAACGACAAATGTCCCGCCTATTCTCGCAATTAGAACATTGCGGCCGCTTTTCATCGCACTGATACAGTCAGAATATAAGAACTACTTTCGTTTGAACAGTAGATGGCACACGGATAATACCTTGACACTTCGCCGTTTACATTGGAAACATCCGTGTCGCGACTTCGGCTTCCTTCTACTTGCGGTCATTGAGTGGTATTAGTGCCTACATATACTTAGGTGTATGGTCATAAACCTGATAGCGTTATAGAGGTCAGATAGGTAAACATCACATCACCAGAGGAAAAATAGCCGGCGTGGACAAACTGAGCACATTTGCTGATCGTTAAAGTTCTTTTTTTTTTTTCCGCGACGTGATTACTAATCACTTCAACGCCTTGAATTTGATGACTGAACAAGAATGTGCCCAAACTTAACTATCAACACTATATTCTATGTCTCTGGGTTTCCATAAAAGTAATGAAGGAATTCTGCTCAAGGTAATCCGGTCGAAGGAACGTCCTCGTTTGTTGGCCAAACATGGTATGGGTCTTTCAATGAGTATGTGACAATTATTGAAATGCGAGATATATATTGCTGACTTGGACTATGGATGTATAACACAAAGGGTGTCGATAGACTCGACTTAGCTGGACGGACACCCAACGTGGACCCTAACGCCGATACCACATACGTGTCACTTTTCTGTGCTTGATCTTCTTTTGGATCTGGAAGATTCCGTATAGTAACGCTTCAGCTGTTGGTGGACCTATAACCGTAAACACTTGATTTTGTAGCAGAGGAGAAAGAAAGAGAAAGATTTATAAATAGATTCGCAAAACTTACAGCCAGGAACGTAAATATCCACTGGGATAATCCGATCACAGCCCCGAACCACAGAATAACTATAATGATAGTATCCGCCCCCATTCGCACAGCTACCCATACTAATCACATATCGTGGTTCTGGCATCTGATCATAGACTTGTCGTAGGGCAGGCGCCATCTTGTTGGTTAGAGTGCCAGCGACAATCATCAGATCGGACTGTCTCGGGGAAGCTCGAAATAATAGACCGAGACGATCTCCATCGTACCGGGGACCGGCAATATGCATCATCTCCACGGCACAGCAGGCGAGCCCGAAAGTCATGGGGTATATGGAACCCTGCCGGGCCCAATTCACGAGTTGGTCAAGGGTTGTTCTGACGGACGTCAGCCATGGTGGTTTTGTGAATGAGGGGCAAAGTCTAGGGTACAGACAATGCATATTGGACCGGACTATTGGGTGTCTCTTCACTCGGCAAAGGAACGTTTTGCCTGGGCTTTCCGCTGATCGCTAGGGAGGACTGGGATCGTCGGTTGCCTGTACGTTCGAATCTCGTCGTTGATACCCGGAGGGCAAGGAGCTGTTGGGCGATAGCTTTTCGACCTGTACATGTAGCCTCGCTTTAGAAAACTGTGGATTCTAGTCTAGCAGCAGTATATAGGGAGCGGTAACGCACCTTTGAACATAATTGTAGCCATTTGCGAGGCGGATATAACGGCGATGTTAGACTCGGAATCAAACAAGCGAGATCAATTCAGGATTATTCGAAGAAAGTCAGAATGACAAGTTCAGAGTCTTTCTATAAATTCTGGGATTTCGGCTTTTTATTTTTTATATTTATTCTTTTTTTACACTGGTTTGTCCAACATACATAGATTGATTGACCTCATGGACCACGACACCCTAGAAAGGTATATCTTACGAGACTTACGACGTTACCATCATCATACGAGCTTTCTCCACCTTTATGAGGATATTGGGCCACTGATAGAGCAACAAAACAACATAACTCTACGAATGGGCCCTGGCTATCCGTAACGGTTACCGAAAGTTACAATACCAACCCAAGCTTCTCTTCTTGCTTCCACATCTTGCAAAGGCCAACCCTACATGTTCGGCAGGCTCGACATTTCCGGTAGCAGGCGAAACCACATAGGGGACGTGAATCAACTTCCCTCGTGTGAGCTACTAGGAGTGCCGACAGAGCTCTTCGGTAGTTTGGGACTTTGACGGAATATGCCGATCGCTGTTCAGTCAAGAGTGAGGAATGGTGAAGGCCCTCGGATGGATATCGGAAACTACACAAGTGGTCAATATTTCATTTTGCCTCACTAACTGTTCATCATATTTTGTCACATATAGCGTTCATTGTGATCATTTACAAAGAGCTGGACCTTATCTACTGGTGTTTTGGCTAGTTTCTGATACCACTATAACTACTGCACGTTTATGGAGCAATGGCGGTCTTCAGAGCTTCGTTCGACGAGTTACCACTACCTCATGTTTGGAACTTAAGCAAGGGCATTATGTATCATACAATAGGATGGAACCTGAAAGGGAAGAGAAGAGGAAGAAAGACGACACGGAGTGTGGGAAATGTCTGGAGATTCGGGCTAACTAACTCTGATATACTTAGACGGCATTGTTGCCTATCGTTGGGACAACAGGATATCCCAGGCGCTTGCTGTGAGCTAAGAAACCTGTTGCTTAGGAAGAATGATCGAATCGCATTGGATACAACCTTATTTTGTGAGGTGGGATAGTCAGGACTGTAGCCAAAGCTGATGTTCAAGCTGAAGCATAGAGATAGGACACATCCAGAGCTTGAGAGATGATAGTAGAGCGATTGCTCAGAGACCCTGATTTCTGGTTCGACCTCTCTCCTTACGGCATCATGGATATAGAAAACTCTATCGTCAAGGTTATCTTAGGGTTTAGCATCCCTCTTTGGAATGACATGGTGAATATAGTAGGACCTCTTCATGACGCGAGCTAGGCCAGCCATAGGTAGACGCCGGCAAGTTGATGGTATGAATGGTGAAAGATGTATACCATTGCTGAGCTCATTTCAATGCTACAATGGTATCTCCCGTCACAGATCATATTCATGATGAACTGCCATAAAAGAAAGGTGTGCCAGAGAAGCCGAATCTTCGATCAATGAACCACCCTTCATTTGATAGCCCAATCTATTAGTTATTTATACCCCACAGTGACAAGTTTTTGACTTTATGTCGCCGAGCAATCTTGGAAAGGTTCTTATTATCCTATCCAACCCGATTTCTCCACTAACGCTGTAATGGGAGAATCCAACTTGCCCACGGAGTAGCCATACAGGCGCGAGTGATACCTATATGATACGTGAATTGTGCGGCTTTTATTCACTGTGGGCAGTTGCATAAGCGTTCTGGAAGCCCAACAGCCTGATAGCACATATGCATATGACACAGCCTCATCGCGTTGGCCTAAACGCAGCGAAGGTAGTGAATTTAAGCACTGCTAAGCAATAGAGCCATTCAGCGCAACGAATTAGATACATAGGTTGCAGGCTGGCTCTTTGTGTTATGACCGGCCGCCAAGATGATCGTCATGTCTGCTTGATCGTCTCTAAACCTAACCCAGACTCGGCGTTCTTGGCAGCTGCAAAGTCATGGAACAGACTCTCATGTGGATGACATCGAGGAGGGTCAAAATTCACCATATATTGATGGAGGGCGTGTGGTAGGCGTGACTCCGCTTGCCATGACACGTAATAGTGTGATCCTCCGACGGGTAGAAGAAGTCCTGCAAGGGTGCACATTGTACTCCATTCACGCATGGATCAACGTACCAGGTGCAGGTAAGACTTTGATGGATCTGCCATCCTCATATCTCAGCCTCACAGCCTTGTCCGAGGACCAATAGTTAAATGAGGCATATTACCTAACAACTCTGTCAATTTACGGAGGAGTCAAACAGGATCCAGTACGACATCTCGATCTGAGCTTTACCTGACTACAGCACCTCGGCTTCAATTTTCAGCCCAGTGATATCACCGTCCCATCCGAACACCCTGTCAGTGTCAAGATATACAGTGAGCCGAGCCAGTCCGCATCGATGGCCAGAACTTCAAAAACCTCATCGCCACACTGTTACAGTACGAGTTATGACACCAGCTCACTGGTCTCGAACGGGCTGATAGAGTGGAAGAGGCGATAGGATGTAACCCCGGTGGTGGCAGGTTGATGCTGGGGTGAGAGATGATCAGATCTGGAGATATAAACGTGCTCTTCATCCGGGCTATCTTTACCATCAGCAGATTGATCAGAACCTCCAAGAAGCATGATCGCTTGATATTCATCATCGTCATCATCATCATTAGCAACAACATCAACAACAACACCGCCACCACCACGAAACGCGGAAGGAAACGCGAGACAGAATGAAAGTATATTCCTTTATCCTACAATACCTTTCAAAATATCGAGGATAGCTGTATAGGGCTACCTCCATTTGCGCAACAATAGTGCATTCGATACCGGGAGAGGTAGGAATAGTTTTTTAACGCTTATTGTGCTAGCCAATGTCAGGGAACTGAGCATTTTACATATATACATTATATTTCAGGGTTCTCTAGGAGAGGTATGAGGTAAAACAAAGAGCCCTTCTGATTCAGGCAACTGAAGCGGACCTTTTAACATAAAGTACAGAAAGTCATTAGTCATATAATACATGCATATGTACAAGGAACAACGCGGTGGGGCAGAACAAGCGCTAGATGATGCAGTGGACGTCTGAGCCGACTCTCGGCAGGATCACATCAGCCCTCCGCTCGCCGTGTTGTGCTTTTGCGCGGGCTTCCAGAATCCCAACGAATCTTTCATTGACCGCTGCAATTTCGAAGCTCCGCTTGACGGAGAGGTACTTGGGGCCATATCAACAGGCGCCATGACCGGGGATACTTCGAGTCCCATGGAGTCGACCGGGTGGGTTGCGAGATATACAAGCTTTCCCAAGACGGCAAATTCCAACTTCAACTTGATACTGTATACGGTTGCCTTGACGGGCACCTGGACGTAGTAATACCCCGAAAACTGTAACACCAAGAGCGCAATATCCATCGAAATCACAGCAAGATTCATCGCCAGGATCTCGTACATGGTTCGGTTGCGATGTCGGTCGTATCCCGGGCGGAGCCTAATCAGCTTAGCGGTTTCGACGATCCAGAAGGTGGAGATGACGCATTCCTGGACGGAGAACCAGATAACCTGGATGACTTCCATGATGTAGAAGGCCCTCGCCCATACCGTCGGTTTCGAATAGGCGGTGGAGAAGTAAATGATGGACATCGGCGTGGCAAGGAGAATGGTATCAATGATGATAATATAGCGGAGGTAGCGGAGAACGCGATCATTGCGCGACACGAGATGTAACCGGGAGTAGAGGACGACGCTTTGCCCGCCGACCATGAATACCCAGCCCAAGTCGATCGTGACGAGGATCAGCCATAGTGGGCCCAGGTTGTAGAGGTCAATGATGGCACCTATCGAGAAAGGGATGACGCCCAGGGCAGTCGAGAGGAGCATCGACCAGAAGTAGATACCATGGTGATGATGGAAGTTGGCCAGAATCAGGATCAGAAGCTCAATCGCGTTGTATAGAGCAATTGCGAGAAAGGCTGCGCTGGTGGTTTTGATGGTGAAGGTGCCATGTCCACCTAAGGGCTCTAGACGTATGGAAGCCTCGTTTGAGGTTGTGTCCATGGGAATGAGATTCGCATTATACGGTGGTGCATCTGCTGGCTGGTGTGAAGCACTTTAGAGCCGTCGGAATTCTTGCGTTCAGAGATGGATGTGTTTCACAGCAAGTGTGCATTGAAGAGCGTATCTTGATTTGGGGGAGGGGGAAACTGCATGGGCCTCCACGGATCTTGTCCGGCCCCGACCCGAGAGATATGTATTATGCACTTTGAGGAAAATGCGGGGAGCAATGAAATTTCATGAATCATGTCGGTGGTGGGGGTTCTCGTGGGCAACCAGACGACGTGTCAAGTTGCTCGGATTCGTCGTAATAGGAGGATCCACAGCAGTGGATGTCTGGACGAGCGATTTGGTTGGATTTCTACCGATTGCAATTAGCTCCCGTTCCCCCACAATATGGGGAGAAAGACAATGCGGAGGTCCTTATGCTTTGTGTGCAGTTGGATTAATTTGGTACTGCGCGACGATCTTACCAGATTCAATCAGCTTTGGGGTCCTTTTCGACAGACTCAACCTTTTCTTATCGGTGAGAGTTCGGCAGAGGCCTTTGCCGGCGGTAGGTTAGGTGAGGGACTTGAGAAGTTAGGGCACGACGACACGGGCCGCAAATGCCAAGTCAGCAGCGCCGCCACTCGGTTTGCCCTTCGCCGGCATTGTTATTCGTGATAGTCCCGAGATAGAGGGAACTTTAACACCTCGCCGATAATTTTCTTGGCCAAGGTAACCATCCCCAACATGGTTAGATAGTCCTTGTTGAGTGGATCTCTCCCTTGGCCCCAGTTTCCTGCGATGAGATAGGTGGAGAGCAGTAGAGCGAGAGACGCATGACGCCAACAGATCAACACTTCGACTGTCCGTGGAGTTCCGTCTTCTGGTCAAATTGCGAAAGAATATTGAGGGTAGGGGGACTAATTTCAGGCCGATAACCTATTCTGGGTTTTTCGACGAAAAAGTTACGAAACTCTCTCACCTTCCGTGATTTCAACCCAGTTCCTCGCCGACGGAAAACTTTTTCACGCGCCACCACCAGGGCAGAGTGTGTTTCGTGGTCTCGGTGAGCGAAACCTTTTTTCTTAACCTTTTAGGAAAAAAATATCTCAAGTTCTGCCTCCGCATATCAGAACGCGAGAAATTTGATTACATCCAGGGGTCGATTCTTGTTGGAGGACTTTTCATTGGGAGGGACCACTTAGGTTGCATTAGGGTGACATTTAGAGTTCCATTCCTGAACGGGATGGCGTGGAGATTTTGGGCTGAGTCTCTCAGAAGGCCTGAAACTATTTCTCATTGCCTGAGCGCAGAGGGTTCGTGGAATAGCCCTCTAACGGTATCAGGCCTGGGTGATCTGTATTAAAGACTACGGGGATCGACATGACTGGGTGAGGCAACCACGATAATATACTTTCGAGTGCGGCTTTTTCTAGCTTGTTTGTTCCTTTTCCTGTACTCCCTCACAATTCGTGTCTCTCGGATTCTCTTTCTTTTGCCACAGGAGCCTAGTGGTAGGTATAAATTAGCCCAGCATCAAGAAGCGGATATAAGCGAGTCCGTTGAGGGACCTGATTGGCCCGTGGACGTTTCAACTCGTGGGTCTCATTAAAATTGCCGTTTGCATCTTAGCGGGTCAAAAACGGAGGAAATCGAATGAGACTTGATCACGTCTGGGGTCCATGGATCCATATGGGCAGAATTTCCCATAGCCTCAATTGCCCAAAGAGGAATCAAATGCAGCGGTGTTCCCCGCACCGCCTATACTACTCCGTCCAGACACTACTGAGGTTGGTTGCCCTAACTTCGTACTTGCCACTACGCAATGGCTCTGTCTCTCGATTCTCCACATTGGGGATCCCCCAAAATATTATTGACCTGGGGAACCAAAAAAGAAAAGAAAAGAAAAATGGAGTCGGCCGGTTCGGAACGTTTCGTGACTTTTTTTTTTTTTTTTTTTTTTTTTATTCTCTTTTTTCTTTCTTTTTTTTTTTTTTTTTTTTTTTTTTTTTTTTTTTTTTTCGTGACTTTTTTTTTTTTTTTTTTTTGTATTGATTTTCTGGAAATTCGATCATGACGTACTATTTCCCCAAGAAGCGTTCCCAACCTTTCCGAAAACGATGGTATATAAAGGTCTCACGACTGCAAGTTCTCCCTTACCCTAATATCCCAATATCATCAACAATAATTTCCATTCTCTCACCCTCATCATGGATCCATCTACAATAGACACGAAACTTAAGTACGATGAGGAGCCCAATGCCCTTCACCTCGAGAAAGGTGAACTCGTGGAGAATGTTACCCATGATGCCGTGTTTGGAGAGATCTCGGATGAAGGGCCGAACTATCGGAATGTACGTACATTCTTGCCGACGGCAGATGCTGCTCTCGCAGCCAGCATGCAGGACTAACAACAACACCAGGTTGGCTTTCTGGGAACAGTGGTTCTCATGATGAAGACGCAAATTGGGCTGGGTGTGCTCTCCATACCGACCGCCTTTGATGTCCTCGGCATGGTTCCCGGTGTGATCGTGCTAATCGCGATTGCCTGTATCACGACATGGTCCGACTACATGGTCGGTTCCTTCAAGTTGCGCCACCCTGAAGTCTATGGTATCGACGATGCTGGGGCGTTGATGTTTGGTACGCCGGGCCGGGTCGTTCTGGCAGTTTCATTTTGCCTCTGTAAGCGAATCTTCAATTGACTTGTGGCCACGAACGCACATGGCCTGACTGACGTGGCAATAGACTGGATCTTCGTTGCAGGCTCCGGTATCCTGGGGATTTCGATTGGCCTGAATGCGGTCTCCACGCATGGGGCCTGTACCGCGATCTTTGTGGCGGTTGCCGCGATTTTAGGCTTTGCCTGTAGTAGCATCCGAACCCTTGGAAAGATCACTTGGCTTGCATGGATTGGGTTGCCCTGTATTCTGATTGCCAGTCAGTTCCCTTCCCCTGGTTTTCTTCGCCATCATCGACGTGAGAGGTGGTTGATTCAGGGGACGTCTTGTCTAACCTTGTTGCAGTCTTGATTGTCACCATCGCCGTTGGCGTCCAAGATCGCCCGCCCACCGCACCACAGCTCGATGGCCCCTGGGTATCGGATTTCAAAATCATCGGCCATCCGACCTTTGCTCAGGGGATCACCGCGGTGAGCTCCCTCGTCTTCGCATTCTCGGGGACCCCAGGGTTTTTCTCGATTGTATCTGAAATGCGCGATCCTCGCAAGTTCACCCCAGCACTGCTGATCTGTCAAGCCGTCGTGACTGCCGTCTATATTACGATTGGCTGTGTCGTATATTACTACTGTGGATCTTATGTCGCCTCACCCGCCCTCGGCTCTGCTGGTGGACTAATCAAGAAGATCGCCTATGGAATTTCCTTACCAGGCTTAATCGTTACCACCACAATTGTTACTCATGTAAGCCGAATCGCATCGACCCGCCGGTGCAACGCAGCTAATCATTTTTGTCCTACCTACAGATCCCTGCCAAATATATCTTCGTCCATCTGCTTCGCGGCTCGAAACACCTCATCAGCAACAGCGTCACGCACTGGACCGTTTGGCTTGCCTGCACTCTCAGTATGACCGTCATTGCCTATATTATCGCCAGCGCCATCCCCGTGTTTGATGGACTTGTGTCGCTCATCGGTGCTTTACTGGGCACGATGATGTGCTTCCAGCCGATGGGTTGTATGTGGATCTATGACAATTGGCACAAGCGCAGGGAGGGCCCCGTCTCGATCAGGTGGTGGTTGATGGTTGTCTTCAGTGTCTTTGTAGTCGTGTCGGGAACTTTCCTGACCGTGGCAGGAACCTATGGTTCTGTCGTTGGGATTATGGACTCATACAAGAAAGAAGGTGGCTCTGCAGCCTTCACCTGCGCAGACAACTCGGGGTCTGTGTGAAACTGTATATACAATAGCAGAGTGTATAAATGATTAATGGCTAGAGAAAATATCAAATCTCAATATAAACATTTCAAATGACTGTCCCGTATCTTCCATCTGGTCCCAAAGGTAGCATCCGTTGCCAGATTGGAACATGGCCTCAGGAACCCCGGTTTCGCGCTTTCAGGTCATAACAACCTGAGGGTCTGATAGGCCGAACCTTCTCGCCATCTTCTGGCCTTCGCTTTCAGGGTCTTTCCATATTAAATTGAAGCGAATTTCGGCACGATCAGTGGTCCACCCATCTGGAATGCTCTCGAGCTAAATCTATTATATTAGAAAACATTCTTTCATAAGCATATACTCTTCAATAAATAAAACAGCATTTGACTTACAGGGAGGTCCATCATACTATGGGTGCAGACTCTTGCTGGCTGTTGAGAAGAGATTATCTGCGTGAGATAATTGAAGATTTCTCAATGTCAAACGTCAGGATAATGTCCCGACGGAAGCTCACGTACCCTCAACGGAATGAAGAAGTAAGCAGCGGTAGAACTGAATGGCATTATTGTTATAGCTTACCAAAGGTTACTAACCTTTAATAGAAATAGCAGCAGAGTTACCCTCAACGTTGGACAATTTATTGACTTCCATCGTTCTATTATTGGCCAGAATATCTGCTGTATTTGTCACAGTTTTCGAAATAGTCTATACTTATTTCTTTTAGTTCGGCCACTTACTGAATATATACAACAAAATTCTATACTCAAGCTGCCATGATACAAATATTTGCCAGATTGTTATTTAGTAGATTTACCAGTATATTCCTCTATACCATTGTATATAGTAAATCTCTCTTATATTAACGGACTTGCGATATCAATTTTTAATTATATACTATTTGACAAATAGTTTTTTTATCTAGAATAAGTTGTAAGTCTGTATATATTCTTAGAGTATTTGACTCTATTCTAGTAAATCAGATATTAGGAGATAATTATTGGTTATTGTATAGGGAGTAAGGTCTTCAGAAGTAAGGACTTTATATTTAGTTTCTGAAATACCTTAGTGGAAGAAAAGTAGCTTAGTTCCGGCTAGCCGTATTCATTGACTCGCAATCCTGGCTCTATAACAGCCTGTTTATTAATTGCGCTGGATGTATCTTCTTATTATGATCTAGGCACCGAACCTGAGGCAAAGAGGGCAAGGATGAGAATCTAAGATCTGGGAATGTATCGACCTCACTAAATGTATCGTTATATTTGAATCGAGACTGAGCCCACAAGTATGTCGTAGGTTTGCCCGAACACCGCTACGTACTGCTGATGACCGCAGTGCAGTCAGCATATCCGAGAGAAAAGGTAGTAATTAACCTGGGGAAACCGAAAGACCAAGCGGAATTAACAAATAGATAGATGGTCCTGGGCAAAGTCACCCCCAATTCGGCGTTCTGTTGTGCTTGTGCATTTACGACAGGCTTAGCAGATATGGTGCGGTGGGTACAGGCCAACTAGCCATAGTATTGGGTATCGTAGGCTGATTCGAGATAGCCTGCTGAAACTGGATTGGCGGTTCAACTCTTCATCAAACGATAGCGGCCCTACTTTACCCCAAACGTCCAAAAGGAAGCCGATCCCAAGGCTTAGTGCTCTTAGACTGCACCACTGGCCCCACGACGGTCCGCTTGACATTGTCACTGGTCACAAGTCAACGCAGGATCATACGTGAGGGGGGAAATGGACGGAGTATATTACTGAGCCATGGTCGATTAAATTGAAGCCATTGTCCCCCCTGAGTCGGCGCTGACGTGGTCATGGGCCCAGTTCTTCTTGCACCCTCTCCCGTGCGATGGTCCGTTGATCCACCTTTACTGTAGGAATGAACCAAGGAAATTGCGGAAGCTAACCATGGACAGTATTATATAGGAGCGCATTCCAGTAGAAGAGGATCCGAACTCTGCACCACAAGTGATTGTATCTCCCGTGTACCAGGATTCCAAACCCGCGCCACAGGTGTTCTCAATCCAGGATGCACAACCTGAAAATACAGCGCCTCAAGTCTTCGTACCGGATGCAAATGAAAAGTACTTGAGTCCTACCACACACGGCTATGGCGCAGATCCTTCCATACCATATCATGCGACGATTCCGCCATTAGCGACCGACCAGGTGCCAAACAAGAAAAAATGGATGTGGATAGTCGTTGCGGCAGTAGCTTTCGTGGTGATTGTGATCGCGGCCGTTGTGGGAGGAGTTGTTGGTAGTCGCAATGCTCACAAGGACATCGCTGCAAGGTAATCTCTGCCCTTGATGCTCCTATTCGCATGAGAACACACATTTGATTCCCCTGGAAGCAGTGACACGACTGCGACCGCCATCTCGTCATCATCCGCCAACAACACAACCAGCAGCTCATCCACGAGCACCACTCTCACTCGTACTAGTACCACATCCACAAGTACTGCTGGAAAACCTACGCAGACGGACTTCGGGGCGACCGTCCACATGTACGCGAACGGTACCTGTGGTGGAACGGACGATTCCTTCTCCGTCCTGAACTCCAGCTCGCAAAAGTGCGTCGTTGTCCCGTCGGATAAACGCTCAATCCGCGTGACTCAAAATGAGTACGTACCGCATCCCAGGAGCCCTACGATTCGTGAACTAACAGCGTGCCAGTGGCTGCAAGGTGGTCACCTGGAGTGGCAGCAACTGTGCCGGTAGTTCTTACAGAGTCCCGGACACGGACTGCCACGCGGTTCTGTATGCCGCCGTGTCTGTGGATTGTTAGCATAATAAATAGTCACGTGAAGTATAGAATTTTGTAGCGGCCAAGACAGTCGAGTGCCCTTTGGACGTTTAAAAAATGGCAAAGAGAGAATTGTAAATGATCGACATGACAAGCGTCAGATCTCCCGGGACAGAATTTATACTATATGCTCTTATGCAGCGACTAAAATACTCCGTCGTATAGATTAAATGTAGGACAACACTACTATACGAAATCAAAATCTGTATATAACTGACGTGTCTATCCAACATAAAAATGTATCATTACTATACCAGCCTTGGAGCTGCCAAACAAAAGTATACTTGCCATTGACGATATATAGATTGTGTGATTTAGTTCTCAGTGTACGTCAGACCCTCTCTGCAATCGCTTCTCAACCTCGTTGTTGGCTAGCTTGAAGGCACGTGTCAAAGGGAAGAACTCATTTACTTCTCTGGCTAAGCCTTCCGTACATTCAGCGACATTCTGTAGAAGACGTAGGTCTTCTTCGGCTTTCGAAGCCATAGGATCATGAATCAGAGCGCTGGCTACATGAGCGTGAGCGATATACGCTCGGTAATTACCGAGAATGAGGGACATGGCTTCGGGCCCAGGTAGCTTTAGAATGTGGATCATGTGGTGAATGACCTTGAGAATTCTTCGAGATGTTCTCACTGAAAGATCACTCCTGGGGATCATGTCATCATTGTCTGATAACAGTGTCCGATGAGCGTTACCTTGGGGCAACGATGCTTTGCGTAGCATGAAGAGTATGCAGGTGTAACCCGAGAGTGCTAGGTCACCCAGTACCCAGCCATTGACATCGCCTTCTTTATAACTTTCCAGCCAGTTCTCCTGGAACGCATGGTCAGTCACGTTTCCAGGCCTTATCACAGTTAAGTCATGGTAGATGCCGAGAGGGGGCCGCCCTGACTTACGATTTTCCACTCGTCAAAAATCTTCTCCACATCGTCGCATAGGGGATTGACGGCGGCCAGTACATCTGACTGGCCTTTCAAGGTTTCTGAAACTTGAAAATAGCTGATGAGAATGAATGTAAGACGGCTTCTGATGATAAAAGCCATAGTCGGGACGGCCTCATTCCGCTCGTGTGACAGTTCGACGGTGAGGCGCGGCAGGTCTACTCGCCAGTCATGGAGTTGAGATGAGAACACCGCCGGTTTGTCGTTGATCAGACGGAAGAACAGATCCAGATGAATGAGACCCCACATGCCCCTGCGATCACCGTCACTCATCGAGAGTCGATGTTCGGAATGCTCGAGGCCATCAAGGCTATGCATCTGTAATGTCTGGGCGTATTCGCAAGCCAATCTGTGCATCTCCCAACTCAAGGTAAAGTCGAAGTTCTCTGTGGCTGTCTGGGTCTGTTATTTTCGCCCTGCTAGTCAACACACACGGTGATCGAAGGCGTCTGGAAAGTAATTATTTACCATGTACATCGCGGCAATGAAATCTGTGACAGTACAAGTCGCCTCTTGCTGCCAGATTGGAATAGTTCGTTTACAGCAAATAAACACTTGCCTGGCGTAGTGCCGGTCGATAGTGGTGCATGACGTTGGCTTACGGAAGAAAAGTCCTTGCCAAAGGATACAGTAGTAGATGACAAGCATCGAAGCATCAAAATGGACGTGGTCCATGCCAATGAGATCAGGCATCATGTCAATGAGCTTCCGATCTACCATTGCAGGGAGTAGCTTGCCATTGATGTTGGTGAAGTAGTTTAGTAGCGACGAACATCAGCATGGGAACTTCCGAGAGAAGGATTTGATGACTTACTATGGATCCATTGTTTGGCAGAGTCAGGTGGGATAGTAACCGACTCCAAAGTGAGTGTGCTTGCGCCAAAGTTGTGTTTCTTTTTAAGTTGTTGTACGTGGTCGACAGCAGAGCTCAAGATGGACGTGATATCTATTGACGTTGCATCGCTTCGGTTCTCTAGTGCCGACAAGGACGAGAGTGGAGCGGTCAAATCGAGATCCACGCTGCCTCTCGACGCCGGCGATCCATGTGGTCTCGAAGGCCTGAATGACGGGTGTGTATGGAGGCGAGAAAAGTCATGATTTGTTGCATTGTCAAGTGCGGTGACCTGTGCCGGAGGTCTCGGCGTTGTTGTGGAGGTTGGAGAGAAGCTCTTGGCCGTGGTTTGGTTTTCCACATGTTCCAGTCTCTCGAGAATAGCAGACAGAGCACTGTTTTCATCTCTACGTTGAGATCATTTGAGCTCGAGTGTCCACCGTCTGGCAGGAAGGGGACGAGAGGCATACAAGGTGGAGGACCTGATTTTACTCTGAGAGTTTCTGGGCCGCCGGTTGGGATAGGAACATTCCAGTTGCTGAGCAAGACACCTTTGACAGGCAGGAGAGGCGCGATTACATCGGACCTAAAGGACAAGGGAGAAGCTAATTAGCCTGATCGCCCATGATCGCCCGCTACTAGAAGATCGACAACCTTCACGCGGCGGCACGACGTGCACTGTATATCAAACACGCTGTTTTAGCACAGTCCGGATCCATGTTTAATGCTCCAACTCCAGCTTACCGCAAGTCGGTTCTTGGATACCACTGACGCCATGTCATGTCACGCGAGCTAGTATTTTGGTAGAACGGAGCGGAACGGAGGAACTTGAAGTTAACTGCAAGGCCTTAGGTTGTTTGAGTCGGACAGGGCAGTTTGATCACTGACCGGAACTCCAGGAGCCGATTTTCCGATCTTCCGCCCCCCGATTCAAATCCACCGCACTGTTAGTTGTTTGTACGAAAGTCCGTCCTCCCCATCTTTATTGCCTTTGATTCCACATTCCCCGCGTCGGGGAGTCGCTGGACAGTCTCCTTGGCATGCTTCATAACTTATCTAATACTATGACTGACCTTGGTGGGACCAGCGGCGCATTATCGCATTATCGCATTGTCGCACTTTCGCACTTTCGCACTTTCACGCTGTGGGTTGAGTGAGTCGACTCGGTGGAGCCCCTGTATTGTTGAATCTTCTAGCACCAACCTGCTTCCGCCAGTTAGATCGTCGTGCCACAGATTGGTTTCGACGTGAACTGCAAATGTAGCAAAGATGCGTCACGCCTTCGATCCAGGCCCTCGGCGCGTTCGCACACTTCGCACATACCGGCCGCTCACGATGTTGGCTCAGACGACGACATCCAAATTAGGCAGGTCGGCGAAGAAATCGTCTCTGGAGTCTTGAGGGAATGTCAGTCCCTCGGGAGACATATATAGAGAGGATGCGAGGCCCTCATCTCTCTTGCAGCATCTGCGTATTGCTAGCTCGCTGCTGTACAGCTCTCCTCGTCTTAAACCGTGGGATTCAGGAAGCAGCATCCTGGGTTATTGCCGGCTGTTCCGTTGGGGATCAGTATTTCTCTTTTGTCCTTTCTTTTCTCTTCTCTTCGTTGTTCCAGTTCCGGGGGCATTGGACATCAACCGTCCAGAGCTCCCTTGCCTGGGCGGATCATTCACATCATCAGAATGCGCCCTCCAACAGTACCCGGGCAGGAATTGCTGCACAGTGTTCCCCGGCCACCGGAAAGCCATCCCCACTTGGAGAGCACCGACGACGAATCTGAATCAGCGGAACAAGTAGATGATCAGATCAATGACCTTGCCCGGCGTGTCACATCAATCTCGGTCGCACGCGGCGGCCACATCTTCCCTAAGCCAACGGACGACGCGCTTGACCCTAACAGCCCAGACTTCGATAGTAAGAAGTGGGTGACGGCCTTCTATAATAACCAAACCGAAGCCTTGAATGGGACCCCACCCAACTCAGCAGGCCTGGCCTTCAAAAACCTCAACGTCTTTGGTCAAAAGGCCGAAGCAGAGCACCAGAGAACTGTTGAAGACTTCATACATGGCCCCTTACAGGCTGTTCGCCGTCTTTTTGGATCTAGAAAGCAGCAGCGGATCGATATATTACGGGGTCTAGAAGGCGTCATGGAAAGCGGCGAGATGCTCTGCGTTCTGGGTCCTCCCGGATCTGGGTGTTCCACCTTTCTGAAAACGATTGCGGGCGAAACGTATGGCTTCGAGGTTGCTGACGGCAGCACACTCAACTATCAAGGCCTCGGGAAGGCGGACATCGAAAAAGCCTTTAAGGGAGAGGCTATCTATACCGCGGAGGTGGACTACCATTTCCCCAAACTCACTGTTGGTGAGACTCTCTACTTCGCTGCTCGAGCTCGCTGCCCGCAAAGGTTGGCACACTGTAAACATGAATACGCAGAGCATCTGCGTGATGTGGTCATGGCAATGCTGGGCATTTCACACACCAAGAATACTCGTGTGGGTGACGACTTCATCCGAGGCGTCAGTGGTGGCGAGCGTAAGCGTGTGAGCATTGCGGAAGCTATTCTCAGCTACTCACCATGGCAATGTTGGGATAATAGTACTCGCGGTCTGGATTCGGCCAACGCGGTCTCGTTCTGTCGCACCCTCCGGCTTCAGTCGGAGACCTTCGGCAGCAGTGTATGCGTAGCCATTTACCAAGCTCCTCAGGAAGCATATAATGTGAGTCCACGTCAACTAGGGTATCGTTGAATGGTGTCGGGACCCGCGGATGCTGACTTCTGATTCTAGATCTTTGACAAAGTCATTGTCCTTTATGAAGGGCGACAGATCTTTTTCGGCAGGACCTCGGAGGCCAAGGCATATTTTGAGGGCTTAGGATTTGAGTGCCCAGCGCAGCAGACCACGCCGGATTTCTTGACTTCGATGACAAGCCCGTCTGAGAGGATTGTTAAACCTGGCTGGGAAGAACAGACACCGCGCAGTCCAGACGAATTCGCCCGTGCTTGGCGTGAAAGCCAACACCGTCAGTCCCTGGTAAATGAAATTGAAGCATTCGAGACACGCTTTCCCGTCGGCGGGAGTCAATTTGAACAGTTTCGTGTCGCCAGAACCGCGCAGAAATCCAGGTCACTTCGCGCCGCCTCTCCATTCACGCTTTCTCTGGCCAACCAGTTCCTCTTGAATCTCTGGAGGAGCTACAGGCTCTTGATCGCTGATCCTTGGTTTTGGGTTACTTTACTGTTCGCAAATTTCTTCGAGTCCATTGTCGTTGCCAGTATCTTTTACAATATGCCACCAGATAGCTCCAGTATATTTCGTCGAAACCTTCTGATCTTCTATGCCCTCATGATCAATGTCTGGACTGCCGCCCTAGAGATCCTCACCCTCTACTCCAAGAGAAAGATCGTCGAAAAGCACGTACGGTACGCACTTTACCATCCAAGTATGGAAGCGTTGGCATCGATTGCGATGGATATTCCGTTTAAGCTCGTCAATGCGGTTTGTATCAACGTTACTCTTTATTTCATGTGCAATCTTCGGCGAGAGCCTGGGCCCTTCTTCTTCTTCTACCTGCTTGCTTTCACTATCACAATCACGATGTCAATGTTCTTCCGGTTCCTTGCTTCCGTTACAAAAACCATCTCTCAGGCTCTCGCACCATGTGCTATCGTCATCCTGGGTCTCATGTTGTATGGCGGCTTCATCATTCCCCAAGCCTATTTGGCTGATTGGATTGGCTGGCTGCGGTGGATCAACCCTTTGTTTTACGTTCAGGAGAGTCTTTCCCTGAGCGAGTTTGTTGGGCGAAAATTCTCCTGTGTAGAATTTGTGCCCAGCGGCCCCAGCTACCCAACAGAGTCGATTCCGCCTTTGGGTCAGGTATGTTCTGTTGAGGGATCTATTGCCGGCGAGCGTTTTGTGGATGGTAGCGTACATTTGCGCGTGATGTACGGATTTATCGACAGTCATCGTTGGCGAAACTTCGGCATTCTTATCGGTATTACTGTCTTTTTCCTTGTGATTCACTTGATAGCGGTAGAACTGATCTCATCGGAGCGCTCAAAGGGTGAGATTCTCGTCTACCCCCGCCAAGTGCTTCAAAGGCGTGGCACTGGTGGCCACGATGAGGAGAAGATGTGTTCTACATCAGAGGTCCGGTCCCAGGAGCGATACATCCAGACGGATGAAGTTAAGGGCATCGAGAAACAAACATGTATATTCCACTGGCAAGATGTTTGTTACACTATCAAGATCAAGAATGAGACCCGGGCAATTCTTGACCATGTGGATGGTTGGGTGAAACCAGGCACATTAACGGCATTGATGGTGAGCATTTCCCCTTCTAGTTCAATTAGTTTCCTCTAACATCTATTAGGGGGTTTCGGGGGCTGGAAAAACCACACTTTTGGATGTATTGGCCAACCGTGTGACAATGGGCGTCATTTCAGGCCGAATGCTAGTTGACGGCCATCCTCGAGACTCTTCTTTCCAACGGAAGACCGGGTACGTTACCCAGCAAGATCTAAACCTTCACACGTCAACAGTACGGGAAGCTTTACAATTTAGCGCGCTGCTGCGGCAGCCAGCTCGGTACAGCCGCCAAGAAAAGCTCGACTATGTGAACGAGGTGATCAGCTTGGTTGACCTCGAGGACTGCGCAGATGCTGTGGTCGGATGTACAGGTGAGGGTCTGAATGTTGAGCAGAGGAAACGCTTGACTATAGGTGTTGAGTTGGCAGCGCGTCCACAGCTATTGCTGTTCCTGGATGAACCGACTTCCGGTCTCGATAGCCAGACATCATGGGCCATCTGTGACCTGATGGAGAAGTTGACGAGGAGTGGCCAAGCGATTCTGTGTACGATCCATCAGCCATCAGCGGCACTATTCCAACGCTTCGATCGCTTGCTACTCCTGGCTAAGGGCGGTCACACGGTGTACTTTGGTGAGGTGGGCAAGGAATCATCGACACTCATTGACTACTTCGCCCGTAACGGAGCTCCGCAATTCAGTCCCGGAACCAACCCAGCGGAATACATGCTGGAGGTTGTGGGAGCCACTTCAAAACACGGGAGCAACATTGACTGGCCAGCTGTTTGGCGCGCAAGTCCTGAATATCAGGATGTACGTCGCGAGCTTGAGCGGCTGACTTCTCAGGGCCAGGGCAGATCTGCGGATCCCGATCCTGCAGCCTTAGCAGAATTTGCTGCCAGCTTTCCTACCCAGCTGGCTGAGGTTACGAAGCGTGTCTTCCAGCAATATTGGAGAACCCCAAGCTATATATTCTCCAAGATTATTCTGAGCGCTGGCTCGGTATGTACTACTCCTCTTCTCACAGAGTGTCTCATGACTTATATTCCGCACAGGCGTTATTCATCGGACTGTCACAGGTCAATGGGGAGGTTTCGCAACGCGGTCTCTTCAACCAAATGCTAGCGACATATATCTTTCTTTTCATTTTCAGTCAAGTGGTCGAACAGATCCTGCCTATGTTCGTTTCTCAGCGCACCCTTTATGAAGCCCGGGAGAGACCTGCCAAAGCTTACTCCTGGGTTGTCTTTCTTACTGGCAATATCATCGTTGAGCTGGCGTGGAACTCGGTGAGACCCAATCCACCGGGGTATCTTGTTCTAATTATGCTGACTATGTGCCAGCTTATGGCTATTTTCTCCTTCCTGTTTTGGTACTTTCCGATGGGTCTCTATCGCAATGCAGAGTGGACGGATGCTGTCCATTCGCGTGGTATCGCCACTTGTCTACACCTCTGGATCTTCTTCGCTTTCACCAGCACATTCGCGAACATGCTCATTGCTGGCATTGAGACGGAGCAAGTCGCCGGTGGATTCCTCAATTTCTTCTTCAACATCATGTTTGCCTTTGCAGGGTATGTACCACCCCAGCTAATCCATTTCTTGAACGGAGTGTCCTAACTGTGTCCTTTCAGTATTCTTGCTGGGCCTGGTGAGCTTCCAGGGTTCTGGATATTCATGTACCGTGTCAACCCCTTCACCTATGTGATGGAAAGCTTTCTCGGCACAGCTCTTGCCGACGCGCCCGTTACTTGCACGGTCAGCGAACTCGTCCACTTCGAGGCCCCCAACGGAATGTCTTGTGGAGAGTACGTCGCACCATACATCGCAGCGAAGGGAGGGTATCTGCTCGACAACAGCACCAGCAGCTGCAGCTTTTGTGGCATGGCCAACAGCAACTCCTTTTTAGCTGAGATGAACTTAAGCTTCGACAATAGGTGGCGGGATTTTGGATTCATGTGGGCATTCTGTGTGTTTAATATCGCTGCTGCAGTTGGTCTGTACTGGCTTATGCGTGTGCCCAAGAGGAAGGCTGGGGAGTGAAAAGCATCTTGATGAGCTTGCACCCCCCGTGCCAATATATAGAACGAACTACGATCAAAGAATATAACTGAAAATATCTATCAGACTTGACTCTCAATATAAATCCAGTATCACCAGTGGATTATTTACAGCAGTACCTAGTTCATAAGTTGGATGGTGCACTGTATATATATTTCGGAGCTCCATAGGGCTAGATAGGTAGAGTAACTAGCAACAAAGTACACTAAACTAAGAGAGTTGTGCCTTTTAAGCTAGCACATATTCCAATAGACATAATATAGTATCAGAAATAATTACTATAATTAAAAAGTATTAAGAGCCAAAAAAAAAGGGGATTTTTCCACAGTCTTCTATCTAATGAAAATTGGATTATGATCAGCCCCACAAAAGGTTTCTCTCTTGACTGCCCGAATGCGGTAATTTCCATCGACCTCCATCTCCACGAATCTCGGGTTTCTTTTAGTTTGATAACCTTCTTAGTTTCGAAATCTCTTCTTATTACCCCAATATGGCAGGTTCATGTATCCCAGCCAAAGTAGGTGTGGTGTCTTCATTCTTATCATGATTCCACTTTCTCTGTCTACGAGCTATATCTACACGGTCGCTCCCCATGCCCACTGCCGACCATACTAATTACTTCGTCTTCTAAGAGCCGGTGCCCTTAATATTATCCGAGCCAGTAATATAGCCCAGTCCGAATACAAGATGACTTCGCGTGACGGGTATCAGTGGACTGCGACGACAGGTCTACGTCAAGGCGTACCATCTATTAGTGTCATATCACCTTCCACGAACGTGCTGTCAACAGCCGAGGACTGGGATGTAATCGTGGTCGGGGCGGGATATTCGGGTCTCACGGCATCCCGAGATGCCTGCCTCGCAGGTACGCCACCCGTTCTGTCAGGGGAAATAAACAGATGAGCTGACCTCGAACGTAACCACAGGACTTAAAGTACTTCTCCTCGAAGCGCGCGATCGCATTGGGGGTCGTTCCTGGTCTTCCAACATTGGCGGTTATCCATTTGAGATGGGAGGGACTTGGCTAAGCTGGGGGCAACCGCATATTTGGCGAGAAGTCTCCCGGTACCAAATGCGAAGCGAATTGGAGCCGTCCTTTGATTTCTCTCGGGGCGTGAATCACTTCGAACTGCGCACTAGCCGTCAAGGCTCAGCAACATTTAGCCATCTCGAAGAGGTTTGTTCATCCCACCATGAGAACCGTCCTAAATCAAGATCCTCAGTTGACCATCCCAAGGATGCCCTCCTTGCCGGTGCATTGCAAAAGTTCGTTGATGTAGACGGCGCGATGGGCCGGGAAATCATTCCCTATCCGCACGACGCCTTCCACAACCCTGCGGCCCGGCAATACGATGACATGTCAGCTTTGGATCGTCTCAATACGCTGGCCCAGTCACTGACGCCAAATGAACGCGCTGTATTAGAGAGCTTCATCCTGCTCTGCAGCTGTGGGACTCTTGAAACGACCAGCTTCTTTGAGTTCCTTCATTGGTGGGCTTTATGCGACTACTCCTATAAGGGGTGTCTGCAGCATCTAATTTCATACAAGTTCAAAGGTGGGCAGTCCAGCTTCGCTATCAAATTCTTTCGCGAAGCATTAGCCACGGGGCGGTTATCATACACCTTCAACAGCCCCGTTCAGGCGATTAATGACCATGGCGACAGGGTTGTGTTAAAAACCCGCGATGGCCGCCAGTATGGTGGTGCCCGTCTGGTGTCTACGATTCCATTGAACGTGCTCAATTCTGTCATCTTTTCCCCTCCACTGAGTCCACAGCGCACAGCTGCCGCGAGTATCGGCCATGTTAACCAGTGCGTCAAGGTCCACGCAGAGGTCTCCAGTCCCGACATGCGGTCCTGGTCGGGAATTTCGTACCCGTTTAACAAGCTGGCTTATGCCATCGGAGATGGTACCACGCCCGCAGGAAACACACACATTGTGTGCTTCGGGGGTGCACATAACCACATCCAACCCGAAGAGAACATTGACGAGACTAAAAGGGCGGTGGAGGACATGTCTCCTGGGAATATGGATATCAAGCGATTGGTGGGTTTCGGACGTGATATAAAACAAATCAAGTTGCTGACTTTCAATCCTGCAGGTGTTTCACAACTGGTGCAAGGATGAATTTGCCAGGGGCGCATGGTTCTTTTCGCCCCCACAGCTTCTGTCCCAGTCATTAGACGAACTCAGGTGCCGGCATGGAAACGTGCTCTTTGCGAACTCGGACTGGGCAGTTGGCTGGCGCAGCTTCATCGACGGCGCTATAGAGGAGGGCACTCGGGCAGCGGTGACAGTGATAGAGGAGTTGCGACAACCCCCGGTCGCTCGTTCTCATTTATAGGTCCAGCCCCTACTAGGGACTCCGTAATATGATAGGTCATGAAGATGTGCAAGAATATGTCGAGGAGCCACTCCCTTGCGTATCCCTCGTTAAGTTCGAAATCTTGGCGTACTGTATGCACACAATGTCTGTAGTATGAAACTTAAACGTATTGTGCCTTGACAGTCCTGTCCAGCCGGATTATATTGTTCCTTTGCAAACATGCGCCTATCGTCTCGTTGGTGGCGACATTTCGTACCTTAGCTAATGTAACGAAGCACCACGAGGGACCATATGGATCCTTAGACGTCATTGGACTAATCTTTACCTTTGCCAAGGACATAAAGGAAGCTGATGAGGGTCGAAGAACTCAGTAACTCTGTTTTTTTTGGGGATATTCTTTCTCTCCTTTTTTACCGAATTTGGTAATCCGGGGAAAGTTAATTCGAACCCCGCAAAAGCCACGATATGGTCGGAGATGCCACTCTTCGTTGATTCTTGGTACATATACTTCCCTCTGGGAGGTCTATGGAGGTAAAAGACACACATGGCTATCACTTTGCTGGTGGTATAATCTCGACTTGTTATCTACCAGCAGCAATCGAGCTTCTCTTCTATAGTCCACCTACCATGGACTCGTCTGAAACAAAAGCCAAGCACGGTATGGAGTAAACCGTTCCTGAAAGAATAGCTAACATGCATGTCACTAAACCACGCTCACTGGCCCAACAGAATATCTCGATGCCGAAAGACGTGAGTGTCTGGGTTGCTGAGCCTCCGAATACCGTGCCATGACTCACTCTCATCCCACGCAGAATCTATCCAACATGGTGACCTGGATTGTCTGGAGGGTCTCAACTTTCAACCAGAAGGCACGCGGAAACTGACCCCTCTACAAACTATATCCGCCAGCTGGATTATTTGTGACAGCTGGGCGGGGGTTGCTGCCACGGTGGCTCTTGCAATCGTTCAGGGTGGGCCCGTAACTCTTGTCTATGGGTTGATTCTGATCTTCTTCCTGGTTGGTGCTTGTACCCTGACCCTGGCGGAGCTCGCAAGTACCTATCCAACAGCTGGCGGGCAGTATCATTGGACGAGCATTCTGGCTCCTATACGTCTAAGTCGGGCATTGGTATGTCCTCCCGTTCACTAGATATCAGCCCAGGTAAAGATTGATGTGGTAACTAGAGTTATTGCTGTGGTGTCTCGAACATGCTTGCGTGGATTGCTATCTGCACTGGGATTGCCATCATTCCAGCACAGCTCATCCTCGGGATTGTCCTCTTCTATGACCCGGAGTATCAAGCGCAGCCGTGGCACTATTTCTTAATCTACCAGTCCATTAATGGGCTGGTCCTGTTGTATAATACAACTCTGTTGAAGACGTCTCTCTGGTTTCATGACGTATCGTGTAAGTCTTCTTTCTTCTTGGCCCAGGACCAGGTTAGGGCATCTAATGAGGCTGGCAGTCATCGTGACCCTCGCAAGTTTCGTCATTATTATGGTGACTTGCCTAGCTCGCTCGGCGTCTCACTATGAGGCATCAAGTGTCGTATGGGCGACCTTTCTCAATGGTAGCGGATGGAACTCGGGCGGAGTGGCTTTTCTCACGGGGCTTGTCTCTCCTAACTACATGTACGCAGGTATTGACGGGGCCTTGCACTTGGCCGAAGAGTGCCAGAATGCGACCACCGCCGTTCCTCGTGCTCTGATGAGTACACTGATTATTGGCTTTGTCACGTCCTTTGCCTTCATGATCACGATGCTGTACTGCACCAGTGATTTGGATACTGTGGTGGCAACCTCTACCAGGTCAGCTACCGTGGCCTACTCTTTTCACCTTGCACGCTTGAACACTAATCTGACCTTGTCAGCAGAGTTCCCATTTACGAAATGTGGCATCAGGCCACACGCTCCACCTCGGCCGCTACTGTGTTCATTTGCCTCCTGCTGCTTGCAGCTGTCTTCGCTCTCACCGGTGCTCAACAAACAGCATCGCGTCTGACCTGGTCCTTAGCGAGAGACCGGGCTCTCATTGGGAGTCAGTGGATCGGAAAGTTACATGACACCCTAGAGGTCCCGGTCTGGGCTCTGGTTTTCAACTATGCTGTTATGTTCCTCATCGGGTGTATCTACTTAGGATCGTCATCTGCATTTAATGCCTTTATCGGTACCGGTTTAGTTCTACAGCACATTTCATACGCTTTCCCGGCAGCATTGCTGCTCTATCGATGTCGATCGACGACTTGGCTGCCGGATCTGCGCCCCTTCCGGTTGCCTCGTCCAGTGGGTTGGGGAGCCAATGTGATAACGGTGTGCTTCGCCGTGCTGGTCTTGGTCTTCTATGACTTCCCAACTGTGATGCCGGTCACTGGCAGTAGTATGAGTGAGTTCGCCTACTACCCCGTCCCTTGTCCCAGATAGCCTGTTATTGACCTCTGGGACGGAAATTCCAGATTATACACCTGCAGTGCTCGGTGCCATGGCTATTGTGGCTGGCATCAATTGGCTGGTATATGCACGAAAGTGGTATCAGGGTCCACGACTTCGTAGATCTAATCAGGAAACACAGAAATAATGTACATGCTAGAGTACTGCTATGGTTTATCTTGAATTTGTATCTTTTTAGTCCTAATATGATTATATCGGAGGGATTCCACAGCATAACCTAACCTTAGATTAAGAAAGATAGCTTACTGAATGTGCCTTTATAATACAATATAATCAAGCGGTGCTCCTTGTTCTAAATAGTGCGGGGTACCTAATAAATAGAAATCTAATCTACGTCCTAGTGCTAATACTAATACTACTAAAGAGCACTGCGGGCTCAATAGTCTCAGAGTCCAGATACCAAATCTCTCTCCACCACTCCCACATCTGGGCACCCAGACATCCATACCTAGACGGGCTAGCTCATTCATGCCTGCACTGGTTGATCAGGTGGTCTTCCCTCTGCTTACCTTTTGCTGTGACATGTGGCGAAATCCTATTCGATGAGGTGACAGCCTCGTCCATGGAAGACGTCCTAGATTCATTTTTAGGCATGAAATATTTGTGGCCTCAACATATTTGCCTTGGAATCTATTCCTGTCAGAGCCTGGCGACTGATTGGAAACCCGAGTCTATAATGTTCCAAAACCAGCAATCTCTTGCGAGTCGAGGGTCTCTATCGTATCAAGAGCTCCCTAATACCTCTGGGGATACCCAAACGTATTCAGACAATTTCACTCACAGCGATACGGCGGGATACGGCGACAATCGTCAACAATCTCTCTTTGGAGAACCCCATGCCCCCGTCCCAAACCATCCACCCCCTACTACTACAAGCAGCTTGGACCATCCCCAGCTAGCGAGTCACCGATACCCGGTCAAGAGGCTGCGACGCCTACCGCTTAGTGACTCAGCATCTGCTAGTTTTCGCACGGAAAGAAGCTATCTTAAGTCCCAAAAGTATATGGAGTATAGGGCACGGCCGCGCCGGGATACTGGTAAGGATGGGGAGCCAGTATGGTCGGACGAGCTGGAGGACGCATTTCAGGAAGGTACGCAGCATCATTTGCCGACTCTAAGAAGAAACTAATGGTCGCTATAGCCCTTGAGGCAAACCCACCCATGGGGAGGAGAAAATGCTACGAACGTGGGAAGTCGTATGGTCGAAATGAACTGATTGCGAATTATGTCTATAAATCAACAGGCAAGCGGAGGACGAGGGTACAGGTATCAAGCCATTTGCAAGTCCTTGATTCTTTCCTCAAGGGTAACCCAGACTGTAAGTTTCAACAATACCAGGATATAGTCCTCTGCGTGATGTAACGACAGCTCTAGGGGAAAGGCTAGTTCGAGGACAACCGGCCGGCCACTCAAATAGCCAGACCGACCCTTCTGGTCCTAGATGGAGATCGTCGATAGATACCTCACCTTCTAACCACTGCAGTAACAATACCAATCCATCATACCCTGAACGGTTGAGCCTAATGATGCCGAACTCTCGGGAGTTCCCACTACCACAACGTGGCTGTACAACGACCCACCAAGATTCATACGTCGATGTAGTCCAATGCCTTAAATTCGACATGTGGGCCACTGCTCCGACGATGCCAGAAGGTATGGAGCATGCCTTCCATGTGTATACCCGCCTCATGGGAAACCAGCGGGAAGCACCTATGCCCTTGGAGAATTTAACGAACTGGCGAACGTCCTTTCCACGCCTGAACTCCTCGCCCTTAGATGTTAACGACTCCTTGAACTGCGAAATATTACTTATCGAGGCTAGTCTTAAGTTGATGGATGACTTTCCTCCTGTGGGGTCAAAGTTAGGAATCTCCCTGGAGCTTGACATTGCCAGTCCTACGTCGGGCGAAGCACCGATGAGCAACCAGATGGAGAATTGGAGTTGCTCCACTTACCTATACGAGGATGGCCAGTCCGCGTTTATATCAAAGCACAACTTGCCTAAGCAGCACGCCACAAAGGTCAAACCCCCGTTTGAGTCGTCGTGGTGGGTAAAGGTGTTCACGTCCCTTACAGAGGAAAAGCTACAGGCCGAATCCAGCGGGCGTCACCATGTGGCTGAGGAGCGTAGTAGACAGTACTTCCGCACCCTGACCGCAGTTCAGGAGATCTGTGCCAGTAAGCCTGCCAGTCTGCCACGGCTGCACAATCGATGCCCAGATTCTTCCAGCGATGAAGGCAAGAGAATGGCTATCATCCTCTGGAAGTTTCACCAGGCGCGCCCAAATGAGGTCGGCGCCACCATATGGCGTAGACTAATCACTTCCCCAAGCCGTACCTTTACCAATAGCCCTAGACCAACCAATCCAATTATCCTTCCTCGTCTTTCTTCTTTAGATTCAGCTCTACCGAGCAGCCGGCCGATTCCCAACACGTACCAGGCCACTCAGACTCATGTTCCACTGGTGGACTGGCCGTTTGACATGCTTAGCATTAACAAATCAGAAGAAGGGTTGTCCGCTAAGAGGAACTCAGCTTGGACACTTGACCCATTTCCTAGCCTGCAGCAGCAGACTAGCTTCGACGTCTCCATTAGCACACCCATGAGGCCACCTACCCCGCCTCTACCACAAAAAAGTGTTACGACCTACGGTCTCGGCCACGAGAGCCATTCGGTATGCCGGGACGATCTGGTGGGGATTATGGGGGCCATGTCTGGTGATGGTGGTACAAATAGGGCACGTCTCCAATCTCCTTTGGAGGATAACTTGAGGATGGAATCCACCGGCCAGGACACATTTTCACAAGATTGGCATCCAGGTGGGCCAAAAGCTTCGGCAAAGGACGCTCCTAGTGCAGGCGACGGCGCAAATACCTGGCAATTTACACAAACTGGAGGAATTACGGATTCAGGCTATGCATCTACAAGAGTAGATACATATGGATGCATCAAGAGCGGCAGGAATATTCAACCTGAACTTCCTTCTGATTCGGGATACGTATCAGTAGAGCAACTCCCAACGCCACAGACACAAACCTCACTGCAAATGGACGCAGCCAAGACGGTTTACTCTGACACATCGAGTGTTACTACTTTGCCAAAGTAGAGCCACATATCTGAATTGGCTGAAGATTGGTTTACAAAAGCTGTTTCCTGGCAGCCTGATGCGCAGACAATGAAGAGAATTTCCCGAAGCCAGCCTTGAATTACTCAAAGCTTTCGCTCTTAAGCTTGTCCACAAAGTGCCTAGTCAGATGCACCGTGATATTATGGTTTTTATCCACAAGAGTCGAGAGTGAGTACAACACCCCAAACATTTAATATAGAATTTAGTCCTAACTTTGGTTATTTCTCAGCAAAATTGTGAGCTGCTTCAAGGATATGTACTCTCATCAGGAACAGAATCTTTCCGATGTCGGCAGTGGCAAGCCAGGAGGAATGCCCCTGGATGAGAAATGGACATTCTGGAATAAACACCTAGAAGAGCAGCAAGATCCCATCCCACGTTCTCCTAGCATCAATGAACCAATATTCAGCAATGAAGATGCAGGGGAAGGGCAGAAAGAACAAATGAGCATTCCTGAAGCAATCACATATAAGGATTTCATTTTCAATGTCACGCCGTACGAATGGCTTCTTGCAAGCTTGCGCAGAGAGTCCCTTTTGGCTCCAGCCGAGCCAAATCTTATGGAGACAACCAGGAGGAAAGTTCTTACATCACTGTCATCTTCTCACAAGATCAGCAGAAAGATATCTGCAGAAGCTTATGCCGTGACTTTTGTGATCGAATGGGATGCATCATCTTTTCTCAATGAGCAAGGGTATAAGGAGGAGCCAGGTGAGGCAGTTGAGAGAGCGATTACACTTACAGGATCGGCCGAAGATGCACAGGCTTCGCATTGTGCACAATACTTGTGCCAGACCTGGCCCTCAACTTTGAAATGGAAGCAGCTGGCATTATGAATGCCGTTTTGAGTCTTGTTATTCGAGGAATATGTGACTATGTGGATTCCCATAAGAACGAGTTGTGGCAGGAGTATGCGTGCGCTACAACTGCAGCATATGCTAAGATGCTTCGTTCCGTAGCATAGGCCTGCAGATATGTCCAGAAGCTACACAGAGCTCGTGGGGTCGAACAATCTACCACGTCCATGGCGGCAGCATGAGGATGGGCAATCGCTTCTGCAACCTCAGTGGTATTCTCAAATTCGTCCGCCACTAAGTACGATGGTATATGCACGAGTATCGACTACAGACTAACCCCACAGCATTTCTTCCCCTGCTCGGGTCTCTCAGGCCAATGAAGCGTTAGGGATGTCTTTCTCTAGTGTCGATAGCTCTATGCTGAGATTCATGGCAATGCCACATACCATCAAATGCCTTACTATAACAAACCGATGATTCTCTGTAGTAACGCTTCCTTAAAGATGTCAACGAACATGAGCCCTAACGAGCAAAGGTCCCTGCAGGTCACTGATTCCAACACTAAAAAGCTTCGGGATTCTGCCTTTATACATGCCCTTCTCCACATCCACCCGCTCCCGCTCATCAGCTAGCTCAAACGTAAACTCCTTAAGCAGTGTACTAAGCAACTTGTATATATTGGTAGTCGCCACAGTCTTCCCAATACACTGTCGGCCACCCAGTCCAAAATGCATCAGGAGCCGGGCTTTAGCGCTTATATCTGGACTGTCCCAGCGATTGGGATTGAATATATTATGATCCTCCCCCCAGACAGTCGGGTTGTGGTGGAATGCGTGGTTGCATACAGCGAGTGACGTCTTAGTTCAAATGATAGTTAGGTCCCGAGCAAACCATGTTTGAGATTCGACTAAACTCACCCCTTGAGGGAAGTATTCGCCTTCTATTGTTACTCCGGCGGGATCAGTAACACGACGTGCTAACGGCATCGTGAACACCGGGGTAATGCGGAAGTTCTCTCGAATACAGTTTCGTAAGAATGGCAGAGAGGCTTCTGCGACTGTAATCGAGTACGCAGTCTCGGTCCGTTCAAGGGACGGAAGGTTAGAGTCGATCTCCTCAACGCATATTCTCATGAGCTCAGGGTTGTGGAGAAGATGATAGAAGAGAAGTGTAGATGTGGCGCTTGTTGTGTGGGTTCCGGCAATTCTATGAGATAGTTAACCCGAGGTTACCAGAGAACTAAATTGGTGTGTTGTACATGAAACCAAATGCCTCCGTTTCCAGATCAGTTGGCGTCAGCCTTTCGCCCGTCTCAGGGTGTTTCGCCTTGATCAGGTCAGTCAGGATATCCTTCCTATCCTGTATTCCCACTGAAGTTCCATCATTCTTTAGGTCCCTCAGCCGTCGTTGAACGCATCTCGACGCAAGATCTGCACAAGCCTTGCGGCCAGCAAAGAGCCGCCGAAGGCCTGCGTGTGGTACGTAGGGGAGCCACCGTTTCAAGGTCATTGTCATGGCAGGCCATGCGCCAGTGACAGCCGCTAGAAAGCTATGCTCGATCACCGGCGGGATAAGTGACTCGTCATCGGCCTCTTGCACACCGAAAGATTGGCTAAATGCGAGCTCGCCCAAGACGTCGATTACATAGTAATGCAAAGTTTTCTTTAGGTCAAATATTTCCCCTCTCTCACTGTACGATCTAACCTTATTTTTCAGAATGCGTATGTTTAAGTCAAGATACTCTTCCATTTCCTTAATGTAGTTTAAAGAAAAGCTGTGAGACATATGACGCCGCCTTATTGAGTGCATCTAGAACCATGAGTTACAAAAGCTTTTCATTCTCCAGCCGGAGACTTACTACTTCATCTCGCATCCCAAACACATTTGGATGAGCAGCCCCATATGCATCATAGAACTCGGTCTTCGGCATCGATTTGGCGCTTTTCCGATAGATTATGGGGATAGCACTCTCGTGCGTGATGCTGAGCTTGTCCGGTCCGTATCTAACGATGGGGCCGTATCGTTCGTGGAGTGTGGTCAGATGATATGGTTGCTGTAGAGACAGGAACTGGTGAACCTGCCATAGATCTGTGATACTGGCAAGGAATGGACCTGGGTATTTCGCCAGTGGGTGCAGGTATCGTTGATAAACGACATATCCAACAACGGTGGCGGCAAGGAAAGCGCTACCCGCAGCCAACGGCGACTCTAATACGATACTCTGAATAAATGTCATGATGGCCTACCGTAAGTACCAATCAGTAGGAGTTTCCCCCCTCGTGTAGTGCAAGATCTGTACTACTATATATATTCGACTTTGGGGATTCCTCGGGTAAGCACGACGTAGCCGAGTTTCTATGGTAACTACACTCTTCACCACCCCACAACAACATGTGCATGATCACCGCAAGTTATCCCAGAGCTACAGACCAATAGTGCGTATCCAACTGCATTTCTCATAAGGTCCGATCTGATATGCTCGGGTTCAAAAACATGCGGGAGGCGGTGATCCGATTGGTCAAGTTGCGTGGGGGAGTCCCCGTGACCTGGGGAGATGTCGGAGGGATCGCCATGGGAAAGACACGAAAGGCTGGATGGATGTTGTTTGCTGCCATGTAGTAACGCTTGAGATATAGAAGAGAAAAAATGCGCGGGATGCGTCGAACAGAGATGGCCTGTGTCGAGTGCCGTCGCCGTAAACTCAAGGCGAGTGGCCCCATTGTAGCAATCCGGATCGCAGACCTAACGTCCGGCAGTGTGAAGGTACGAGGCCAAGGTGCTCCAGATGTCACAACTTACGCCTGGAGTGCTCATATAAGCCCCTTCAGAAGGGCCGTAATGCGGCCAGGTTGGGATGGTGAGTCTCCCGCCTCCCTTGGTGTGAATAGTCTACTTCGCTTCGTACGCATGACGCTAGTAGTTCTTTTTTACCTCAAATAACGTCTACATATTGCTACTAGACTATGGTGCTAATAAGAAGGAGGGGAAATAGTCTTTAGACACCATGATCCTGGGTATCTCTATATGTCTTGTCGAAGCATATTTAGCGACTACATTTCCCAACCTACTACATGCGCAAACCTAGAATAGGTGCTGCGAGAGGGTCAGAGGGCCTACTCCTTGGGACGAGCTCACCTCATGTGAGTCCTCAAAATCCTAAGCTATCTAGTAATCCATGCGGGAGAATTGTGGATCAAAAGCTGGGAGGGCTGAACTGTGTGGAGACAATATCTCTCCCGAAATAAATAACACGATAATACCGGAATATCTATTAGTCCGAACTGATAAGATAAGGTCGGATTTCCCCGCAAAAACATCTCCAACATTCATTCATGCTTTCCTACAATGCCATTTCATTCTATACCAGTCTGTGACACCAGACTAGATGACCTCCAGAAGTGTGAAGACTCGAGGTGCGCTTTCAGACAATCTTTTCTTTTCTCAGGGCTTCGAGGTCATCCGGCTAACGTGCTCTTGCAGGGTGTTTTCAGTGTAGCAAGCGACGGATTGTCTGCGACGGCGCCCATCCTACCTGCTTCAAGTGTCAGAAAAAGGGGATTGAATGCTCGGGCCTCGGTCGGTTCCGGTTCTCCTCAGGCATAGCTGCTCGTGGGAAACTGAAAGGATGTGCGATTCCAGCCACAGTGTCGCCGGAGTCGGAATGGAATAATCAGTCACCCACGGGGGTTCCAAGGCCTCAGAAGATCCGATGGAAGGACGATGGTCCAAAGCGTACCAAGAGGAAACCTGGAACAGCAGGCACAAAAGCTAAAACATATCCGACCGTAAACGAGGTGGAGGATCGCCAAGCTTGGCTTGATTCTGGATCTCAGAACAAATCCGTAGTGCCCCGTGCCAGTGAAATCCTAGTGGCACCAGATACACCGGGTGAAGACACTCGGTTCGAATCACTCGAGTACTCAGAGGATGTCACCAACCAGCAGGGCCGGCTGGAATGGCAACGAAGTTCCGACCCTTCCAACGCTGATGAAGGAGAACGCTGTGATTACTGGTCGTCGTCAGCTCCAGACTCGCGCAGCACAATAATTCCATGGATTCCTTTCTTGGGTCCTGAAGACCGAATGTTCCTTTCGCATTGTAAGATACACCTCTCTCAGCTCCTACCTCCCACTCGCTAACCCATGCTAGTCGCCAGCGAAGTAGCTCCAGTCATGGTCATCTTCGACAATGTTTCCAATGGCTACCGGGATATATTCCTTCCTCTCGCATGCGAGGATGAAGTCTTACGTGGCGCGATTCGAGCTGTGGCGGCTCAGCACCTAGCTCTACGACATCCAGGTTTCCAAGGCATGGCAGAAATTGGCCGTGCAGCGATCATTTCCCGGCTTCGACGCGACTCTTTACAAGCAACGTCGCACAGCATTGTTAATCTTCGCACGTGGGCAATCCTGATTGTGCTGTTAGTGGGTGAAACCATCACAGGCAGCCCCGAGTACTCTCATTTGCTGCGCACGCTACTCTCCCTTATGCCGAGCCTCTGTCAAATAGAGAAGACGCCAGCCTATCGCTTTCTTATACAACAAACCCACATGTGAGTCAGCAGTGCCTGGCAGTTCTCGAATTGACGCTGATGACTTGTACAGGTTTCAGTTCCTCGGACAGCCGTTACTTGATGAAACCCAAGGCGTGGATGCCCTAGGCTTTCAACTGGATCACTACCTCGATTGGACCGACTATGAACTTCCCCCCGACTCCAGACACAATAGGGTTCTTTCGGTGGTCAGACAGGCCTTTATAGAAGCTTCTCAAATTTACATCCTCCGAGCTACTACCAACCACGACCTGTGGAACCGACTCGAGAGCTTGAAGCAGTTGGTGTCACGCGTCGACCCTGACGAGCAAGGTGCTCATGCCCTTGTTTGGGTGTGTTTCATGGCTGCTGCGGATTCTTCTGACCCAGAACACCGGCACTATTTCACAGAACGGATGAACCAGGTTTTCGCAAAGACTAAGTTCCAAAATATTGCTGCAGCTGTCCGGACGTTACCAGACATCTGGGCACAACAAAGCTGCAGGCGGTGGACGTCGAACTTATCTCAGTTAACTCCCATACTTATTATGTAAAAGGTTCTCAGTCTCTGATAGGATCTTATTGCGCTCCTTTAGTAGCACCATACTTCCGTGGCAGAGTGGGCTTATACTTAGTCAATACGGCCCGCCGGATGTTCGAACTTCTAAGAGTCTTTTGGAGGAATCCAGACCTCCAGGAAGGCAGTGGGTCGCAGCCTTTCTTGGCGGGTTCAATGACTAGAGCGCAGGTCTTCTGCACGGCGACAGGCAGGTCAAAGCAGCAGCCTTCAGCCCTCACGGTGCCGACGCGCACAGTGTAAGAGCTGGGCGTAGTCATGGGGGAAGGGAGCTTGCTTGGTGGATGCCATTGTCGCTATTGGGCTTTTGTTGGGCTTGGGTCCACTTTCTTAGATGCTCGTTCGACGGCATCCTGGCAGGGATAAGTCCCACGGGTACATATAAGCATTCGTTCAAGCGGCCGGTTGCGGTGTTGTCGAGGGTAGGCTTGGAGGGCTTGGGGCTCCGAAATTAGGGTCTCCAACAAGGACATCGGCAAGGCGTTCGAGGCGATAAATAACCGCACTATTCGCGTCCGTCCTGTGGTAGACTTGGCTCTGTCAACCATTTCCAGGCTGTTTATATGCGCCCGGCTTTGGAATTAGGGGACTAATGCTAGCTACGCCTTTGAAACATAGAGATAATGTGAATAAATGACAACGGTATTTGCGTGTTTATTGACTATCGAATCAGATTGTGACAATAAAGGCCTGCCACATGCTGACCAAAGCTACCCTCGACTGTCATTGGATTTCCCAGTCTGTCTCCTAATCAAGTACGCGAGTAAATCTTACTGGTTGTTGACGGGTCCGATTTACTTGGAGACCGAAGACGTCCATCCGCTGGTAGCCACCCGCGGTATCATGGTATTGTTTGCCTTCGATACAGTCATCCAAATCAACGTCAGCGTACAGGACCCCTTCCTGAGCCTGGAGGAAATCGGCCGGATGGGAAGCTGAAGTAGCTTCGTCTATCACAAACCCCCGTATCGGTGCCCCAGTCGGGTCGAGAAACATAGTCGCTGCTCGCTGGGATTGCTCCATGGACTGTTTGAGAGTAGATGTACTAGACGCAATGATATTAATCGCATCGCGTCCCAACACCCCGGCGCAGAGAATCCCGAAGCATTTCGCTTCGAAGCAATGGGCTGAAGCGCGGATTCTGTTCGCGGCGGTATTGTCATAGTTTGGCCTTTCTGTCGCGCCGGGCTGTGGATCGGACTCTTCCATGCCGGACTGCGATGGCGACCGGGTCGGCCATATGGCTGGCCAGGTCGAGATATGGATCTGCTCGCCCTGGGCGATAAGAGCATACCGCGCCAGGGGATTGGTGTTCTCCCCACAGATAAGAGCCCCAATCTTCCCAAACTTCGTATCCGCAACTCGCAATCCGTAGCCATCTCCCGGCGACCAAGTCAGCTTCTCAAAAAAGGTCGGCACAAGCTTCCGGTGATGGACGAGAACATCTCCCTCATTGTCGATGATTATATTTGAGTTAAATAATGTTGCACTACTCGTGCGGGCCTTCTCCGAAAAGCCAAGACTGATTATGATGTTGCACTTCCTCGCGGTAGCGCGGACAGCCTGTATCTCCTCCCCGTCTGCGTGGACGGATTCCCGGACCATCCGCTGGAAGAGGTCATGGTTCTCGGTCGGCGGGCGCAGGGCACTCCAGATGGGAAATGCAGATATGAAAGACTCCGGAAACGCGATGAGGTTTGCCTTGTTTCTAGCGGCCTGTTCGATCAAGCGGATTGCTTTGTGGGTTGTTTCATGAGCTGAGAGAAAGATGGGGGCGACGTGGGCCGCAGCAAGTCGAATCTGAGTGGCCATTACGATTGATCGGTGCTTAGAGACGTATCTAACGAGAGGACTGAGGGCGCTAGCGTAGTATATATAACAAAGACCGTTGTGCTTCCCCAAACCTACCCCAAGCCAAGAAGCTTAACTGAGCTGTGTAAGAAGATCTCCTTTACATTGTACTCAATCCACAGCAAAAAGAGATCATTCTCTACATGGCACTATGTCGAGAAGGAGGTGAACGGTGTTACTGACCCCAATCGGGAATCCTTTTTACCATGTACAACGAGGGCTTGTGGAGTTCACGACTCAACATCAATCAATATGGCCTCGGTTCGGAACATCTCCGTTCCCGGACTGCAATCCGGTCTTCCGGTCCGTTCCGCTCCCGTTCCGCTTTCCTTCCGCCACTGACATGTTGACATCCAGACTTAAAGAGACTGAAGGTCTCGTCACCAGCCCTAGTTGCTCCACTGTTGAGAATGGATCCATCAGAATGCACTTGATGTAACCTTATGGACTACTAAAGTAGCGTGCTCCCCTCAGTGAGGAGCCTCTGCATCGCAAGTGATTATCCCACCCTCTTCCTCCGCCAATTATGGATTGTCCTGCCAGAATATTCCCTCTGCGGCGACCAGCTAATCATGTACCTCCTATACCTCGATGGTATACTCATTTTTCAAACGGTCTAGACAGAGTATTCACTGCATACATTGGAATTCAACGACATAACGGACTCGATACTGGGCTGACGCAGTGCCTCGCAGAGATCAAGCGCTGGCTTGCTGAAGACCAGCACAATGCGCCTGCTGCGGTGGAGTGTTTCCGGGTCATTGACGATGACGACACCCCAGAGTCACTCGTTTTTGTATGTTACTGGGATGCGGAATCAAAGTATGAGGAGAGTATCCAACGGTTGAATCTCACTCAACGATACCAAGAGCTGGATAAGTCGGTTCAACCAACAGTGGGTCTCTGGTGTGAGAGGTTTGTCAGTCATGTTTCTCGTCTGGAGACAAACTATTCGGGAACAGACTATCTCCCTGGCCTGGCTCGTCTACCGGGCACAAAGCCCGTAGAGCATTCATACTCGGCATACTGGGGCGCCGCTCGGGATCGAATCCCTGATTCGGCATTTGACCTCTTTGAGCGGGACGTGAATCCCACAGCGGCAGCTGTCCCTGGCAGTATCCCGTCCTCTTTGGGCAAGCACCTCAGAGGCACCAACGTCCATAATGTGGTGCATATACGGACTGGCCAATTCTGGAACAACTGCGACGAGGACGAAAAACGTTCCTACGAAGAGAAACTGGAACCAACTCTCCGGGAAGGGCTAGCATACTTGTGGCAAAACCCCGCCGAGACGGGTTCCATGGGACTGAGATACCTATCTAACATTCCCACGCCTTCGCCCCAATGGGCAGGGCAGTCAAACGAATCCTGTGTGACTGGATTCTTCCGAAGCCTTGCTGATCTGGAAAATTGGGCCAAGAAGCACCCATCGCATCTGGCCATATATACTGGTGCCATCCGCCATGCGAAAACTTTCGGGGATAAACGGAGGTTTCGGACATGGCATGAGGTTTCGGTACTAAAGCGCGGCGATGCACAATTCGAATACCTGAATTGCCTTCCAGGCACCGGCGTGATAAATTGTACACCCCTCACCGAGGTTAGTGATTAACGTGTGAGATATTGAATCTACGCAAATTGCACAGACCATTAATGTTCTTTACTGCATACTTTCGATATGCTCGCCGGGCGCTTCATCCTGCCTGAAGGCTCTATATAACTGTATGTGCTTGGATGTCAATGGGAAAGACAGGTCAAACAGGGCAAGTTTGTCTCTATGTGGGCTGTACAGGCAACGTATGATACAGGGTGAGATAGGTACGGTTAGGGTTATATCCTCCAAGTCTTCATGTAGTTCTCCGAGTTCCCTATGAAAATCATTATTAATGACATTCGTCTATGCCAGGCTAGCATCATCCGACCCGATTCAGTAGCTTAACACAATCATCAATGAAGACTTTTGCTTGGGCAGAACATTGTCAACCACATTGTCAACCACATTGTCAACCTACAACACAGTCTTAGCTTCCGACACATCAGGTATGTGATCCATGCGCAATCACAACATCTTTTCCGGCATGAAGAAAGCTTGTTCGATTGGGTGTCGGAAATATACAGTTACCCATGGACATATCCGATAATAACCTGTATATCCAATCGGAGGTTGAACATTAACCTCGAGCTTGACTTCACGATCATCGCTTACGGTTGGACTCCCCCGCAACCTGCTTGGCATTCCATTCTTGGCGGCAGTTGTGTTCTCAGTGGGGAATAGTGTTTGGATTGATTTACCCCGGATTATCTTGATGCGGAGATGTGGAGACATGGGAGCCTCCGTCTTAGCACAAGCCCACGAGCTATTGAGATATAAAAGCGGACATCTCCTTTGGTTGATATGCCCATACTCTGTTAGCATTGTTAATCAAGGACTGTCCTTTCTAAGAAATAATTCAGCCGCCATGGCAGATTCGTCTCTTCGTGCTAGCACTAATAAAGATAATACCAACCATGTCGAATACCTGGGGGACCCTGAGAAGCCTGCATCCGCTACCCCACAGTATGACAGATTTGGATCGTTCGCCAAAGTCGACCCCAAGGAGATTGCTTTGGTGAGGAAGATTGATCTGTACATGATGGTTTGGTCCGCCCTAACCTCCTGGAGATTGAACCATTTTGACGATTACTAGCCGATCCTTTGGCTAATGTACTTCCTGAACTTTCTTGACCGCAATGCGATGGTGAATGGCAAGCTCAACAGTCTCTCTGAAGACTTAAACTTAAAGGGGACGGAGTACAATACCTGTATTAGCATTCTCTTTGTTGGGTATGATCACAGCGATGGCTCGTCTATGATACATTAACTGACCCTACCGACCTAGATACCTTCTTGGCCAAGTGCCTTCCAACATGCTCCTCAATCGAGTCAGGCCTTCCTGGTTTATGGCTGGGTTCATGATGGCCTGGGCGATTGTCTCTACTCTCACATGTCTGGTCAAAGACTACCACAGCATGCTCGTCTGTCGACTACTGCTCGGCTTCGTCGAAGCACCGTTCTACCCTGGGGCGCTTTTCATGATATCTTTATTCTACACCCGCAAGGAGGCGACCACCCGCATGGCTATCCTCTATACTGGCAATATGCTCGCCAGCGCCTTTTCCGGTCTGATTGCCGCCGGTGTCTTTGCAGGCCTGGATAAGACACATGGCCTGGCAGGGTGGCAATGGCTTTTTCTCATCCAAGGGGTGGTAACTGTTGGGGTCGCTGCTGTCGCCTTCTTCGTCCTTCCCAACGCACCCCGCTCAACACCATGGCTCACCCCTGAGGAGCGACAGCTTGCCGACGAAAGGATTAAACGAGACACTACGCAGAGAGAAGAAGGCACCAGCACGTGGGTTGGCCTCCGCCAAGCCTGTATGGATTACCGCACATGGATCTTTGCCTTGATGTGCAATCTACATCTGTCGGCGAACGGGTTCAAGAACTTCATGCCGACCGTGGTAAAAACTCTTGGTTTCAACTCCACGATAACACTGGTTCTCACCTGCCCTCCATATCTCGTGGCTACATTCACGTCCGTCGCAGTGTCATGGTCATCGGGGCGCTTCAATGAACGTACTTGGCATGTTACCGTTTCCAAAGCCCTCGCCATTGTTGGATTCGCGCTTGCCTGCGGGACCTTGAATATTGGTGCGCGGTACTTCGCCATGATTCTGTTTGTCGGTGCCACCTATGGTGTGAATAATATCAATATCGCGTGGACTGCTGCGACGCTGGGCCAAACAGATGAAAAGAAGGCTGTCGCAATTGCCATTACCAATACCTTGGGCAATCTGGCCAGTGTCTACACACCATACCTTTGGCCTGACAGTGACGCTCCACGGTTTGCCCTCGCAATGTATTGCAGTATCGGATTCTCGGTCGGAGTGGTCATCCTCGCTTGGGTCATGCGAATAATCTTGGCACGAGAGAACAGAAAGCTTCGGGAAGTAGACTCGGGAGTCATCAACCTCTATGCCTATTGAAGTAAAATGAGAAATAGTCAGTTTGTTGCGCGCGTTTAATGTGATAATGTTAAGGGAGACACGCCTTGCATGTCTGGAGGTCGAGTACGAGTACCGTTACAGTCAAGCCGAAAGACAGACGTTTCTGTAAAGATATAATTTCGGGAGCGCCTTGTAGCGAGAAATGTGTATTGCTTCGTTGTCATTATACTCCTTTCCTACTTGCACTACCACTAGTCCATACAAGTGATTTCTGCTGCTGTACTACTAAACTTTGTCAACCCATTCGACTTCAGTACAGTTGCGAGTTAGGGCCGGAAAACCCCAACCCCTCTTGCTTTTCCGGATTGTTTTCCGACGGCCCGGAAATGATCGTAGCATATGGGTTTAGCGATAGTCCCCCATGACAGTTCCCCAATTTGTGTTTTTACGAGCAGACAAGCATCTTTTGACATTCAAGTCCCTTCCTTGAACCTGTCTTGTTCGGCACATTGACCGAGGTTAAATTTGGCTTCGGTTGTCCGCCTGGCTCTGTTTCTCAGATACAGCATCTAATCTGCATATTTAAGACATGATGTGGAATATACAGAACGCAAATGGCCGAACATGGCCCAGACTCTATCTAATCACTTCTAAAGCTATCGTAAATCTCCAGCCATGACGGCCTACCTTGAGGGCGTTTGCGAATGGTTCTGCAATAGTTGGAAAGAAGTTATAAGTGGCCAATATTGATTCACGTGGTCTTGGGTATAATGGGTTGTATGCCAAAGGTACTCATCAAATGTAGGGCAATTGGCATGTTGACAGTAACAGCCACCTTTCTCGCGGCAGGCTTGCTTCCCCATGGGGCTGTATTCAACCTTTCCGATTTGACTCGCTGGCTGGGACCAGGTGGGGATGAATCACCCTAGTAGGATCCGGCGCAGTATCTATAATCAATCTTCTGGACATAATTGGACGTCCCGTTCCTTCCAGGACTGTTAGTTCCCACTGGTTTAGGGCTTGAAATGAGTATAATTGCGGGGTTGAACGTCCTCCGGAAAACCACCATGCTTTGCCGTCCCGTAACTCACTCAACCTCTGTTCCTTTTCCATTCCAGATATATCACCCCCTTCATTCGGATATACCACATTCTTCTTAATGTTGATGGAGCCGACTAGTACTCGTCCAAAGAAACGCCGATGCGTCAAAGAACGCGTCCGTGTCACCAGGGCGTGTGACGCTTGCAAAAGGTACATCGACACTTCGCTACGATATCCGAGTTCAATGCCACTAACCGTGACATAGAAAAAAGCTGCGCTGCTCAGGTACTCTTCCGTGCTCTTTGTGTCAGCGTTCGAGTCAGAGCTGTGAATATACCACAAGTTATACCAGAGGGAAGGTGCCACCGATCCCAGCGCTCCATCAGCCTAACGGCAATAGCAATGTTGCCGAGCGCCATATACAAGAGAGGCCAGGCCCCAATGTAGATCGGATGCCCGCATCCCCGGATACAGAGGTAATAGAAGGCCATTCAGCGTCTCGGATCGATGGAGACGTCAGTAACCTGCAGTCGCGGGACTCCCCGGAGCCGCATCAAACTGACATGGAAGGTCATTACGTCGGACCATCCTCAGGGGTCTCGTTCATGCTTCGTATTCAAAAGAGGCTGCATGAGAGCATCACATTTCCATTGAATACACCCATTTTCAGTTTTGGCGATGCTCCTCTACCAAAATCGGACCCTTCGTTCCTGCTTCTCCCCAGCAAGAATGAGGCTAAAGAGCTATGCAATAGATATTTTGACTTTGCATTTCCCACGCATCGGTTCCTGCATCAACAGCAGGTGGAATGCTGGCTTGACGAATTTTACAACCGTCTCCAGGAGCCTCACTCTCTTGGGCCTGGAGAACGGGAGATTAGAGCATTACTCCTCATGGTTTTCGCACAAGCATCACAATATAAGCCGGAGTCTGGTGATAAATTGGAGGATACACGTATGAGGTCTGTTACCAGCCTAATACTTTTTTTCTACCCAGGTTTTGCGAGTACGGCTCTAATCCCTCATCATCATGCAACAGCGCGGTCTACTTTGGTGCGTCGGAGCACCATCTAGCAACGGAGACTGGTCCCGTTCGGGTCACCAGTGTGCAGGCACGTCTGGCGCAATGCTTCTATCTTCTTTCGCAGTCTCGGATTAACCACTGTTGGAGTCTCTTCGGTACCACCGCTCGTCTCGCTATCGCCATCGGCCTACATCGGAAACGCCGACGCGAGCACCCGAGTACAATCAACCTTGTTGAACAGGAGTGCTCAAAGAGAGTCTTTTGGTGTGCGTATAGCTTGGACAACTACCTTAGTGCTGCTCTGGGCCGTCCTCGCATCTTCCATGATGATGAGATTGACCAAGAATTTCCTGAGATCGCCGAAGATCAGCAGATAACGCTGACCTCCATCCTTCCGCCAACCTCTAGTGCCCAGAGCATTATGCTGGCCCCTGTCTACCACGCGAAGCTATCCAGGATTATCAGCGGCGTATTACATGACCTATACGGCATTCACAGGTCCACCCTAACGGCACAAGCCTCGGCTGCAGAAAAATACGGGGCGAAGATGACGGAATGGCGAAAGGAACTGTCTCAGTTCCTGGACCTTCCCAATGTGAATATAATGAAGGTTACCTATCAGCGACAATACACTGTCTTAAACCTCGCCTTTTATCATGCGCAGATCTTGCTGTATCGCCCGTTTCTCTTAAAGGGCTTCACACTCCTCACCAAAGAGCCTAGTAGGCGAAACGATAAGCTGCAGGGAACGATTGACCAGAATATTAAGTCATGCTTGGAAGCGGCCATGAAGGTTGTTTCTATTGTCCATGATCTGTCTGCAAAGGGAAGGATGTACCGAGCTTTTTGGGTAAGAAACTCGAACATTCAGTATCAGTGGAAGGGCTGACAGGTGTTGAAGTTCACTCATTATTATGCGTTCTCCGCCATCGTTGTGCTCTACGTTCACTACATACGTAGTCGTTCTCGCCAAAGTACAACTGATGCAGACATGGCGTACTACATGGCTGGAAAACAAGGTCAAGACGACCTGGCATCATGCGGCTCCCAGTCGTCTTTCTCCCAGCGTTATGTTATGGTGTTGGAAGAGCTTCGCAAGGAGGCGCACAAGGCCACAATCCGGGGAAACCAGGAATCAATCGATCAGCCAGTCACAAATAGGCCAGACCCGGGCGCGACTGAGGGTGGAACGTCAAGGCCCGGAGAGCTTGATCCGTTAAGGAACCTGGCTGACTCTCAACACACAGGAGTATATCCGGTAGCAAGCGACAGGCTCGATGGCATTCCCTGCCCAGCGCAAGTATCCTACCATGGGGTGCAGCCTGCGGGTTCATTTCAATTTCCGTCAGCACCGCAAGAGTCCGAAGTGGGATCTCTACAAGGCATCAGCCCAGAGTCTTATATCGCTGATCTGGCCAGCTGGGGTGAATTTGACTCTCTTGCTGCGACTGGTCTAGGAGACTTTGGTAACCTCTTTCCGTTCGATGTTCCCCCAGGGCTCGACGGCTAAGTAATCTATTTTCTTCCTTTATCATGGAGTTCTCAGCACTGCAAGCCTTTATTCCTGGCGATATCATTGCGGATCTAGATTCTACGCCTTATTCAGAAAGCCATCTCCTATAGAGCAATATCCTCTCGTCTCCACCTTTCGATCGTGTTTCCCTCGTATAGTCAAGGCAGAAACGTTTCACGTCAGTGGATCAGGTGACTGATATCCGAGGATATTCATTGATTATAAATGCTTCCTCGGCCCCCACGTGTTTCTTGCTGGTGCCAGAATCAGAATCCAAATTCCACCTTCTCCAACCAACACACGTCGCTTCAATTCCAATCAAAGATGTCCACCGGCCAGGTATCTGCCCTTTTGGCGCCTGTTGTTGCCCTCAATATCTGGACCTTCGTCATGGAGGGCTGGATGTACCAAGCACGAATCCCGGTATACACCAAGATGAATATCAAAAACACCATTACGAAGCGCGAACTGGATGCGATGACGCCGGCGAGTGTCCGATGGAAAGCAGACAATTACAACCATCTCATGGAACAGCCAACCCAGTTTTACGCGATAGCCCTCGTATTGGCACTGGCCGGCAAGGATGACAAGATGGATATTCTCCTGGCATGGTCCTATGTAGCCATTCGAATTGTGCACAGCCTGGTGCAGTCAACTAGCAACCATATCATGAGCCGGTTTTCCATGTTCGTGTTCTCTTCAGGGATCCTGGCGGTAATGACTGGACGGGCTGCGTTACTTGTTTTCTGAGGGATAAGAGAAAAATGTACAGGATATAGATGGCAGTCTGAGGGTGAATGGTGAGCATTTGGGGAAACATGTACAGTGGTAGTGTTGTAAGGTTTAATTTTTGAGAGGCGCATAATCTCAACTCTTCTTTATCAGTTTGCCTCGAGATCAGCGCAGGAAGCTAAGACCGATCAGATGGACAAAATAGGGTTAGTGTGAAACTTCGTATACGAGGATTTGTAAACTTGCCCACCCAAATCAATTCATTCCTTGCCAGCCATGCATCCCCTTTGTTCTCGCTGCAAGACCATCCCGCTCCATGACCTTCTCCAACAATGCCATCTCCTTTGGAAGGAGCCAAACGAACCGCAGTCGTCGTGGGAGATCCCATGGTATTCATCTCTAAGTGAACTGACTGCATCGTTGCCGTCAGACTGTGCGTTTTGCAAGCTGGTCCGTCAAGGCCTGGAGACGTCGTTCGAACATGAAGTGGCACAACAGGAAGCCCGTGGAGACGTTCCTCCGACAAGCTCTAAGGAAACGGACACGAAGGATCCTCTACGCAAGTGGGAAGGGTATCTGGAATTCCCCATGGTCATGGCGCTGGAACTCCGCTCATCTCTATCAACTGACGACGATGCGGAGGACCAGGACATCTCACAGCGTAGTGAAATGGCCAACGCCATTCTCACAATCACAATCTCGTCGGGGGTCTCATGGGGTCTAACTCTCCAAGCCGAGTTTCGTGTAGCGACCGACCATGGTATGGAAAAATAGCAATCACCATTCCACTGAAGTTCGACTTAATCTTAATGCTTCTTAGACGACCCTTTGGCGGAAATGATCTTAGGCCGGACTATCGCACAATCAGCTGACAGTGAACAGGCGTTTTCGGTCATCAATTCTTGGATGGACTCTTGCATCAATGACCATGGGATGCAATGTGCAGACGCCTCGCACCCACCACTACTCCCAACTCGGGTAATTGATGTCAGCCCAGTGGGGCTTGATGTAGGATTAGTATGCCTTCGAGATGACCAGAATAAAGTGGATCGCGCTGCTCGTTACGTTGCTTTGAGTCACTGCTGGGGGAAATGCATTCCATTCGCGACAACGACTGAGAATCTGGAGGATCGCAAGCGAGAGGTCCGGATCGAGGACATGTCTCAAGTCTTTCAAGAGGCGGTTCTCATTACACGACGGCTTGGGATACGGTATCTCTGGATCGATACACTTTGTATTGTCCAGAACGATCGGCATGACTGGGAGGCTGAAGCTGGCAGAATGGCGAAAGTCTACATGGATGCTTTTGTGGTGCTCGGAGCATCAAATTCAAATGCAGATGATCAAGGATTTCTTGGCTCTCGAGCTCACCCGGGTTCAATTAACTGGACGAAAGCTCTTCACAGCGAACGCACCAGCTGTTTGGCACTGTCCCCACTACCTCCAGCAGGAGAACGATGGACGTCTGGCCGGGATCCGGTCTCATCAGAACCACTCCAGAGCAGAGCCTGGTGCTTACAAGAGCGGTATCTCGCCCAGCGCATTCTACTATACGGTGCAAGACAGCTCTTCTGGGAGTGTCGAGCTATTAGCCGGGCCGAAGATGGGGATCTGCAGCCGGGTAATCTCCATAATCTGGACCGTCTTAAAGGAACGGCATCGATCGAAAGGACCATATTTGGTCCACGTCCAGATGGCGACTCGGAAGTCAACTATCGGGGATGGTACGAAATGATTGAGGAATACACCCAGCGTTCCATCACGCACCAGTCGGACCGATTCCCTGCATTATCAGGTGTGGTACACGCAATAGCGCAGATATCCAGGGACGTCTACCTTGCCGGGATCTGGAGGAAGGGCCTGGTCGAAGGTTTGCTGTGGTGCGCCATGAACCGCGATGAGCCGCTTAAGAAGCCAACGTCGTATCGTGCCCCGTCATGGTCATGGGCCTCGGCCGAGGGACCTGTTCAATTTATTGTATATCATTTTATTGAGAGGTGTAGGTGGAAGCGTGGCATTGCAGATTACGAGCAACTAGCAACATTCGTGGATTGCGATGTCGAGAAAGACGGGCCCGATGTATATGGCACTGTCAGCGGTGGGTATCTTCGTCTGCACGCGCCACTCTTGCCAGTCAAAAATCTCTATCCTGCAGACGATAGGCCTCCATTGTCCGAGTTGCTGTTACCACCGCTGCGAAATTCGACCGTCGACCAAGTGGTGGAAATGGAAGTGGGAAAGGAGTCTTTCTACCTCCACGCGGGATTTGACATGGCACTCGAGCCAGTATTACCCCAGCAGGAGTTGTTCGTACTCTTCCTCGCTCGCCTTCCAGATGGTAACCATGGGTTTTCTCCGTTCATGGATCACCGGTTCGGTTTGTTGGTTAGACGTAGCGACAAGGACAGTGACGTCTATGAGCGAGTAGGTATCATTGACTCCCCAATCCTGACAAAGGATACTTCTGGGGGTGCTTTGATGACCGTCCTTCGCATTTTGGAGAAATCGCACCGGTTTCTGGAGAGACTCTCGCCTTCCGTAGGCAAGATGCCTGTCTTCAACCTGACACCATGGCTGTTCGTCCCGAAAAGAGTCCTGGCAGAAGAACCTGAAGAAGAGATGCCCCCCGATCCACTGCCCGAAATAAAGCAGCACTCAGTCTCGGTTACTCTTGTATGAGTTTAAAATCGTCTGCACGAGTAGAGAAAATCCAACTCAGCTAATAGCGCTTATGACATGTGCAATAGACTCTGCTAGTAGCGTAGTGTAGCAAGACTTTCCTGCGCAGCTGATGGTGGTGTCTGGCATGACTCGACTGTAGGATGAATTGATAGGTAGAGACCGCTGCAACTGTCGCTGAGATCATTCCCCCATACCCTTTCCTATTCCTGCATAGATTGACCTAGTCTTAAAGGGCATATAAAGGGCGGAAACGGTCTGTATGGACATTGAGTAGAATTCCGTCTGTGGTCGTAACTTTGACTGAAACTACAAGGTATGTGTATCCGGAATTTACGTGTTGCTTATAGAGAAACGCCGCACTACTACGGAATTGTCTAAACTAACCTTAGTGGCATCGCTACCTCCCCATCGTTCAAGGTGATCCAAGGGCTAGGGGCTATTCCACAGGGAAGCCCCCATCAACGAAGAGGCCCATATCCAAATTCTAGAGCAAGCCTCCCTCAAAGTATAGCATCAGCCATTTCCGTCAGCCAAGTCATCCCGCTGCTCGTCTTTACATTCATCAACACTTATGAAGCAAAAGCCCGTCAAGGCAATGCGTTTTCCCTTGCCCTCGGCCATCAAGAGGGTCAGTGGTGCTATGCTATGTCTCAAGGAGTAGTAACCCTCTCAGCCTCTAAGACAACATTGTCAACACTGCCATGGGTATCTCGTCCAATGTGACCAGCATCAGACATGATCGTAGGTATCACATTCGACAGTCCTCCCCGGCCAAGTTTCACCGTCAACAATGGACGCGCGATTGGGGGAGTCATTGTCCACTCGATCCTGATGGCCGTTCGGGATGGGCTGACACTTCGGGTAATTCAGCGACAGGCCCTCCAGGGTGGAGCGATCGGCAGCGATGGTGCGCGAGGGATCGAGTTTTGCATTTCGCGTATTGTATGAGCGATGCGGAACGCAAGAGTCAACAGGTTTCGATCGGGGTGATAGTTCTGAATTTAAATGATAGCGCTGCGGTCAATTTCATTCGACCTGTTTTTGATCGCGTACATCAATGCGCGCTGCCCTTGCCTATGATGTTAACTTTTGTCGACATGCGTGCTGTCCGGATCACATCTCTCTGATGAAGACCTCAGTTACGTAGTTTTGCCACAAGACTAACCGTCGCGTCTCGCGATAAACAAACCCAACGGAACCGGAAGAACGATGGTCCGCCATATGCTGCAGTTGTCATGGCCGGAACAATTTCCCATCTAGCTTGTCTTCGGTAACAATTGTTTAAGAGGTCCTTGATGGTGGGATCTTCTGATCCAATGCTCTCCTCAATCCTCCGAGAGCTCTTGGGGTTCCTGTTGTGGGTTGAGGCTTAAAGCAGAACGTAGTTAGAAAGCTCTTGTCACTGTATGGTTGGAAGATATATATCTTCTGTCGGAGAAATAGCAGTTATTAGCAAACGGATGAATATCGTCCGGTAACAGGTCTCGAAGGTATTCAAGAGCATCTCAAGGACAATTATTTGTGTTGCTGAAATTTCCATGATATTTCTTGCTATCAAACTATATATTAGTTACTGTTTGACGGTCCTGGAGATGTACATCGATATCGATCCCAGCTGACCTCTAGCCCTAAGCCCTACATCACGTCAGGGATGACGCTAGCCGTCCTAGGCAAGGACCTTTCGCCATCCGGATAAACATCCTCGCAGTGACACGCAGCTGGAAGGTCACTCCCAAAATGAAGGCGTATACTCCCGTACCGTGATGGGGCGCCTTTCTTAATGCCACATGCGGGGTCAATCATTCTGAGACTGAGCCCCCACGAATTATCCATGAATGACAATCTGACATGCGGAGTCCGTCCCCACCCGACGGAATCTCGGGGCGAGGGCCGCCATGTTATCCACTAGGATGTCGATCTGCCGCCAGGGTATTTATTGATACGGCTTGTTCGTTGGATGTACTCGTAATGAACGAGTCGGGTCCAGTCCCAGAAATGTGCACTTAGACGCGAAAATGACATTGGACATAGATTACGTGCTCTCCCATATCACGCAGGAGGACAAGATCGCCCTTCTCGCAGGTTATCTCACCCGCCCCGATCATTAGGCCGAGAGTCAGCACTAAAACTAAGCCAGGCACCGACTTCTGGCATACCCACCCCATTCCCGAATTGAATGTGCCTTCAATCCGTTCTACCGACGGCCCTAATGGTATAAGAGGCACGAAGTTCTTCGCCGGTGTGCCGGCTGCCTGTTTGCCCTGTGGCACCGCCTTGGCGTCCACTTGGGATCAAGATCTACTACGCGAAGTGGGAGTGCTAATTGGAAAAGAATGTCTGGCAAAGGGGGCGCACTGTTGGCTGGGTCCGACAATCAATATGCCCCGATCACCACTGGGCGGCCGGGGTTTTGAGTCTTTCGCGGAGGACCCGCATCTCGCCGGAGGAATGGCTGCCTCGATGATCACAGGCTGTGAGAGCACCGGGGTTATCTCCGCGGTAAAACATTTCGTCGGTAATGACCAGGAACATGAGCGGAGGGCTGTGGATGTTCTTGTCACTCAGCGCGCGTTGAGAGAGATCTATCTGCGACCTTTTCAGATCGTAGCCCGTGACGCGGGTCCTGGTGCTCTGATGACTTCCTACAACAAGATCAACGGCAAGCACGTTGTGGAGAGTAAGGAGATGTTGGATATGGTCCGTCAGGAGTGGAAGTGGAATCCGCTTATCATGAGTGACTGGCTGGGAACGTACACCACGATTGACTCAATGAACGCCGGTTTGGATTTGGAGATGCCGGGTCCGTCGCGGTATCGAGGCCGATATGTGGAATCAGCCGTGCAGGCAAGGTTGATTAAGGAGTCCACCATTGATAGTCGCGCACGAAAGGTCCTTGAGTTTGTTCGGCAAGCAACCAGAGCACCGGTATCCGCTGTGGAAACTGGAAGGGACTATCCGGAAGATCGGGCGCTGAATCGAAAGTTGTGTGCCAACACTATCGTGCTTTTGAAGAACAAGGATGAGCTTTTACCCTTGCCCAAGACGATCAAGAAGATTGCCCTGATCGGCTCGCATGTACGAACTCCAGCGATCTCCGGTGGTGGCAGCGCCTCCCTGGAACCGTACTATACCGTCTCGTTGTATGACGCTGTGACCGAAGCTCTTCCCCACACCGAGATTCTCCACGAGGTGGGCGCTTATGCGCACAAAATGCTACCTGTGATCGACCGGCTCCTTAGCAATGCTGTGATGCATTTCTACAACGAGCCCGTAGGGACGGAGGAGCGTATTTTACGCGCCACACAGCCGATGTCGAAGACCGCCTTTCAGCTAATGGATTTTAATGCACCGGAGCTCAACAGAGGTCTATTCTATGCGACGCTAACTGGTGACTTTACGCCAGATGCGTCGGGTGTGTGGGACTTTGGCCTCACAGTCTTTGGCACTGGTACATTGTACGTCGACGACGAATTAGTCGTCGACAATACCACACATCAAACCCGAGGAACGGCGTTCTTCGGCAAAGGAACGGTGCAAGAACTGGGATCGAAGGCTCTCAACGCGGGTCAAACCTACAAGATCCGGATCGAATATGGATCTGCGAATACTAGTCCTATGAAAGCAATCGGCGTGGTACACTTTGGTGGCGGTGCAGCGCACCTTGGAGCATGCTTACATACCGATCCCACAGAGATGGTGCAGAGTGCTGTTAAGGCAGCTGCAGAGGCGGACTATACCATTCTCTGTACCGGACTGAATCACGAATGGGAGTCTGAGGGATTTGACCGGCCGGATATGGACCTTCCGCCTGGGATTGATGCGTTGATCACCTCTGTGCTGGATGTTGCGGCGAACAGAACAGTGATTGTTAATCAGTCCGGGACGCCAGTGACGATGCCCTGGGCTGATAAGGCGAGGGGGATCGTTCAGGCCTGGTATGGAGGTAATGAGACCGGTCATGGTATCGCGGATGTGATATTTGGGGACGTCAACCCATCCGGCAAGCTGCCACTATCGTGGCCGTTGGATGTGAAACACAACCCAGCGTATCTGAATTACGCCAGCGTGGGGGGAAGGGTGCTGTACGGCGAGGATGTCTATGTTGGATATCGGTACTACGAGAAGGTTGGCCGGGAGGTGTTATTCCCATTTGGGTATGTGTTTGTCCTGTCATGGTGTTTGATTATAACTAATTATGCAGCCACGGTCTTTCCTATACGACCTTTACCGTGTCTCCGGATGTGGTCTTCTCCCAGGAATCGTTTAGACCCGAGGAACCCCTGACGGCTACTGTACAAATCAAGAATACTGGCAAGGTAGCTGGAGCGCAAGTCCTCCAGCTGTATATCTCCGCCCCTCAATCCCCCACACCTCGCCCGACTAAGGAGTTGCACGGATTTACGAAAGTTCTTTTGCAACCCGGGGAAGGAAGAGTGGTCCATATTGGCGTGGATAAATACGCCACAAGTTTCTGGGATGAAATCGAAGGCATGTGGAAAAGCGAAGAGGGTATGTACGAAGCTCTGATAGGTACATCAAGTCAAAATATCCTGGCGAAGGGGACATTCAGGGTGGATGGGACGAGATACTGGCTTGGATTATAACCAGTGATCTATATCTCTAGCTTAGCCGCAAAGATGACCCACTCCGGATAATTTGAATCCATTTAGCCAGACTTTAGCTTAATGCTGTGGGGGCACCAGCGAGCCGATCTTTTCACACAATCCGGGGTAAGCAGGTGATCCTTTTTTCGTATAAGTCAGTCACCCCAACCACTGCTCACTCCATATCTATAACACCCCAGGCCCTTAGGCCCCTCTTGGCAGTCGGTTAGGGAGATTTCTCCGGCTTAAATGTAGAGATACCCGGAGCGATTGGTGGAATCCCGCTTAAGTTTCGGTATGCTCAGAGGCCTCGGCTGCTGCCTCTGTTAAAGGGCTCTCTTCCCCACGGGCCAACAGCAAATGAGTGTATCTGAGACGATCACTGGTCGTGGTAATGTCCGTCTCGTATGTGGTAAGAGTCTTTCTTGGCTCGTCTTGGCTCGTGCTGTATCTGTATAGTAGATATATAAGGACGATCTGCGTCCAGATTACTCCCAATGCCAAAGGTTAAGGACTCCGGAAGCCGTCAACATGGTTGCAGTGGGAAAGCAACGAGAAGAAGACGTGTCAGACCCGGTCCTGGCCAACTTGCTGGCTGAGGACCGGACCCCTTGGTACAAGAAGCCCAACCTGAGACGGTTATACTTCATCCTCTTCCCCGCGTGCATGGGCATTGAGATCACCTCAGGATTTGACTCACAGATCATCAACACAGTGCAGATCGTGTATACCTGGAATAAATGTTGGAGGTCTTCCCTGCTAAAAGAAATCATTTGCTGACAAGATACATAGACTTCGGGCGCCTAACTGGTGATACCGTGGATGGTAGGCCCGAGTACGAGGTTGAGCCTAATCTCAAAGGCTTTCTAGGAGCGGCATATTCCCTTGGAGCTATCCTTGCTCTGCCCTTTGTCCCCTGGATCAATCAACGCTTCGGAAGGAGATGGACGATTATGTTCGGGTCTTGCATCAGTTTGGTGGGTGCGCTACTGCAAGGGTTCTCCAACGGAGGTAGCTATCATTGACTCATCGAAGACACTGCGGGTTGCTAATTAGAATAGTCGGAATGTACATAGTAGCGCGCATGTTACTTGGATTCGGCATTCCATATTGCATCGTGGCTGGATCTTCCCTCATCGGTGAACTTGGTTATCCCAAAGAACGACCAATTCTCACGTCCTTGTTTAACTCATCCTATTTCATCGGCCAAATCGTGGCTGCTGCCGTCGGCTTAGGCACGGTAACTATTGCAAGCAACTGGGCGTGGAGGATCCCTTCACTGTTACAACTGGCTCCTGCTATGGTCCAGGTGGTATTTGTTTTGTATGTGCAGGGTCGCGCTGAATCCCATCCTGGAAATATCTCCCTAACGTATGAAGCTTCCTGCCGGAGAGCCCTCGATATTTGATCAGCAAAGACCGACACGAAGAAGCCTTCGACATTCTGGCCAGATACCATGCTGAGGGAGACCGTAACTCCGTTATCGTGCGCGCGGAGATTGCCCAGATCCAACGGACCATCAAGCTCGAGCTCGAACAGGCGAAACAAAGCTGGTGGGACATGTTCCGCACCGCGGGGATGCGGCGTCGGATGCTCATTTCCGCGTTTTTGGGCTTGTTCACCCAGTGGTCTGGAAATACATTGATCACGTATGTCTTATTCCCTGGGATATAGCGATCGGTGCTGATTATGCGTAGGTACTATCTCAGCGACTTGCTGGACATGGTCGGCATCACCGACGGCGTGACCAAGTCCAAGATCAACATCGGTATTGCTTGCTGGGGATTGGTCTCCGGTACAGCCTTAGCCCTCACGGCGCCTCTGTTCAAGCGGCGGACGATGTATTTGACCTGTGCCACATCATTGCTCTGCGTGTACATTGGGTGGACTATTTCCATGGAGCGGTTCATGACAACAGGGGTCAGGGCTGCCGCAATCTTGACCATCTTCTTCATCTTTGCCTACTCCCCGGCATACAACCTGGGCTACAATGCTTTGACTTACAGTACGTCCCCGTCCATATTCTGCTGACCATTCGCTGACAATATAGCTTACCTGGTTGAAATCTTCCCTTACTTCGGTCGCTCTCGTGGCCTCTCCTGGTTCCAGTTTTATGGCCGCGGGGCGGCATTCTTCGCTACTTATGTCAATCCGGTCGGGTTGGATAGAATTAAGTGGCGATGGCTCCTAGTTTACTGCTGTTGGCTGGCCTTCGAGTTGGTCTTCATCTACTTCCTTTTCCCGGAAACGTCTGGAAGGACATTGGAGGAGCTGTCATTTAGTAAGTTTTTTTTTTTTTTTTTTTTTTTTTTTTTTTTTTTTTTTTTTTTTTTTTTTTTTTTTTTTTTTTTCCTGTTACTAGTCTATACTTGGATTTTTTGACATTCCTAGTGTTTGAGGGCAAAGAAAAGGCTAATGAGGTGGCTGCTGCGGTGCACAAGCAGCTTGAGGTGGATGAGACGAAGGAAGTCCAGGCTTAGGTGCTTTTCCTATATTGATACCTTGTGACATTTGTCTTTGCAGTCGAGTACTATCTGGTGCGAGCTTTCATATCCACAAGGTCTTAGATGGTATACTGAACGTCTTTGCCCTGTCTTTCATTGCCTTCTTCTCTATTTTTTGCTTCTGGTCGTAATCTTGGTAGGTGTGCTTGTTAAATGCAGATGCGCCGGGCTTGATTCTAATTAAGATAACCGAAATTATACTCCGTTCATAAAGCTTTTCCCATAAGGGCTAGCCTTTCCTTTCATTTCATGCGGTGGGACTGCCAGTGATTCGTTCTCTATTAATGGCACATGAACTAATGCCTCGGAGCGGAAATTACCGAAATAACCGTCCAGATTCGGAAACGCGCCCTAAAGTGGCTTGGGCGCCCATGAAAAATTCCTGTTCAGGGTACGTTGGAAGTGGAAACATATAACAGACCACTGTTCCTCTAATTCTCAAGGGAACATGGTTCGTGAGTGAAACATGATCTTCAACCTCTGGGTCCTCGTGCTGGGACTAGGGCTATTTCTGGCTGTGGATGCGCGTCGACCTCAGCCGATCGGAATTGATCTGGGCCCTGAGTTACTGTCCGTAAGCCGCTATGGTGGATTGATCTTCATGATATCGTTGGCTAATCAGTCCTTAGTACTGCTGCGTATGCCCACACGTCCGATAATGTTTCAGTGATCGCGGCGATCACCCCCGGACCTGACGAGATCTATGTTCGCCATGTGTTTCTCCTCCGGTTGGAATTCGCAGACCGTCATGATATTATGCGTCCATGGCGTAGACCCGCCCAATGGACCGTGAAAGGATATTTATCCAATCTCAGCCAGCAGTGGATGACTGAACTGAACTCGTTTCTCGACAAACCGGCACTGCAGGACTCACAGGTGTTGTCATTTGCTCGCACTGTATTTCATACTATCTTAGAGGCAGCCTCATACACTCGGAGGCTTGTCAATCCTAGGTATAACGAGGAATTGAGATTAAGCGATGTCAAAGCAGGATTTGTTGACATGCTACGACAGCTGAAGCAGAAAGCTGCTACCGATAGTGATATTGACCTCAAGTATGCTGTCATAGCGGTACCCGAGTTCTTTAACCAGACCCTCCGGGAGATGGTGGTGGACGCAAGTAGGGAGGCAGGAATCAAGTCGGCTCTCACGCCTGTTTCTAGAACGACTGTGGCGACATTTGTCTCTGTATCCACGATAGCAAACCCCCCTGGCCTGAGGTACGCAGTCATAGATCATGGAAGGTTTTATCTAGATGTTAGTGCTGGGGCCGACGGCGGGAAAAGTGAGAGGGAGCGCATCCATCAATATTTCCCTGCTTTGCAATTCGGCAGCTCAATGATCGATCGCTATATTACGGACCGACTTGTTGATCGCGAGGAAGATCTCAGTATGGAGATCGCAATTGGGGCCTCTGAAACCGAGCTCTATGGCCCTGTGAGACAGGCCCGAACCTTGATCCGTGATGATCTTGATTCCCAGCTCCTGGGGTCTAAAAAAGACGAGGATCATCACTTTGATGAGTATCCTCTTGACCTGACGAACTGGGGCTCTGGACAATCCCAGGCTGTTTTACCATGGGAGGACGTACATGCTGCCGAGAGACGTTTCGTTCGGGTAGTCGCTTCTAACCTGATATCGTACCTTAAGGTTTTGAGACGTGAGCTTTTGCCCCATGCGACCATCCTAACCGTCTGAAGCATAGATGCTAATAGATGACTAGACCGCCGTTTACCTGATACTCCACTTGACAGTCTCATGCCCGAACACGTCGACCGAGTTGTGCTTCTAACTACCGGCCCTGATGGTCATTTATTAGAAGAAGCAGTTCGAGAAGGTCTTGGGGACCACATTGAGATTATTGGAGGTACACTGCGAGAATCCTTCTCGCTGGCCGCGCTTGGAGCTGCACGTGGTGCTTTAGTTGCTATGTCGCCTGGAATATGTCGCAAGCCATCTGAGCACCGTGGTGTATTTGACCATGAGCTTTAGGATGGCAACGACGAAGTAACGAACCCCATTGTATTCTACATTGCTGAAATAATATATTTGAGAAGAAAGCACTTAATATACCTCATATCCTATATCAGAAGTGGGTTATTCAGGTGCCCGACGTTGCTGGACTGTCGCAAAATTTAAGGTCCATATAGGCTGTGGAGGTCTTTACATTGGCTAATAGGCTGTAGATATGTCCCGCGAAAGCGTGGCATGTTTCAGTTACATAGGGAATCTCTCTGGAACCACGAGAAGCTACTTTTGGATGTAATTGGGTATAAGAGTGGAGTGATGAATTCGCGCAAAAAGATGTAATGTACAGAGTAATTGATGGGCTCCTTCATGGGAACCCAATATTTAACCACGCATTGCGCTTAAGATCCCCTTACCATGTGAATGTATGCAAAACCTTATCATCCTGTACTGTTGCGACCTCTGACATGTTCATGTCGCACCCACCTTACTCTTCCTTGAGACCTGTCCTTGTTTCTGTATGCTCCTCACTTAGGGGTCGATTCACAATGAACACGCTTGCAAGAACAGCAACACCAGCCATGCAGGTGTACATAATCCACATGTTTTGTAAACTGGAGGAAAATGCACCTGCGACAGTTCGAATTTTGGAAGGATCTCTGAGGGTCTTAATTACCTCTGTGCTGGCAGCGGCAGAAGCGCCAGTTAGCTCTTCTACAATCTCATCCATCAGTCCTGCTGCTTTTAACCGGCTTCTCTCTCCTGCCATGCTATTTTGAAAGACCACACCACCAACTACAATCGAGACTGACATGGCAATAGTGCGAATGAAACCCAACATTGCCGTAGCACTTGCTGTTTCATCTTGCGCGACCATTGCTTGCAATGCAATGAGTGGGGGTGCAAATAAGATCGCCGACCCTGCTCCGCCAATGACCTGGAAGATGATTAGTTCCACCAAAGGGGAGGTTGGATTGAGGCGAATGAATAGACCAGTCCCGAGTGTAAGAAGGACAGTGCCTATCCAGATTTGCTCCGCGTATTTGCCTGTCCGATGGATTAACCAGCCAGAAATTCCGCTGAAGACCCCTTCGGCCAGAACCAGGGGAAGGACCATCAGTCCTGAGCGCATCGGGCTTGCTTGCTTGGCGGACTGGAAGTAAAGTGGCAGCCAATACTCACAAGCAATGAATACCTAGCACTGTCAGATTTGTTGGTTCATACCAAAGGTGTTGGTCCAGCCGCAACTCACCGCACCATGGAATAATGTAACGAGCGATACGGCAATGTTTGATCGATGTTTTAAAATTTTGAGGGGCATCAGAGGGTATTTGGCGACATATTTCTCCCCGTAGAAGAATATAATTGAGAAAAGAGACCCGAACACAATCAGACAAATCACCTGAGGCGAGTTCCAGGCAAATGCTTCCCCTCCAAAGTTAAGACCTAGGAGGACCATCAGGGTGAACCCTATGATAGACAGACTACCCAGCCAATCGATTGCTTTCAACCCGTCGGTCACCTTGGTTTTCGGGTTGTGGACATCTAAGTAGAAGAAGAGCAATATGAATGCCAGTCCGCAGATGGGCAGATTTATCCAAAAGTTCCATCGCCAGGAGAGATATTCCGAAAATACACCACCGAGGATTGGTCCGAGGCCACCGGAAATAGTCCACATGAACTCCAGGATGCCCATATACAGACTTCGGGACCTAAAACCAGTTAGCGAAACTTCACTTCTCGGAAAATATGCCACGATGGCAAGGTGTTCATGCTGACCGGACGCTGAATAAATCGGACACAACAATCATGACCAATTGTAAGAGACCACCACCCGCTATCCCTTGTAGCGCTCGACCGGCAATCAACATCTTCATGTTCACTGCGGCGGCACACACAATCGAGCTGAGCAGGAACCATAGAACAGCAACGAGAAGGATGGGCTTGCGACCCCAGATATCAGATAGTTTTGCCCAGATGGGAGCCGCGGCCGCACTGGCCAGGAGATATGCTCCGCCAACCCATGTATAACCACTTGCAGAATGTAAGCGCGAGGAAATCGTCGGCAGAGAGGTAGAAACAATCGTTTGATCTAAGGCAGCGATGAAAAGGGACAACTACAAAGTTGGAGTGTCAATTCCTCATTCCGTACTGCCCAATTGTAGGACTATGATATGCAACAGAAGCAGGGCCCTTACACAGAGAGCCACCATGATGGCAAACACCTGAACCTTTCCACGTTCTTCTCCAGGCTCTTCTGAGCTGCTCACAGCTCGTTGAATAGATATATTGTTATCATAGCCTTGTGTAGAATTTCCCATCATCGTAATATCCAGGGAGCGCTGCCTGGTCGGCGAGAGCTCAATTCCGTCGTCAGTCATCTTGTGCAATTGTGCAACATTGAGATTCTATTGTCAGATTGTATCGAAGAAAGCCTGACCATATGTAGACCCAAGCGAAAGGGATACTTGTGAGTAGGGGCTGTCCCTTTCCGGGGTACGAGGGATCAATACGAGGGACCCATCCAGATTACCAATGCGATCTTGCCTCGGCGTATGACAGATTCCGACGGGCCCAGACCGTCGTGTGCATAATCAACTGCCATAGCTGTCTTCTCATTCTTTATGCCTTTACTGAGCTTTGCCCTTCTCACCTTTTGTGGTTAGCAATGTCGCTGCACTACACGTTGTACGTCGACGCGCGCACGTCACCTCTGTCAACACAGCTCCAAGTGGCCCTATGGAGCCAACCTTCTAGCCTTTCCCATTTCAGTAGCATTTAATATTTCCTTCTAACACGCTGATTAGCCTGGCTATATGTCGCCTGGAGGGGTGTAGCACCCAAAGTTGGGTATTGTGCCTTTAGTATCTCGTACTCAGGGGATTCATGACAGCGCCTCGCCTGAGAGCCCAGGAAATGATATCATAACTATCTGTCTTCGATCGACCCCGGGAAGGGACATTGTACTAGCAGCCTAGCCTAGAACCATGATAGGAGGTCACCGACTTAGCGTACGATGGCGAGGTATCAGTAGCATTTAATAGAATAGAATTCTGAGCTTCACCGCGCCTTTCTTTAGAATAATTCCCTATTGCGTCTACCTACGGCTACGATATCTCTTTTACCTCTTCTTTATTCCTTTCATTTACCCCCAGTACTTCTCGACTATCATCATCACCGGATCCGCGCGGGCGAAGCATTCAAGCGAGACAGCAGACTTGGTATGTAGGCTCATCTCAAGATGATAGGTGGGACATAAGTGTTCGTTTGCATGAGTATGTAAATATTCTTTTGTAGCTGGGATTGCCGGTCTTGCCTAACGGATGCGTTTAAGCGCGGTTCACCAGGTTAGCCGGCCAGACACGGAGGTGCCGACACCGATATATAATATACTGTCGGATGGCTCGACTGTTCATATTTATCGACTCGATAATAACAGAAAGGTACGTGTATTTTAAGATAAACAACTCCGGAATAACCTAACCGTTCGTGGTGGGCTGCCTACACACTAACGTGGAGTCACGGAATAGGGCAACAGAACGAAATACTCCGTAAAGATCCACATACAAGAAGTTGCAAAGATGGTAGCATGGAAGAAGGAATGTCTGGATATGGCTCGTGCTCGCAATAACCACACTGATTTGCCGGAGGGTTTGACTGCCAGAATATTTCGCAAATCTGCCACTCTCTGCCACGACAGAGTCAAGACCGCGACGGGCCGATGCAAGTCTGAAGATCAGACGACTAGACAGCCAAGAAACAGGGACATTTAGGCTTAGAGAGATTTGCATTCTCGTGTACCTATGCTGTTTTTGGGAGAACGAACACCTTGGCAACGGTTAACGTAATAGTTTCGCTTGCAAATGCTTGGCTCGCCCACTCCAATACCACATGGTTGCTTGGCGGTTGTATCTATTACCGAACGAATATATCTAAGTCTCTAATCTATGCTCTGAGCTATGCCAGAAGATGATCCTTCGAATATATTATAAGGTTTAGAGCCCCAACGGTTTTCTCTAGCGGCTAGAAGGGTTCCTAATATGGCTCTGCAGCCCAGTGTGTTGAAATGCCCCTTTTGCAGAGGTTCAGGATAGTATATTTAAACCGTGCAGGCATCCTACATCATGTCAGATCTTAAACCCAGTCACTCGTTAAGTTCAATCTGTTGAAGTCACTCATTTGGCGCGTAGTCCTTCGCGTTTTCTTTTTCTTCCCTTCTTCTTCTTTTCTCTCTTTTGCCCCTACTCCTGCTAGCATACCTACAATGGAGAGAACACTATGGTCGTCTCTTAGAGTGGCCGCTCTCCAGATACTTTCCTTTAGCTTCGTAAACCAGGCACTCGCTCAATCTTGTGCTGCGAATTATCCACCGTCAGTACCCGTCGCAAGTGCCACTGCAACACTTGGGCCTGTACTAGCGCCAGAGCTTGATACCTCTGACCCAATTCATTTAATCCCAGCTTCTAAAGTCTCTCTTTACTATGGCTCCTTGGACCCCGAGCCCTCTAATAAACCCGCCTCCGGCTCTGTTAACATGAACCTAGAGCTTAACCATGACACCATTGTATTGGAGTACATCGACGCTATCGGCAGTGTTGAGTGCACTGATGAGTCTGTGATCGTCGCCTTCAAGGACGCTGCTGGCTTTGAAACAGCCCTTAGGTCTTGGCCATCTGAAACGAGCTTTATCCTGATCACAAACCACCTAGGCAACTGTGATGCTGAGTTCGAAAGAGGTTTCTTCAAGGTCGATCAGATAGCTTTGGATGAGTCCAATTTGTCGATCACCTGCAATGCCTCTAAGCAGCCAATTACCGAGATTGCTGGTACGAACTTCATGGTTTTGTATATATCAACGTGTGAGCAGTGATCTAAGACTAGTACATCTAGAAACTTGCGAGCTCGCTTTCTCGTCAGTGCCAGCGGGCAAACTCGCCAAGCGCCTCACACTTGATCCCTCCTTCAGTATACCGTTCTCTAAGTCCCTGGCCAACAATACTGTTCTCCTGAGCGAACCCCCGTACCTCACGGTTACCGCCGATGAAGCTGCCTTCTCCTCAGAAATCACCTTCTCTGGCTATCTGTACTACGACTTTTGGGCCTTCAAGTTGCGGCAATTGTACTTCGACATTGATGCCGGCTTTTCTGCCGATGTAGCTCTTAGCGCTCACCTCGCCGCTGCATACAACAAGTCCTTCATGTACAACCCCTCGGATCTCACTTACACGCTTGTTAACATCCCTGGTATCGTGCAGCTTGGCCCCGGTGTAGCCTTCGGCCTAGAGATGGATTTCAGCGCCTCGGCCGCCGTGGATGTAGCTGCAGGCCTGTCTATTACCATGCCAAATGGAAACGTGCATGTTGACCTTCTGAACAGCGTGAATACTGTGGCCACTGGGTGGACGCCAACGTACCACCCATACGCCAATATCTCTGCACAGGCCAACGTCCAGGCTGATGCTAGCGCCACCGTGACGGTCGAGATGGCGCTGAGCTTCCTCGGAGGGCTCGTTGATCTCAGTAGTGGATTGACCGCAAAACCGGGGATCGCTAACACGTTTTTGCTGGATGCCAAACTCGACACAGAGCATGCTAAAAATGCTACAGCACCGGGAGTCACCCAGGATGCACACGTTGAACGTCCTTCATGCGGTGAGGGGGTTAGCTTGAAATCGGACTTTATTTTTAGCCTTGATGCTTTTGTGACGAAGTCGTGGAGCACCACTTTGGTGAATACGGAGATTCCACTGTGGGACTTCTGCTATCAATTCTAAGATCCGGTGAGTCTCGTCTTTCCCCCGTCTCCATATTCATTTTCATACTTACTATCGTCTGGCAGAGAGAAAAAGGCACATCCACGTGATCCGATGTGCCCTTGAGCCGTCCACTCTTTGAAACCATTTATAATGGCAGTTAGTGTTGGCAGCGTTGGTATTACAGTGCGTGTAGCAGATGAAGATGACTGTAATTTAATATCACTAAATCCACACAAGGGGGTAATACCCCAGGCTGTATAATTAAAACTGCAATGGCTCTTTACATGGATACTGCTGCCATTATTTCGCTTTCGCGTCTCTCGATTACCGGTTACGTGAACCATCATGTCATCACTAGTAGTACAATGCAGAAATGCCCTACTAGTAGTAGTGGGAGGCCGCTGACTCATTTAGACCAACATTTTGATTCGCCTTCGTTAATTGACCTGCTGGATGTGTCCCAAGTCCACAAGTGCCTCCGTCTCAGGAATGATAAGTGACGAGTAAGGGTTCCCCTCCTTGATAGATAGTTCCACTAGCCCTCCTCCACTCGCAACAACATACGTTTTCGCGTAACGACTAACAAATCGAATTTGACACCTCTTACCTATTGGCACATACAAGGTCTCCGCCGCCGTGAGACTCACCAACACTCTGTCAACGTGAAACTCGATCATATTCTCGACGACATGGAATGCGTGATGCACGGACGGGAACATTAGCCCAGCAGCGAGAGCTTTATTGCGATGGAACGATGACCCTTCAAAACTGGGATAAGATAGATAGTCTCCTGATTGACTGTGCCAATTACCTTCCTGTGAACAGCGAGCCCAAATTTTCTTCGGGCAAACAAGCATCCATAATCGGGACACTTGGCCCCCTCGAGACAGAGGGCGTCATCCTACCATCCGGCGAAGGTATGTACAGGTCTACCCGTTCTTGTTATCGAGGGGACCTTGCTTAGCAGTGATTCTTTGAGAAACCTCCCAAGAGCTTCAGAGCAATCGTCCCGACATGAGCAAGGTCCGTTTTCCCCCGAAAATCTCGTTGGTGCCAACGATGAAGACGGTCACGTGAATATATATGATGCTGGATGAAGGCGAGGTACGTGTGTCGGATGTACAGTCAGTTGAGAGCCACTGAAAAAAAATGCTATTTATATCTCTACAGGCAATAGTATTGACAAACTCCTGCTTGGGCAGGATTCGATTATACTTCTCTGCTGGTGCTTCGACCACATGTTTAGGTAATGGATACATTGTGGGGACCAAGGAGTTTTCCTATACACATTAATAAACTAACTAACCGGAGACTTCTTTCGGCTGTATCTCCTTTAGATCATTTCTCTTTATGTACATCCCAATTCTCATAGTACAATAATCTATTTTGTCCACCCTCGCGTCAAGTCACTCATTCCGGTTTCTCAAAAGCCTTGTGGAATGATACAGTTCCGGTAGGGGTTGGCTGACACCAAGTGAGAGCCATAAAATATTCCTGGGGCACTCCAGGTAGTTGCAGAGATGGTTCTGCTCTGAAACCAAACCGTGTATAGTAATTGGGGTTTCCTAATACAACACACCCGGCTGCATGACGGCTTTGCAGATCGGTGATTATGTGTTCGACGAGCAAGGACCCAATACCATTTCCTTGATGCTGAGGTAAAACCGAGATTGGTCCGAGCCCATACCAACTCTCACTGCCGTCTGAGATTTTCACAGGTGAGACGGCAACATGACCCAAAATATTGTTTGTACGTTCATCTTCTGCGACCAGCGAGATTGATAGTTGGTTCGCGTTGCGGAGGTTGCGGATGATGATTTGCTCGTTGTGGTCGGTGTGCTCGGCGTTCATGAAAGCAGCTAAGGTGACTTCGTTGATTGCCGACTCATCGTTTCTTGTCTCTGGCCGGATACGGATCGGCCTTGTATTTGTCATTCTCACGGAACGTTTGTGGTCAACGAGTATTGTTTCCTGTCCTTAAGGATATTGACGGCAGGTTATGACCCGCGCTTTAAATGGTTTACATAAAGCTTAGGAACTAGGGCTACGCCCTAGCCAATGCCATGAGTCAAGGTGAGTCATACACACAGCATGTTCTGGTGGGCCTCAGCGGACAGCTCAATGATTTATCTACGCGAAGCTCTTGGTCGTGGGGCCAGAAAGGAGTGATTGAGGGTATATCGGTCAAGGCGATTTCGAGAGTGACTGTAACATGATCGGAGAATCACACGTTCTCACACCAACCCCGTAACCTAGTATTTCAGCGCTTGGCCGAGACAACCTGACTATGTGCCAGTCGAAAGAGGCTGGCCTGTACTTTGGAACCTGGAGCTGAGATAATTATTGGCCCTTAAATAAAGGCCAGGGTGAAATCCGAAGTAAGAGCAGAAATCTCTTGTTCCTTTTCTATATTTTTGAAGGGTCCAGCTATCTTCTACGCCGATAGACAAGTTTCTGGGGAAATTCATAGTTAGAGCGTTTCTGTAGTAACAGATCGAGAAGGAATTCAGTTGAAACATTAACTGGGCAGAATATAAGGTCTCTGCAGCTGTATTAGTTTAGAACTGTGAAATCTATTGCTCGATCGGTGAGATATTAAAAATAAACAGTGGCGAATAACGGAGGACGTGGACGACAGTTGTAATTGTACCAAGCCGCTCTGCGATTTCCTGCCCCGGAGTACGTCTCTGCTTAGTAAATATATCTCTGAATACGAACTAACTATACTATTCTCTTTTGATTCTACTTAGTAAATAGTCGTTGCCTAAATATATGGTATAGCGGTATAAAGTTGAATCAGTTCTTTTCAGTTTACATATATATAATAAAAATCAGTCTTTGTACATAGATTATGTAGATTTCTCAAGCATCCAACCGTTTCTATAAGGATTCAAAATCTTCAACATTTTACAATATTGTTCCTGCCGTAGTTCAATCGGGTTTCCCTCCTCTAATCTATTCTAGGCATAGCGTAAGCTAAATGAGATTAGTGACTCCTGCACCCACTAGACCTAAGTAGGGTTAGTGGAGGTCATGCTTTTCAAAACGCGCCCTGACCTCGGCCACTGGTTGAAGGAAGAGGGGGAGAAAAAGCTCCTGGTATGTCACACTGCATTTTTCATATTCAGTTCTCGTATGATGCTGAGTAACTGGATACTCCTTCATACCCTTCCCTTGACTTTTTTTTTTCAAAGGATTGACTGAGGGAATGGTTTCCGGTCACCTCCGACGGAACACCGTGAGCCCACTTAGGGCGATGAAAAGGACACGGCGTCGAAAGTCCCCAATGTCACCTTCTTGAATTGGAGCGGATCGGCCAAGATGTGGGGTGTGATTGGTCATCTGGGCGAGGCTTGACCTTGCTTATCTGCCTCAAGCACTTGAGTTGGCAGAACAAGAGCAGAAGACGCAGTCCCTACGCCGACAGTCCGCCCGATTTCAATTTATTTTGATTAATTTCCTTCATCAAATCTCATTTCGGTTCGGAAATCGGCTCGGAAATCACGCAACAGCCAATCTGGTCATGTAACGACCTGCTCCCAGTGACCAGTCATCGTCCATCTCACGTTTCTCCCCTTGCACTAGTCCGAACGGGGGTAAGAAAGGGGACACAGAGAGGAGAAAATGAAAATACTATATAAATGCCCCGTGGGGAATGGATTTCCCCCATGTCTCCTGGTCTTCTCGTTAACTTCCATTCGACTGGAATCGTGTGTTGGCTGTGAGAGTCTCCCATCATGCGTTCATCGTTTCTCCTCGCAGGAGTGTTCGGCTCCCTTGCAACGCCAGCACTAGCGATCGTGCACGAGAAAATAACCGCGGTTCCGAATGGTTGGTCCCTGGTCAAACATGCGCCGGAAAGCGACCAGATTACCTTATCAATCGCCCTGGCACGCCAAAACCTAGACCAGCTCGAGACCAAATTGACGGCATTGTCGACGCCGGGCAATGCAGAGTACGGCCAATGGCTGGATCAATCCGGGATTGAGACGCTCTTTCCCACCGCGAGCGATGAAGCCGTTCTGCGTTGGCTCAAAAATGCGGGCGTCACTCATGTCTCTCGACAGGGTGGCTTGGTGAATTTCGCTACGTCGGTCGGAACTGTGAACAAGCTCTTCGACACGACCTTTTCGTATTATCGCAATGGCCCGGCTCAGAAGTTGCGCACGACGCAGTACTCCATTCCCGATGACCTTGCTCATGCGATTGACCTGGTTGCCCCAACCGTCTTTTTTGGTAAACAGCAGGAGAGCGTCGCTCTTCCCACCCATCATAAGTTCGCGGCAGGGACCAAGACAGCAGCGGGCAACGTGTCCTGTGCGGATTTGATCACTCCCGACTGCTTGGCGGACATGTACAACTTCCGAGGCTACAAGCCCCGCGTATCCTCCGGCAGTAAAGTTGGCTTTGGAAGCTTCTTGAATGAGTCCGCCAACTATGCCGACCTGGCCCTCTATGAGAAGCGATTCAACATTCCATCGCAGAATTTCTCCGTCGAGTTGATCAATGGTGCCACCAACGACCAGAACTGGACAACTGCTTCCCTTGGCGAGGCCAATTTGGATGTGGAACTGATTGTGGGCGTTAGCCACCCTCTGCCCGTGATGGAGTTCATCACCGCTGGTACACCGTAGGTGCTTGGTTCATCTTGACCTGGGATTGAGGAGATTGCTTATCGTGTCCAGCCCGTTTATTCCGAATGTCGGCCAACCAACGGCGGCGGACAACCAGAACGAGCCCTACCTGGAGTACTACGAATATCTGCTGGCGAAGCCTAACGCTGCGCTGCCCCAGGTCCTCTCCAACTCATACGGCGACGAGGAACAGGTAAGCCGTCCACCGAATTTGTGGGATCTCCGCAGGTCTGACGAGAGTTTTGTAGACTGTTCCGGAATACTACGCCAAGAGAGTGTGCAATTTAATTGGCTTGATGGGTCTTCGCGGGATCAGCGTGCTTGAGTCTTCTGGTGACACCGGTATGCGCGCGTGGTGCACAATTGTTGCTGTTTCTCAGTACTGATTCCAATAGGCATTGGCTCCTCCTGTATGTCGAACGACGGCACTGAGACTCCGGAGTTCACACCCATCTTCCCTGCAACTTGCCCCTATATCACATCAGTGGGTGGCACCCAGGCGTATGCCCCTGAAGTCGCTTGGGACGCCTCCTCCGGCGGGTTCAGCAACTACTTTAGCCGTGCCTGGTACCAGGAATCTGCCGTCAGCAAGTACCTTGACCATCATATTACCGCGGAGACCAAGGACTACTATTCCCAATATACCAACTTCTCCGGTCGTGGATTCCCCGACGTAGCTGCCCATAGCTTGACTCCAAGGTAAGTCTCCTCCCTCCACAGATACCTGAATCTGTCTAATGGGATGGGAAGGTATGAGGTGGTCGTCAAGGGCAGACGTGGCACATCCGGCGGAACATCCGCCGCCAGCCCTGTCTTCGCCGGCTTGGTGGGTATGTTGAACGATGCCCGCTTGCGTGCCGGTAAACCGGCCCTCGGATTCTTGAACCCTCTGTTGTACAGTGGGGCTCTGAAGGACTTCACCGACATCACGGCCGGGTCATCCATCGGATGCAACGGCGTCAACCCTCAAACGGGTCAGAATGTTACGGGAGGTGGCGTCATTCCCTATGCGCATTGGAATGCAACTGCCGGATGGGATCCTGTCACGGGGTTGGGCGTTCCTGACTTCATGAGGTTGAAGGATTTGGTTTTGTCCCTGTAATCGATGCCTTGATTGTTTCACGAAGGTGGCTGATATACCGTCGTCATGTAAACTAAGATATGCTATAGAGAGTCAGTACTGAAGAAGATGTCATATTGCAGGTAAACAGTGAGGCACAAAGTGAGAGACTCAAGGATTGGCTGCGAAAAAGCCCACATGCGAAGCTCGCCATGGCACAAGTGAATAGGAATGCCCCTGAGAAAGTGCAACCTGAGGAGGGCAAGCGCGTAATTTCGGAATTGTATGAATAAGCAAAGAAGAACCTCTTAAGCTCGTGGCGGGGGACTCAAGAGCTTTTAGGCGGAAACGGCCAATTCTTTGACGCTGCATCCGGGGACAGTTCTTCGCACATAGTTTTGATGTACGTGTCAAAGAGACTTTTATTCATGTCGTTTGTTTTTTCCCAGCGTTCCATCGGGACCCAACCAGAATCATCAGTGCAGAGCTGGGTCTTCACAACATCCCATAAATAAAGCATGTCTTGATACAACACCACCTGGTCATTGTGCATTTTCAACTCCTCTTCAGAAAACTGGAATGGACAACTGCCTGGAAGGCCAAGAGAATCCCAGTCCTGCAAAATGCGTAACAAAGAGTTACGTAGCGGGACCATACTGCCATTCGAGAAAAGCTGGCAATAAGTGAAAGGCTCCCATAGCCTCCGGTCAAGTTTCATTGCATCATAGATGGGTTTATTGTATGCCAGGTTAGACATTTCGTAGTATTTAGACTGGGACGCTGATACCCGCTCCCTGCGAGCTTGATCCTTCTGTTCGGGATCCAACTCGTCGAAGTTGTTTGGCAAGTTGGGGATATCAGTCCCAGGATGGTAATCCTTTGGCGGCCTGAGAAATTCTGGAAATCGAGCTTGTAGGAATAGAGGAGCAATTTGAGTTGACTGCCAATCAATTATGCCCTCGATAATAGTTGGGTCGTCCAGAGAAACAAAAATGTTTCCCAAATGCAAATCAGTATGCCATAGAACGGGGTCTGCGACTTCTCTCACAAGAGGATGGTTTGATATGGTGGGAATTATCGCCCTTACTTTCCGTAAAAGGTTGGAATATTCATGAACGGATTGGGTCTCATCGAATTGATTGAGATGGTACTGCACTTCGCTTTTCGATTCTGTCACGATATCCAATTCTCGTTCAGGAATAGATAGTGCAAATTCCAAGAAAGCAGCCCCTTGAATTTGTCAGATGTCAAAGATTAAGCTGAAAAATAAAGAAAAAACAAAAGAATAAGGCGAATCACTTACAGGGGCCAACATTAGGCATATGTTTGCACATGTCGGTAAGATCTTTACTCCACATAGCTCGGTTGCAGGACGGCCCAACGCAGAACAACCCGGTAGGATCGAGATGGGAGGGAAGTGGGTAATGACAATATCCATTAGGCACGGACTGTCGCAAGTAGAGATTTCCATAGGCAGGGAACTTCAACCCCCCAAGTTCCTTCTCCACTTCAACAATTCGATCAATGATTTTGTAGCGCTGTAGCATATCCATTGTTTCCCACCTCTCACTGAGTGCAATCCCTGGAACCTTCTCCATGATGATATATTCTGCGCCAACTGGGTTCCCTGGATCGGAGCTCCATGCGAATACCTTGGGAACCCGAGCAGATATACATGACCGCACTGACAAAAGGAGGGGTGGATAAGTAACCAGAGAGGCCGAAAGCATGTGTAAGAAAACATACAATATTTCAGAGTGGCCACCTCGGATGCCGTCGTGAGCGAGGGCGTACCCGCATTTGCACATGGGATCTTTGCGATAACTTCATTACCGTCATCCATTGTGAGGAGAAATGCTTTGTTACAGTTTCCTTCCAACTTAACGATACAGACGCATTTCGTCGCCCTACTGAATATTGAGACAGCCTGGCGACAAAGGCTCTGGATATCGAACTTCACAAATCGTTGCTCTAGTTGGCGTTCTTCATTGATCAGCCACCGGCCTGAAGTATATCTAAAAAGCTCGCTGTGGTCCATTATCTTCGCCACTGGTATTCGTTAGTGCTCATGAATCTCAGTAACTTGTAGTACAAGGCGAGAAAACGGACTAGTTTCTTCTATGCCGGGTTTCATCCTCGGTCTAGTCAGGTGGAAACACCGTCTAAGATTTGGAACAATATCACGCAAACTGTCAGAAAACCTGACAAGACCCGAGCGCTGTGGTGAAAAACGACGAATAAATGATTGCTTCCACATTGTCCTCAGCATCTTTCCAGTGTAAATCTCACCGGCACACAATGCCTTGTTTGCTGTGCAACCAAGGCTGGCATGTGCTCTAGAAACCCCAGGCTAAGACCACGGTGACAGACTAAAACTGGACAACTTGGGCTTTCTCCAGATAAATATGCGATCATGGAACTTGTTAGTCGCTTCCTCAAGAGTAATCGGGCGACGCTGATATATATATAGCCCGATTCTTTGGGGCGGCCAGTTAGGCGGTCAGCTATTTAGTTTTATAGGACATAAATATGGCGGAATAATCGAAGACCGCCAGGAGCAATAACAACAATTCTTTTATCAGTGTCCGCTACAACTAGATTACAGAGCAATGATTCTTTACGGAATTCAATATTCAATGTATAGGAAGTTTCCGATCAACTATAAACTCGAATATATCATGTAGAGTCGACCCGGTCCCCCGCTAAACCCGCCCCGAACCCGGTACCTAATGTCCCGGGCCCTTGATCGAGGGTGGATTCCAAGAGTCCCCAGCGAAGTTCTAATATCTGATTCATGGCTTCTGGCATTAACCATATCGATCGGACTAACATTCCAAATGTATATTGGCCAGATGTTTCATCGTATCTCTATCTAGATTACGACCTGGTCAGGGACCTCAATGGAATATTGAGCGAGTTTAGGTGTTGCTTCAATAGACGACCCCTTCGACACAACGGCTACGCAAGAAGCCAATTATCTGGCTTTAGACTTATCGTTTTACGCATATACATGCTATGGTAGCCAAGCAAGCGAGTGCTAGATTGTCACACACTCGAGATAATTAGCATTCGCCAACTTCTTAAGCAATATGCACCGCGTGAGGTTTTTGCTTGCGACGAGCCAGGCCTACTCTGGAAGCGCATCCCGGAAAATGGCATAGCTGCTGGAAGCCAACCACTTGCACATACAAATGGTAATGACCGTTTAACAATATGCTTCTGCTTTATTCTGCCTCTATCCCGCCAACATGTCCATAGCCAAGAATTCAACCAGAAGCAAGATAAAACAAGCGAGTTCAATTAACATGCCACTGCACAGTCAACCTAGATGAAACAGAATTACTGCACATGCAGAGAAAAATGGTCACGAGCACCTACTATTCTGAAACATTAGTAGCTGGGGGATTAACTACAATATGGATTATCTGTCGCTAGAGAAACGGACGTTCTCCAATATAGCATTGTCACCACACACTACAGACTAGTCTCATTCCTGCAGCATGCTATGCGGCACCCGATACGACATCCCTAGCAAGCTCAACTAAATACGACTAATTATACGGGACACCATTTGTTGGAATTTTTGCCTGATAGTGGGTTATAGTTCATGCTACCCCTACGCGTTGCTCCAACTGTTATATTAACGATATGCCACTGTCTCGGAGCCCCACATCCACTATCACCCCCCCCCCCCCCCCCCCCCCCCCCCCCCCCCCCCCCCCCCCCCCCCCCCCCCCCCCCCCCCCCCCCCCCCCCCCCCCCCCCCCCCCCCCCCCCGGCTAACACGCCCACCAGGTCGGTGGACAGCTATGATAGCCTTGAAACGATCGATGCTTGGAGACTTTACTAAATTACTTGGATAGACCCGTTATATGCCTCTGCTCGTAGTGGAAGTGCTTCGTAGACGCCTCGTCGCGCACCCGGGCAATTATGGGGACCAGTGGTTCAAGCTATTCTACGAATGATTTTCTTGACAATTATGTCATTACCTCTGCCCTGTGTGTGTCGAAATATTTACTTGGTTTTCGGGCTTGGTTCTTTCTGCAGCCGATAGGCTGTACAGTAGTTGAGTGGTGACTTTGTATAGTAGATCTTTGATACAGTCATATAGATTTTATCATTCTCATTTTCATGTTGAACATGGGAGGTAAGCTATCGTACTCTGATCCCTAAAGCAAAAAGCGACGTCCAATAATTAAAAATCTCCCATAACAGAACTAGAGGTAACTACTCGTGGCTTAACGAAAGACGACTCATTCCCGACATGTTATCCCTATCCCTTTTTACTCATCTGGTCTAACCCTCTCATCCGGGTGACTCAGCTGATCATGGCCGAGATGATATTTCGAACTATAACCCTGTGTGGCAGGTTGGGAGCTTGTATCGGTGGCCTGGGAGGACGCAGTGAACTAAGAAAGACATCAGTATGCTAGATTGAAACACCTCTGTGGAAGCCAATTCAAAGCGACATGTACCTCTTGGGTGGGGTCCAAGTCAGCGAGATTGCTTGGCTGGTCTGCTTGTTGGGGTTGGGTGGAGCTCATATCATCGTCCTTGGGGCGGACACGGTTAGAGAACTTTCGGGTGTTGTACTTTGATTCCATGTTTGTTGATTGAGGTACAGATGGGTGTGATCCTTGCAGTAAATTAGAGAATAAGATGAAGATTTAGTCTTGTGTTGGTATAAGTATGCCACGATTTCGAGTGAGGTCATGGTGCTGTATGTTGACATCAGCGACAATCGGAAGGCCAACGTCGGGTGATACAATCCCATTACTTCTCGGCTGGCTGTCAGCCGTCATTGGTAGAGATCATTACGTACCATGGTTCGCCACCCTTCTTACTTTGTATAAGGAGTCGGGGTAGAAGAGATCCATCATGATGTACTTGATATCCTTGAAATAATGTGATTTTGTGTAGGATCTCCCAGTAGGTCTGGTGACGCACATAAGCACCTACTGTTGAGATAGATTATCCTCATCTCACAGACCGAATTCAACCATCTTGCTTTGGGAGATGTCGATTGAAACTTCCAAGTGGCGAGCGTCATGACGTCTTCCACTATGTAACGGTATTACCACGATACTTCAGTTACCACGCGTAATTGCGATCACATGTATGTATTACTGATACAGATTGCTGAGGATTCTCAGCGATTCAAGCAGACGATGCAATCTGCACAATGAGGGCACTCATAATATATCAATGCCATTGGATAGCCACAACTGGAAAGGACAACGTATGGAATGAACGTTGTATGTCTCCTGTCTGTATCTGCACTCGTAAGCGTCCGACCTTTCCTGTCCGGAAGTTAAGTTCAGCTCACTCTCAACCTGTGGCTCTCCTGTCATCATATTCTCCGATGTCCTGGGTACCTTACAGCTGCACAATGGACAGATCGACAGGGCTCAACGGTAATATATACAGCAAGGCTTACCCTGCCTATTGCTACAATCTCTGGACAACATCCCCTCCCCATCCCCAGGCACTCAGTGCGTTTTGAGAATCCATGGATCGGGCCTGGAGAGCCGTCTGGCGACCCAAAACCGAGAGAGGCCTTATTGTTGGATATATAGCAACTGTCACCGGGCGTGTCCCGGTGAATGTCGCCAACGACGCCGAGCGCAATAACATCAGTCTTGCCAACATGAACATTATTCCACTCAACTCGAAACCAAGAATGATCAAGCAAGCGAGACGCTAAAATTGTGATATACGAACCGGAGTGATTGGCTAGTCGGAGAGGCTAGTATTTTAGCTTTATCAGATGGAATACAAGGTTATCTTGGCCGACTCAGCCTTGCTCTTCCTGCCGTGGAAGATATTAGGCGTCCAACAGGGCTGTGCGAGCCAATGAGGCTGTTGAAGAGGTGGCCATGTTGCGTGGCCCCAGGTCCGAGCGATTATACTGACCTCACCATGAAGGGCCTGATCTCTGCCAGGTCAGTTACAACTTTCAAGGCTTAGAGGAGCCCACCACGTGGACTACATGACACGTTGAGCGACCCATGGTCTGTGCACTCAGGAGACGAGGGACTCCTTTTATTTTCAAGTGCATGAATAGCTCGCACGGTTCAACTGGAGCTTTTAATCAGACAAATCGATTAGGGTGCCGTTGCTGGGGTTGCCTTTCGCGGTAGACAGCCCTGGCCCGACCAGATGGCAGTAGTCAAGCATTGAATAGCAGAGGTGATAAGTGTTCTGACTTCCTTCTGCGACTCGTGACAAAAATTCCCGCAATCTGACTCCTTTGTTATCCAACATTTTGTTTGTCATTGGCGTCGAGATATGGCCGTGAAGGAAAACTAATAAAGGTATCCAGCACACAAGAGTGGAGCCGTCCCGCAGAGCCCAACCGAATGTGAAGCAATTGATTGGAATTTGACCGACCAATTTTGGGTCCCCAACTCAAGGCAACTTAGGCAAGGGGCCCCAGCACTCTGGCCAGGGACGATCATTGAAATAGATCGGTGGGGTTCCCTTTCCTAACATGGTATTAGTACAACATTGGCAACCCACTCGAGGTATCCGTTTCTCGTCGATCGTGTTCATTTTGAGCTTTTATCGAATGTGATGGGGCTCCAGACTACTCTTTGATTTGTCAGTTTGCCGTCTCGTATATGCACTATTCAAGCCACTGCAGCATTGCCAATCATGAGGAATTGAAGCATTCTGTGAGCAAGCAGGATCCCAATCGAGGTTCGATTTGTTGTTTTCATTTTATAGCTTTCAGCTTCAGGCCCCCTGTGTGGATTCTGTAGACTCGTTATATATGTACCATGTGAGCCATGCGGAACCCTCGCTGCGTGTTTACGATGACTGTCACGTCTGCACGCGTTTGATTCGACATCTGTCCGACATGCATTCCTCACTGACATTCCTTACACTGGCTCTATGTCTATTCTCCTGGGCTAATGGGTCTCACCACCATGTGCGCACCACCGGAAACACAGTGCGATTCAATCTCACACTTACCTGGGAAGAATGGGCCCCAGCGGGCATTCCTCGAAAGATGATCCTCGGAAACGGTCAACTCCCGAGTCCCCTGCTAGAGCTGCAACAAGGAGACGATGTCGAGTTCTTGGTGATAAATAATTTGCCCACCAATACGACGGTTCACTTCCATGGTAGGGCCCCTCCTCACTTGATACAAGAATTATTAATGACATGATGTCTCTCAGGGATCGAGCAACACGGCACTCCCTGGTCCGACGGCACGCCTGGTTTTTCGCAGGAGCCCATTGCGCCTGGTGGCCACTTTCTCTATAAATGGCGCGCGACACAATACGGGAGCTACTTCTACCACGCTCATAACAGAGGGCAGATTGATGACGGTCTTTATGGCGCGATCTACATACATCCGGATGCCTCGGTTGAGAGACCCTTTGGCTTGATTACGAACAGAAGCAGTGAGATCCAGGCCATGCGAAAGGCCGAAAAAGAGACGCAACCTATAATGATTTCGGACTGGCGGCAGTTGACCTCGGAAGAGGTATGGCAGGCTGAAGAAAACAGCGGGTTGGACGCTTACTGCGCAAACGCCATTCTGATAAATGGAAAAGGATCGATTAGCTGTCCTGGTCAAGAAAAAGTGAACCAGCTCGCTAGCGCTGAACAGAAGCAAATCCTGGGCAACTTGAGTCTGACCGACATCGGATGTACCTCCCCCATGGTGGCAGCCATGCAGGGAACCTTCCGTCATAACTACAGCGCAGTACCGCCTTCAATGTTTTCTGGTTGTGTACCTGGAAATGGTGGCACTGCTCGTGTCGTGGTTGACCCAACCCACAGATATGTGAGCTATGATCTGATCAGTGCGGCCGGTGTCTCGATGACCACGTTCTCGATTGACGAGCATCAAATGTATGTCTACGCCATCGACGGACGTTACGTTCGTCCCACATTGGTAGATGCCATCACCATTGCTAATGGCAACCGTTATTCCGTCCTTTTCAAGTTGGATAAACCCGCTGGGGATTATACTATCCGTGTAGCGAATGCCGGAGTCAACCAGGTTTTGTACACTGCTGGAGTTTTGTCATACAACACATTGGACAAAGCACAACAGCACGCTTCCGTGGCATCGATTAATATCCACGGCGCGGTAGTCTCTTCTAACTATACGCTGCTGGACGAAACGAAGATCATTCCATTCCCGGTCGAGGTGCCATCTCAGGAGGTTGCTCAGACACATATTTTGCGAGTCAGCCATTACGACGCCTCCTACACCTGGACCTTGGGAAACACCACCCTCCCTCTTGAGAAGGAAGAAGTAACGCCCCTGCTATTCCACCCCTCCACCGCTCAGCCAGACATTACTCTCAAGACGCTCAATGGCACCTGGATTGATCTGATCTTCGATATCCATGGTCAGATACAGCCCCCTCATCCAATTCACAAGCATGCCAACAAATTCTACGTGATCGGACAGGGGAGCGGAGCATGGAATTACTCCTCTGTCGCGGAAGCCATGCAGCATATCCCGGAGAGCTTCAACCTCGAAACTCCCCAGATCAGGGACACATACATCACTCCACCGTCGGCAACAGAGGACACGTGGTTAGCGATCCGGTATCACGTTGTGAATCCCGGTGCATGGCTGCTCCATTGTCATATTCAGGTCCATCTTAGTGGTGGAATGGCGATAGGTATCCTTGACGGTGAGGACGAGTGGCCTCAAATACCTGAAGAATATTTTATCCAGGCTTGATTATATGAAGATATGGCTTTTAAATAGAGATTCTACATTAACTGTTACAAAGCTTAATGTCTATTATGTTACGAAATGCATTCAAGACTACTCATTGTTCGAGCTAGCTATAATGATTGGACATTCTTGCTCTTGAGGCCTCATAAGCCTTCCATCTAAAGTAGGGAGTGTCCCATTAGTACGGTATGCATAAAAGCCACGCCCGCAGACGACGGCATATGAGAGATAGAGAAGGCCAGGCTAAATAGAGTGTATCCGGTTGAAGATGGCTTCTACCGTCGATGAAAACCCTTGAACATTTCTATACATAGATCAATAATCCTCTTCCTGATTCCCAAGCTCTGCCGCTATCAATACGCTATGCTTCGCAAACGGACTGCGATCTCGGATTCGCTCACCATAGAATATAAAGAGCGGTGGGACGATACAGAACACTGTTGCGAGAGAAGCTAGGATTGAAACGGCCACATTTGCTGTAAGGCCTTCGAACATCTGCTTGGTAAATAATGGAAATACCCCGGATAGTAGGGCGCGGAGAAAGGCCACAGCAGCAGTAGCACTGGCTGAGTAGCTTAGGTAGCAATCCCCTAAGTAGCAATAAAGTACGGTGTCGAACTCATTCAACGCATATCCCATCATTGCCAGAGGAATTGATGGCACTATCCAGTGAGTATTGGAAGCTTTTGGTGGAATGGTCCAGGCGAACCACCATAGACTGACCGCCAGCACTGGAGCACCGATGGCAAGGCCGAGCAATTTGTCTTCAGGCTTGAAAGGGAGGTTCTTGCGCCGGCGAGTATCAAAAATCCGACTATCGAGTAATCGTGTGAGCGTGCTGAACCAAATGCCGCAGGCTATGGCGAGAAAGGCCAAGGAGGATTGGGTTCGAGAGAACCCTATGGTTTCATAAATTGGCTCTAACGCTTCTGTGAAGATGTAGAGAAGAGAAAAGGCAAAAGCAATCATCAGGGAAATGATGAATACCAGCGGCTCACGCAAAAAGAGAATCGCAGGTCGAAATAGGGCAACCTTGAGAAAGGTGCGAAGGTCAGGATGGTGATCATGGTTTAAGGCTTTGAAGTTCTTTCCGGTATAGCGACAGAGCTTATCGACTTCTCGTGTCAGTAAGAGTGACGGTCGAGATTCCCGGATGAACATGAACAGGACGCTCATAACCCCAATGACAAGCGCGTAGATGTAGAAGAGCCACCTCCTGTAAAGGGTGAGCCGAATGACCCACTGTATTGCACAGAGGGCCCAACCTACCAGTTCACCAAAGTCGTTATGTACGTGCCCATAATAGGTCCGATACATAAACCGAGGTTGGATGCAATAGTCCACAAGAACATCACCCATATCCGTGATCGAGAAGACCACATGTCTTCGACACTACCTCCACCAACAGTGTAGGGGATGGCAGCAAGCATCCCAGTTCCCATGCGTCCAATTACCACGGCGGCAAGGGAGTGGGGAACACCTACGACCACGCAGCAGACCGAACTTAGCCCACAGCTAATGAGATAGAGCCTTTTGCGACCAAACGTTTCAGACCAAGGGGGTAAGACAATTGTCCCTATTACCTGACCAAGGAGGAATCTAGAAAACGCAAATTGGTCGACACAAATTATCTGATTAGCAGAGGCGTCGTGGTGGCTTACACTGTTATGAAGCAGAAGGTCGCTAGCTCAGATCCAATCCCATATTCATGCTTGGCCTCTGCGGCTGCCGATGCCTATACCTGTTAGCGGTCTCTTTGGCGAGAAGGCTTTCTAGCACATACGCCAGCAGTACTAGAAGCTGTTCTATCGAGAAGTTAGCTGCCAGTGCGTCTGGCCGTCAAGACTGGGCATACAGAGTAAAGTCTAAGAGGCAGATAAGACCCGTGTCAAAACATTTTCGTAACACAGACCAATTCCTTGGATGAGCCGGGTTGTCACGTTGCCAGCGAATATATTGTCCCTCTGGTATGACCTCAAGATGATGCTCTGATAGGTAGTTGCTGGCCAAGGAATCCTCGGCTGGTAATTCTTTCGATTCTAGATGCATGGCTGTCAAGGTAGAAGTATAGCACGAATGCAGCGATAGAGAAAACTATCCGGTTAAGACATTTCGTTCGAACCTTACGATATCCGAACTCGCCTCATCCGTGACCGATTCACTTTAAGTGCAATGCCTTGTTCTCTAAGATTAGCAGGCATGACATTCGGTATATAGTTAACCAAGGGTTTCTCAAAGATCTACATTCCGGACAGGCATTGCTATTTGCGTAATGGCATATAGTTGCCAAAGAGATACGTCACATTTCAGTAAATATAGGTAACCCTTGCATCGGGCTTGCGGTGACATATGGAACTAGTGGGTAACATTGTCTAATCCCCCTGTAACTCCTCGATGTAAATCGAAATGTATTTCCTAAATCTACAACAACGCGCTGGATATGTCACTGTTCTACAGAGTACAGCTCACATATATTCTACATTTTGGTATGAAGATCTCCTAGGGAAGAATGTCTAGCGCAGTAGCCCCTTGCGGGATAGTGGCTACAAATCTGGATTCCTAGCACTTTCCCCCATAATATTTCCTTAAACCAAACCTAAATCCTAGCAATGATCGTCCACTAACAGTCAAGTGATTAGTTTCGCATAGAACAGTACGGGTGAAGGCAAATTGAAAGGCTAAGCCTCTAGGAAGAGTTTTCCATGGCTACATGTGCTTTGAACTCACTGAGTCGGTCAAAGGGGCAGGATATAAAACTGCTTTAATCCGCCGACCCCAACACATTTCGGACCATTCCCAGCTATTCGCTAAGGGTTTCAACACGGGGACTTAATTAGTCAAGTTGCACGCCTTATGTATCATGTCAATGACGCAATAAATCGATGAGTCCATGCTTTCGCAGGTGATTTATGAATGGCCCCGGGGATCAAAATCTCGGACAAATACCTCCACCACCAGTATTTATTCCGCGGTCTAGGTGAAATGTGCTGCCTTATGGTATGTGACGGCAATGTGACAGGCGTTCTTTCAGCTCTAACTAAATGGTACTTCATTAGCCACCCGTAGTGACTTTCCATGATGCAGGAGTGTGCGGTAAGTAATCATACAAGTCGTTGGTGAGTTAAGTGTGTTAGGCATGTGGCATTCCGCCGACGGGGCCGATGAGGGCACCCGTAAAGAATTGACTGGTGATTCCACCACGATCCCATCTGCTGCGCGAGGGTTTGTCGAGTTAGAGAATTATGGATACAACTACTGCTCTTTAACCGAGCTCTACTACTAAAACGTCAGTCGGGAAGGGCGCGGACTAGCAGCCTTAGGTACTTCATCCTCCTGACACATTATATGGCAGATTTTGACTTGCTATGCTCATAAAAGGCTATTCCTGGAATACATACACTAAACAGTACAGTTACCACACCGATCATTAATATAGTATCCCCTGGTTGCATGACGCGAACGGGATCTTTACGATAAATGGAACCCTTCCCGGTTGGGACCAGGCTCGTATAAGATGCATCAGTTCATCAACGACTGCTACAGTGCTCACAATCCCAACTTTCAAGATGTAGCGTAGCTTGTTGGATTCCGACAATATGTCCTCTTCGGTGTGAGCATTGCCAAACCCTATCTTGATGAACTGGCCCTCCCCGACCGAGTAAAGCCTGGCTGAGAAGCACCATATATTCTCGGGCAGAATCTCGGCCAAATCGTCGAAGGGAAAGGTCTAGTGGGCGCAGGTGAAGGAAGTTGCCTTCCTGGAATCTCCTCCAATGTATCTCTGCCGAAGAGGATATGGACAAAGGTCTCTCGCTGTGTTATTGCTACCTTTCGTGGCATGCAGTACAGCAGGGGCACGCCCGTTCTCGACCCATTCAACCAGTTGGGACATCGCTTCATTCGGAACAGGTCCCAGCCCACCGTAACAGTGACCAACACCGGGCGCTTCGAAGAAGCGATAAAAGTCATGAGCCTTTGCATCGTGCTCCAGCACTTCTTCATAATAGGCAATCGTTCCAAGCGGTGGGATAACCTCGTCTGCCATTCCCTGCCAGGCAATAATCTTGCCGCCATTTGCCTTGAACCTGGAAAGGTCCGGGTCATTCGTTCCGAGCATCCCTGAATACTCCAGGTTGGAAGAGTGCAGGGCGTCGAAGAACTCTTTCCGAGTCATGTTACTGGTTGAAAAGTTTGAGTCCTTCGCAACAAGATACTTGAGCCAGTTGCCACACAAGTCACTTCCAGAAGAGTAACATGTGTTATTCAAAGAGCATTCGGTGGGCACATAGGCGGTGCGGAGCGCTGCGTCCTTGTTGACCCCATACCAACCGTCACGCTCAGAGACAGAGCGAGAGCCAGACCAAGCAGCTTGGATAATCTTCGCGCTGTCAGCACTGAAGGAGTGCTGAATCCCGTCGCAAGTGTAGCTCTTGCCAACAAAGTCGAGCGCCCGAACATGACAGCGGTCTGGGTAGCTAATGATGCCGTCTTCAACTCCATCTAGTCGATCGCAAGCTTCCACGGCCGCTTTGGTAAAAGCCTCGACCTCACAGGGCGATGGATAAACACCGATTTCGTTCATGAGTTGTGAGCCCCAGAAGCCTGCAGGAACGAACCGTTGTATATTGAGAGCCGGGGCGACAGCTAGAATCCCATCAAAAATGCCCGGGTACTTCTGTGCCATCAGAAGCCCCTGCCGCCCACCACCAGAGCATCCGGCAAAGTAGGAGTAGTTTGCGGGTTGTTTGTAGTAGGACAGGGTCACCTGCTGTCCGATCACAGCCATGTCGCTGGTTGCCTTCGACGCATAATCCTCTAAAAGGAACCAGTTCACATTGTTCTCGCTGCTTAACGCCCACGAAAGGTCTGTCGGAATACTATCCTTTCCATTTGCCACCGGTAGGCCGCCATCAGTAGAAGCAGATGCGAATCCGCTTGCGACAGCGTATGTTAGGTATGTCTCGCCAAAGCCTGTAGCGTAACCCCCACCCCCTAAAGCTTGAAATCTGCCATTCCATCCCTCAAGCGGGAGCCATACCTGGGTATGGATTGTGTCATTCCAGCCCGCATGAGTGTGGGTGACGGTGATGTTGCAGAAACTGATCGTATATCGGCCGCCTTCGTTTGTTCCTGGCCCAAGACTAACGGCCGAAAAGTTATGGCTTTCCTGAGCTTGGATATCGAGAATTGTAGCACCAGGCAAGTTTGGTTTCACGATAAAGGCTGGCGAGCATCTGGAAGCGGATGCTATTTCCGCAAGAATCGCGCTCAGGGAGAACAGAGTGCGGGAGAAGACAACCATTTTTTATTTTAGATTGACGATAGAACATGAATTGGTGATTCCGAGACAGGCTGGCCTGCTCCATAAATATGTGTTCGTGACTTCAAATTAACTGCCATGCCTTCCAGGCAAAAGTATTCCCAAGGTGACAAGCCTGTTGGTCCACATTGGCGCAAAGTATTGTATACGCGTATCCGCAGAGCCCTGCTCCGCCCACCCCCACAGTCCCCTAATTCCCACTTAGCTGCAATTAGCCGGCAACAGGATAGATCCTGGTAAGCTGGAGTCGTTATCTATGTAACGCAGTAATTTGGCGCTACGAAGTGGTTTTCCGGAGCCTCTCCCATTCGACAGTCTTGCACACTTGCTCAGATAAGTCACCATAGTTGGACTGGGACAGACCAAGCGCACTTGGTTTCTCCGGGCCTGACAGTATCTACAATGTCTCATTGCACTTAAGTAGGACAATCGGAGTGGGCCTCGAAAATCCTCCTAATGACCCGAGCGAGTGGGTCTTGGTCGTCTATACGCGTATTTTACCTCGGATTGAGTCCTCCGGTCGAATTAAATGAGTTACGAGTCCCCTCAAGAGTCTCATATATCGTCTCCTGGATCTCACACATTTAGTCTTGCATCACTGAAATATCATGCCGTACATGCTCATTATCTAAAAATAGACCACCGAGGGAACGAGGTGGCGGGCATGAATATTTGGATCCGATTTCGGTGCGGGTCATGTGATGTTGAATCCTCGGTTCCCATAGATTGGGTTTGGCTCTAAGCTTCTAAACGTCACCTGAAGACCTGAGTCCAGGAGGTGAACGTCATTATCACAGCCAATGACCATATCCGCCTGCTAGGCTTAGCTTGACTCAGCAACTCTTTGCGATCCATCACCGTACAGATGCCGCGGAGGACGCATAAGAAATCGCGGAATGGCTGCATCGAATGTAAGCGTCGCCACATCAAGGTAAACCACGTCCATTGTCGTTGAGACACCGTCATAACGATCCATAGTGCGATGAAAAACGGCCAATATGCTCCCATTGCATATCATCGGAAAGGTTATGCGAATATTCCGAATTGACAATTAAGGTTATGCAGTCCAACGGGATTAGCAGAAAGCGAACATCCCCCCCATCGGTATCAACCGAGTCGTCCATTTTTAGCCCGTCACCAGAGTCTACTTCTGCTAGCCAGGTAGATGCGCCTGCCAATATGCTTCATGCCGAGCTGTTCTACCATCTGTTGACAGAAACCTTACCGTCTTTGTGTAAGAGTGGCAACAACGGAAGTCCTTTACACCAGGAGATGATTAACCACGCACTGGGTACTCCCTATCTAATGAATGAGCTCCTAGCTCTCGCTGCTTTACATCTTAGTATCATTCATGACACCCAGAAAGATTTCTATAGGCACCATTCGACGCAGTTACAGAACCATGCACTTCGGATGTTTTATGAGACCGACTCACATGCCACCACGGAACCACCGGTACCGGCGTTCATGTTATCATCCATGGTTGGTATGCATCTCCTCTGCGACATACTGGTATATCAAGACCATGACTTTCAAGCCTTCCTAGACCGGTTCATCCATTATCTCCGTATCCACCGTGGCGTCCGCACAGTCATTGGAGGCAATTGGGATCGGATCAAAGAAACATCACTCAAGCCGATTCTAAGGGATGCTGAGGCAAGCTTGCAGAATCATACGACAGATGGAGAGATGTGCAACCGCCTTCTTGAACTTATCAAAGCCTCAAAGCTAGGGCCTTCACTGAATGAAACCTATGAGCAAGCGATCAAGGCTTTGCAATCGTCATTCAATGCTTCACAATCTGGTCCTGCCGTTGATAATATACAGGGTGCTCTTGCCTGGCCCATCATGGTGACTGTGGAATATACCGACACGCTAGTGCACCGTAGGCCAGAAGCACTTGTTATTCTATCACATTATGCAGTTCTTCTGCATTCCTGCCGCAATATGTGGCTTTTCGGTGATGGTGGCCAATTCTTAGTCCGGTCTATCGACCGATATCTTGGGCCGCAGTGGGCGGAATGGTTGTACTGGCCGAATCGCGTCTTGGCTGAATCCACAACCTAATGTCTCGATGGCGCCTCTTCACTCTCCGACTAGAGGACCGGGAATTGTCCATTTTTACAGAATTGTAGCAATGAAATGCAATGCACAAAGGCGACACGAAATTATTTTGCTATCCGAGATGCGAAATATATTCGTTCATTCAGATTGGCCGTTGAACCGCTTTTCTTGGCTCACGATATGGCAGTGCATGAGTGGTCCGTGCATACGCGGAATTCTCTCCCAGCTTCTTGTGCAAATATACATGACCCGCATTGCAATGAGTGGCGCATGTGGATCTTTTTCCGTTTCCTCGTATGCACGGGCCAGTAATGCAATGCCATCCATTAGAAATCCCAGGATACTAGAAGAAGGACCAAATGGCTTTCCCCTGTTCGGGTCTCTCGTTCAAGTTAGAGCCTTAGTGTTAGAACCTAATTCAATCCATCCCTCGGTATGGGCAGCTTTAAGGTCATTTCCAACTTGGAATAATAAGAAAACTTGACGTCCTAGAAATGATAACGTCGAATTCTTTGGGCTCAGGGTGCATTAGCTGTATTCCATAGCCGTACACAGCAGCTGAATATAGAAGATGGGTCTCCATCTGGAGCTAGCTACGCATATCTCAATAAAGAAAAAAGGTACGAGCAGTAGTTGTGGGCCTACTATAAATATCAACCCATAGATTATAGTGGAGACTCGCCGAGCTTGTCGCAAACTAGGTCTCTGGTCTTTCTAGTGTAAGTATTTAAATATATCACTATATATACAGCGTTACCTTGGTCCGATCGACTGCTATTGTTATTCGCATTCGACCAAACGCCCTAGCTCGCAATTCTCTCACGCGGTCTGTCTGCAACAGCACTTGTGATACCCATAATGCCCGAACTCCAAACGTACAAAGGCTATTATCTTTGGCACTACATCCCCTCGAGGGCCGCAGCGGTTATTTTCCTCTTGCTCTTCTTGGCGGCGACGATATATCATACCTGGAAGATATGGAAACTAAAGACCTATTTCTGCATTTGCTTTGCCATTGGGGGCTTCTGTAAGTGTATATCGACAGTTACTCATTAACTCATGGAGATTGCGCAGATTAACAATATCAGTTGAGTTCATAGGTTACTGTGCCCGAGCATCGGCTTACGACAAGACCGGACGTATGATGCCCTTTTGTATTCAGAATGTCTTCATACTACTCGGTCCCGCCCTCATGGCTGCGACGATATACATGGTTTTGGGACGGGTGATTATCGCGGTGAAGGGTGAAAGTCGTTCACTGATACCCGTTCGCTGGTTAACCAAGGTCTTTGTCACCGGCGATGTCTTGTCTTTTCTGATCCAAGGCGGTGCTGCTGGCATGATGGTTTCCAGTGACCTCGCTAGCATAGGAAACAAGCTTGTTATCTTTGGTCTGGTTGTCCAAGTCGTTTTCCTTGGGTTCTTCATTATCAACATCATGATCTTTCAGGCCCGAATGCATAGAAACCCCACGCTGGAGACCTCCTCTAATGTTTTGCGATGGAAGTGGCACCTCAATACTCTGTACCTAATCAGCCTGTTGATCCTGGTTCGGTCTGTATTCCGGGTTGTGGAGTACATTATGGGCAATGACGGATACCTGCTACAACATGAGTGGCCCGTATATGTGTTCGACGCGACTCTCATGTGGACAGTGATGGTGGCATTTGCAATCAGGTTTCCCAGTGATGTATGCACACACTCGCACGTCCCTGAACGGTTCAAGCTGAACGAGACGGGGGGGATAGCATAGCGCCCTTCCATTCTGGTTCTGTTACTCAGTTACTTTCGCCTGCCATGACTCACCTGGAAGGATACCTTGGAGATACTCTTACTTCTGTATGCCTCTGATAGCAGCTTCATAGATGCTTATTTTTCTGCCTCAAGCCTACATTTCTATCTCCTAGCCAGTGGATCACAAATCTTACAAAGTCATTTCCGCGATAATATATCTCAGCTTGACAGCCCACTGCCGAAAATTACGTGGAAACAGATGTTTTCAAACGACAGGCTTTAATATCCACCAGCGGCTTCTTCGTTTGGCATTCCATATGCTAACCCACGCAGGTAGGCACCATATATTTTGTTACTTATACATATACCTTGGGTTGAATCGATTACCGACAGCTGGTGCGGACCATGATAAGTAGTACTCGGTCGGAGGCCAAAGCGTTTACTCGGGAGAACAGATGTGCTCGGTTATATATCTTGGCAAGTCCAACGCAAATTCATACTCAGAAAATGAGGTAGGGAGCACAGCCGTTGGACAAACCTGGTTCATGTATTTGGAGTGGAGTAGCTTGCCATTGAGCCATGCGATGAAAGGTTGCTGGTAGAGACATTGTTAACTCACAATACGCTATGGCCAGACAGTTGCCGAGGAGCTCTGGCCACGTTTGACGCGGCCAATTGCGTGTTCTGTTTTGGTTTCTAGTAAGAAATTCCAACCAAGACTCAAGCCAGATGAGTCATGGATGAGGTTGAAATTAACGTCGGAATAACTTGGCTGTAAGCCCTTGTCCAGAATCAGCGTCCGGTATCGCTGGCCCTAGCATGAGTCATGCTCGGACTTACACAGCATCTCGAACACATAAAATAGTATCATCAGTGATCAACACACAATATCTGTTGAAATTATGCTTTGCCCTCGCTCTGCTATCTTGTCAAACGTAGCCCGAGATGTTTCGCACACGCCCTATCAGTCGGGCTGGCAATGCCCTGGCTCATACTGCACGATGTCAACGAATCCCGTTCCCTCGGTCGCATATTTGCGCTTCGAAGGTAGGGGGCATTAGACGAAAGACGACTACGGGTACAGCACAGACAATGTGAGTCATGGAGTACTTTGTCCACATGTTCAGATCGTTTCGGTGCGATCTCATCAACACTGACTAATTCCGTGGACGTACAGAAGAGTAGAAACTCCATCAAGGACAACCTTTCCTCCTACAGGTGTGGAAAATAATGTGACTTCAGAAGACTCAAGGACAATGGAAGCGGATGAATCGTATGAGGATGGTTAATGCTATGTGAGGTGTCGTGGTACTGATGCAATACGTAGGTTCGTTGGCATGACGGGTGGCCAGATCTTTCATGAGATGATGCGAAGACACGGTGTCCAACATATCTGTATGACTGTGACCTAAGGCTCTCCATTCTTATGGCTTACTGACGCCTACTTCAATAGTTGGATACCCCGGTGGAACTATCCTTCCGGTCTTCGACGCCATCTACAACTCCGAGTATTTCGACTTCATCCTTCCTAAGCACGAGCAAGGCGCCGGGCATATGGCCGAGGGCTACGCAAGGGCTTCAGGAAAGCCAGGGATCGTTCTGGTAACCTCTGGACCCGGTGCGACCAATGTCGTCACCCCAATGCAGGATGCCTTGTCCGATGGAACGCCCATGATTGTCTTCAGTGGCCAGGTGGTGACTACAGCGATTGGCAGCGATGCTTTTCAGGAAGCTGACATTCTCGGTATATCGCGAGGCTGCACAAAATGGAACGTAATGATACGCAACGTGGCTGAGCTACCTCAGAGGATCAACGAAGCTTTCGAGATTGCCACGAGTGGGAGACCGGGTCCTGTTCTCGTGGATCTCCCCAAGGACGTGACGGCGGGTATATTGAGAAAGGTTACGCCTACCGGGCCAGCGATACCGCGCATAGCAAGCTATGCAAACACGGACGCGAACCACAAGCTACTTACCAAGTCGATCGCCCATGTCGCCAAATTGATTAACACCGCGAAGAAGCCCGTCATATATGCTGGACAGGGCGTCATTCAGTCCCCGAACGGACCTCAGTTACTCAAAGAACTGGCGGAAAAAGCATCCATACCGGTGACAACAACCTTGCAGGGGCTTGGCGCCTTCGACGAACTGGACGAGAAGTCCTTGCATATGCTGGGCATGCATGGTTCGGCGTATGCGAACATGTCCATGCAGGAAGCCGATCTCATCATCGCACTGGGTGCCCGGTTTGATGACCGAGTTACATTAAACATCGCCAAGTTCGCACCCGCGGCTAGGGCAGCAGCTGCAAAGGGCCTTGGAGGGATTGTACAGTTTGAGGTCTTACCTAAAAACATCAACAAGGTGATTCAATCTACTGAGGCGGTGGTCGGGGACGTCGCAGAGAATCTAACACACCTGTTACCTCATGTGAAAAGGACCAGTATGGCTGAAAGGCAAGCATGGTTCACACAAATCAATGAATGGAAGGCAAAGTGGCCGTTACATGCATATGACCGGGACGAACGACCACATTTGATCAAACCCCAGTATTTGATCGAGGAGCTGAGTAACCTCACAGCAGATCGCAAGGAAGAGACGATCATTACTACGGGCGTCGGCCAACATCAGATGTGGACTGCTCAGCACTTTCGTTGGCGCCATCCTCGGAGTTTGATCACATCTGGTGGTCTTGGTACTATGGGCTTTGGTCTTCCAGCTGCCATTGGTGCAAAGGTAGCGCGTCCAGATGCGCTTGTGATTGATATCGACGGTGACGCATCGTTTAGCATGACCCTAACAGAACTGACTACGGCTAGTCAATTCAACATCGGGGTGAAGGTGATCGTCCTAAACAACGAGGAGCAGGGAATGGTGACCCAGTGGCAGAATCTATTCTATGAAGATCGATACTCGCACACACACCAGCGTAATCCGGACTTTATGGGCCTGGCAAGGGCAATGCACTTCCCGCATCGACGTGTCAGCAAGCCCGAAGAGGTCGTTGACTCTCTGAAGTGGCTTATCCACACGGATGGCCCTGCTCTACTAGAGGTTATCACCGACAAGAAGGTACCGGTTCTACCAATGGTACCCGCGGGCTCGGGACTGCACGAGTTCATTACGTGGGACACACACAAAGACAGCGAGAGAAGAAGTCTGATGCGAGATAGAACATGTGGGCTTCACGGCTGAGCTTCCAAAGCAACTCTGTGGACAACGCGTCGAACCTTGTACATGTAGCTAAAAAGTCATATTGTAAGTGCGGTGTTGATGAAGACCTATACAGGAGTGGCATGCTGGCCTGACTCATTGAGTCGGTTCATACCCCAAGATCTCAACATCAAAGTACTTAAAAAGCTCTTTAGCTTTGTAATTTAACGCTATTAATACCGACCTTGGTTTTAACTCTCACCCATGCCATGACAATATAAGCCCAACTCGGGAATTCAGTAGCCCAGAGTCACACCTTCCAGGTCGTCCGTTGTGCCATCGGTGTGAATGTTATCATATGGTTGAAATCCTCTATAGAGAAGCAGAGATGAGTCTTTTGTATCCGCGTACAGCCTCTTCCAGTTCCCCGACCGTGATGGCCTCGTCATCAGCATGAGCAACAAGGATGCTTCCAGGGCCATACAAATACCTCCTAACCCTTTGAGCCTCCTGGTCATGAATCTTCAATGCAGGGGCATCGGTCCCGTAATTAACTGTGATAACCTCAAAGCCGTCCACATCGACATCGAAGTACTGCGGTGGAGCGCCTAATGTGCGATTCCCAAAATCAAGATAAACGCTCTCATCGCCGTTAGTCACATTCGCCACCGCTGCCTCGACAATAAGCCTGGTGTCCTCTGGGGCTCCCGCTGCAAGGCGAACAGTAATTGCTGCTTCAGCATGCGCTGCGACAACGTTGGCGGCAATTCCGCCCTGCAGTAGACCAATATTCAAGGTTGATTTTCCCAACGTTTCACTGCGAAGGAGACCACCTTTCTCGGGTGGAAGATCTTGTAGGCTCTCAAGGTGAGCAAGAACCGGTATGAGCGATGAGATGGCACTTTGACCTAACCAGGGGTATCCAGAGTGAGCGGCTTTGCCTTCAGCGACCAGCTTGAATCCTAGGGTTCCTTTATGTGCCGCAACCAGGTTGAGCTCTGTTGGCTCTCCGAATATGACCGTCTGATATGTCGGAGGTATCGGGTTGAGCTCAGAATTGGAGAAGTGTTTCATCCCCACGCCACTCTTTTCTTCGCCGACGTCAAACAACAACCCGATGGAGGCGTGGGGATTCTCAGCGAGTGTTTCCAGAGCGGCAAACACGATCGCCGCAACGCTCGCTTTGGCATCCACCGTCCCACGGCCAGCAATTACGAGGTCCGTGCGATTGAAGGACCCCGTGTCTGAGGTTGGTGCATGAAGTGAGTAAGGGATGAAGGGCGGGACTGTGTCGATGTGGCTGGTCACCAACACGTCCGGGTGTCTGTTCTGCCCAACATATGCGTAGATATTGAATCTTTCTTCTTCAGTCTCCCTTGCGGGGGTGACTATTTGTTTCTCTACTGTTAGATTACGCGATTCAAGGAAGTCCAAGACATATTCCCCCGCGCTTTTCTCGTGTTCACTTATGGATGGGATTTGTACCAGGGCTCGATGAAAGGAGAGCAGCGGCGAGGAGTCGATGATTTGGTTGAGATCCTGAGACAAATCCCCGACCAAGAGCTGCTGACGTTCAAAGGCCAGTACCCCAGTCATCAGCGCAGTAACACGAAAGAGATCCGTCGCATTCATGATTCGAAGCCTTTGCTAAATTGTTGGCGGGGTGTGAAAAAGGGCTCATCTACACGAGGAGAGGGGAAACTGATAAGACAATCCGTCCCCGCTATGGCGCCTTGGCCTTTCACATATCATCTATAGGCATTGGTTAATTTATTCCTGGTGAAGCATGCGGACCCGTCCTTCAAAAGTACATGCTAGACCCCGTACTACTGCTTTTCCCCAGCATGAATGTCCACATCATTCAACACCGCCTGATTCTGTTTTGCAGCCGCCAACCGGATTCTCTTGAGTTTCCTGGTATCAACATCGACCTTCCACGTAAAGCCCCAAGTTATAAGGTTCATAATGATAGCCATCCCTACGAAACCCATTGCAATCCCAAAGGAAGTCGTATATCGCGGCGCATACCGAGAATTAAACAGTTGAGACCCCACGGCCCCTCCAATTTGACCGTAGCTATTTGCAAACGCGATAGCGAAGGCAGAGCCCGTGGCACCCTCCGTAGTCTGCACACGCCAGGGCCACATCATCACGTACCTATAGGCCGTTAGTATCTTAGGGGCGATACGATCGCATTGGATTGGAAGCTTACCATGCGGTTGAGAATCCTCCGGCTAGAATGGTGGCCGCGTACACGCCGCCGGTATTCGGGAAAGCATAGAGCACGCCATAACATGCCTCGATGACAATCATGAAAGCGAGGGGAATCGCGGGCTGGGGAATTCTTCCCGTGTCGGCTAAGATTCCAAAGACAACGGTCAGAATCACTGCGAAAACCGCCGAAGGGATGTTTAACAGTTGTGTTTCGCCCATAGAGCTGTATTGTCCGTTAGCCCTTCAGCCCTAAAATGACACGGTCGGAACAACTCACGTAAATCCAAGGTTTGCGATCACGGTTGGTTGGTAAAATGTAAGTCCTGTAGTACCGACAGTGAAGAAAGCCCAACAAAGGAGGAAAAGCCAGATCCGTTTGTTTTTTAATGTGGTGATGAGTTCGCGCAAGTTGAAATTCGCTTCAGCTGCTCTCGGGGCGTTACTGGGGAGGCGCGCTTCAACAAAAGTCCGTTCTCTCTCAGACAGCCAAGAGGCGGTAGAGGGAACTGTACGAGAGTTAGTCGAGTTATTGAGCCTCTGAACTGGCTGCCTGGTGATACCCACAATCTGGCAAGAAAAAGTAGGTGATGATCCCTAATATAACGGTGAAGATGCCCTCGGTCAAAACTAGCCTGGAGAACATGAATAAGGAAGCGTTCTTTTTTACCATGGAAATCCCTTACCACTTCCAACCAGATAGGCCGCCAGCTGTAACCCCATTGAACGCAAAGGCAAGAACGCCACTGATGACTGTGCTGAAGTTGCCGAGAAGTGTGACGAGGACAATCCGAGGGGCAATCTCATCTGGTCTATACCAGTAGCATAGCTGGACAAGCATGCCGGGCCACAGGCCGGCCTCGAAGAGACCAAGGAAAAAGCGAACTGCATACAGACCTTGTCGGTTGGTCACAGCGGCATGACAGCAGAGTACTACTCCCCAGGACACCTGTGATCATTAGAATTTATAACTCTCAAAAGATCATCCTAATTTACTAACCATGATTCGCGCCTGCCAGATGGATGGCCGTACGCCTTTCAGCAGAAGGTTGGAGGGTGCTTCTGCGATGATATAGGGGATCTTCAAATAGTGAGTCCAGACCTTCCTGTTCCATCAAGCCATGCTCACGTAGTACATAGTTGTAACGAGATTATACTGATCGGATGTCATTTTCAGTTCGTTCAAAATATTGCGAGGCGTTCCTTTATCCATGATTCGAGCGTACGAGACCTGCCAATGTTAGACCGTAGACTGGCATGGTAACTTCTATCACAGTCTGTACTTACATTGGTGAAATCGACACTCTTGAGCATATACATGATCGCTAAGAGTGGGATTAGGTGCCAATCTATTCGCCGTAGTAACTTCTTTTCTTCTGCGCTGCTAAGACTTGCTCGCGCTCGCATAAGAGTGGCATCGTAACCTGGGATATCGTCTCCTTCGTACTCAGGAAGCGAGTTATCTTCAGTTCGGCTGACGTAGTGTACATTCTGTCGTCCTTGGCCCGGCGATTCCGCTATTGAGATGTCACTAGATTTGATCGGGGTCGAGGTTACCCCTGGGGTGTCATTCTTTTCAGAAAATCCCCAAGACATCTTGTAAAAACCCAAGCCGAGCAATCAAACTGTTTCTGGGAACATTCAACGGAAGATGAAGGCCATACCAACGGGCTTTATGAGCTGCTTCTGAATTTTCAGTCACCATAATTGGCCAGTTAGGACGCTTATCGTTTTGCAATAGCCAAGCTTAATTGCGCAAGGAAAGCGCCTCGGTGCCATGGGCACAGGAATATAGTGTATCAATCCGAGATACCCCGCAGCTGCGAGATCGATTAGCCGATAAGGCCTGAAAATGGGATTTCTTCTTGTAAAAATCTAGGGCCTAGAATTTGAACGCTGATGCCAGTGGTGACTAGATCGACTGGACTAGTACGAAATGCGCTCGAAGGGGCACATCGCCCAAGAATGTGCACAAATGGGCATCGGTCAACCTCTAGCATATGATGTGAATATCCCGATAATGGATACCACTTGCCTTTATACAGTTCGGAAATATTTATCAATCCGGTACTTCCACGGCCTGGCTGTGTCTCGGGTTCACCACAGGTTATCGTCACATAATCCACCAATTAAGACAATGCCATGGCTAGCTTATTTCGCTGCCGGCGAATGCGTGGATCACACAACCTATTGGCGACCTTGGCGTGTATTAGCGGCCCGGGATGTTTTTAAACTGCTTCTAAGGGCAGGGGCTGTTATCCGAGGTTGTCTTTAAGCCTTACTTCATTTTCCCAGACTGTAGGAGATGCAAATCCATGTCTGTTGTTTTCTTGAAGTCTTCAGGGACCGGATTGACTACCAGATGATCAACGTGATCGAATCAGTAGTACAAAAGTATAGGAAATTGTTCACATCATAAACGCGATTTAGAGGACGAGGTAACTCAAATGCCACATGGGAGTCGGCAATTCCACACGACCTCGTGAAGCATATCTCGACTCTATACATTTATTCTATTAATATCTTACGTGAGTGTCAGAGTTAAAGTCCATTTAGTGTCGCTTAAGTCCAGTGAATATGTAGACTGATCTAGCCCTATGAAAAAGCTTCCTCTGCACTACACATGATCATTCGTCTATTCATATCGCTTAGGTCAATTAACGACACAATACTCGATTTGGTATACATACTCCCATGTGTCGGCCCATCCAGTATACTGCGATAAGGGAAAGCATAATACTATCCATATCCATTTGGCAAATCTACGGGTTGTGGTGGCTCCACAATTGAATATTCTCTCATCCCTGCCAAGGCGAAGACAGAAAAACAAAAGCCTCATCGTGCCGACTACGCTCATTGTCTGACAGGCTGGAGCTCATTGCTGCTTTTCATACACTTCTTTTAAGCCTGTCATCGCCTCCTAAGATGTGGTGGGGAATACCAAATTACGCTAGGGTATGGCGCAATCATATTTGCCGACCATGTAAAAGTGACCCCAAAAGTCACAGGTAAATGTGCTGTGTATCATGCTATGCCATTATGCGGTTCAATATGTACCGGTTCAGCGCATATTCCGCACGGAATGCGTATCACGATGGGTGCATCCAGCACCTTCAAGATTGACGAGAGTTTACTTCTATGCTGAGAAATGGTACTACACCTTCAAACTAGTCTCAAGATAAGAGATGGCGTGATGAGGAGTATCAATGAGGCCATGTCCAGTATGAATGTCATGTTCACATAGATTCAAATAGAGCCACCAACCCGGTCCAGGTTGGTCAGTTGAGCTCTGACAGATCAGCATCGCATCTAACATGGACCGCGGAAAAGGCAGGTCTACAAGTCCCCATTCAGAAAATGAACCGATCAACTCCAGTGACCAGCTCACGGTGCAACCAATAAACTCGTGGAAAGGCTATATCTGGGATACATGGGAACTGCCACCGGATCAGCGCTGGCTGTTATTTAAAGTCGATGCCTTTGTCCTTACTTTTGCCTCAGTAAGCGAGGCCCCTCTACAGAAGCAAGAGAACTGTCCAGACTAACGGGCATTACCAGATCGGGTACTTCTTGAAAAATCTCGATCTTAACAATATTAACAATGCCTTTCTCAGTGGGATGAAGGAGGACTTGGATATGTATGGGAACCAGCTGGTTACTAGCACGTCTATCTACACGGTGGGATATGTCATTGGCCAGATCCCGTCCAACTTGCTGCTAACAAGAATTTCACCTCGATGGGTGATTCCCGCGGTGCGCCTCTCTGCTAGCTTCTGTGCCCAGCTCTTGTGTGATATCACTAACAAACTACCCGCAGCTGGAGGTTGGTTGGGGAATAGCCACAATTTGCACGTCCAGTGTCCAGTCGTATCGGTCACTATACGCCATCCGCTTCCTGGTTGGGCTTTTCGAGTGGGTAGAGCGCTCATTCTTCCCATCGCAGATTGCTAACACTCGTTGTCCAGATCCGGCTTCTACCCTGGTATCCACTACCTACTCGGATCGTGGTACACGCCGCGGGAGATAGGAAAGCGAGCCATGGTTTTCTGGCTTGCGGGCTCAATCGGAACGCTATTCAGCGGATTCCTACAAGCAGCAGCCTACACCAACCTGAACGGTGTGCATGGCCACGCTGGCTGGCGCTGGCTGTTTATTATCGATGGCATTATCACGCTGCCGCTTGCCGTAGCAGGATTCCTGTTCTTCCCTAACCTCCCACAAGACGGCAAGAAAACGTGGTGGACGACAGAAGACGAGCATATTCTTTCTGTCAAACGCATGGAGGCTGTTGGTCGTGCAGGAAAGGAGCCCTGGACGGTCGCCAAGGCCAAGAGAATCTTCCTCAGCTGGCATACATATCTTCTCCGTTCGTGGTCTCCTTTGTTTCTTAACCCGTCCCTCCATACTAACTGGGCCCAGCGTTACTATACATCGTGTGGAATAACGGTTACCCGCAAGCCGGTATGGGTTACTGGCTCAAGAGCTTCAACACGACCCCTCCTCCTGTGCCGGGTACATCGTTCTCGGTGCCGCAGATTAATAATTGTGAGTAATCCTCGTTGGAGGTGCTCGAATCATACTAAGTCGATCATAGATCCAATGGTTACAACCGGAATCTTCGTTGTGGTAGCTTTGAGCTGGGGTTGGCTTTCCGATGGGTGTCGCGGTATCCGGTGGCCTTTCATCTATGCGGGTGCCATAATCACGGTGAGCCCTCTAAAACTTATCCCGGGCTGTATGCTCCATGAGAGGCTGACTGACTTTCGTTCTGTGTGGCAGACGGTGTTCTGTGTGCTCCTCCGCCAGATGCCGCTTTATGAGAATATCAACGGTCGTATGGCTGTGTATTGGCTGAGTAACATTGGCGTGAGTTTCTCCATACTTCCTCATAATCACCAAGTCATAAATGAGATATGTCATGCTCACTGGATGGTAACAGAGCGGTGCTGGTCCCCTCATCTTGAGTTGGATCAACGAGATCTGTTCATCGGACACCGAGAAAAGAGCATTGATTGTTGGTCTGGCGAACGATCTCGCATACGTTGTTCAGGCGGTGGTAAGTACCTACTACACATCGTTCCGTATAGCAATACATAAGTCTAACGAGCAGTGTTAGGCGCCAAACTTTGTCTGGAAGACCACCGACTTTCCCGCTGCCCGGAAGGGTTATTTGTGGGATATTATCCTCCAGTGTCTACTCAGTAAGTCTGCTAGTTACCCCATGTTCTAGTGTACCAGCTCCTAATTGGCCACCCTTACTGCACAGTTCTTGTGACTGCTGCTATTCAGTTTCAGCTCTGGAGGGATCGACAAAAGTCGTCCGCTAGTGGAGAGGACGATGGCCTCTCGTCTGACTTGCAGAGCGACGACCCACCACAACAGGAAAGCGATATTGAGCAGGGGAAGATGGTCCGCACCGAGGTCGTGGCGGTACAAAATTAGCATCGAATATCCTGTAAGATATAAAACTAGGTCTAAACATTGGAATGAAATATAAATTTACACAATATCATGCACTGCTTTTGTATCGCTAGCGATAACGGCAGCAGTTATGCGTCCAGTTTGCAAGCGGATTTAGACAGCTGTTTTGGGTGGATGTTTGGCGAGAGAGGCAATGTATCCACGAAGAGTTTACCCCTTCGTTCGTGGAGAGCCATTATTCATATGAAAGGCCCCCAGGAATGATAACGTTGTTCAAGGTGGAAAGCAAAAGTTGCGGAGAGGCGATGATGGTGGTTAGTGGGATGACGTTGCATGACACTAGTCCACAGATTGGGCTAGACACTGAATAGAAAAGATACTGACTTGACCGGAATCGGTTAATGAGTTGCTGGGATAAAACGATTGCTTTAGGTCAGGCTTTCCACAGGTCGTTGTTGTTGTTCAACGCAGGCACAAACAACAGTTATTTATGTATATTGCTAGACATACATGATTTTACACTCCGGACAATTACATTCCTAGCGTTGATCCTCCGGATTGAAAATAACACAAATGTTAGCTAAGCAATACAAACGGCATTTAGAATTCTTGGTCCTGTCAGACCTTGTCCGAGTTTCAGCAGCTGGTCCTGTAGATCCAAATGTACCTGCCTAGAGAGTGGCTTATCACTGCTTCAAATGAACAATCGCCCCCACATTCGAGCAATCATCCACCTGCAGCTACCCAGTCAGGCGGGTGACTTCGTATATCTGATATCTCATATGCATCCAACCTGTCAGCCTGCTCCTGTAGCTTAGCTTAATCCACCACGAACGGTTGTCGTGGAGGTTCGTCCACATGTTCTGGATAGTCTGTCTAAAGCATACTTTTGTAGTTCTCCTTTTTTTTTCTTTTTTTCAAATATTTCAGGGCACGCGCCACCGTGATAGCAATAAAAGGCCAATCTATTAGATGAAGAACGAATAGAGTAAAAATAAAATACCACTATCTCGTTACAATCTCCCCTTTAGAAGTGGGCATCGCGACTCCCCATCTCCAGAGAGCCACTACAATTCCGATGCATAGAGCCCACAGAGTATGTTATCAACAAGAAGACTAGATATATAATAATATCACTCTATGTAGAACAAGACGAAATGAGTGTGATAACATACCCTGAGCTACTAGTTCAATAAATGAATCCAAAAAGTACAGATAGTAGTGGCTTGGATCGGATATCTCGATATATATAATTGATCTAAGTTTGCTATATGATTGAATGTTGTATCATGCTGTACAACGAAAACCACCCGCCTTGAAATTTATCAGTGGTCCATATCCTCTCAGGTAATGATGATAGTACATTCTAAATCGTTCAGGAGAATGTATAATTAGCTATACAGAATCGCATGCCTACTCAGACTCTCTTATACGTGGAGACGATCTTTCTCTCGGGTCCGGACCCACCCAGGAAGGCAGGGCGAAACATCCATGTTAAATAGTACCGTGTGAACGGGACCACCGTCCGGGGTCTAGATTTCTTTCTGAGGCTGGCTTACCTGCATATGGATTATGGGCTTATAAATGCTTAGGTGTTGTTGGACATATTTCATGGCCGGTTCTTACCTCTGTACCCAGTGATTTGCCACGAACTGGCCGACTGTTCGTAGGTCTCTTGGCACAATCCCCACGTAGAAGAAGAACAAGCAGTTGAACGTTTTATCTCAATTTCCGGTTCTTCCCTCGGGAAGTGAAGAAAGGAAGAGAAGATTTAGCACACAAATTTACCCCTCTTGATAATTAGTAGGGGCGAAGATGCACGGATGCATCAAATGCAAAAGGCCTCGGGATTTGTGACCAGCAAACGTTGAGGGATCGGCATTTCCAGTCCAACACGGCTGGTTTCGCGTGGGGGCTGGAAAGTTTGAATCTCCAATCTCACCGTCGTTGGTCTATAGAAGGCAATTATAGTTAAATTAGGGGCCGTAAAAGAGAGTAAAAGTAAATGAGAAAAGACAGGCTAAAAAGTCTAAAACGGCCGAGAGAGCGTGAGAGAGACAGGGAAACATGGGCTGGGAGGTCTTGGGAGTTTCCCAGACACTCACAATCAGACAACAAATATGGCTTGGCGAAGGATGCCTTATTGACCAATCTATGCTCAAAAGAGTTAACCGGAGTGGAGATCTCAAGCTAAGCCACGGCCCCGACCAGCTCAAACAAGTCCCGGATTCGCCCAATGCATATCCTCGGTAGTCTGTTCATGGGAGGCCTTGCAGATCCATTGGCCGCGCTAAGGGAGATGGGTCATTTTAGGGCCAACTTCAAGCAAGGCTGAGAGGGAAAAGAGAATCTGACCTCTCCCAAAATGCTGACACTGTCATCCGGTGAACATCATCGTGGAGGACAACGCCTGAACACGAATGATTGTGGACAATATTTCTTCCTAGACAGAGAGCGAAAGAGAGAGAGAGAGAGAGAGAGAGAGAGAGCGGCCTGTAGCAGAGACGGCACCTCCTAAACCCTATGACGACGAGGAATTTACTTCTATTCCTGGGGCTCACTGGGTTGAGCCTCCAGGAGCCAGACATATTGAAGGACTTTTGCAGACTCTTCGGACACCAGACCGCTGTGATCGATCGCAAGTGCGACCTCTTTTGAACATGCTCGGGGTTGATGATTCATCCCACTGACCATATCCTCAGGCTCTATATCGATGGCGGCTTCGTGAACTATAACCCTCTGAGTGAATACCCCGACAATGCCACCAGTATGTCCGCCTCAATTCCGGTTCTCCTCGCGGCCATGACTGACTCTTGTGTTTGAAGATACGGCCTTGCTCTACGCGGACTTCGATGTCAACAATCAAGGGATGCCGGCGGTATATAACAACCTGACAAAACCTGCCGACGCGCCTGATGTGAATGGAGGAATTCTGTGGCCCGACACCGTCAACAAGATGATCTATCTCTACGGTGGCCAGTATGACCAGGGCACCCCCGGCAACTTCTCGCTATGGTCATACGATGCGCTCTACAACACGTGGCAAACGGTCAACGCCGACACTACACAGAGGAATATCCAAAGGGCAAGCTACGGTGCGGGAGTAACGATACAAGATCGAGCGGTTGCCTTCTACTATGGTGGATGGTTATCCAATGGCTCGGTGTCGAATTGGGGGTCGAAGTCTCCCAAAGCTTTGTCGACCATGCTTCAATACGACATGCTGCAGAATACGTGGACGAATTCATCGGGTCCGGATACGATCGGCCGCGCGGAAGGGTCCATGGTGTACATTCCAGCAAGTGACGGCATGCTGGTGTACATGGGAGGCGTGCAGTCCGCAAATAATGGCACTACCCGCGGCCAGCCGATGGATGTGCGTACCGAATAACTACCCTCGGGCGTCCCGGAACGTCTGTCTCGCTAACATCCGTCAGGAGATCTTACTATATGACATCTCAGGTAGTAGGTGGTACACGCAAAAGGCGACCGGCGACGTCCCCGAACAACGGAGAAGATTCTGTGCCGGTGCCACTTGGGCGGAAGATTACTCGTCGTATAATATCTACCTCTACGGTGGCGCCGGTGCTCCCGAGGGCCTTGGCTATGATGATGTTTATGTTTTGACCTTACCGTCCTTTAAATGGATCAAATGGTATGTCTTGGGTGTCGCACCGTTCTGGGTGATTCGTTGACACGATTTAGGTATCCCACAGATGGTAGTGAAAGCGGTTATCCCAAGAATGCCATGTCCTGCACGGTTGTAGATGGCGCCCAGATGCTGTAAGGACCATCCCACCAGAAGCCATGCTATCGTGTATATCTAACCAGCAGCAGCGTGATGGGCGGCAACAAGCCAAATGACACAGACTGTGATGCCTACCCGATATACGGACTCCATAATATGTACCTGGGAAAGCAAAATCCCGAAAATGCCGTGTGGGCAATGTTCAGACCAAACGTCACGAGCTACGAGGTTCCGTCCGAGATTATCTCCGCTGTTGGAGGATCGTACGTGTCTTGAGTCATCGCAGCCGGACATTTGAAGCTGACTATATCTATAGGGCCACAGGGGGCGCCACGACCACCGAGCCCGCGGACGGCTTTGACAACCGTGACCTGTCGGTTTTCTTTACGCGCACATATACCGCGGCGACCCGCGCACCCACTCGTCCGATCCCAACTCCATCGAGTGGTTCCAAGTCTAAGCCTGTTGGGGCGATTGTGGGTGGTGTCATCGGCGGCGTCGCGGGGGTATCGATCCTGGCTGCGATTCTGTTCTTTTACCTCCGGTCACGGAAGAAGAAGAAGGCCGAACTAGTACCGACCGAAGAGGAACAACCACCACAAGACGTGAAACATCCGGGAGCCGATGGACAAGATGACCCGAGGCGCAGTGAGCTCGCTGCAGGATACGCCGGGCAACAGGAATCCATGAGAAGCGAGTTGCCTGCGGAAGCCGTTGTCGGGCAACGACAATCGACAAGAAGCGAACTGGGCAGCGCAGCCCTCGTCGAGTTAGAGGGAGATGTCGTGCCCTACTCACCCACCACCTCGCCGCCGGGCTCTCCTCCACCACCATCCCACCCCATCTCCCCGACTTCTCCCCACCGCGGATCGGCTCCATCATCATGATGGAGGCCTTGACAACCACTGAAATAGTACTCCCAACGATAGCCTCGAAGGGATACGTACGCAAAGTAGCAATACTTGCTCCCAGGCCTGAGGAACATCCGAGGTTTTGCCCGGCCCGTACCCTGGTGAATGTTTGAATGTTTATAGATGACCCAACAGTTTTATATACTCTGGGACTGGGGCTCAAGCTCTTGTCTAAGAGGACTAGCTTCAAGTTCCAGAGTCTTGTTCTATATACTAATTTGCAGTAATTATTATACCATTCTCGACAATGCTTGATTGCTATTTCCTTTTTGTTTTCTCTCAATTTTCTTTAAAAAAATGGTGGCGCAGCCTTTTCTTTGTACGGCAAATTACTCAGCTTTAAGAGAATTTCTGATCGATAGAATACGTTACTCTCTGATGCTAGTAACAATAGTCGAGAAGATTATGCTTATTAAGTAGAAGCTGCCAAGAAGACCAGTTCCCACCGGAGATACAAGGATTGATAAGCGTGGAATGATGAGAAATTGTCCACACCCGCCGTAGACAGTTAATTGTTGTGCTGAGTGGGGTGGATGCTTTGTACGCCTATGCGTGAGCCTGGCTTTGACATGATAATTGAATCGCTGACTTGGGTATACTCATAATTTAAATGGTTCCCCTTTGGACCGGTGTGCACTTGAGAGCCATGAGGAAACAAATGTAAGATTTCAGAAACGTCTCTCCAATGGACCCGAGTGTAGCTTGATCTGGAGTAATGGGCAGCCTGGCTTTGGCGATCGAATGAAGGAGATATCCCGGTGTACATCTGACAGAGATTGATCCCAGCCCAGCTGCAAGGGATGGATTATCTGAGAGATGCGCTCCTTTGATGCTTCCGTGAATCGCTAAGGCCATGAATGCAAGCTGCCTGTTAAAGAGCTGGGAATTTCTAACATTCTTTCGGTGTGTTAATAATATATCTACCTAGGACCCTATTCCTCATCTAATTCCTATGAATGGGTGAACACGTCGAATGAATATTTGGATAGCAAGTAAATAACCTACAATTTAGATATACACATAGGCTTAAACCTCTAAAGTCCATCTACAATCTCACAGTTTCTACCCCCAGTTCAATCCCTATCCCAAGTCACGGGAAGCCCGACGATACCCACGTCCCTCGTGGGAGGTGTCCACTCTATTTCCGATTTGGGGACCGCGAGCTTAAGGCTCGGCAAAGTTTGGAATAAAGTGGCTACAGAAGTGTCGACTCGTAAGTTTCCAAATCAAAGCATAAGTTGCAAGAACCTTGACTTACAAAAGACAGTTTCAAGCTCTGCACGCGCAAGCGTTTCCGCGATGCAGCGATGATCACCGTATCCGAAACCTAGAGCCTCCTCTGGTCCTCGCTTTCGGAACATGTCAAAGGTGTCTGGGTCTGGGAAGACCTCTGGATCACGGTTCGCTCTTGATTCGAGGCAATGATGCCCTCGCCCGCTTTTATTTTCTGGTATCATTAGTACTTGGCCATGGGCTTGATGGAGAAAGGGCTTCGGACTTGTCCGCGAAGTTCGATGTCCACGGTAGCCACACGCCGTGTAGCAAGTGCGGATGCTGTGTGGAAGCGACAGAGTTCCTCCACGAATAGCCTGGAGAGCGATGGGTCTTCCAGCAACCGCGATAGTTGCTCAGGGTGCTCGAGCAAGGTTACCACTACCTAACGTGTCAAGAGAAGTCAGTCCAAGTTACCATCAATATCTGCGTCTTGGGCCATTTGGTCATACCAAGGCAATCATGCTTACGACGGTAGCGTTTCCAGCCACCAAAAGAAGAAATGCAATTTGGACGACGTCAAGTTTCTCAAGGTGTCCTGGTTTCAATTGCTCGTTGACCAGGGTGCTTATGACATCTTTGCCGGGGTTTGCAGTTCTCTTGTCGACCAACTTCTCCAGGTATTCAAGCAGGTTCCTACAGACACCTATCAGTGCAGTGTTCACTCGTATGGACTTGACATGGAACGCCGTTACTTGTTGGCTGCTTGAGCAGCAGCGGCAGTACTACTTCCATTAGTCCGCGTCGCATCATAACCGCTTAGGTACTCGAAGTCTTCTTGAGGTATACCGAGCATGCCATAGATGATCTGTGATAGTGTTTGATCATTAATCCACGCGACCACGAGATGGAACTAAGTACGTGAATTACTCACTCGGGAGGGAATTGGCAGAGCAAAATGCTTCACGAGATCGACTTCTTTTTCATCTTTAGCTGCCTTAATCAACTGATTCAGATAATGCTGAACAGTGTCTCGAATGAAGGGAAGACAAGACTGCACATATTCATCAGTGAAAAAGGCGTTGACCATGCTCCTGTATCACCGGTTAGTTGTAGATAGTCCGGGACTAGTAACTGGATATGGATACCTCTGGTACATATGGTCAGGAGGATCCATATCAACAAATGTGGGCCGGTTTTTGGCAGCTGCCTTTCCACCAGGGGACATTTCCGGAAAGCCCTCTCGCTGACGAACCTGCGACAACTTTAGTTGATCCCTGCATGCCGCCCAGAGGTCTGTCCATATGGTTATACCTTGGATAGTCTGGGGTCCGTAAGGACTTCGCAGACGTCCCTATGCTTTACCACCAACCATGGATGGCTTCCGTCCCAGAGTTCCACGCGGGAAAGGGGACGTTCTCTGAGAAGACGGTGAAACTCTGCGGGTGGCTCATCACCACTCGGGCGAGCGAAAGGGAATCTGGGATACACTGGATCTAATTGCGTATCAGCCGAAACCCCAATCCTGCAGCTAATATTCTACCAACCTGTGCCCATTATAAAGCCTGAACAATCTATCCCTCTGCATGATGACCCTGGACGGCAGTGTGCGTGCCGTTTAATATATGTTCTTATATCTAGAACCAATCAGCCCACAATGTGTCATCCTGCGACATCCCCTCCAGCATCAGGCAATACCACATCCTGATGTCATATGAAACATTGTCTTGGACAAATATCATTGGCTTATGATCCGCGGAAATGCCAGTAATAAGGCACACCCGCGGGTATTACGGGCTTTATGCATGGGTGGGCAAAGCCATGAAGTGAGATCTGAGCAAACAAGCGGCCATGGCATTGGTCTCGATTTGCCTATTTTATTGCTGTTACCTATTAGTAACTCTGTAAGTCAATGGAAAGTCAACTCTCACCCACGCGATCACGAAATGAAATGAATGGATGTGAGCTTCTAAATATCGGTTATCGCTTTGCCATGGAATTTAAAACTAGTATCTCCTGTAAAGGAGGACACGTATCCAGGGCTATCTTGGCTTGATTTGGATGCCAGCGGTCATCGAGGGAAATGTACCAAGACCAGACTTACGAGTTTTGTACAACCTACCGTCGTCGTGTTTACAATCCGCGGTGATGGAATATGCCTACATACTTCAGGTTAATAACATTGACATATACCAAGTGACAGGCGAAGAACGCGTGGCCCTTGGGCCATGAAACCCCACGACAAAGGGAGTAGAGTAACGAAAGTACCGACCAGGAGCAGGCTATCGCCTCGTCGGTCATGGCTACGACTGAAAGGTGTACTTCCTCTAATAATAGGGTAGAAGCAGTCGCCGGGGCGTGATTAAGTGGATCCACCACCTGCAGTAACGCAGCCTGGAGCCAATGGGAAATGAATATGCTTGGGAATGGCCCCACACTTGCAGCCCAGTGACTGCAATTCTGTTCTCTTATGATCTCCATCGAATGCTTATATCTCAACCTTTGACCTCCGATATGTACTATGAAAGCCTTCCGAGTGGCTCCATCTAAAACTGTCCTAAATTCTGCACCATCCACGGGCTTGTTCCATGGTTGTAGCTTGACGGGACGCTATTTTCATGCTGATCGACACAAAATTCACCACACCTTGCCGGGTGTGAAAGGTAAAGCAAACCACTGTGCTCTAGTTTAGAATTGCGGAACTGACAATATTAGATACAAAAGATGATGTTGATGCCTTGAGGCGATTGACGTCGGGCCGATGGCTATGGCGCGAGGAGGAACAACTTACATGCCGTTACGTTAAGTTCGAGCTCCAAGAGCTCCTGGACATTGCTGCGTCCGTTGTTGGAGCGCAATCTTGCGCTCAAGTCCTGAAAGCTTCCGAAGGCCAGTATAATAAAGTCTTCTTACTGACTATGGATAATGGGCGGGAAATCATTGCCAAATTACCTAATCCTAACGCCGGTCGACCTCATTTCACGACAGCAAGTGAGGTTGCAACCATGGACTTTGTAAGATTGTCTCTATTGCCGGTAGTTTTTCCCACGCTTATTGCTTACCACTAACCTATGCAGTTACGAAATGTCCTAAATCTGCCTGTCCTGCGGGTCTATGCATGGTGCTCCAGAGCAACTAACAACCCTGTTGGCGCCGAGTATATTCTGATGGAGAAACAGCCTGGCGTCATGCTCAGCGATGTATGGGACTCACTGAAAGGAAAGTAGAGGGCTCAGCTTGTGTTACAGGTCGTTGACTTTGAAAAGACCCTTGCCACGACAAAGTTCACCGGCTTTGGTAGCTTGTATTACACGGAGGATCTTCATTCAAGCATTGGCACGTCACCTTTGTATGTTGACAACAGTGGAAGAAAGATAGAGAATACCAATTTTGCGATTGGGCCGACAAATCATCGTGCGTTCTGCGATTTTGGAAGAGGGTCATTGGAAATTGATCGTGGGCCGTGTAAGTGTCTGGACAGTTTCAATGAAGTTGATATATCTGCTGATCACATTTGTGCTCAGGGGCCTCAGCTATCGAGTTCGCGACGGCAGTCGCGAAGAGGGAGATCGCGAGTGTAAAGGGCGGACTCAAATATCCATTGATGCCAGAAGGTCTTTTCTATGGACCGCGACAATACCAGCCCATGGCCTCAAAAAAGCTCTCAGCACTTCATAATTACCTCAAGGTAGCCACTTACACCCTTCCGGAGAACTCTATCAGCCACGCATCAGTTCTGTGGCACGGCGATTTGAACTTGCAAAATATATTCGTCGATCCTAAGGAGCCAACACGAATTCTGGGGATCATTGATTGGCAATCTGTAAGCCTTTGCCCACTGTTTACCCAGGCCACCCGTCCAGCTTTCTTGGAATACGACGGTCCTCTTCCCGAGACATTAGACAAGGTCCGTCTACCCGAGAACTTTGAGTCCTTGAGCCCAGCAGAACAGCAGAAAGCGAAAGCACTGCACCAAGCACAGACACTACATAATCTCTACTTAGCGCGGTCACGACAAGCCAACCCTCTGGTCTTCGAAGCTATTCAGAGCCAAAAGACACTCCGTCATCAAATCAGTGTTATCCCGGGGTTGACGATAATGGACTATGAGCCGTGCCTCAACAATCTTCTCAGAGACATACAGAAGGAGTGGCCGAGTATAGTCGGGCCAGAGTCGGATGGAGCTTCATCAATACCTTGCCCGTTGCAGTTCTCGCCGGATGAAGTGCAGGAGCAAGAACGGGATGAAGAGCTGTGGGCTCAAGGTGTGAGGCTCATGGAGGAATTTACGAGCGACACGGGGTGCTTTAAGCATTGGGATGGGAGGGTTAATGAACAGGATTACGAGCTATCGAGGAAACAGCTGGATGACGGGGTGGAGAGGTTTCTGCAGCGTGAGGCAAGAAGTGAAGAGGAGCGGAGGGAGTGGCTTGAAGCTTTACCGTTTGTGGATTAGAAGGATCTATCTCTGATGTGAATAAACCTGCAGGTGATAGTTGAGTACGGGGTGAGGCCTAAAGGTATTCCTGCCGCATTCGTTTGGTTTATCGTTTCTCACTACTCGTTCGTTGAATGTACTTGAATATCACTCTACTCACAGTCCGTGTCGTCTCAATGGGTATAATATCTCACGTATGATAGGGATCATAAGTCGTCATTGTCTCCACTATATACAACATGTAGAAATGCCGATACGAGCTTATTTATAGTGGGCGAACGATGCCATCTTCGCGGGGTCAGATTGCGTGATCGGTACTATAGCGCACGTCATGAATGACCTCTTGGTGAACAATTGTCGTCTATAAGCCAGCTTTTGTTTGTACTTGCACTGAGGTCTCTATCCAGCTCTCCCCGTCGGTTTGACTACTTTGCCTCTTTCTATAATGGTCTGTTAGTCTAGCTATTCAATCCTGACCCTGAAATGAGAGACATACCGTTCACGTTTGAGAAAGTACTGGATCAAATGCGCCATCGCAATCAGACAGGTCGCACTCGCCAAAGTAAAAGAATATCCCTTGGTGAATCGCGGTCCCTCGACTGTTTTGAAAACCAACAACGGTGTCCACACTGTCGTCGACTGCGCAATTGTGTTGGTGATTACCAGGGCCAACGACCGTTCCGCCGGTGATGCTCGTAGCTCACTGTTGATCCAACCGTATAGCACACTTGACATCGCTACAGCCGCATAGGTCGTTTGAAAAGCAAACCATTTCGCAGATTCAGGCACGTTCCAAACGACTAAAATGACCAGACCGATGATATTCCAGATATGCGAGACAGTGATGGCCCATGCTGGCCCCAGCACAAGATCTGACGCGAAACAGATAAACAACGTGTAGAAGATACCCAGAGCGGGTGAGATAGCAGACAACTCATTTAACCGCGCTGTTGAGAACCTATTCAGACTTTTCAGCCAGAGCAAGTACCCCCCTGCAGTAGTATTTAGACAGGCATTCCAAAAGAAGATGTCCAGCCACAGCATGGCCCAGAATTTCCAATTACGAGCGACGTTAATCACAGATCGCCATTGGAATTCTGAGTGGAAGCCATGGCCGACTCTGGCAAGTCGCGACTTTGCGAGATCAACGTCCTTGGACCGCAATACCGTCCGGTTGGGCTTGTCGGGAGTGCCGGGCAAGATAAAGAAACCTAGAATTCCGATTGGGATGGTGATGATAGCACAGACAATGTACATCCACCGCCAACCGGCGAGACCATGCACGCCGTCAAGTCGGGCCGACGCTCCAGATTGGATCAGACTCGCTGTGAGAGTTCCCAATGTGAGGCCGACGTAGAAGCAGCCACCCCGACGGGCGATTTCATCTCCACGGTACCAGGCACCTATACGTGTCAGTCACAATGCTCACCTTGCTCAATGGAAAGAATTACCAAATATATAATGCATTCCCGGGAAGAAGGCGGCCTGCTAGTCAGCATTGGTCCGCAACAAGTAGAGGACGACATACTTCAAACCATCCGACCAGAAATCGATAGGCTGCTAGCTCGCCGAAGGAACTTGCGCGGAACTGCAACAACGTGAAGACACCCCACGCGATATCCAAAATCGGAATCAGCCAGGAAATGGGTAATTTGGTAAATAGGTAGACGAAGGGTATCTGCCCGACAACAGCGCCAACGGTGTACATGGTCTGCAGCTGAACCAAGTCATTGCCCTGCAGGTTCAAGTCCTCCTTAACTCCAGAGACGTAGGCATTGTCTAAAACCATTAATTGATGAGCAATGGCACGAGGAGAGCGACAAACGCACTGATGTTGGCCTGGTCGATATATTTCACCCAGTAAGCTAAGAAGGCATATGGGACGATGAGCAGGTCAAGCTTGACGATCAGCCGTCGCTCCTCGGCGGTGTCCTCGTCAGCGAACCACCGAATGCGATACCATGGACGAGATGGACTGCTCATTGTGTCACTGGTTCGAGCGGCAAGTCATCGCAGTGCAGAAGATTATATACATTGAATGCCGAAGGTGTCACTTACGGTTCATTACGTGACCGCCGATCAGAGTCGCGCCATCCGGCCACTTGCAGAATTAAGATAACTCTACGATCAAGACAAATTATTGCAGGTGCAGTAGTCTAATGCAGGCCAAGAATCATGCCAGGAGGTGGGCATAAGACGTGCTTAGGCTCCGCATATCAATCCGGCATTTGCTTAGTGAATTAGCAACGACCATTGATTCGTTCCATAGCTCTGCTCTATATTTCTTAATATATCCTAACATCAAATCAATGTTAGGCTATGCGAGTGACTCAGGTCAAATGTACTTCGCCGTCGTGTCGGAATTAGGCACCCTAGGTGAGATTCTCACTGGCATAGCTAATGACAAAGGCTGCTATATGTACAGTCTGCTTGCTACAAAAGGCCGGTTCTCTATGATTATAAACTAATCCACTGTATGTGGCTGGCAGAGAAGAGACTGTTTTCTTGACCGTCGTAAATGTGTACATTGGTCGTGTTGTCTACTTTCCGGTCGTCAGCATCTTAATACAGCGAGACAGGTCTATTAATTCTACTCACTGAAGAGCAACTATCATCGTCCGAAGACTGACTCACTGTTAACCTGTAATTAAGATATCTTTGCTTTCTTATGGCGTATCTGTGCCATCCAAGAGAAGAATTTGAGATCTACATAGTGTATTGCCTCCTAATATCCATAGAGGGACGGCAAAAATTGAGATCAAGTCACAACGATGATAGATCTACTCAGGTCTAGTACCGAGCTTGGCTACTGAACAACGTGTTCAAGGTATGTTGGGTAATCCGCATACATATTACAGGGTACTTCGATAAATATATTATAGACAGGATACCATTCCAACTGTCCAATTAGGATCTTATTCATGTTCGCCGACTTCACACCGCGACTACCAAGACAGGCGTCTATCAACTGACCCTGATTTGCTCTTTTACCTGAGTGACGGATGTTGTCTGAATTCTCCTCGCATGAAGGGTTGTTCGTGGGTATATGTATGCCTGAGGCAGCGAGGCATGATGGGTGATAGTGGGGCATGTGATCATGGTTGTAGTACAGACAACTTGTCCTTCTGACTGTCAGTGCAACGGAAAGCTACCTAGAAAATGGGTATCAGACCCCTTTTAACTCCTCCCCAGGCGGGCGAATCACCCTTAGCCTCCCGTAGCCTGTTCTCCTTGCGATATACAAGCACTCGGAGTGATGGCAGGCCCCATCGATGAGAAGCACATCTACTACCCACGCCATTCGGGTGATACTACCTCGGTTTTCAATATCCTGAGACGACGGCTCCCGTCCGAATTTGTCCTAGAGGTGTTAGAGCATGCCGGATATTGGCTTCTATCTCGGATCTCTAGGGCGGACGAAATGCAGTATGAGGAGAGGGACTGCCATGGGCAACCGCCATATTTGACATCTGCACCAATCCAAGGCGAGCGGTACCCCGTGAAGAAGATCCGAATCACAATCTGGAGTCATGACCAGGGGTGGAGTAGCTACCCCCAGGACCATGGCACCTTCAACAACTCTTGGACATGGTTTGACCTTGGGATCACTAGAGCGGCGGGGAGAGAAGATATCTCTAAGGATGCGAACTTGCGGCTGGCGACCAATGTGCATGCAAGCAAGAAAACCATGTGCCATGAAATTACCTATCACAGGGATCAGAACCTGCGGTGGGTTCAAAACCTTGAACCTGGTGATAGCATCTCTATCATTCCTCGGGCGTTGTTTCCTGGCTGGAGGAACTTCGTCGAAAAGGCTTCCATTGAGATCTACACTATGCCTGTCCTAATAGACTACTATTGTGTTAATCGATGCCCACCGTCGTACCATACGTTGGCCGATAAGTTAGGGGCTGCATCGAGAAAGGTGAAAAGATGGCTTCGGACATTCTAGGGCGCTGGTCGGAAGCTTTAGTGCTATACTCATGTGGCAAATAAAGGGGTCCCTTTGCAGCATACTTAGTTCATCCGATCGGAGTACTTTCGAAAGGTTCCGTGCAATGTCAATAAACCACACAAAGGGGACCATTCTGGACCCCTCTGGCTTCATACCCCCAGTCTCTTACTGTACTCCGTAAACTCTGGTGATATTGCCTCCAGGACATACCATCACAGACCATGTTGACGTGCAAGGAATCCACGTGTAGAAAGATATCCGCTGCAAGATGGAAGACCCTCGACTGTGATGAGATATTTAGGACGTATTCTCCGACCATGTATTCCTACTTCGTTCTCCGGCTCGTCAAACCTGGCACCCTAAACGGAGCATTTGGGCGCTCCCCAGCCGACCGGTGAGGACGTATATGCAAGTATTATGAAAAGAATCGTCAGAACTATGCTGACCTGGCTAGAGAAAAGTGGAGGATATGAATACTTCCAAAAGTCGGCGCCGAGAGAGGGCCCCCATTATGTTCTTGGCATCAAGGGCAAGTCAACTGGCGAGTGCGGTTAATCATCATTCCCGAGAAAAATCTGAAAGGAACGTTCACCGCCATTTTAAATGATTTTCTCAAATCCATGCATAGAGTCAAGTCATAGACCGGCCAATGATGGATTTGGGGCTCGACGACGATCTGTTCCCAGCCAATAAGTACTGCCCCATATGTGGGGTGGTTCTCCTGTGCGAAGAGCTGGAAGAGACCCCCGAGACCCGACGGCCATGGTACGCCGAAGTACGGGCTGTGGCCAAGGAAGAATACTGCACCAATTTCATGACCGGGGTAGGTTTTCTTGACTCCCGCGATGTTCTCTGTGCTCCGTTAGACGAAGAGTTGGACTATCTCAACGCATTCGAGCTGCACGACGTGGATTTACTGCGAACGGAATCAGAGCTGCACGGCTTTGGTCTCCATGATTCCTGCTGGATGCTGCTGCAGGACCGTCTGTGGCATACAATTGACTCCGAAAAAATTGCCCAGTCTCTTTATGACCTGTTTTACTGCACCCCATCGCCACACCGATCTAGTCTCTCTTTTGGACATGATTATGGGGGTGCTAAACGTTGGCAAAGGGCGTATGGCGACATCTCCCTGCCGGAGGACATGCCACTGCTCTTGCAGGCGGATCCATATGCTATTCCACTCTTAGAAAAGCTCGAGGAGAACGCACCTGATGTGGATGGCGGACGAGACTATCGCTCGGCGTGTACTACGACGTCTACTGACATCAATACTGGATACCGTAACTCCTTCGGCCAACTGTCTTTAGAACTACTCCATGAGGTTGTATCGTACTTATCTGTTCCTCAGCTCCTGGACCTAAAATGTACAAGTCGCGATCTTGCGCAGCGCTTGGTATTCTCCAGCCTGCCACAGTCCTTTTGGAAGAACCAGTTTGCTCGAGGCGCCGATATGGACTTCCTCTTTCCTGATCTCGAACAAACACGGGATTGGTTCCGATTATATCGCGGTACAGTGTCCATTCTTCAGGTCAAAGATCAATCTCCTGAAAAGCTTTCCCTGCTCAACCGCAAAAGAATCCGTGCACTCCTGGAGCCAATAGCATCGGTCGTAGAAATAGACAGCGGACGATCGAAAGAACCTCGCGGGCGCCGGGCAAACTGTCTGGAGCTACGACCTGGACATTGGTTCGTGTCGGAGGGGCTAACCCAATGGCGCGCTGAAAATATGTATACGGCACATCTAACCTCGGGAATGGACTATCTTCCACATGGATGCTACGTACCTCGCTACCGGATTGGCGCGGTCCCACATACCATGTTGCATGGCGGCGAAATCAAAATATCAACCGTGCAGCTAGGGGCACGGGTGTTCATTGCCGGTATAAGTCATCGTTCTACAGGGATTAATGAAGAGGCTATCGGATACGCGGACATGACCGGCCAGAGAACGATCAACGTGCCTCCTGGGTCCATATTTAATGAAATTGAAGTTGCATTTTCCCCCGAAGGCCTGCGGGGCATCCGATTTCATTTTGGGGAAAACACTGTATCTGACTGGATTGGGGATACAAGTGATAAGGAGATGAGTTATGGTGTCCTGAAGATCCCTCAATCGGCCCGCGGGACATATCATATCCTCGCCGGTACAGATGTAAGCTCTTTCTCTACCACTGATGACCCAATACCTAACAAACTGCAAGGCTTATAAATTAACCGCCATTGGAACCATTCATAACGAGTCACGGGAAGAGAAGTCTAACACTCCCTTTTGGCTGGATTATCCTCTAGATCTCACCCTCCCTGAGTCATACCTATGGCAGTCTGAACGACCCAGCTATGACAATTTACGGATCTATCAATTCCAACCTGACAACGTAGGGACGCCCTATCGCCCCTTGATGAATATCGACTTTGGCGGGCCGAATGGCGAGTGGCTTGATTCACTCGTCAGCATGGAGGTCCATGTCGCATCTGAGTTCTTTCCTATCCTTGGAATGACATTCAACTACACCGACAAGACCTTGCAGTTTGGCAAATGTACCTCCGACAACAAATTGACCTTCTCAGTCGATGGGCCAGGTGGGGAACGGATCACCGACGTTGTCGGGATTACAACAGGTAATAGTGACGCCAGCTGTATTTATGGTCTAACGGTGTGTCTGTCGCCACTCCCCAGGCCGAGACCTCTATTGCTAACCTTACCCAGGTCACCACAAACCACAACCGAGAAATGGAGTTCAAGCCCGGCAATCCATGTGACGGCTCTAGCAGCCCACATGGGGTTTCGCCAACTCCTTGCTACCTTGAAGATCTTCCTCAAGAACGCATTATTACCGGATTTGTGGCCACACAGCGCGTGAGTAAAATCATCCAAGCATTAGTATTTTCGGGGACTTACAGATGGCAGTGGCGTCAGGAGTACTTCAAAGAGCTGGGTATTCAAATACAATTGCCCAGTGGGTCTGATGAAGGCCGAAGCGCATGACAGCTTTATTGAGAGACGCGTCGAGCTGGGTTGATACAATGAAAACGTTGACTGGTATGTAGGTTACCGCACTCTGCAGCTGTCTGGCGAAGCAAACAAACATGCGAGCGTTGGCTTATCTTGTGTTACGATAGGTTGAATAATATCTTCCAGAGAGATATTCTGTTTGAAGTCTCTGCTTCTGTGCGCTGGTGGATTCCTACGATATGCCACTCATCAAGGACAATTATGAAAATCTGATATTTTGGGGCGGGTAACCTGCGCCTATTACAACAATGGGTTTATGTCTTGTATGCCGGTGGTATGAGCTGAAGGAAATTCTGTGTGCTTGCGATAAGAGGAAATCTTTCCATTTAGACTCTCCTTTCCAGTTAACGTTGACATGACCCTCGAGCCTCAACCCTTAGTCCCCAGTTCTAGTCGTCATTGCCACATTCACTTCCATAGACTATTGAGCAACATGATATACCTTTGTTAAAGAGAATGTCATAATATGAGTGGCCGCCGCCCTAGATGGTATAATTAATTCTTGTGCTGTCATCAGTTGCGGCGAGAGGGTCGGGAAAATATGGCTCATATGCGCGAATTCGACTTTGGACATTAGCCAATCGGGCAAATCTCTACGGTCACTGTGCCCGGAATAAAGCTTCCTCTACAGCTAGGGTGAAGCCCTTAACCTTTTATTTGTCTAGTTGTCGTATACCGTTCGCTTGGCGTATACATATTGGGTTCCGCTCGGCTCAGGGCGCCCTGAGGTACAATCGCCGTTTGCCCAGCGTCTGATCTTGATTCTAGCGTTCTACGTTTACCACGCAGTGTTGTGCTGCTTGATAGACATGATATGTAGATCTAACTAGCAACGTCATGTTCCAGGCGCCCAGTACGGCAGTCCTGACTCGGGCAAAGGGTAGTTAACATAGGTGGCTTAATAATTAGCTTTAATGGCTGATCTCGGGACTGCCGCAGACAAATACCCTTTCGCTGTAGTGTCACGCCTTCGTTTATAATTGGCAAAGTTTTGTCTTTCGGGCACTTCATTCTCCGTCGACACTAGGTGGTATAAGAACGACGTAAAAGCATCGTAGCTTCCCTTCCGTAGTGTACAAAAAGCCATCATATGACTCTAATACCAAGTCCCGAGACTCATCACGCTTCTCCTACTAGTAGAAGTCCGATCGATTACCGCAACATGTATCTCACCAAGGCCATCCCTATCGCTCTTCTCACGACTTTGGCTACGGCATCATTGTCTCCCCACCTCGAAGCACGTGGGTATACCGCATGTCAAGACGCAGAGATGGGGCTGGACAGAGCCATTGCAGTTTTCACTTCACGAAGCAACGGGCTCGGCGCCCAACGACCGGTACGGAATGGCAATAGGACGTTGCATAGATATTATGATATAACCTACTACGATTAGAAAGCGCTGCCGCCTCTTATCCAACAGCTTAATGCTGAGTCACAAACAATTAAGAAGCTTTGTGCCCAAATCACTGGGTTACTCGACCAGCAACACCAGGATCAGTATGTCCTTCTGTATATCCACTCCATCCGATTAAACGTGCTAATGCCATGGCTTTTAGGGTGAATGGTGAGAACAAGGCTGACAAGGAGGCTTGGCTTCGTAAGAGTGGTGGCCAGCACAACGCTTAAACATGAGATACTTGGTTTTTCAAGGCGACTTCACGTTACCTCTGGTCCAACACTATACTCATGCATAAGCATATGAATGTCATGGATAATATGTGAAAAGTCTATAATGTGTCACACGGTCCAGCCATTAGAGAGGAAGTTGTAGCCATGTATTTATCCTGCCTTGTCTCAATCGTGGTATAGTGAAGGTCCGCGCCTCTTGTGTCGGATACAATCTTTCCTCTTCCCTTGTTGTGTCGGCCTCAGAACATTTACCTAGATGTTTACATTGGAGTAAGCTTAAATCCATTCAATTAGCTTTCATCTTCTGTTAGGCATGTGGTGTTTAAGGAAGGCATGACCTTGACCATGGTGTGGTCGACTGGATGGGAACTCCCATTATCACAGAATTGACCTTGTATAGACTAGACGATATCTAGGAAAGATCGCCTTCTTAATCTACGAACCCAAAATCCACTTTATCTCCATCGCCTTCACGGCGTCAATGGCCTCAGCATGATGGAGGCTTTGGATGGGAGAGAAAGTACTCTCAGAATGATATTCGGTGATATTTATATTAACATGAAGTGCCTGTAGGAGAAACACCCTGCATAGCGCTACAACTCAACAGTAGCACATGAATCAGATAAGAGACAGGCGCATCCCACAGTGATAGAATCAAGCATACGCATTCTGACTATACAAATGGAAATCTCATTCTTGCCACTGGATCCGCCCGCTGCGGAATAAGCTCACCATCCCGATAGGCAGGAGGCCTGGATCCACGATATTAAATCCACCAAATCGGTCGATAATCTCCTGCCCATACAGTTCTGCCACCCATTTCCAATACGCTTCCATGTCTCTCCAGTTACTTCTGATTCCTCTCAGGTTCTGGTGCCCGGTAAGTTGATTAAGCTCCCGGACGACGGCACCATTCGGATCGCATTCAATATGCTGTTGCTCGGGGCGTTGCAGAAGCCTTTCATATACCTCCTTTAGCTCACCAGTGAAGCCATAGCCGAGGAGCTCACGATACCGAATGTACTCCTCGAATGACATAAATGTGTGCGCGTCTGCTGGCTGGAAGCCCTGCCTACGTGTGGTGGTATATTCGTCGGTGTTGAGACGGCGCTCGTAGCGCAGTTTGGCCGAGACGTACGCATCCTGTTCATTGTCCAAGAATTTATCCAGAAGAGTAGACGGGTCTTCAATAAGAGAATCGCGTAGGCCAACTAGGTGGATGAAGGGGCTAGACAGCTCGAGCCCGCCAAGCTCGATCGGCAGAAAAAAGTACCCGTCCGGCACAGAGGAGATGTTGAAGCGTGAGCAGATCATATCCCGGAGAAACTGGATCACACTTGTGTCCCTCTTGCCGCCTGCAGCATCCAGGGAGAAAACTATCCGCTGGATTCGCTCATGCGTGGCGAGCATCATATCAACATGCTGACGGCCGAAGCAGTTGGCAGGCTTGCCGAAGTTGGAGGTGAAGAAGGTGGTAGCATACGAGTTCCATGCCTGAATCCAAGCAAAGACGCTTTTGACTTGGTCTTTTAACTGACGGTTTAACTCTGCAACGTGGCTTTCAACCATCTTCTGGTCGATTTCAAACCGGCCGGATTCGGGATTGAGGTATAGCATGCCCCAGCGGATCTGTCCGGTAGGCAGGGCGGGATCAAGACTGGTCGGGCTTCCTGTAGCCTTATGCAAAATACGGGCGGTACCGGTTTTAGATGGATCTAAGGAAATGCCCATGATCTTGTTAAATCTTTGGATCGTATTCCATGCCGTCACGCAGGTCTGATGGTTTGAAGACCAGAACCAGAAATCATCCTGAACTCGCCAGAGGATGTCGCCCTCAGTCTTCTGATTGACCATAAAGTCGAGACAGAAGAGAATAGACTCTCCAAACACCTCACTAAGTACATGGGCTCCAGGAGTGCCTCGCTGACGCTGACGGGGCTCGGCGTGAGGATCATCGATGAACTTGAGCGGTGCTTTGAGGAAGCGCTCGAAAAACCCTAGCCATTTCTCAGAAACACCGAAGAATTCAAGGACTGTATGAACGGCTGTATGGGATAAGTTGGGGTTCAAAGATTCATATTTGGAACGAAAGCAGGTCAACTCTCCCTCAAGGCGAGTTTTGATCAAAACGTCAGTCGTCAAGAGATGTAAAAGATTTTGTTTGGCATCCATTGGATTCTTCGGGTTGCAAATCTCGTTTCCATGGTCATTATCGCCATCGTCATCACTGTCATCACCTTCATCAACTCCCGCTTCCTCCTCGAAAAAGTTGCTTGCTCCGCTTGGCCTACATCGCTGCTTATTTCGCCACACTGCTGTACTGCTTCGCTGCGCTGTCTGCTTTGTGCGCTTCCTGGTAGCAGATGGATGTTGCTGTGGAGCTCCCGTGTGCATGAGGGCCTGTGTTGCGCCAAACGGCGCAAAGTCCGCCTCTTCTTCCCCTTCGTCTAGGCCTCGGACTTGCTCTTCATCGTCCAGAAGCTGAGAGACGAAATACCCCTTCTGATATATTTTCTCGCGAGTAGTTTGGACGGTGTTCCTGGACGATCGATAGCCGAGGAAAAACTCGCGACGACTTTTGTCTATTTCTGGAATGTTACTTCTCGGTGATTTCCACACGCCGCTCGCCTTTCGGAACTCTGAGAAGGCTTTCTTAAAGAAAACCGACCATCTCACGCCAAGATACTGCAAGAAGATGGCCTGGATCAGATCCTCATGCATGTAGATGTTGTAAGTGCCGTTCAGTTGGCGTCGTTGTTCTATGGGCACTTCTGCACCCCAGGACCAAGCGTGCAAGGCCGTCATGCGCATATTCAGCACGTCGGACAGCTCATCCAGAATGATCGTGTTATTCAAGAAATCCTTCAAGACCGACCGCTTTTCTTCCGTCAGAAGGTCGGATGTGGCCAGGCCCGAGATGGTCCACTGTAGCGTGCTCGCAGAAAATAAACGAGAGTATGTTAATGACTCCTCAAACTGTTGCACTGTTGTTCGGGTCTCTTCAAAGGCTGTCCGCACATCTTTGGCATTTTCTGAGGGGTCCTGAAACAGCTCACTGAGTAGAAGTTTGATCTCATCAGTGTCGAGTTCGTGCGGAGTAAAGACGACATCTTCCCATTGTTTCCGAGATTCCAACTTCTCCGCACCTGGAATCTGCTCTGGTTCTTCCGACATGGAGACATCGTCGTCTGGCAGGGACTCCTTCTTCGTCGACAGCCATTCCATGGTCAGCTGGCCGAAAAGTGTGGCGAACTCATATTTCCGGGTTTGCATCTCAAGATTGCTGAGGAGAGATTGCTGCCATCGTTCCACGAAGGACGGTGAGATAGAGGGGTCATATTGAGCCTGTTTAAGAAACCGATCGATATTCGCCAGCAAGATCTCCAGGCGTCGATGGTTGTTAGTATGCCCACGGATCATCCGACCGTTTACCACTGGAATCCCGAAGCACGTCTTGAGGCCATCCGATAACGCTGAAAGTCTTTCGATCGGAGAGTCTAATGCCTGTGCCGTCTGGAGGGTCGTCGCTTTGTGGCCGAGGAAAATCTCTTGTTTGCTGGAAAGCTCCCGCAGCTTGGCATGCGTGATGTCCTGCAGCGTTTGGGAGAATTCACTTTTTGCGGATGCCATGGTTGCTAGAATTTCCCTGTGACTGGAGTGTTTCAACAGATGAAGAGTTCCATGAGGCCTACCAGTCCTTTTATACCCAGCCTCGCGGGTGAGATCCGTCGGTCCCATGGCTGCCTACTTGGTTACCTAACGGCCGGCCGCTTATACCAATTAAAATGCTTGAATGGCACCATGCATTTCCGAGGATACACGTGAGATCCTATTGCCTTGGTGTTGACTATGGTCTGACTGCCTTGTGGATATACTCACAACAAGATGTCCACTACGTACAATGCCGTTCATAATATTTCTCTGTATAGAGTTACTATGTTAGTTGAACGATAAGTTGAAAGTCATTCGACTCCCTACTTTTTCTTCATCTTTGTCGGATGCGCATCGAGTCGTTCGTGATATATATCTCTGTTCAGTTGTCCGAACGCTAGCACCACATACTCGTAGGTAGGACCCATTATAGATAAGGCGAGACAACAAGATCATTGAAGTGGGATGATGATGGTTCCATTTGAATTCTCATATCCCATATATTCGAACACGTCCTTCTATCTCAAAGGGGAATAGCCACTCAAGGCTAACTAACTAGCGTGTCTCGGGGCCTCATCCCACGCCTTAGAGTGGCTAGCTGACAAAAGAGACAAATCACATTATAGAATAATGTAGCCAAGGCAGATCCTCAAATCATAAGAAGAGAAACGTCAACATGTCCTGCATCAGCGGCCCAGGCAATCTGTGGATGGCAAGACGCGACTGGACGTGACGTGGCAGTTTGTCTCCAGCCTTGACGCTCGATGCAGTCAATCCTAACCAATAAGACGGAAACATCTCATCTCCACAAACCTCAGCTTCAATGCAATGCTAGTTGGTGGGGGTGCACTGGCCCACTTTCGGTCAATCCACTCAGACTCCAAGATAATGAGTTAAATACTTGCATAAACACCGGAAATATCCTCCTACCTCCTCCTAGGTCGCAATAATAACCCCCTGTGTGAGCAGGGATTTCTGTAACGTATCATCTACCATTTTACTCTCCCCCACCACCCCACACAAAACTCGCTTTTAGCCTTGCATGCGAGAGGCATTTCCATCGACTTCAAAGCAACAATAATGTCTCCCAATGACTATACAGTTGGGTGGATCTGTGCCCTCCCTATCGAGATGGCTGCTGCCAGGGCAATGTTGGATGTAGAGGATAAACACTCAAATGCCGAACTTTCCCACAGTAAAAGGTATATATTTGGAAGCATCATGGATCACAATATAGTGATCGCGTGCTTACCCTCTGGGGTTCCTGGGACAACGTCTACAGCGAAGGCTGTAGCTGAAATACAAAATACCTTTGGAAAAATTCGCTTTTACCTGCTAGTGGGTATTGGGGGCGGAGTGCCTACCTGAAGTGATGTCCGTCTCGGCGATATAGTTGTCAGCCACCCCACTCGAGGATATGGAGGCGTCATCCCATACGATTATGGGAAGGCCGTCGCTAACGGCCAGTTCGAAGTCACAGGAACCTTCAACAAACCCCCGGATCTACTTTTGAACGCACTGAGCAAGTTGCAAGGAACCGATTTGGGTAACCCACCGTGTCGCTTTCACATATCCTTATCCAAAGTGATAGACAAAAACCCAGAGTTTCGCTATCCCGGTGAAGGCCAGGATGTGCTCTTCAAAGCGGACTATATACACCCGTCTGGGCAGGATTGCAGCGCCTGTGACCGTGGAAGAATCGAAGCCCGACCAAAGCGAAGCTCGAGCGTTCCAGCCGTCCATTATGGACTTATTGCCTCGGGTAATCAGGTTATAAAGGACGCTCAGAAACGAGATCGTATCGCATCCCGACATGACGTTCTTTGTTTCGAGATGGAGGCAGCTGGCTTGGATGGCGTCCCATGCTTGGTGATCCGTGGCATTTCTGATTATGCCGACTCACATAAGAATGATAGGTGGCAACACTATGCTGCAGCCGCGGCGGCAGCGTATGCGAAGGAGATTTTCTCACACCTAGAACCACCGCCCCCAAAGACTGCGCCGGGAATGTCACCAGACAGTCTCCGACTGACCAGGACATTGGAGAAATTGCAGTCAACTAAAGTTGAGGATGACAGGAGTATGTTGTTGGCTATCAAGGGGACAAGAGCCAGGGGAACATGCGAATGGCTTACTCAAGATGCTCGTTACATGACGTGGCTGGATAGCCAACGTTCCGAATTGCTCTGGGTTTCAGGAGGCCCCGGAAAGGGCAAAACGATGCTTGCTATCTATTTAACCCAGGTTCTGGAGGACCATGTGCCCTCTGAGGGTAGGATTCTCCTATATTACTTCTGCGATAATGGAGACGAGAACCGGAAATCGCCGATCGCCATCTTGAAAAGTTTGTTATACCAGCTTCTCTCAAATCGACCCCATCTACTTCACCTGGTTTCAACAGACCTTCAGGGCGACAGCAAATTATATTCTCATATGACCCTACCGTACCTTTGGAGCACATTTGTAGCACTTCTCAGATCACCGGATCTCAGCATGGTCGTCTGCGTAGTAGACGGCCTTGATGAATGTGAAGAAAGCTTGATAAAGCCCTTCCTCGGATATCTCAGGGAGTTCTTTACAGGGCAGGAAGAGGAAGGCTTGACTGCCAGCTTTAAATTGTTATTGCTCAGCCGCGAATCAGATAATATCAAACGTGGGTTGGGGCGGGTGCCTCGAGTAGACCTCGAAAGCGCCGAGTTCTCGATGCAAGTGGCTAATGATGTTGATAAATACATTTCCTCAATGCTCCAGGAACCAAATGTATCCGGTGGCCTCTCCTTAGCTCAACGCGAGCGAATAAGAAAGACCTTGAGAGATGGCGCGGAAGGAACCTTTTTGTGGGTTGGTTTCATGCCAGACATTCTCAGAGGCATGGACAACGAAGAGATAGAAGACGGTCTACAGGAGATTCCAAAGGGTCTGGACGAAATTTACCAACGAATACTTCATCAAATTCCAGCGCCACAAAAGGAGCTGGTTTGTCTGATCCTCCATTGGGTCGTGCTGGCGCAGAGGCCCTTGACAATGGAAGAACTGGAAGCAGCCATCCGAACAGATGACAAATACAAGGGTTTGAATGGGAATGCCATAATAAGGCAAGTGAAGTCTTGTAGGCCACTGCTAAAGATCGAGCATCAGGTAATACATTTGGTACATCAATCCGCAAAGGAATATCTACTGTCCCCGGACGAAGTGTCGATGACCTACTTCGGCGGGAAGGCGCGTCATTCAATACTCGCACTTTCCTGCTTGAAGTACCTAGAAACAAACTATGTTCGGCTTTCCGGGCTCCAAGAGGATACGTTCTTAGACTATGCGTCCACGTACTGGCCTGTGCATATGAAAAATGCAGGCGATGATGATGCCAAGCTTTGCGAACAGTCCACGAAATTCTTCCAAGAATCGAACACGCGTGACCGTTGGTGGGCACGCTATTGGTCGAGAGAGCACGGTACTGACGAACCAAACTCGTTTAAATTGCTGCATCTATCGGCTTATTTTGGTCTGGAGGCTTTAGCCCAGAATGACCTTCGCCGGAAACGCCGCTTTACGAATTCCATGCACCCTGCAAACCAAAAAGACAGTTATGGCCGAATACCGCTTATGTGGGCTGCAGCCAGAGGCCAAAAGCGCATGGTAGAGCTCTTGCTCCCGCATGTGTTCAATATCGATCGCCGCGACAAATTTAATATGACAGCACTTCATCTAGCGGTCAGAGGTGACCACTTCGACGTGGTGTCGTTGCTTTTGACCAGGCCTGTCAATCTCGAAATAAAAGCAGGTGGTTTTACACCATTAATGGTGGCAATCGGAAATTGCTCCCAGAGTATTGTTGCACTTCTTCTTAAGCATGGAGCTAAAGATCCTATGCCGTCAACTCTCGGTGATGCGAATCTTGGACGTGAGGCAGTTAATCGTGAGGAGGATTGCTGCGAGACACGCGCGCGAGAACTCATACACCTTCAACCACTGTTTCTCCGCACACGGTTGAACAAATTCTCTGAGGCATTAACGGTGCCTATCGCCCTTAGCCTTGCTATCTCACCTGTAGTAGCGAAATCCAAGGCTTGCTCTAGTCTTTTGAAACGGCCAATAGTCAAGCTAATCAGATACTATCTTGAGAGTGACGGTGAGAAGGTCAAAGCCATCCTGGACAATGGGCACGGCGCAACACTCATTGAACAATCGCTTATAATATGCCGACTACAACTAGGAACGCGGAATAAAGGCAGGATGATGCGGCTTGCCCAGAAGCTCGGCGATACTTTTGTGGAAATTATCCTTGAAGTCCATGGAATTTTAGGATGGTGGGATCGGTTTGCCGTCTCTTTTCTCCGGAGTGGTTTTAGCTTAGGCTTCAGGGACGTGTTAGAGACCTGGTTTACGATCGGGGTATATGGAACTGCAAAGGCAATTGACTGTGGAGGAGCCGAGAACATACGAGAAATTTGGCAATTTGGAGTGAAATCATGCAAGATGCTGTTGATTAAGGAGAGGGAGGCCGAAGCCATAGCCGTAATGAGGTGGGTTATCATGAGCCATGTGATAGCTCGTGAAATTAATAAGGCAAGAGTTATCGACACGATCTCCAAAGAGTGCACAAAGGCTATTGAAGATCTCACCCAAGGGCCACTCACGAATAGCTTTATTTCCTGCATGAGTACGGCGTGGTCGAGGGAAATACTCTACCGGGTTACGAGGAAGGAAAGCCGAGAGCTAAAATGGACGCTTGGGTGCTTTTCTGCAGCTAGCTTCGTACCTAAACTACCTTTGATCGCAGGGACAGCTTTGTTCAAAACTTTCACTACCCTAGCCGATGAAAAAGCTGACATGACATGGCTATTTGTTGAGCAGCAATTCTGGCCCATTGAAAAGGCCTGTGACTGGGCAGTCAATACAGCAACATGGCATATAGAGGCGGCGATAGTGTTGTTACAACTCATCTCAGAAAGCCGGCTCCCGGTTCCACAGTATATCATGGGATTGGTTCCGTCGGTTTTGAAGAGAGCAGAAATGGAAGCTCTCTCGGTTGGTTTCAATATAGGAGAACTGAAGACTGAAGATCAGTTGTCAATATAGAACAGTAATTCTATACTATGATCTGTACAAATACAGCTAGGTGCAGGGTGAATGGGTATACTTAGATTCTTTTGTGCTGCTGTCTTTTAGGGCAGTGAGCCATGAATATCCTGTAGGCCAATACACACCCTTGCATACTCCGCTGAAAACATCTTGTATCATCAAGCCATTTAGCCGCCATCTGAGTATTACAATATATCGCTTGGGCAGTTGTTAAGTGGCCCTAATGGAATAGTTTCAGTCTATGTTACCCAGTGTTTCCATTTAAAGCCAACTCACCACTCCATCCCATATGCAGATTTCAAGTTGGGCATCCCGCCTTCAAAATAGCTCGATACGGAAACCTATCCGCCCTTACCCCTATCGGGTCAATGAAGAAACTCTCAAGAGGATACCTCATATAAAGAATGCTCTTGCGGGACAATAGGGTCACTGTGGGGAACAGGCTGATTGCGGGGCGTCCTGAAACTCTCACAATCCTGCTCCAGATTGGGGAGCCGATGTTGGTAATATACGGCACGCTCGTTCCCTTCCCTGGCTGGTAATGCCACTTGATTTCTGCCAGCATTCTTCCTCCACTGCCTACTCATTCTAGTCCCTATCAGTTGTATTCTATATTTTCACAGTGCAAAGGGAATCTATTCTCCACGATTCCCGATCCAAGCTGGACAAGGAAGCCATCTTTTGGCCGGAGGCTGGCTCACTTTTTTGGAGCACCATTGCATATGTCACAGATATGACCCTCTTTGGATATGACCAGGCGCTCTTTGGTGTGGACTGTTAAGCGTACTTCCGAGAACACATTATACTGATTTATATTACGCGGTGTCATTGTTACGGATGGTTTTCTTGATGTCTTACATCTCGACGGAAAGACTTCGACAATCTCAACTGTGACTGCGGTATACGATGTTGGTTTATCGCTTGAATTAAGTTGGACGGAATCGTACTTCTTCTATGGATATTTATCTATCCTGCTACCACTCCAGATTGGCTCTTACCCGTACTTGGCAATGTGCCGACGGTTTAGTAGGATGCATCCGATGACCCCAGCGAAGCAGGCTGGAGTGCAAGTAATGACGTCCATTCAATATTCAAGCAGAATAAGATCAAGGGTCTTCCCTATACCGACTACTTCATTCTACCGTACAAGTACATTGGGGGTCGTGGCGGGAAGTATCCGGATTGGGAAATCGGCCCGCCCACCCCAGCCAGTTTTTGGGGATACGAAATCTGGACTATGAGACTACTGGGGTCATGCGGAGAATAGTTAAGTTCTCCTCATTTCCTCCAGGACTGAATGACATCTTAAGCTTTGACATGACACCTGATTTCTTGTTGTGCCAAGCAGTATCAAGTAATTGATAAATAAATCTAAATCTACAAACTTAATCGCCAAGTCAGATCTTGCGGCATGAGGTGTACAGGTTAATTTTGTCACCGTATCAATTGGACGTTGATAGGATAGGACGGACTATCTCTCTAAGAGACAGGCTTGGCTTTAGGAATGCACTCGCTAAATATTTTGCACCCGGCTTGGGAATGAAAGGATGTTGATCTAGGACTAGAGTCCAGGGATGGCGATGGTCGGGTAGGTTATGTCGCGAGAGTTGGGCGCAAATCTGATGAGGTAGTTGATCTTGTTGATTCACATAGATCTACTTGGCTGAGTTGGAGATTATGTTTCTATTCATGCCTCTTGACTGGGTCAACGTTTCTATACTCTAGACCTAGGGTTCAGCGGGGGTTGAGTATCTGAGTATCTACACCGATTACCCCGCGCCATGTAGCGCAGCAGCGAACAGACTAAGATAGACGGGTTGAGGTGCATATTGTCCCCAGACTTGAATAACCATTGAAAGGCCTCTGTATATACACATGTATCCTCGTCGAATTAGGATATCGCTTATTCGATCGGTTTGACATTGACAGCTGTCGGTCCCTTTACTCCATCCATCACTTCAAATTCAACCTTTTGCCCTTCCACAAGAACTTTAAACCCTTCGTAAACAATAAGAATTATTCTTCAGTACGCTATCATTCAAATGTTATCCTTGCTCGATTATTCTGCACATACGGCTTGAATGGCAGAGAAACGGACAAAAGCATCTTTCGAGCCGTCAGATGGGGTGATAAATCCAAACGCTTTCGACTCATTGAACCACTTCACGTTTCCTTGTGGCATGGCTGCAGATTGTGGTGTTCGATGAATGTTTTGTAAAGGAAGATTTGATGGGAGTGAGACATCGGCACCGGGATCTTGTAGTGTAGTAGAAAACGAAATCCTGGTTGACGAGCACTTCTCGAAAATCTGGGAATATGGCTCGCTTCGTATGCTAGTCAGCTGGCTTAAGGTACACACTTCAAAGACACCTCGTGTTCGTGCATAAAATGGCGTCATCGATTGATCTGAGCAAATGAATCGCGATCGGCAGAGTAGGGGGATATTTAGGGGTCGGCTTCGCAATATCTCAGCTGAAGATATGCGGGCATGGGCTCAGCTGAAGCTGGTCAAGCATAGCTGCCGGTATTCCGCACCCGAACTACCATCAGAAGACATAATCTGACTTGAGCAGCTGTTTCTTAGGGGGTTCTATTGGTGTAAACCTATATTTTAGCGGTATCTTAAAACAGAACCCTAGGTCGCTTGCACCATCATCCTGTGTATTAAACTATGGAAAAGCTGCAGATAGGCTCTGCTTTCTTAAATATTGATATATTTCAATGTAACTCCTTGGTACCTGTATTCCGTCAACCATCCCTGAACTGGTCCATAGCTCAAGGTTCGAGCGTTGAAATAACGGTTGTCTCATATTCATTCATAGTCCAGTTTTAATAAATGCGGGACTCAAAGCTGCTTAATAACCCTCGCAAGGTTTGTCATATCCTCCAGGAAGAAGTCATTTTCCCCCCTGATAATCTCCATATCTTCATTGATATCGTCAGTCCACCTGTGGATATATACCGTTTTCATCCCCGCCTCCTTCGCACCACGAACGTCATAAGCATGCGCAGCAACAAGCACTGTTTCCTCCGGTTTCGCATTTACCAATCGCAATACCGCACGGTAGCTCTCTGGAGCAGGCTTGTACACACCGAGCAACTGGCTAGAGAACAGCATGTGGAAGGATAGACCTGATGATTGGCAGAGATCGAGTTGCAATCTTGTGGTTCCATTCGCATGGACAAATACTTCATAGCCTTCTGCTTTTAGCTGCTCAATGGCTGGAGCGACATCCGGCCATGCCGGCATCGAGTGCCAGGCGGCTATACATTGTTCCTTGGTCTCTCGATCGAAAAGATGTTTGTGGACTGCACACCTCTCTAATAAAGCATCGAGAGTCCTTGCAAGGGTGAGTTCGATGTCCTCAACAGGTTCGTCGGCAGCGATACGTGCGGCATTAGCGTCGAAATAGTCGTGTCGCCATCTCAGAGCGATATCCGATCTTTCACTTTCTGAAATGGACTCAGGTAATGCTTTAATGATTCCGCTGTGCCAATCAAGGCACGTGCCCATAAAGTCAAAGAAGACTGTTTTGGTCATTCTCAGTGGTCCTTAGCTTTGGCATCAAAAAAAACTTGAACTAATTCAGCAAGATAGATGATGAACCGTGGCTTATATATACATTATGGCTGACTGGTTTTGATAATGATTAACATCCTCGTTCACGTTCAATCCTGCTGACAAATGGATATGCTAGGACACAGTAACCCGCAACTGGGTGGGTGAACCCGGCCTATGCAGGTGTCAGCGGAGCTAAAAGTGAGGCTTCGGCTAATAGCAGGTCACTAGCGGAAGTTTCTAAAAGTAGAAAAAAACAAAACATACAACATGGGGGGGGGGGAAGATTGTGAATCACCACAGTCCTAGTTTGCTGTATGTTCCCTGCTTAGTCTGTGAGATATACCCAATACCATAATAAGTAGTGGGGTTAGTGCGCTACGATTTACAATTTTTCTTTACGGAATGTGGGACTTCGTGATATAGATATATTATTCTAGAGCGACTCTACCGATAACTATACTATCGGTTTAACTGTGTATCTATTCTTCGATAGATACAGGCAAGGAGCCAAAGCGGATATCGGGTAGCTGAGTAATCAGAACAGAGCAGGAAAGAGAAGAGAATGAAGAATACGCACTTTCAGTGTCGGGCACACCAAAATCGGACCAACCCGCGGCGGCGGATGCGAGACGTACATATCCCATTACCCGGAAATGGGAAAGTTCAGGGTCGACCATCCCCGATCGGGCCCGCGTTAGTCCCCTTGAGGCAGGTGGGTCCCGTCGTATACCCCCTTATACGGGTCGGGACTAGGAGTAGGACTAGGCATAGGGTATAAGATATACTAGTAGTGGGTTCGATTTTTACTATAATTATAGTTGCTCAGAGAAGAGAAAAGTATCCAATCAATGAATAAAAACAGATAGATCCTATCCTTCACTTCCTCCGACTCAAAACCGTCCTTGATAATAGCTCCAGGTTTGAACTGGTAATTATCTCCAGAATCTGTAACTGAGCATTGAGCTCGCGACTTATCCAGTTACGGAACTCAACTGCAGCAAGAGAATCAACACCGCAGGTAGCCACAGAGCTGGTTGGATGAATATCCTCTACGGAAATCATGAGAATGTCAGCGATCTTTCGAGATAACGAGGTATACACCACGTCCACGGCCTGTGTTTCCCTTGAGCTTGCGCCTCTTTAACAGCAGAATCCAAACTCTTTGCACCATGTGTGTCGGGATCATCTTCCGACGAGAGCTCGGCTTCCTTAAGTAAGGATTCAAATCTGGGGTCGTAAGCCCAGAATCGAAATTTTATTAACTCGCTAGTCAACTTCAGCCCAGTGAGACACTGAGACTGACCTGCGAGCAGGACCCCAGATATCGCTGCTCCGAGTAGTGCCATGACCTCCTTTTGGGAAATGGAGTCGGATGCAAACCGTTCGGAAAAGATCTTCGCATCGCCAAGATTATCCTCCGCCAGCCGGCCCGCATCCAATACTCGTGCTATATCTATGGTAGTGGCTGGTAATCCCTGAGCCTGTCGGAATGCGGCGAATGCATCCCAGAGCAATACTGAAGAGTTCGTAAGCGAAACTCAGAAGGCTAATCCTACTCCATAATGATATCGCTACTTTCAATAAATCGCCGATATCAATGAATTGGTATGTATTTGTTACGGAGTCCTATTTCATTAAGAGTATGTACCTGTGGACATTCAGTGTTGAGGGACCCACCGTCCTATGTTCAGCTGAGCTGAATCCTATTTCAATAATTCTCCATTTTTTTTTTCGCTTTTTTCTAGATTACTAGCTCTGTGTAGTAGCGTCGATCGTAATTTATACACCTCCCACTCAAGAACTCTTGATCTCAAGCGAACTGCTCCACAGGGTTTAATACGATCGTTCCCCACTCGACTAAAGTATAAGCGTGCCGATGCCCTCGAGATCGACAGATCTATAGAACTGTAACCCCAATAGGCTAAATAGCGGAGTAACCGGAGTATGTCTATTCGTCTTCTATGGTATACAGTGGCGCTAATAACTTACCACCGTAAAAGTAGGCGATGTGCCGATGATCTGTCAACATGCAAATTCAAGCGGTCTAGCGATGTTTCACTGACACATCACCACATTTTGCATCAGCTCCAGAAGGAGGGCCATATTCTGGATATCATTACTTAACACTGCTTTTAACCCACTTATAATAGCCATGGTTGTGACCGTCGTGATCCATCCGCGACGATCCGTCAGATTTCACAAGGAATGTGCACGAAAAAACAAGTACCCTCTTAAAATGGTAATGAAGCTCCGATGTAAAGTCAGTATATATTTCGATTAAGCGATTTAGTTTACTCTGGTCTATTTACACCGGATAGAATATCATCTGAATCTCTGGTTCCTGTGCCGGAGTAGTGATTGGTGAAAAAGGGGGGGGAGGTAATCTATTGATCCGCTCCTTCACTTATGAGGACACAGCGATCATCGCCAACGCAAAGAATGAACTAAACCATAACCAATTACCGGCATTGCTGCAGATGCGGCTGTAACCTTTGAACACGCTAACAATGACGGTAACAAAAGCCCGCCCGCAAGAGCGGCAAATGGTATAGACCCTCGTTTTCGCTTAATTAAAGTTTATAAATCTTCTGAATCGGATCTCCTAGCATGTACTATTGCATCCACTAGATCCATCAGTTAGCTTGTCCCACAATTCAGCTTGTACACACGGTCATTACCTCCTGGATAAATTACTGAGCTGAGTGGATTGTCAGCTTCTAAAGAATTCGAGAACCGCACTACTCTGACAGTAGTACTAGAATATAGATAGATTAATAATAAACAGATATATCCGTAAAGTTGGCGAAATTAATACCTTATAAAAGAAGATTACTTTATACAAGAGTTCATCGAAACCTTAGACTCGGGTGCCAATTTGCTTAATAAGATAAACAGCAGCAGGAAGATGTATTTTGAGTTTCAAATTCAGCCAGCCATGTAGATATCTGTGCCACTGTGGAGTAAAGTCCACGATCTAGTTATAGTTATGGCTATCATAATTAAGAATCTGAGTACTTACCCCCTATCTTAATATATACGTGCCTGCTCACCGCCTAAAGCTGTGTGATATAAATCTAACATCTTCCCCTCTATCATTTCCTCTCTATCCTATATTTTATACTCATTACATCCACTGAAATCGCACGCTATAAAGAAACCATGAAGGTAAAGAATCAATACTTCGCAACAGCGAGAAATGCTGCTAATAGAGTTTGTAGTTCATCTCTGTTATCGCTCTCCTAGCCCCCGCCGTCCTGGCCGCCCCGGCCGCCCCCGGCGATGCCTGGATCACACTCATCAAGGAACAGGTGTGGCCTGCCAACTACTAATTACAATTTTGAACCTCTATTAGCTAACTAATCTCGCTAATAGTGCCCTGATATGTCGGGGCAGTGTCTTGATATTGCTAAGAAGGTCCATCAGCCGGGGTTTAATCTAGTTGAAGTTCCAGAAGCTACACAGGCCATGCCGACTTGTAACCCAGCTTATGTGCAATGTGCCCAAACACTCGCATCCGACGCTGTTGGTATGTGTTCCCGATTCAATAACTCACCCGTACAAGCAACTGGCTAACCGCAGTCCAGATGTTCCTCAGTCAGGCGCCACTCAAGGACAGCTCGCTACATGCCTCCTACAAATTGCGCCTGATCATATTAAGTACTTTCTGGACAATGATCGCGCTAGCACACCGATTCCAGATACCCAAAACTGTCCATTGCGAGAGCTGCACCGCGTAGCGCACATTGAACTGGGTCCCACGGCATAAGAATAATGGCTATTGGGAAGATTGTCAGGGATCTCAAAGCTATATAGTTCGGAATAAAGCTGGATAATAGCATTGATCGGCATGTTTGCCAGTCTGGAGCTGAAAACAGTAAAGCAGGTGGTATTATTTTGTCCGGCATTGGTTTGGCTTGCTCGCCGAGCCTTAATAAGGATCGCCGTACTGATCGTCGCGATCGCCATTGTTGAATCTGAAATCTCGTCCCAGTACCGCCGGACTCTATTCCCGCACCTCATCGACTAGCCACGTATCTCTCATTCGTGATCTCGTATACAATGCTCTAGTATCCATAAATATGGTCACACCCGCTACATATCGAGTGCGACTACATTATATGGTGCTTACTCTCGCACCATTCTCGCTCTGAGCTCATTGCTATCTAAGACACAGGCACTACGTCTTTTCTCTCTATAACACTGATTCAACAATTTGAAAGGCAATATGCAATTGGAATCGCTATGGTTTATGATCTGATGTTGAAGTCTAGCGATTGCCGCCGTGGCATATTCGTGTGTGGTAAACCAGCCCTGCTATGGCTGCTACAGCTACACTGGCGAATGAGGGATTCATGCAAGCTGCATATCTCTGTCCTACTCTAGGAACTGCCTGGGTCGGCCATCACTGTCGGTGTAAGTTCTCCCTTGATGAGCATTTTGCCCCACCCCCGGGCCACCGCCCCAAAGGCATCCACTGGTACCGATTCAGTGAAATGCCGAGTTGAACCAGTTAATAGCAGTGGATGTATCGCCGAAGCCATGGCAGCAGCGCCTGTCTTAAACTTAGGTCATTTCTAATACCGAGTCTTAGGCAGGTCGCCATTAACGGCGCTGTTCGTGGTTAGACTGGGCGCCCGGCCTGAACGGCGGTCACAGACGCTGGTATCGTATCCAGACTCACCACCGTAGGCTAGCTGGAATGACTTAATATTCAGCTCTCCTAATTTATAGAAATAATAGTCTCGAAGTTCGTGAACTCGCTGCTTGGCGATGCGCCGCATTTTCTTCGCGAACTGACTGTACTTGGCGAGATCTTTACGTCCAATTTCTCTAGTAGCATTTCGACCATATTTTCAAGATATAACTTGGAATTTTCGGTCAGGTTATCGTATAGATAGTTCTTCATTTCGCGTATAACACGCTTCAGCGGCCGGCACGGGTTTTGCGTCGCGACATTTCCGTTTCGGATCGTTCACACTCAAGTCGAATGCGCTGGACATCTCGAGGGCTATATTTAACTTAAGAGACAATAACTCGCGTCTTGAAGCCTTCATGTATCTTAGCCTTTATCTATTACGGTCTGCCGCCTTGAATGGTGGCGCCATAGTCGGTTTTATAAAGACGCTGTTATCCGTTCTGGCACACTCGTGATGGCACATATCCTGTTCTGGCATACTCGTGCTGGCACATCTAGTGTTAGCATGTCTAGGCTGGCACATCCCTCGTGCTGGCATCTGCATTCTAGCACATTCATACATCCACGAGAGGAAGATCCATAATATTGGCGTCACAAACTCAGCATCTCTGCATGATCTACTGTAAGAATTACACAGCTCTGTGTTTAGCAACACACACATCCTTTATCGCGACCTCCAGAATCATACTGGCGAGGTTACCCGCAGTGATGAGTATGGCTTTCTTAACCTTCATAATAGCAGACTAAATACAGTAGAGACTGACAAGTGCCTCCTTGACCTCTGCTTCGTTGTCTCATCCTAATCACTCTGATCCTTACGACTATCCTTCGTCTTATCCTTCTTTTCCTGGAGGAGGTCATCCACCCATTGGACACAGTTCTCTATTGCAGCAGCCGGGGAATGCCAGTGTCGCAGAAGGTAGGCCATGATCTCCGACGGGCTGAACTTGGACTCCGGTACCTTTGCCGCAAATGCGTCCGCTTGTCTCTCAACTTTTCTGTCACCTGCAGCTGAAGTCACAGTATACTTTTTCGATATAGCTTTTTTCGGATGAGTTGTTATTCAACTGAGGTTCCTATAATTTTATATAAATAATAGGGTGAGCTGTTTGACTGCTTCAAAGTGGGTTCCACTTAAAGTTATATAAAGGGTGGTTGCTCTGCCCCTCGACATACTTTCTTCTTACTCTTTTCCCTTACATCATACCAGACTATCTCTTCTATTCCTCTTTGATACCTCTTCCATATACCAATCATAAAATGAACTTCATTGCTGGCGCTGCGGGCGGTTATGCCGAATCGAATTACCACACTAAGTCCCTGGCATTTTCTTCCTCAAGTGCGGAGGTTAAGAATAATATGCTCAATGCCTATCTCACGAATTATCATGGTAGGCAATGTTGGACAAGTTTTGACCTAGATACCAAGTTGGGAAACAATGAAGGTATACTACGCTATTAGACCAAGCCATACCCCTTCGTCTTTATTTTTTTCTTTTTGGGTGTTCGACCTCAATTCAGCTTTATCTAATCATTGTGCTTGACGGTATAGGACACTTTGAATGGGGCGGTCATAACTTCTCCCATATTGCCCGGAATATTAGACTTGAGAAAGATTCTGGAGGATACCTTATTTTGCGTGCCGAGTTACAGACTTCCCGGTGCAACCACCTCGATGCTGAGTTCTACCTGACTGATCACATTTTCAACAAGGATGGCCATTTTGTACTGGAATAGAGTGTATATTACCAATATAATAGGGCAAGGCAAAATCGTTGCGGTGTAGCCGGTAATCGCTTATCGTTTAAGGTGTATGTACCTACATACACCTCATTTTGATATAGTTACAACTCAATTTAGTCCCACTCTGTCAATAAAATAATGTAATCAAATCCCCGGAAAATCTGGCACCAGTAGATAACAATAGCTTGCAATATCTTGATACATTTATCTCCGATCATGCAATGCAACTTAACTTGGATAGTAAGTATCAGGTTGTGGCAGTGCAAGCAAAGAACCTTCCGCCTAATTCTCAATACTATGTAAATGAAAGTGATGAAAGAAATATACTGGCGTAAGTGTTAAATAAAGGGCACGCCTCATCGTGATCCATTATTATGACACTTTCTGGCTTGGCTCGGGTATAATACTTCATAAGGCCTAAGGCTATATGGCTATGTTCCGAGTAGCAGTTCTCCATAGTATAACTTCCATTCTCTACACTACAGTTAGGCCTCCAAATGGGGCGGATTAGGATCAAATCCGTTTTGATCCTGATTTCTATAAATTTGCCCAGTCTTTCCTCTTTTGGCTGGATAAAATAATGTATATAAAATAACGTAATCGGACGCCGGGCGAGACACCCCAACATGATTTTGACAGAGGTCGGCAAACCATAAGATAGCTTCATTGGCACGGCAGCCCAGGTGCTCCGTGACGAGCTCTACCCGATCAAAAGTCGACAGTGTCATGAAGGCCGCAATGCTAGATAAAAACAAGACAAAAAAAAAAGATAAGATCAGAGTAGGAGCCGCAGCAGCCTTCAGTAAAAAAATAATTAAATAAATAGAACTACTAGTACTAAAATTATGCAGCTTAGTAGAAAAGAAAGTGTGAAGATCTAAGATCAATAGTAGTATATTTTACTAATACTAGTGATATACAGTGACTCCCGGCCGACAGGTTCTTTGAGCTAGAGCATTCATGATCATCGGCAGATGATGTCGCAGCAGAATATGCTATCGACCTATAGATGGTCCGGCAGCTTAGACTCGGTGTAGATCTGACACCTCCCAAAGGTTGATGTTTTCCAGCTTGGAATTCTCACAACCGTACCGTATACCCATTCTTAACATGGCCAATAACTCCGGTCCTCGCTACTGCTAAAGTTGAAGGATGCAGAAATGATGTATCATGGAGTGCTTGTATGTACAGTCGATGATGATGATGATAATTCATATGTATGGGCTCTAAGGGGACACGGCATATATTAGGTGATGTACTAGTAGATGGTCATTTCATTGCTTGGGAACATCCGGAAAAAGTCGCTGCTGATGGGGCAAAATTCTATGGGCCGTCTGGGCCCGTCTTCGGCTTTAAGTCAGTAATTTTTGGATACAAAACGGAAGATATACTCTATTTCGATCCTATCGCAAGTACATTTATTTCACGCAAGGGCCACTCATGAATATCTTAAGTTCCTGTATACATACGGCGTGGTCGGGCAAAATTCTCTGCCAGGTTAATAGCAAAGAAAGGCAAGAGCTAAAATGGACACTTGATTATTTTTCTGGTTTTGTACCTAAGCGACTAGTATCTTTGATTGCAGGGTTTATCTCAGAAGTGTAGCTACCGATTGTACAGTATATTATAGGATTGATTCTATCGGTCTTGAAGAGAGACTAAAAATAGAAGATCTCACAGTTAATTTTAATATAGGAGAACTGAAAATTAAAGACAACTTGCTATTATAGAATAGTAAACCTATATTATAGTTTCCACAAATACAGTTATATATACAATAAATAAATATATCTAGCATGTTTTATAATACTGTCTTTCAGTATATTAAGCTATAGATATCCTGTAGGCCTTTATATACCCCTAAATACCCTTTTACAGAATTTTTCAACTTTTGCTTTGTCCTATTTATTTACCTTTTCAGAAAGGAATCGCCTAGCTACAATTGTAATCAAGTGATACGCAGATAAATGAGGCACTTTATGAAATACCGCACAGCTGTACAGCTACTAGCACTTTCAGAGAGCAAAACAAAGACGGATATTCTCATTTCTCCAGACCAAATGAACAACTCAATTTAATACCCCCGTGCCAAGTAGCACAAGAAGAGCCGTTTCCCGATCTGACACTCCAAGCCCCCTTTAAAGCCGTCCTGGTCGAGGAATCTCCCCCTTCTTAGCCGTTTAAGTTGGGGCAAGGGTTGGACGAGGTGCTAAGGCGGCCATACTGCTTAGCCCAGGCATCAATCTGCACGTAGCCACCCACGTTCTCGCCGCACTCGGCGTTGACCAGGCGGATGGCCTCATTGATTGCCTGGTGCGAGCAACCCTGCGAGTCCTTGCCCCAATTGCATACGAAGGCCATGGCGCTGCCGTATGCGCTGTGCATCTTCGAGTCCTTTAGCACGGGCGTGCCGCTGTCGCATGTCGACGCCAGCTGATCGGCTGCGCGCCGCGCTTCTTCAACGTCGACGAGCATATCGTCGTGGCATCCCACAGTGGGGTTAGGGAACTCCAGAGCCTGCGTGCCGGTCACGGCTGCGAGGGCGAAAATGAGGGCGTTGGTGAATAACATTTTCGATTTGTGGAATAGAGAAGGTGTGGAAAGTTCAAAGACGGATGGGTGTTGTTTGGTTGTTTCTGTTATAATTGTGGAACTCCGAAGACAGGTTGATAAGAAAATGTTTTGTCTGGATGATTTTGTTGATGATGAGCTGGGAAGAGAGGAGATGTTGACGGACGGATGATGGGTATTTATAATCTGATATTTCATCGAGACTCAGGTGTAGAGGGTGTACTGTAGCAGCATTTCCTAGCTCTCATCAGAGAACCAGGTCAGGCGCCAACGTTGGATACGACTATACACTGCCACACATTTGTGTCGCGCCTGATATGATTATCTCCGTACTAAGATTGATTTTGGGGTGGAAAATGCTGATCATGACCGGCTAGCACCCGCGTTGACAAAGCCAGCGACGACATCAACGACGACAGCGGCTCACCTCAGGCCTGAAGGTTATTAGTTCTAGTTGCCTAGTTATGACTCACCCGTTATGCCCAACTTCAACAAAGGTCAAAAAGAATCCTTGCCTCTGGCCTACATAGTTGGCTATACTACTGGGCCAGATTACTCACCATAATAAGACTGGTGTTAGAGCAGTGACTTGCTCCTACATCAGGACGTGCAAAGTACACAGACCCACGGGAGGCACACTTATAAGTACAGCCAGGGCATACGAATGCGAAATATAGCTCTGATCTACCTGTGGATGGAATACTACACCCTTGGCAGGCGACCTTAGGCGTACCGTCCTGCAGATCTTCCTATCAACATACTACTGTTACATTGTCGAGCGGACCAATCAGAGAATACGAATATAAGGGGTCATTACCTGTGTTTGGAGTAGTCACTAGGGATCGCTTAATATAAAAAGACCCTGCCTCACACCTTCAGTATGAAAAGTAAAAGAACTTTCTATCCCAGAAGCCTCACCTGGCAACGAGTTGCAAGGCGGGTTCCGATTTCTCAAACCCCCATTTGCTCCAATCGCTCCAAGCACACGACACTATGGATCTGCCTAAAACCCCCGGTCCGACTAGGCACGAATAGTCTCTTCGCCCTGAAAGTAACATGGATTCTGGATAGAGGCCGGCTTTCTGGGGTATGAGTAGTATCGTGTGGCATTTGGTCCATATTTACAGGCGCAGTACGGCCACCCCGCTAGTTCATGCATTTGCAGAGACCAACTCGTCCATTCCCATCAAACAATGGCATTTTAGACTCCATTATAACCAGTAGATCTCTCTCAAATCTTAATCTTTCCTCCGGCTTTAACTAGTAAGTCGGCTTTTCCTGTCTGGGCGTTGATCATCGTGGGATGGTTGTGGATACCCGGCCTACTCGAGCAAGAAACTGATCGGACTAGATCGCATCAAGTCGAGTTGGGCCGACTTAGGGAATGATGAAAAGGAAGAAGGGAAAAAAAGATGAGAGATCAAAGGAATATACAACAAGCTCTACTTATCACATATTCCCACCTTCATTAGAGGTCTAGGTCAACTATTCTGTATAAGCTAAACACACCGACGTCGGCGGTACCGCCCAATGCGACTGTACTGTATATCAGGCCACCTACATCTTGGGGCAGTACAACACGAATCAATCTCCCTTTTGAGACTCGGATGCGTTGGCTTCACGAGCATCTGAGTCCCCCCCCTTCATTTCCAAGACCAACCAAAACCCTCAAAAGAAAACAAGATCAGAATATTCCGTGTAAACTTAAATGCCAAGTTATTAGGCGATCGGCTACAGAGCCCCCTGGCTTGCTGTCCTCGGCCTTTAGACCAGAGGTTATGGTACAAAACTAACAGCTTCTGCTGTCTTCTCTGATCTCCAGCCTAGCTGGTTGTTCCTTACTGGGTTATTGTAATATCGGATATCACTCTCCGTATAGCATATGCAATCCATCAAGCGAGTAGCAGCCTAATCCTATTGTGCCAACCTCTATAGCCTAGTCTCAATTCACAACAGGCTGCGTTGCCATATAATATATCCCCCGCTATAGTTGAGTACTCATCAGTAAGCGGAGAATATCTACAACGGCATGTTTGTGACCTTACTAAGCCATTTTACAGCAGTTGAAGCATAAAAACGGACGCTGGCTTTATGGCCAATAGGCTTATTACTATGTCTTTTTCATCGATATCTATCCATATGGGATGTCTTCATCATCAAAATCTTCTAGGAGCCCAATTCGCTCACCCTGTTCATTCCGTCCCGTAAAACCTTTCCAGAGATCCAACAACGTATGAGAGATATAATATCCGATGCTCGCCAGCAGTGCTAGGGGCGTATTCCACGTCCTAGGTGTGAGGGTTCCCCGTTGGTCTGCCAGAAATGGTCCTCAATAAGCGCTCAGCTCTCCAGCAGTTGCACGATGGCGACTGCTGTTTTGTCTCCTTACTGCCCAGTATAGCACACCTGGAACGTGAAAGAGCGTGAGATCTAATTGTCATTCTTCGGTCAGTCTCCACAAGCGTCCCAACACCCAATAGCGTACAACAAGAAACGGAAAGACAATGGAAAGAATAAGAAGCATAATGTATATACAAAGAGCGGCATCTGGAGGAAGGGTGTTATGGATGACCGCTCTCCCAGCCCCGCCTACAGCAATATGGGCCAGAAAAAGCTTTGAGAGAAAGGAACACTAAATCGGAATTATCTAGACCAGCTGCAGATCCTTGCGCGTAAATGTCTCTGGATCTATTGTCGTCTGGAAATGTATCGTCGTAGGGCCGCAGAGGAGCGAACTGTAGTCAGGTATAACGCCAAGATTACTGTAAAAGCTCAAGCTTCGCAGTAGCACACGAGGGTTGCAATCTCGCCACAGTGGGTGAGATATGTAATAAGGTTTTGAGAAATAAACCTGTACGGTTCCACAAATTTAAAATACAAAATGTATATTTTAATAACATACAACAGGAGGGATTCGCTGGTGGTCACCCACCCAACTACTAACCTCCCGGCGTGTGGCTTAAGTACGGCTGAGCGGACAGGAAGCCCTGTTCTCCACACCCTATGGTCGTATGTACTGCACGTATAATTAGAAGACAATATGAAATTACTATCTCTATACCGAGAAGTATAAAACTATCTAATTCTAGCTTAGAGAGCTTTATCCTCCCAAATATTCTTGGTCAGTGCTACACAAAGTAGAGGCCGTGCCAGGCCAAACTCCGAAATCGTCATTCTATGACATGGTCATTTCGTATGCAGAGGGCGCATTGACGGCATCTCCATTCCTTCGTAGCCGTCAAGTATAACACTACAGAAGTCTTATGGGTCTCGACCACAACCAACCGTCGTGGCTCCGAGGATCGTTATGAAACGAGTACCGAGTATGATCCGTTGAGTTGCCCCCGTGGGAGCCCTCATGGGACCGGGGGTAAGACATAAAGGCTGTTGAGGAGACTACTATGATCAACTAACTCCGGCACTTGCAATACAGTCAGGCTACAGTTTCTTCATTCAGGATCGATTCAACAACAATTACCATGAAGTCTATCCAACCCAAGCTTTTGTTTCTAATACTTTGGACCTATTCCCTTGCAACCCATTACGAAAAGAGTGTCTATACAACCGAAGTCAGTCCTGACGCGGATATCACCGAAAAGAGAATTGACTACAATGAACCTGGACGTCCGCCAGGTAGGAAATGTCAGACAGAATGAATGCGACCAAAAAGGCTTCGCCCCTGCGCTAAGCGCCGACAGAAAATACTCTGCCTGCCAACGCGGGTCAGTGGCTGAACAACGCTCAGCATGGCAGCCATATCGGCCAAACCTCCGACTTTGAAAACGCAGGACAGTTCACCTTGAGCAAATGGCCACGTGGGAAACACTGTCTTGGAGGATTTGACTGGGGTATTGGGCCTGCTTGCCCAGCATTAACCCCTGCCATGACATTTTATACGCGGGACCCGCAGATGTGTGTGCCTTTTGAAATCACCGAGGTTCCATGCGATGTTCACGCAGATCAGAACAACTGTCTTTGGAAGAATGGAGACCAGTGTTGCAATAAGGTTGACTGCTCCGCCCACTAACTGAAACAACCTGCGTCTGCCTAAATGACACCTTGCCTCTCTCTACCAACTGCTTAATATATAGTCCTAGCTAGTGATATACATGGTCTACCTAATTCTATACGGAGATTCAAAAGTGAGATTCGATACTACTAAATTACTTTTTTTTTTTTTTACACTAGGGTATCCATATAGGTTAAGGTAAAGGTTAAGGGCAAGCTTCCTCGTATTGTTGGCTTCGAATTTTTAAGGCACAAAATAGTAAAAGATAGACTAGGAAATGTCGTATCGCTTATATTGCTATTGTTACCGTTGTCAGTATGTCTTTAGCAAATTAGACAGGCTCTGGCTTCTGCATCATCTAGACAAGGGAGTAACTATTCATCACCATTTCTTTTATATTCATCCAGCAGCTTAGTTAAAAGCCCAATCTTGGGAAGGGTATCCAAGGATTGATTATATGAGAAAAGACACCTTCCTGCAAGCGATGAAGAAGACTCTAGTTAAAGTCAAGGCCATAGTTAAGCATACCGTTATTGGTATAGTTATAGTTTATAAATGGTTACCAGAGACAAGGTATGGCCGGTCCTTTTGTACATGAATAGAATGATCATTCCAAACTCATAGAAAGGAAATCATCTGAAGGCGAAAAGCTGGTATATGGATTATATATAATGAAATATGATCTGATAGACTATATTTAGAATACGCTCCTTTCTCTTGAAGAGATTGAAACTAGGCATATCTCTTGATATTAGCTCTTCTACGAGGTAGAATGGAAGGGATACGATGCATACTCTCCCGCGAACTAGTAATCCTTTACTTAATTAGTTCCGACCAGGCTTTAGTTTCTTGAGTAGCAGTACTTGTATTGTAGGTATGGCAGTCAGCAACCTGGACTTTAGAATGTCTCGGCTGCTGTAGCTTATGCTAAGCTCCTGCTTGTAAGACTGTCTCTGTTTCTCGGTCTGCTTGTACAAAGTGAGGCTGTTGTTTTGTAACTTCAACAACCTCCAGAAACTGCCGGGGTACGCTAACTAGCGTACGAGACGTAATATCAATAAAGACAAAGATAATATAGCGGAAATAGGCATCAATTGCTGCATAAATCTTAATCTTACACGAAGCAAGCTTGAGATATGCAACTATAGACCAGATCGCTTAGGATTAAGCACAACATCAACACCATGTCGTTGAGGATCCTGTGGATGTCGTCATACGGCAGCAGGCGCTGGTTCCCGACATGATGAGTAAACCCGATCCCTGGAGCTATTAGCTATAAGTATATTTAGGTTTAATACGAATTACCTAGCCAGTAAATGGCCCTTACTCCGGACATGAGTATAAAGCAAGGTCTTTCCATATAGTTTAATCTAGCACTGGTCAAGCTCTGTATGAAGCTACCACAAAACAGCTTCTGCCTGTGCCAAAGCAGCTATAAGACTCTTGATATATTGATGTAATCCTAGCTTATGGCCGAGGTACAGGTGCGTACGAGCTTCGATCTGAAAGCCATCCTGCTGCAGAACTCTAGGAAGCTTATCTTCAAGCCCAATCTGATAAAGAAGAACCTTAATATGATCATGTAGAATTTGATTAGTTCCTACAGTATGAGTACTTTTGAATTCTCCAGCTTTCAAGTCGTGTACAGAGTTTGTGTTCAGAAACACTGAAATTATAAGATTTAGAAGAAATTTCTCTGATAGAGTCATAGGGCGGATAACTAGGCGGTATACACATGCCTTACGGAACCTTTTGTCGTTGCAGTTTTGTTCTTAAGGGTCTGCTGTACAGCCTCAGGCTTCGTCTCTTCAACTTTGCCGCAAACAGCAGTCAATTGCGTCATGTTTGCCAGACACCATCATAAATCCTGCCTAACCAAACTGTAACCGTCTCATGGGTTTAACTACATCTTATAAATTGGTTGAACGTCTTTCACTCAGCCGATCTGGCTTTCTAAAATCGTTTATTCTTAGACCCATATCCGTTCATATCTTTCAGTAAGAGATACTGGCAACCAGAGGATTTGCAAAGCAAATAGCATAAGCCACTTTGCTATCATGTCTTCATCAAAAGGAGACCAAAAAGACCTGTCTGATCAAGTGGTATATTTCTCTTTGCGCCTTTCGTCTCCCGTAGCATTTGCCTCCGCTGTCGACAGGGCATTTGCAGATGCGGACTCAGATGAAGCCCAATTCTACCGATATCTAAAGCAAAACAATCGAATCCAGTCCGAATTCCACGTCACTCTTATTCATGTCAATGATCGCACTACACATCCTGAAATCTGGGAAAAGTACAAGGCCAAATTTAAAGATACTCTCAGTCGAGAGAACAGCGGAGACGGCACCTCTACGCTAGGTTCCGGGGAAGTCCTCGCTGATCAAGTTGTCTGGGACCAGGGGATTATGGCTCTCGCTGTTAGGGCGACTGGCGGAGACGGAGAACCCCTCCCCTGTGCGAATGCAAATGCGCACATCACGATTGGAACCGCAAATGATTCAATCAAGGCGTTCGAGAGCAATGACCTTTTGCAGCGGTGGAAGGAAGGGGATCAATCAAAGGGCTCGATCCGCTGTAAAGAATTCCCGAAGGGATGTACGTTCGAGGGTTCTGTCCGGGCGAATTTTGCTGGGTGATACTTTTCGTGCTGCTTTCCTTCTATCGTACGAACCACCGCCTGATATCAAAAATATCGGCGTGCGCTTGCCGGATATGTCCTGTTCCCAGTGGCTAGATGTACAGAAAGAGAACCACTACTGGAGTGATCAAAACAGATTCGTTCGGCGACAAGCTAGTTGTCCCTCTAATAAGTACAAAGATGTCACTTGATATGTTACCTTGCACTTATTCGTAGTGTAAGAGGTTGTTTTTTAGCATTAAGTAGTTTTATCTTAGTAAAGAGCTGTCACCAAAAGCTGAGGTATGCAATGCAATCCATGAACCGAGGATGCTACTAGTAGGGGGGAGATAAGACGGTCATGGCCAATCACGACCCTGGTATTTCAGCCTTTTAACCAAGATGATTTAGATAGTTTTCCAGTCCGTCAAGATCCAACACCACCAAAGCTCCACTATCAGCCTCCACGCTGCTCAATTTAAATTACGTAGTCATTATCTAGACCATGATATCACTATGTTGTTACAATATTGCGTGCATTGCGTCATTCAAATTATCACCTTGGGCTTGTAAATATGCTATTATATCCAGGAATCAAAGACCTCGTGTTTCCTCGCGGCACGCTTAGGTTTCAGCGGTAGATTGCCACATCGTTTCTCAATCATGGAGTGCTTCTTGGCTCCCAATCGACAATACGATGGTGATTGCTGACCTCCTTGTCCTTGTATCTAGGGGGACGGGAGAATATACAACTGTGTTTATTAGCATACCCGTCACATCAAGATACTAGAGCAACATGGTCTATCGCTGAAAGCAGCAGTAGTGATGCAGTACACTATGCTATCAATATGACAGACTTTGTCCGTCTATTAGCTTTATCCAGATAACCAAACGAGTAGTTTACTGCAAGCGGCAGTGGCGATATGTCGTTACACCAAACATAGTGTGTTCACTTTTTCAACCGTTCGACACAATAGAATTCCTATACAGTAGCTAAGGTTTAGGACTCTTCAAGCTAGATCAAGGCTTTTATGTCAGACATTCCTCAAGCCATCTCTTCTTCAGGCTCTGTGTCAGAGCTCTTTGGAGAATTGGCTCAGAAGCTAACACTGGCACATAGGGTGTGAATAACTTTATCCGCTCCACTTACTAGATGCGACAATAGCTTGTCCATTGCATCCAGAGTTAATCTAGCAGGGTACCATAAATCAGTGGGCCTCCCAGGGCCTTGGATATGTTACAGCTTATTACATCGTAAACTTATAAGTAGATGATTGCCCGACAGACATTAGTGGTGCATTAAGAGGGAGGTGCAGCTGAGCGGATGGAAAGCCCTGTTCTCACACCCTGTGCTCGTATGCACTGGACACAGTATTACAAAGTAATGTAAGATCTGAAACTCTATACTCAGAGGTATGAGACTACCTGATTTTAGCTTAGAGAGCTTTATAAAGGTGCCGTGCTGACTTCAAGCTGTTGCCACGGGTATTCTCTGATGTATACCGTCCCTACAAGAACCCATAAGACGTTGTTGGGTTTGAGGCTTTGTGGTTACTATACCCTCCCAGGGACCCACAGTTATATTCAAAGTCTCCATATCGGATCCCGGATTCTGATAAACACTGTTGCGCATGTATCATGCCATCATAGCTAGTTCTGATTTCCATCATCCAATTCGACACTGAAATTTACACAGAGTTCTCTAGCAGGAAGTTGTCAAAATTCCCTGGATCAGATGAACCCCCAGTGCACCACATCACAGTACCATTTCGCAAAACGAGGGCCCAGCATTCTGGGGCTTCTAAGTTCAGAGCTGCAGCCTGCAATTAATTGTTAGCACGTTATCTAATCAAGCATACAGCGCTCCCAATGATCCTACCCGGATATCAAGCCCCTTGGTGCTCTTAAGCTTATCATGCAGCTTCGAGTAGTGTCCTCGTAGATCCCAAATGTACCGGCCGTTACTCATAGAGATGATATAGGCATCGTCCTTACCAAACCATACCTGGACAACCTTGCTCATGTCCCCTGCAGCCGTCGCAATATCACTGGGAACACTCCAGGAACGACCCCATTCGGTATGGGCGAAGTAGTGACCATCATTTCCTAGGGAGACGTTCTTGGGACAGCCGTATTGCCGATATTGTTTCAAGTATCCCTCAAGATCGGGATATTCGCTTTCGAAGTTATCACTCGTCCCTGTCCCATTAATTTTTAACGTTAGCCTGAAAAGATAGAATCTTGATGGGAGGAGCTTACAAGTCCAACACTCCCCATTCTTATGATAATGACGGTAACAGGACCCATTGGATCCAATACGGACATATTCATCAGACCCTTCTAAGAAAGCCTTAGCTTTACAGTAAGACGAGGGCACGTCACTGGAAAAATGTTCAGTAAGATATAGGCAAAATGTTAAATGACACTCACTAATGGTCTCGTTTTGGTCCACAGAAGTAATAATAGCTTCCTGAGAATGAAAGGGTCATTGTCGTAAATTTGGTAATGTCAGGAAGGATTTTGGAGTGGCATCTGAACTTTTGATCTTGTTCAAGTGCTGATATTCTGGCTTTGGCATCGTTCTTTTCTTTTTCTTCCTGCTCGAGCTTCTTCTGGAGAGCCGATACCTTTTGGCTGTAATCGTTCCTTTGTGTCTCTTCCTGCTCGAGCTTTCTTTTCAGCGCCGATACTGTCGCCTGCTGATCGACCTTCCTCTGGAGATCCGTCACTTTCTGGTTATAATTGTCTTTTTCTTTCTCCTGCTGTGCGAGTCTGTTCTGGAGATCCGATACTTTCTGGTTATAATCGTTCTTTTCTTTCTCTTGCTCGTCGAGTTTCTTCTGCACAGCAGAAACTTTGTCATTGTACATTTTCTCCATGTCAACCTTGAGTTCATCTTGCGCACGCTTGGCTGCGGCTAGCTGCTCCTTCATCTTGTCTTGAGCCTCTTGGAGCAGCCTCGCAGACTCCTCATCCTTTTCTGCGATAGCTTCCTTCATCATTTGTTGAGTTTCAGCAAGCTCCTTTTGCCATTTTTCCCGTTCTTTTACCAATGCGCTTTCGACTTCTCTACCGGCGTCGGTCTCATCCAGAGGCTTCTGTAATGTCACCATCTCATTCTGGATCGTGAGAATAGTCTTCTGCTCTCCCGGGGCCTTTGATGCATGGATATTGATCAGGCGCTTCGCTGACGCCACAGTGTTATGATGACGTTCGACTTGTGCACCGAGAGTTCTCATTTCCCCCCAGAATTCAGACGTATTGAGTAACTGCTTTTCTCGTTGTTCACCCTCATCCGGCGCAACTCGCTCCCACATCGTCGTGGCCAGGATGACATGCTTGAGGGCATCTTTACCACACAACTTCTTGAACATGAACAGATTTTTCTTTGCAGATCCCGTCATCCGATGATCAGTGATACGATGGAGGTAAATCATCCCATTCAGCTTGACAGCATTGGAGAATGACTTCGTGAGCCAGGTCGCGATTTCACGGAGGACATCGGTGTCACTTCGATCCGTATCATCAAAGCCGGGAGTGTCTACCAACCAGATATTGACCCCCTGGCTATGTCGACACCGATAGACACTGACTTCTTGGGTACCTAGGACTAGTCAGTGCGCCGAACTGAATCACAACTGCAACGCAAATCGTACATGACTTCAAGTCATTCCCTATTCGCACCGGCTTATCCGCGACTAATGATATGAATGTGCTCTTCCCTGCCCCTGTTACACCCATCACAGCAATAAAGATGTCCGATGCCTGCGGCTCGACGCTAGATTTAGTGGTCCCCGTCCCAACCCATGGCTCTGTTGGAGCCTTTGTCGCTGGCATGCCCCCATTGGAATTGATGGGCGGTTGCTTGGGCCGTGATACGAGAGGTGATGGATGGGCGAAAGAAGGCATGATAGCTGCTCAGAACACAACGGAAGCTATTCCGCCAGATTTACGGGGATAGAGGATATGGAGACAATATGCAGACTCGGCAGATGGATGGGGAAACGTCGAACAGAGGTAGTTAATATTCATATATTCCTGCTTGGCCTCTTCTCCTTTCGACCCACCGGCAGTACCGGGTGGCGCTTACTTTGACCATTAAAAAGAAGGCAACGATGTTCAGTACACCGTCTCCTCTCGTGCTTCCTGTGGTTTGCGAACCGCAATGACGTGGATTAGCAACTATTAGGTGTCGATCCTTAATGGCAAATCCGTATGGTGGTGAATGGTGCAGATGAGGCTGTGTGGACAGTCGTGCAGATGGCCAGGGAGCCATCAAATGGTCAGCACATCTCAAACCGATAGGTTATTGAACCCACCTAACTAGGCAGAGAAGTCATTGAAAGGTTTGGGTAGAGATGGTAGTGAACGTAGATACACTACGTATTAAGGTCTCATAGGGCCCTTGGTCTATGTGACCTGGCAAGTGAAGAAGGCAACCACTATGGATGGGAAAATCATATACTGTAGGAGCTCTGGGAGCCTTACACCATATCGGCCTATACCACCATACGCCTCAGCGAACTACGCTCTAACTTCACGAACAACACAATCGAAATAGCGATGATAGGACGGGTTATAGTTGGTTAACCGAATCATCATCAGCGATATCTCAATGTAGCCGAAAGGGGGTTCCTGCGTTTGGTAGCCCCACGCGGGGCTGAATAGTGGCTCGTATTGGGCCGACACGCATAATCTCCTCTACATGAAATTCTTCGTTATGAACTATATTGGGTGCTAGGTTTGAGCTAACATACAAGCCGACTAGGTTGCTGGTCACCTGAACAAAAAATGCCTCATAGAAGGTCTTGGGGAATATTGCTCGGTCACTTCGCATCTCGATAGACTCACATCCACATGTCTAGAGTTAGGATCACCACATCCGTTGTATTACGGCGCCGTATCCTGAATTTTTTACAGAGATCAGATGCACTTGGGCTGCCTAGAGTGAGGCTGTAGCATGAAATATGCTGCCTCATCAAATTCTACGTATGTATGGACTTTGTCCAGCCAATGGATTACCGCCAGGTTGAGCATGAGATCGTCGCAGTCATTGTGTCGAGGCAATACGGACTGTTGGCGCCCAAGTTGATCACACACACCTTGGATTAAATTAAGGAACGGTGTTGGTAGCTTCATTTATCGTCTGCTCTCTGCTTACACATCCACCGTACCAGCGGATTCAGTTCAAGTCCTTCTTATCCTATCAACAATCCGACTCCGAGGTATCACACCACGTGAAAGCGTAAACACAAACGCTTATGATGGCACCTCCAACAAAGCAATTGAGTCACGAACAGTATACTGTTGGCTGGGTATGTGCATTACCAAAGGAGATGGTCGCAGCAAGAGCCATGCTCGATGAAGAGCATCTCCCACTTCCGAAACCAACCAATGATTCAAACACCTACACAATTGGCCGCGTTGGCGATCATAATGTCGTAATCGCCTGTCTCCCAATGGGCGAGATCGGTAATAGCTCCTCGGCAATCGTGGCCACTAGGATGACATCTACCTTCCCATTCATTAAATTCGGGCTCATGGTTGGCATCGGAGGTGGCGTCCCTAAGGGGGTTCGACTAGGCGATGTGGTAGTCAGTACGCCAGCAGAGGGATTCGGAGGTGTGGTACAATGGGACTTCGGCAAGACTGAACAAGGGCGCGCGTTTAAACGAACGGGAGCCTTGAATAGTCCTCCGAGTGTTTTAAGGACGGCGCTCGCGCAGCTCAAAGCCATGCATGAGATGGAAGGGCCGAGGATCCCGCATTTTTTGCAAGATATGACCAAGAAGTGGCCTAAGCTGAAGCAGAAGTATGTACGGTCTAATGAGCTAGAGGATGTCTTATTCAAACCGGATTACAATCATGTTGAATTTGAAGGATCCGATGAAGATGACGAAGACGAGCATGAAGAAGAAACAAGCTGCATTCGCTGCGATCGAACTAGAACCATCCGAAGGAAGCCTCGCGATATGCGAGTCCACTACGGACTGATTGCATCCGGAAATCAGGTTATCAAAGATGCCTCATTCCGGGACGAAATCAACAAACGGCTCGGTGGGAAGGTGTTGTGCTTCGAGATGGAGGCCGCAGGGTTAATGAATGATTTCCCATGTATTGTTGTCAGGGGCATCTGTGATTATGCGGACTCGCATAAGAATAAAGCGTGGCAGGAGCACGCAGCTGCTGTGGCAGCAGCTATGGCGAAAGAGCTTCTTTTGGTTGTGCCTGCGCAGGAGGTGTCTCAGTTGCCTGCTGTGGCAAGTAAGTTGTCCCGGTAGATCTTCGAGATTTTTTGTTGGTGATCTGATTGAATTATACCGCACTCTCTGAATGTAGAGCTCTGCATCTGTTCACTTGTACTGTACCTTAGAAGGTCTTGTAAAGGCTTTGAAGGCTTTGCCCCGACCAAGGCATTCCCTGCTAATGAAATAACTCTTATCAGAGATCCTCGAGCACGTCGAAGAAATAGAAGCCAACGTTGCCAGATTAAAAGGTATCTATTGCTATGATACTGCCACTTAAGGGATTGGAAGTGCTTACAGATGATACAGGTTCCGCTGAAGACACAGAACATCGAGTCGTTCTACATTGGCTGTCGGATGTTGACCAGTCGTCGAACCACCATAAGGCTCGTAGTAGCCATACGCCAACAACCGGGGATTGGTTGTTGAAAGGTGAATGCTATGGGAGATGGATTGATGGGGATAGTTCTATGGTATGGTTGCATGGGATCCGTAAGTATTCCGTAAGTACCTGGGGTCAATAGGGCTGACGACAATATGGTTATATACAGCTGGTTGCGGGAAGACCATCATCAGCTCTACCATCATCGAAAATTTAGAAAAGAGCTACTCTCACGACCACAACACTAGCATTGCTTATTTCTATTTTGACTTCAGCGACAAGCAAAAACGAACAGTCGACGGATGTCTTCGGCATCTCTTGCGACAACTATCAGCTCGACGACTCCCCAGCATTGTAAAGACCCTTTACACTCAGGCTGCAAGCTTAGATGCACGGCCAAGTCTAGGATCCGTCATGTACGCGCTGAAGGAGGTTCTTTTACCATTACAACGGGCCTTCTTAATCCTTGATGCGCTCGACGAGTGTGAAGATGTCGAAACTTTAATGGCCCAGCTGGCGATAATTAGGGCTTGGAAGCTACCCTGCCTGCGCATTCTCGCTACTAGTAGGATAAATACAGATATCGAAGGGAAGATGTTGCAAGTCTCGGCTCGTTTTGTGGGTTTTGGGATAACCGGAGTCGACAGGGATATAAGAACTGCAGTGGCGCAAAGGTTAGAAGGTGAGAAATCGCTCAGGTCAAGATGGTCGGATCAACAAAAGAAGCAAATCGAGGACACTGTTTTAGCCAAGTCCAAGGGGATGTATGTAAAGCCTTGGCCCATTTACTTTGAAATCTGGCTGACCAAGAACAAGGTTTCAGTTGGCCCAGAGTCAGCTACGCGAGATAGAACGGTGCTACAGCCCTCGCGATCTGAAGGCAACATTGGCGAGGCTCCCTGAATCTCTGAATCACACATACGAGCGGATGTTATTTCAGATATCTTCGTCACATCGCCAGAGCGCCTCGAGACTGCTGCAATGGCTTGTGTGTTCCCTCAGACCACTCCTCGTCGAAGAAGCCGCTGAAATATTTGCTTTTGACTTTGACACCTGGCCTGCTAGACTCGACCTTGAAAGGCGACTGCGTAATTTGAATGATATCTTGCGCATATGCCCCGGGTTAATATACTTGACAACGGAGGGAACAAAGCATATTGGCGACCGAACTCCCAGAATGCACGTCAAATTAGTGCATTCGTCCCTCAGAGAATACCTTGTCTCGCCAGATATCCGAAAGGGTCCAATGGCCCAATACGCTGTGCACCAGCAACAAGCCAATGGGTCAATTGCTCAGATATGTCTTGCATATCTGTTGCGGTTAGATGGACCGAATTCTGTCTCGTCGAGTACCTGTACCGCACTTCCACTAGCCCGATACGCTGCAGAATATTGGACCGAACATGCTCTCTTAGCTGGGGAAAGTATGGATTCCAGATTGCATACCTTAATGGAAAATATGTTCATTTTCAGCACTAGTGCATATTTCAATTGGATGAGGATCTATAACCATGACGAACCATGGAGGCCTCGGGATGGACCACTGGATAACTCTCATAGCGATTCAATGCCCTCACAATTATACATTGCTTCGCTGACCGGTTTGCACATGATGGTAAGGGTATTTCTTGAGAATGAAGTGGACCTCGGTGTTAAAGAAGGATTCTATGGCAATGCGCTTCATGCCGCAGCTAGCGCGGGTCACGTTCATGTGGTTCGGCTTTTTCTAGGATATGGAATGGATGTTGGCACTCAGGGTTTATATGGGAGCGTATTGCACACAGCAGCATATGAAGGCCAGATGGAAGTTTGCCAGCTACTTCTTGATAAAGGCGCAGACGTCAATAACCATGCGGAGCCGTTTGGCAATGTGCTGCAGGCAGCTGTCTATGGCGACCACCCTCTGGTCGCTCGGATGCTTCTGGAAAGAGGGGCCGATATCACAGCACCAGGATCCCGTTATGCTGATATTCTCCACGCCACTTCAACTTTTGGCCGCTTACAGATCCTTCATTTACTACTGGATCAATGTGACATTGATCCATTCAGTGCGTCCTACAACCGTGCTTTGCAGGCTGCTTTAGATCATGGTCATACCCATGTTCTACAGCTGTTGAAACGTAGTGGACCCAGTGTCCATTTCCGCGACGAGATGTACGGCAGTTCTCTCCATACAGCTGCAGCCCATGGCTATACTCGAATTCTTGAGCTGCTACTTGACAACGGGGCCGATATCAACTGCGAGGAAGAATATCACGGTACGGCACTGCATATAGCCTCTAGCCGTGGTGATAGCCAACTGGTACAGCTTCTGCTTAATCGTAAGGCTAATGTCAATATCCAAATGACAGAAGGAACAGCATTACATGTCGCTTCTTCCATGGGCCACACGCAGATCATTCAGCTCCTCCTGGACCACGGAGCTGATATCGAGGCTCAAGGTGGATACTTTGGCACAGCACTACAGGGCGCTGCAGCATATGGACAGACTCCAACCGTAAGATTGTTACTCCAGAAAGGCGCTCGTGTCAATGGGCAAGGAGGACATTATGGCAATGCGCTACAGGCAGCATCATATGGAGTCGCTTCGACGACGGCGATAGTGCAGCTCTTGCTTGACAACGAAGCAAATGTTAATTCCGAAGGAGGATACTTTGGAACAGCCTTGCAAGCTGCATGCTATAGAGGCAATGTCGAGATTGCCAGATTGTTATTGGAAAATGGAGCCGATGTGAATTGTTGCGTAGGAGAGTTTGGTACTGCCCTGCAGGCGGCCTCTTGTGGGATATATTTAAATATGCAACTGGTTCAGCTATTACTTGACCATGCAGCTGATGTTAACGTTGGGGGTGGGAGATATGACTCTCCCTTGAAGGCGGCTTTGTCAAGAAGGAACTTTCAGGTCGCTCACTTGCTGCGGACACAGGGTGCTCAACTCCCAGCATTGGCATAGAACCAACCTCGTTGATACTGCTAATCACCATTTAGTTTCTTTCTAGAGCAATGTAGTAACGTTATGCCTCGCTCCATCTTAACCCATCTGCCCATCTGCTCGCGTTGGGAAACTTAGCATTAATGCGGTGTCCAGCTCTTGATATACAGGCAGGCGGAATCACGTTCCAGCTTACATCGGTTTATGGAATAGACTTTCATTTATCCATTGTCTTCTCATAATGCTCCTGTCTGGCCCTACCGGCGGTGGTCCCACCTCCTTCAGGCAACGAAATCCCATGTTTGACCGCGCGGGGCGACTGCTTCAAGTTTACGATTTGTGCCGAGGCAAAACTGATATTACTCACGTAGTCTGGAGTATAAATTGGGAGCTCTGTCCAAGAGAGCAAATTAGAGTCTCATGGGGGCTCAGTATTCCATTCGAATGATCTTAATGTCTAGCACCTTGACAAATGCTCACAGCTATTCGAACGCACTGCGTACGTCCTTTTTGGAATGTAGCTTATATTGCCTAGTTAATGCAAGCAGGAACTATTCTCACCTACAACGGACTACCAGCAGGCCAATACCTTTACAACAGTAGTTTTATAACTGGCAGTAGTAGTAGACAGCTGCTCCACATTGCAGCGTCTTCACCCCCATTGAACAATGCCCAAAACTACAAAGACGAGAAGATGAATCCACCCTTGGATGCCCCGGTAGCCTTGCGTTGTTGAACGCCTTTGGGCCTTCTAGGAAAATGTGGGCTTTAGTAAAATAGCTCGTAGAGACCAGATAGAAGATGAAACAATATATGCCTGGGATCATCAACAGTCAAGTTGAACCATGTATATACACAAGTAGACGGTCTGGAATGAAGTAGTTCTGGTTTCCAACTACCACTTCCAAATGTATCCCTCCATCCAGACACCCTACCATCCATTCCAGTACTACAATTGACCACATTAGCAGGCGTTAAGTGGGCCTTGTGGAATGATATTAGTCTATGTTCCCCAACATTTCCATTGAAGTTTACTCACCGCTCCATCCGACATAAGCAGCGTTCGCCAATGCAACCCAGTAACCATTTGTCAACTTAGCCCAACCCCTAGTAGCAACATCATTAGTTCTTCGCGCCACCTCTCCGTACTAAGGTAAACATACTTGTCACCATTGACCGGTGTAGTGTTAGACCGAGTGTAACAGACCAAACTGAGCTTAGTTCCCTTCGCGTATTGACCAACAGCAGTGCAGGTGGTCCGGGGACAAGTGCGGTAGCGGAGTCCATCGGTCTTGACATACCCACTGACAGCTCTCTTCTCCAGGTCTCGTTCTTCGAGGTTAAGGGCAGGAATATCTGATCCAGTGTAATAAGTAGGGGCGGCATCCGCAGCATCCGCAGCATCTTCAGGCATTGCTGCGCTGAAGGCCGTCGCGGGCAAGAGGGTAGCAAGGGCAATAAGGGAGAACTTCATCTTGATAAGGTGAGGAAGTAATGGCTAGATATAGTTACGTGAAACTTGAGATTGTGCCTGCTGAAAAGAACTTGATGGGAGGGCTTTAGGTGGCTTTATATGATACAGTTGTCATGCCCATGGCTACTCCATATTGAACTATAACTCGAGTTCGGCAAATGCATGCCATCAGGAAGCGTGTGATCAAGCAGCAAGGATCTATACGAGATAGAAGAAGAGGGTGCATCTACTCTGCTCGTATCTCCGCCAATGCTTTCCAATGCTAGACCATGAAAGGTTATTCGTATTTTTCCATTACAGCCTTGGCGAATATGAATCTTCTTGATTTCTTTGTGCCGAGAATTTATTCCTGTGAGGACACATGATTGGCGATTTATGTAGATCTTTGCAGATCCGGGATGAGCCTGATCTTCCTCTTTAAATTACTTTGGGGAGTGCGCTGCAGAACCTCGTATTACTATATAGGAGAAAGGGGGCAATACGATATTCGTCCACCTCTCAGATCGTGTCGTCCTTCCAAGCAAGCTCTATTATTATATTAGTGTGCTTGGCAATAGGTGCTCCCTAGTGGCTAGGAAATTTATCGTATTCGGCGGGTGTCTAACGGAGAGCAACCCTCCCAGAACTACTTAGAGTTTCTTCATTAGGGAAATTACCAGGTCAATGAGCTGCAGGAAAAGCCTAGGTGTACAGCAAAAGCTCACCATATGTCAATGGAGCCTGCGTCCAACACTCAGCAGTTGGGCTTCACTCAACCTGCGAATCACAAGCATTGCCACAAAATCCCGACATACCTTACCCTATTTGAATACTAGAGATCTTCTATCCAACTACTCTTTCCAGACAAGACTCCGATCACTTCCCCGGACTACCATGGGGCGCCTCGGTTGCAACACAGATTCCGTATTCTCAATGGTAGCGAAGAATGCACTTGTAAAATATTTACATATTAACTCCAAAAAGCCACTTGGGAGGGGGATTCAGTGAGCCTCCCTTCCCCTCCCCCTTGCTGCATTCTAAGCTGGAACCGAGCGATGTAACCCAAGGGGTCGAGCCCTTCGATAGCGTGAACTTGTCGTCGAAATGTTGTGATGCTGTCTGCAGAATATGCAAACATTACGAGAGGCTCTAGCGTTCTAGCCGAGTTACTTTCTCTGGCTCTCATAGGCGTACATAGATCGATCATTCGGCTTTGGTGAAGGGGTCCAGTTTGTGGGCTATTGTTGAGCCAATCACTGTAGGGATTTAAAACTGTCGAGAGAGCGGACATAGAAAAGCTTAGAGGCGTAGGGATATCCCTCTCCCAAAGTATAGGGGAATATGTTCTGTTCTTCTGGGCCTCTAAGCTAGTAGTAATATAATGAATATTATTAGCTAGGCACACTGATACACTAATTAGAGTTGTCAAAAGGTCAGGGGATAACTAAATGGCCGTCGTGTCGGTATACTGCTCGTATAGATATAGTCCCATTACTATTCCAGTCAGGCATCAAAGCTTTCAGTTGATCGTGAAAGCAATACATTTATGTGATGATATGCCATAACAATCGGGGATCTGGCATTGATTTTTCTTGTCCCGGGATTCACTCCCTCCAAAATGCCCCAATCTCTCGAAGGTCGTCTAGCAAAGCAGGGGTTATCCGAGCTAAGCAAGTGGCCGCCAAAATCGTGGTCTAGCACATCGCGTCAGGTATAGAGTCTCATGTAAGGCGCGGATCTATGCTTATTTCGATACAGCACTAAATTTCCAACTTCTGCAACTAGCCTAGTCGGCCAAAAAGCAACATTATATTTGAACGCACTGTATATCATCGGCGCGTCGGTACGTGCCTTGCTGTTTTCCGTTCTCCATGTCTTGGGATTCTGAGAGTATATAAGAACGGCGAGGCGAAGCTCCCAGTAAGGTAATATAGAAAAACACTGCGGAGGATCTCATTGCGGTTGAGCAGGGAGGGGCTTGTTCCGGTATTGGGATCAGACCCTTGACGATAGTTAGATTGGCAGCTGGCCAAGTGATACAAGCACAGTTGGAAACTCACGGTTCATGAACTTTTCTCCGATCCAAGCAAGCTGCCCTACTGGGTTATCATGAAGCGCTAGGCCGATCGTATTGGGCTTCAATCAACGTGAGTGTCAGTCTCCCTTGACCTCAAAACAGACTCATTCGATCCACACCTTTGTGGTTTGTTCAACGTAATATCCATCACCCGTACCCGCTCAATTCCTCGCATTTTGTGCTTCAAACGTCTCGAATTCCGAGAGAGTAATATTTTCGGTCGCTAGTTTGTCCGGGTATCCTGAATAGTATGGCAGGAATGCGAAGTGTGCCGCACCAATAGTCTTGTTGTATTGGTCGTATAGTGTGTAAGCTATAGTACTGCCCCAGTCTGTTCCATGTATGGCGTAGGTGTCATATCCCAGGACATCTATCATCAATGTGTTGAAGACACGGGCAGTGTCTTGGTTCGTCCATGTTACTGGGGGAGGAGACGAGAAAGCGAAGCCAGGGAGAGAAAGTACAATAATGTTGAAGAAAGTGGCTTCCCAGTAGACGTCTCTGCCCTTTCCTCTAGTTGATCGATTATTGGAGAAAATTCCTAGAATGAACCTGGCCAGCCGTGAATCAAAAGCAGTGGTATGGTGTTCGACTGATTTGACTTCTCGTGAACAAAGTGGATTATCAAACCTTCAATGATAGCTGTGAAGTGCTGGAGCCTACACATTTTATGTCAACGACAAAATTATTTTCAACTGGCGGATAATACGCACTCATTCATGGAATTCTGTTCTCTTGCCCAGTTGCACCCAGTCATCCATTCTGTTCGCAACGCTTTCAGATCATCGAGCCCAATTCCGAGAGAAGTGCCCACTTCGGAGTCAGGAAACTGTTCAGGAAGCTCAGTGTTTCGAATCTGATCGAGTATTCGATCTACCCCAGACTCTAAGTCAATGTAAAAAGGGTGTAAATCAAATGCAGCCGGTGCTCAAAAGAAGTCTCGTGAAAACAGGGCATAGGAGAAGAGAGCAGATGCACAGGACAGATAACATGAGGAAAGATGCTGTAGCCTACATTGCATGGCGGTGGGCTTAAACAGTCGGCCGTTGAAGGTGTTGAAGTGGTTGAATTACGTCCAGAGGATAATCAATACGGTTGACTGATTTCTTCGGAGTCTGCCATGTAGAAAGACGGGCGTCGGCGGGCTAACCGTGGGCTTCGATTGACTCGCCTAGTGGTGATGGCTATTTCAGATTCATATCCTTCCTGCCGAGAGCCTCCTGCACGATGCCTTCGTTGCATTACGTTTGATGTGCTTCCATTTGTTCGGAATGCGCTTCCAAGATCCCCATTGATTCCCGAAGCTCCAGAAATGACCAGAAATTCTTCACAAATCTGTTGTAGAATTCCTCATAGGGCCGTATCAGAATATAATACATCAGATGTCTCCACCTTCTAATAGTACGTTTGGAACGTTCGATCTAGTTCCTCAATGGTTCTCTGTAAGACCTCAACATGATATCTCAGGGACAGGGTTGTTGATTCCTTGCGCTAGCGATATGCTTGCTGTGCCCTCCATAGTTGCGTTTTTCGGTGTTATCATTCTTTTGGTATCCCAACAGCCACGTATATGTGATAGCCAAAGAATATTAGTTATACCTCAGAAACGGCGGATCGGTTGGTAGGCCCGTTGGGATTATCGCTTGTGGATGGGCCACTTCCATTCTTCCGGGATCTTCCCATAAATTCTTATATGTGGCAGAACGAACTGTCCCAAGCTGTCCTGTGCCAGGTGTTCCTACTTTTAACGGCTAAGTTTATCACCTCCCTACCTAATGGACTTTTGAAGCAATTTGTCAACACCATCTGGGGTGGCAAGAATCCTGACTAGGCCCGTTTGGGATAGGGCACTTGACGCGACCCGAGCCGAGCCTTCCCCGAATCCGCTGATTTTCGGGTGCCATTCAAATTTTGAGCCCGTACCTGACCCGGAGGCCACTCAAAAGAACTTTGGGAAAGATTACTCTGACTTCGATAATGATAGAGACCTTTTTCATATAGTAAATTAGATGATTGGTCCAATATAACTATCAGAACAAAGGTCTATAACAAGGAGCTTGCGATCACCTAAGCGTATAACTTGAAGACTTTGCTTGACTCAATATAACCCCCCCAACAATTGCCTGGCATCACCAATATATATATCGATACCTGGATAGCAAACCTCAGCTGACAACTCGAACCCTCCCCCCCGGGTCACTATGATTTCAATGATATATAGATAGATAATCGCATATATATGTATTTATCCAAGAAACAAGGGAAAAAAAAAAAAAAAGAGTGATCTACGATCCAATACCGAATGATGGGCATATGTCGCCAACAGGGAAGAATACAAAAGGTCTATCATACGTCAAATATGATACTAAATACCGAAAATTTATCCTCAATATAGTACAAGCAATTTCAAAGATTGAACAGTCCGCTTCTCTGCTTTCCGCGCGGATATACGACCAAAGCCGAAAAGAACAAACCCACCGTGATTCCCAGGGCGGTTTGAACCATACTGAGGCCCAGACCGTACAAGGACTGTTGCACGGCCGTGTTGGAGCTGGACGCTTTCGCGACCGTATTATTTTTGACCGACTCGGCATAGGCCAACCCCGACATGATCGACCCGCTCGTCGCCAGACCCGACGAGACCAAGGTGAACATGCCCGGAACAATGGCCGCCGCCGCATGCCCATGCCACAGACGCGAATACAAGTTGGCCAGCAGCCCAATGGCAAACGCAGAAATCGTACTGGCCAGTCGACTATCCAACGCCTGGCTGAAATAATTCGCGACGTACCCGCTCACCCCCAGGAAAACCGTGACCGGGAGTTGCTTCCACCTCGCCTGGTTGAGCACCGCGGCGACCGCACAATAAATCGCGACAAAGACAAAGTGCTGGATGTATTCGTTACCATAGATCGACAGACTCTCCGACGGGCACGACGACTCGGTGGTCGCATTACTGTCGATGAGACCGTAGATCGTGATGCCGACGGTGATGCCATATCCCAAAAAGAGGGAGTAAATGATGGTATAAACCAATCGGATCGAGCCCGCCACGATCTGATGGGACTGCAACTCGAGACTGCTGCACAGAACGGAGAATCCAGGCAGGATCAGCGCGATCGAGGACTGGGTCAGCGCGGAAAAGCAAAACACAGGTTCGCCCCCGACTCGAATGCTCCCAAAGGCACGGGCCAAAAAGGACATCAGGATAGCGACGCTGACCTCGAAGACGTTGGAATAGACGGGTGACGCCGGGGCGAGTACGTTCTGCATGAACCCGAGCAGGCAGCCGAGGACAAAGATAATCGGCATATCGATCGGCCGCGCGTCAAAGGCCCAGGGCCCGACGGCGACACTGGCTAACCCCGACAGGAAGATCAAGCTCCATGCGCTATGGTAGCGACTTTTCCGCTCCATGAGCTGGTTGAGTTCGCTGATGGCTTGTTCGACGCTGATGCGATCGTGAACCACGTTCTTATAGATGTTGTGCGTGCGTGCTAGACGTCCCAATTCCAACCCCGGCACGACCGAGATCATGTGGACTTCCGCGGTCCTGGTGAGCGGATCATCGAAGGAGACGATCATACACCCCGGCAAGTACATGAACTGGCCCTGGATCTCGAGCACATTGGCGGTCATCCGCATGTACTCTTCCAATCGATGGGTTGGGGCGCCGTATTTCATCATTGCACGGCAGAGCAGCATGATGTACCGTTGGCGAGTCAAAATCGCTGCGATATGTTTGGTCAATCGAATCTGTTTCATGGGTCGTTTGCCCTTCGACCGATCACCTTCGTCCTCGTACCACTTTTGCTTCCGACGCTTCTTATTATTGGACCCCGATGGGGAAGGTTCGTCCTGGGACGCGACCGTGGATATGCTGGTTTGGCTGATATTTCGACGGTGGCCCTGATCCATTTGATGCTGCAGAAGGTAGGAAAACACGCCCCGATTGACATCACGGTCGTCTGGTACGTCGGCATCCTCCGGAAGTTTCCCCCCGACGCCCAATTTCCGGACTAGAAAGCGAGCTTCGGAGACCAAAGTATTCTGCAGCTTCGACTGGTACGAGTCCCGGGGGACTTGCCCGTCCGGCATCATATCGAGCAGGCGTACATCCTCCGTCAGCCCTTCAGGATGTCCCGCCGCATCCAGAGCATCCCCTCCATCTGTTGGACGACCGAGGCGGGTGGCGAGTCGCGCTCCGGATTCGCGAAGCGCACGGAAAGGAGTGCGTAAGGAGGTCAGAAAGGACGGCGCGGAGGAACGGCGGGGACCGGGCCTGTTATCCTCGTCACCCAGGTCACTACTGGAGTGAGATGCATGATGGTAACTAGCGGCAGCACCAGCAGCGATTGCATGATAACGATCGTTCGACTCGTAGGGTTCTTGCGACATTCTGTACAGCGACTGCCACCATGATCTGAGGGTTAAAACCGGGCCGAAGCGTCAAAGTTAAGTCGGAGCTGGGGGAGAAAGGAAAATTCACCGTCACGAGGCCTTCCACATTCTTCTCACAGGAAGGTATTTGAAGGAAGAATTAGGGGGAGGAAGGCAAAAGTGTCCGTAAGAGGAATAGGAAAATTGAGAAATAAACCATCGTGGAGGTGACGTCGGCTTATTCGGGAGACGTGCGAAGGGTTTCAGCCATTGCGGAGTTTTTACTCAGTCTGGGGGGGGGGGGGGGGGGGAAAGAATCCGGCCCAGTGGTTTGACGTTCGATTGGAAAACTTGTGGAGCAGAGAATGAGAACGACTGGTGCATGGGAGCCGAGGACAAGAAGCTTGTCTTCTTGTTTTTTCCTTCAGAGAGGCAAGTACTTTTGTTGACAGTGTGGATGTGGATCAATTTTTTAGTCACGACACGAGAAATACATTACGTGATCGCTCGCGTAATTCCCGCGGCTGTCGTGCCAGTTCCGATTGGTGGCTCAGCCGACTGGAACCATGGCAAGCGCCAGGAACAAAACATAAAACGATTTCCAGAAGAGGACTAAATATAGAAGTTTCTTCAAGTTTATACTATGGAGGACCGCCGTGAAATACTCCATATTCGGCCTCAGACTTTCTCCCAAGCCACAACCAGAGATAGCCGGCTAGAGACACTACAATCGTCCCGGGGTAACTCAGAACCTGGACAGTCTCCCGCCGGTGCTGATGGGGAGTCTCCTGGCGCTGACGATTTCTTCTGGGATATCTTCCAGCCTCGCAAAAGTAGTGTGCATAGAGATGCGCCGATATACATGAAGCCGGTAAACAGTTGCGTGTGTAGGAATTCATCCCTTCCGGACGTGCGAAGTTCAAGGCCGATCGCCTCCCCAACTGTGAAAATCATTCGAGTCAGAAACCGGCAAAGGCATGCGGGAACTATGATGAACAAAGTGAAAGATAGACCGGGGAACATACAGGTCGCAGGAACCGAGCAAATCAGCCACATAATAGTTAGGAAGGACTGAAGGTCATCTAATCCAACAACCTCGGCCCCGAGAGGCCCAACAGCCTGGAGTCTCATCAGCCATGAACATCAGAAAGCTGTGCAGCCCGCAGTGAGGTCCGGCGCGACTTACAGTCCAGAAGGTACCAAAGAGGATTCCTGCAAACAAAGCAAAGCAAATGAGTGCAGTGTATGTCTTGGCGAACACCCAGAGCAGTAAACAGAGCAAGCCGCTGGTAAACGTGGCAAACGTGGTCATATTGATCCGTCCAACAACGTCACTCAAATAACCCACCGTAGGTCGACCGAGAATTTGGCCCACATTCATCACGGCGGTGACGATGGACCCTTGACTGGCGGACAACCCAATTGATCGAGAATAGGTAGCAAGCGAGTACCAGATGACCATGAAACCCATGACACTGAAAAAGCTCCAGCCGATGAACAGCCAGGTTTCGTATCTCTTGCAGAGGCTGAGGCGCAGGTTTATCTTTCTTCTTTCGGCTCGAGGTTTCTCAATGCGATCCCGTAAGAGGAGCACACAGATGGTATTGACCACGAATTGGATAATGGCCAGAATTCGATACGACCAACCACTGCCGAACCGGTCCAGCATGGCGTGAGTTGCTAATGAGTATATCAATCCTCCAGTACCGGTGCCTGCCGTTGTAATCCCTGCAGCCAAGCTTCGTTTCTGACTGAACCATTGGGGAATAATAAACGTGGTCGAGAGATACTGCAAGCCGAGACCCCATCCGAAGCAGACTCCCTGGCTCAGGTAGAGTTGCCAAACCTTGGTGCTCCAGGACGCTCCCAGGAGGGCCGCAGTCTCAAAGAGCACACCGAGAGCCATAGTTGCTTTAAGACCGAAACGACGATGAATCATGGTAATCAAGGGCGATATAACGAGCGCCTGCGATGCGGACAGTCCACCAATCAGCGCGAAATCAAGACTGGTACCACCAGATATCCTCGCATTTGAGATGAAATCTTCTAAGAAGACACCATAGCTCTGGGCAGGTTAGTTTGCAGATACTTAACGTAACGGAGACGCCGTCATACTGATAAGATTCCCCAATGGTGGGCATTGTTCCAGAATACAGCAAGGACAATCATCCAGCCGTAGCCTCCATCAACTGTATTTGAGTGGCTCATGTTGTAACCTGATGTTACTCAGGCTTACTGGAGAAATTGGTTGGGAATCGTAGATAGAGATATTTTGATTAACGCATTAAGGGGCTTGAGCGGTGGTTCGTAGATGAGCAGCCCAATGAGAAAAAATGGAAGTAAAAAACGAAAAAAATAAAATAAAAATAAAAATAAAGGACAAATAAGAAAAACCGAAAACAAGATAAGGGTAAACAAAAGGGCTACAAATATATCCACAATGTATTACCAAGCATCTTCTGATTTTCTCCCTTGTTAACGGGAATTGCAAATCATGTTGAGGCAAAGATATCTCGAGAGAGTGGAACCAATACGCAATAGTCTTCTGATGAGAGATCATAGGAGAAACGTAGCAGTCGAGAATATTTGGCAATTCGAACTGAGTAATCAGGAACAAAACATTTGTAAGAATAAACACTCGCCGGTGGGTACTATGATCGATTAAGTCTGCCTCATAATCGTTATAAATTCTTCACAAGTTACTAATACTCCGGTGGGAGCGATGACTAGGAGAGAACAATATCGACAAGGATAGAGGTTTCACTCTACGAGGCTTTGGATATTTAAGAGCCCCAAATACCATGCTTCTGATCTCGTCTACATTCTTCGTTTGACACAAGGTTCACTTTACTGTTGCAGATCATTCACAATGGCATCTCCATTCAAGAGCGTTGTTAGCATCACGCACGTCACCACCGCAACCGCTATCATAAATATTGATGGCATCAACTTCCTCACTGATCCGGTGTTCTGTCCTGCCGGATCACAATATATCTACGACGGTTGGGCAAAGGCCCCCAACCTCAAGGACTATGGATTTGAAGGCCGCCCTCCCAGTGGCGTCCTCCGGAGCACCGAAGGCCCAGCATTGCAACTTCACGACCTTCCTCCGATCGATGCGGTCCTGCTAAGCCACGAGGATCATGTCGATAACTTGGATCCCTTGGGCCGCCAACTCTTGGACGGTCGCAAGGTCTTCACGACTCCCGACGGAGCGCATAATCTGCAGCCCCGGCCAGGAGTCGTTGGTCTTCGCCCGTGGGAAACCGTCTCCACTACAATCGGAGGCAAAGAGTTCCGCATTACTGGAACCCCGTGCAAGCACTTCCCAGGTGGCGAGGTGACTGGCTTCATCTTAGAGTCGGAATCGTTCGGTTTCAACGCCGCCGGCCTCCCCAACGTGGTCTACTTCTCCGGAGACACCGTGTATATCGACGAATTCGAGAAGATCAAGGAAAAGTGGAACATCTCCGTGGCAGTTCTCAACCTCGGCAACGCCCTTTTCTCCCACCCGAACGGCATCATCCAAATTACGTTTGATGGAAAGCAGGCAGCTCATTTCATGCGGGTGACTGGCGCCGAGATCATGGTGCCGATCCATTTCGAGTCCTGGGAGCATTTCACCGAGCACCGGGACGATCTCCTGCGCGTGTTTGAGAAGGAAGGGGTGGCCGACCTTGTCCGCTGGCTTACTCCAGGGGTGGAGGCTCGCATTATCTAGTCTCATTACATCTGTATTTGTTACAGAAATTGTGGTCAAGTCACTGGTGTGTGACGTTTTATGTACTGTTTGATATTTTACATCCACAGGTAGAGAAAAGTTAGCATCTTCTAGATCGTGTTGCTTTAGATGGCATAAATATAGATTCTTTTATTTTTCCGTACGCCAAAGTCACCAATGAGAAATCAATTCATCAAACTCGTAACTGCTCGGTTTGACCTCAGGGCATGGTTGTTGCCGATTCATGCGCTGTCAGTACGTCTCTATGCTTGCTGAAGTCGCGTCGAGCCGGATCATGTGTCGGTAGACGACCGTTATTATGGTTTCAGTAGCGTGTAACTATTGTTTTGTAATTTATTATAATCACACGTAACATGTTTATACGTCTCATGGTGCATCACAGGAATATTGGCAGTCGTCAACTTCATTTTGATTGAGCGACTCAGATCATGTTGAGGGTGAGCACTATATCATAAAAGGTTTTTCTCAGTCTCCCTGCGCTCTTCGGTTTTCTTCTTTTCATTTATCAGATTGGAAATAATCATACGTGCAGCCCTTACATTATAGAGATACATATGGGATATGAATCAAACCCAGTTGAACCCCGGATCAACATCATCCAGCCGCTCCCCACTTTCAGATATCAATTTGAACTCACGACCTCCCTCAGGATTCATGCCTCTGGAGGTTTGGGCCAGCAGATTGGACAGTTCCATATTGGACTTAGCCTCCCATAAATGATTGCTATCTGGAGCTGGGAACCGCAGGTCAGAAAGGCATAGTAACCGGGAGTTACTATCGCCTTCTGGTTCACCTGGGCGGGCGCTCCGGCACCTGTTACATACCTTATACAAAGCTAACCCTAAGCGCTTTATCTCTTCTACTCCGACCCATATACAGGTAACATCGTCAATATCTTGATACCGCCCGAGCATCGCGGGGTAAAAGAACACATTGTGTCTAAGACACGTCTGTACCAGAGCTGTTAATATCCTCTGGTCTGATACGGGAAGGTGGATGGTCAAGTCAAGTGAGTGAGAGTAGTGTGGAGCCGACAGGAGAGAGAATATCAAATAAAGAAGGACGCCTTGATAGGTGGCAATCGGCCAAGTCGACGCTGGTCTCGGTTGCTGGTTACTTAAATCTTGCCAGGTTGCCTGTATGAGGTTTGTTGACCGTTAGTGTTCTTTAATCGCAGTACGAAAAAGAAGAAGTGCTGAAAAACTAACCTGTTGTTGTCGAATACAAGCGCCCAGTCTCTTGTGTAGATCCAGTGCTGACCGCCGGCTAGAATCCTTCCCGGATACCCACATGCCGATCATCACCACAGCATACAGAAGGAGAGATGGCTCATGTGAAGCACTGAAAGTGGCGGGATGAAGAAACGGCCACCGGGAATGGAAGCGAGTGAAGTATAGCTGGATGTACTGGTCAATTTGGGACTGAGGATCATTTTGATTGAGCCCTGAAGGTTCCGGATCTATGGCTGCATCGAGAGAAGCATGGGCTACTGGGGCATCTGGCTGAGGAGGCACTCGATCCTCAAAGATACAACGATGTCCCCTTTCTCGACATTGCTTGCATGGGCTTCCCCCTCGACACCGAACTTTGCCTAGGCGACAGGAACGGCATGCACGAGTCGCACGGGAGGTTTGTATTTGTTCCTCTTCGTGGTCTCGCCGTATGTGCCGGCGGAGAGTGTCGCTGTGGTAGTCAGTCGGTACCATACGACAGAGATCTTGCAGAGTAACACTACCTGCGGGAGAAACTGCGATCACAGAAGGGACAGGCAGCTGTGCGAACGCCTGAGTGTTGACTCTCATGCCGAGCTCGATGCTCCTGGCGCCGGTAACTAGCGCTACAGCCTTGATAGCGACAGTAGAAGCGACCTACTCCGTTTGCAGGCATTATAGGCACGGCAAATGTACGACACTAAACGATTAGTATGTTGGGATAGAAGTCAAGACTGGGGCAGTGGCACTTTCTCCGGATATCCCACCGGAGCGGATCCCACCGGAAGCCCACCGGCATCCCACCAAAGCGGGATCCCGACAACCCCACCGTCCGATTACTGATATCAATCAAATGGTATGAGCCACCGAGGAGACTTGACCAATCGATCACAAATCAGACAGCGCCCTATTTAAAACGGGCGTGAATCATTCCAACAGACCAAATTCATTCCAACCCTCATAGAATCAAACCTGTCATTCCTCAGAGAAAATTTACTAGCTCAGCCATGGCTTCCAATCCTCAATCCTTCCGCCAAACCATTGGTATTCCTCGTTCGACAGCCTCTGTCAAGGACTCCACTTTGATTATCATCGACGCGCAAAATGAATATGCCTCGGGCCACCTGAAGGTCGAACATGTTGCCCAGAGCCGCGAAGTCATCGCCGACCTACTGTCTCGGTATCGCAACGGTGGTAACGGCTCCAATATCGTTCATGTGGTCCACGAAGTGCCGGCCGGTGCCCCCGTGTTTACTCCGGGAACTGCGTTAGCACAAGAGTTCGAGGAGCTCACACCAAAGGCCGGCGAAAAAATTGTCACTAAGCACTTCCCGAGCTCTTTCGCTCAGACCGATCTCCACCAGTACCTGAGCAGCTTGGGAGATCTGGGCAAGAAGATTGTCCTGGTCGGGTATATGGCACACGTGTGTATTTCCACTACCGCTAGAGCTGGCAATGAATTGGGCTACGATGTGGTCATTGTGAAGGATGCGGTGGGCGATCGTCATATCCCTGGTGTTGCGGCCGACCAGCTGGTGGCGGTGGCTCTCAACGAGTTAGCCGATGCATTTGGAACTGTTGTCTCTGCCAAGGAGATTAGCTCTTAGGCTTGTCTTGTCACGTATATCTTGTATTGAGCGGAAATGCGGCGTTTTTCTGCGTCTTTCTATACTCCATTACTCTATGCTCTGAAGGATATCAAGAAGACGGCCGTTATTTGGTTCATGTTAAAGGTAGTTATACAACGACTAATAGCAAATGTTATGTTTGACGTTTGATAAAGATAGCAGACCTTCAAGCAGACATGTATCCCAAGTCTATCTATGCAGAAAAATTACCTCTACAGACCCTCGGCCGTGCCATGCCTTTCATCCCGTCCCAAGAAGCACTTCTTTATTCCGAAGTATCTAGAATTACCCCGCGAAGAGACAATGTGGGGCTCTCTTCAAGCGATGGATTACTAGCCTCTCCAGGGATGGCACTGAATGGTTATCCACTGGGGCGGAATCTTTAGCGTCAATGTCAACTCCACGTGGAGTCGCTGTTTGATGAAATCCTGAACCGCACAACTAATGCTTTGAAATCGGAACATCGTAAGTATATCCTGATGAGGAAGTTGCACCGGGTTACTGCCACGGCGTGTGCCGAACTCTCTCCCTGGGCCGTGGTTGACCGTGCCATCCCGGTGGGAGAAGCCGACAAGTTTCAGACGGTGTATGTGGGAGAATACTAGTCCCCACTATGGTTGAATGTTCCAATAGTTTCATAATTTAGCTAATATGAGCTACTACCAAAGGTTCTGGTAATACTATGAGTAGCCTGCATGATTAGGAGATAGTCAACATGATTGATTACGAGGGTCTCCAACCATTGGGACTGTTATGGGAGCCACCGACTTGAGGAAACATACCTCAAAGGATGCATGACATCAGCGGGAGCGAGAGCTTGATCTATGGTGTATGGCAATTCTTTTTGGCGTTGCACTTCTTGTTCGGATGATCCACTATGCATGGATTGTCTCGTATAATATCCGTATCACAACCTCGTCGGTATCCCGAACAGAGACCTTGGCAAGACAAAGAGATGAAAATAAAAAATAAGAAAACACATTTAAAAAACACGCTAGATAGACAAGTAAATAGATTAAAGTTAATCTATCGCCGAGTTTGTGGGGAGCAGAATCCCACTATCTTCGCCGAATCCTTCAGGGTGCAAACTCTATTTACGAGCTTAAGATCGTCGTGGAAACTGACTACTATGGTATCCTCCGAGACCCATAGGGAAGTGGTCCAAGGGACATTTGAAACCATAGATTTTGTGCTGTTTATATAGCATCGATCTGTCACCAGGTCGTCTGAATCATCAGAGTTCAGCTCAAGCTCAGCAATCGAGATGAGGTTTAGAAACGAGATTCTGGTTACATTAGGCCTGCTTGGAGCGACTGAAGCCAGCCTGGGCCCAGTCGATGCCACGAAGCATGTTACCCAACAGGATTCAGTCGCGAAGAGACCTCCAAACTTCCTCTTCATTATGTCTGATGACCAAGATCTCCTATTGGATTCGCTATCCTATACACCGTTGACTATGAAGCATTTGAGGGACAAGGGAACCACCTTCAATAACCATTTTGTGACCACTGCTCTCTGCTGTCCGTCAAGAGTTAGTTTGTGGACAGGACGTCTGGCACATAACACCAACGTTACAGATGTCCACCCACCGTGGGGTAAGTGCCTTATCTGGAGAAACCCTTCACTGTTACTGACGCATCGAGCAGGCGGATACCCTAAGTTTGTTGAGGGAGGGTTCGATAAGAGCTTTCTCCCTGTGTGGTTGCAACAAGCAGGTTACGACACTTACTACACAGGGAAGCTGATGAATGCACACTCCATCGAGAATTATGCCAGTCCACATGTCTCTGGCTTCAATGCATCTGACTTCCTCTTGGATCCCTACACGTATGATTATATGAATGCTACTTACCAGCGGAACCACGACGCTCCAGTCAGTTACTTAGGAAGACATACAACCGAGGTGCTGACGGAGAAGGCCATGGGATTCTTGGAAGATGCTCTAGCTGGAGAACGTCCATTCTTCCTGGCCGTGTCGCCAATCGCACCTCATTCCAACATGAATGGAACATACGGTGGCGGAAGTGGGCCTTTATGGATGGATGAGCCTATACCAGAGGACCGGCACAAACACCTTTTCCCTGAGGCTAAGGTGCCTCGGACGGCTAACTTCAACCCAAAGGAGGTAAGTTGTCTCTCTCCTATAAGGGGCTTTTCGAGAGATTGACTGGAAAGCAGCCTACTGGAGTTAGCTGGATCCATGACCTTCCATTTAGAAACGAAACTGTGGTCGACTATAATGACCATTACTATCGCCAACGGCTCCGTGCGCTACAAGGCGTGGATGAGCTCGTCGATAGCCTTGTTACTCGGTTGGAGCAGAGTGACAAGCTTGACAATACTTATATTATTTACACCTCGGATAATGGCTTTCATATTGGCCAGCATCGACTCCCCCCTGGAAAGACATGCGGGTTCGATGAGGATATCCGAGTCCCATTTCTCATGCGAGGCCCTGGGATCCCAGAGGGAGCGGTGGAAGACTCTGTCAGCACCCACATCGACCTGGCTCCCACCTTCTATGAATTGGCTGGCATTCCCTTGCGGGATGATTTCGATGGTGCTCCTATGCGCATTCTAAGCGATAGCGTGGGAACTCTGCATGAGCATGTCACCGTTGAATACTGGGGACAGGCGATGCTTGAGGGAGGACTATCCAACCTTGGTAAGACCTTGCTATAATTCTTTCCATATTTGCCTTCTTTAGAGTACTGACATTTGAATCAGGTAAGCCAACGGTGCCGAACAACACGTACAAGGCTGTTCGTATATTGAGTGAAGAGTACAATCTCTATTATTCTGTATGGTGCAACAACGAACACGAACTTTATGACCTTACGGTATGTCATCGGGCCACTGGATATGAATACTTCTAGAGAGCTGACGAATGAGTAGAGCGATCCGCATCAAATTAACAACCTGTATGCCAACGCACAGGCAGATAGCTCGCCTGAAACCCAAATCATGGGACACAGCCTTTCGAAAGTAGTGCCAAGGCTTGACGCCCTCCTTTTGGTATTGAAGTCCTGTAAAGGGACCTCTTGCATCGAACCATGGAATGTGTTGCATCCCGATGGATCCGTGCATAACCTCCGCGATGCTCTGAATGAGAAGTATGATGCCTTCTACCATTCTCAGTCCAAGGTCTCATTCGACCGATGTGAGTATGCATACATCATTGATGCAGAGGGCCCTCAACATGCACTGGCCTATAGAAATGGATACAGTCTGGATGCGTGGGTATGAAGCTTAAGGGTGGGTCGCAGGTCATGACAGGCTGAGTTTCTGGGAAACAAGGAGTGACGAATGAACGTGATTATTCTACAGAAGATACATATGAGAATAGATTGGCTATCGTGAAACACACTTACAGAGCATTGTAAATTACTACAACCATCTCCGACAATCAAAGAATGTTATGGGCTACACACATCTCCTTAACTCCACAGCGTGCGATCTATCTCAGTGACAGCTGGCTTAACTTAAGACCTTCCATGATGATATGCACATTTTGGTGCTACTTAAAACAGTATCTGGCTCATCTGGGACCAGATATGATGACGTGGGCGTATATACATGGCAACTATACATGCCTATGATCGTAGCGTACAGTACATAAGGCCTGCGGCGGTGATATTTCAAAGTTTCCAGCTTGCTTGCAGACGTGGTGCTTGCACCGAGACATTAAAATGGGCCACAATTGCACCCGTTTGTTCTCGTGGGGAGGGGATACGAAGATAGAGGTCACCTTATAAAAGTCTTAGGTCCAAGTCCTGTGAGTCAACTAAAACGGACTGGGTTAACTGATCATGTAACAGTTCTCTGCTCTCTCTCGCAAGCGCCGACTCAACCTCGACAGCTACATCGCGGATCCGTGACATCGAGGCCGCCGCAATCGCCCACACATGCCCCATGGATTTGAGGACGCCAATATTGAGCGCTAGGAAGTTGCGGCCTGTGCGAGTTGACTGTTGGGGATCAGCGGTAAAGATAGCGAGTTGGACGATGGAACTTAAGACTAGCGTGCAGACGAAGAAGGGGCTATGGCTAGTCACAGCTGTCGTTAAGGAGGCAAGTTTGGATAGGTTAACCGCCGCACCATATACTTTGGCTGTGTGTATTTGGGGGTTTGTTGAGCTCGACGCGAAGGTGGGGGGTCGAGAACAGAAGATGTGACTGGTCACTGGTAGAAAGGCGAGGAGATATGATTTCGGAAAGTGTAAGTATATTGAGGCGCAGTGCATTATCACGAAGGACTGAAAGATCATCTGATCCACGTCACCATTGTGATGCAACATAGCTTGCTTGCCGCTGGGCAATCGGTGAAACCAGGCCGAGATGGTGACATCGAGAACATTGATAGTTTCATGGGAGACATGATTCCCGCTCGCTATCAGGCACTTTCGAAGTATTGTTGCTGCTTCTACTCTGTACGCCGCGGATGAGAAATCGCCATCGTTGTGAAAAAGGGTTTGACGATCCATATCACGAAGTGAGGTTGGAACGAAGCCTAAGCGCCCATCCTGATATTCGTCCATTTCACAAGGCAAGGGAAGGTCTGGTGTCTCTATTGTTAACTGTAGAGCACCATCGACTTGTACAGCCGCGAGAAGGGTGTCGATAATGAAGATCTCCCACCACGTACGCCGAGCACTCTCTGCCCTCAAAGGATTCTGGATCTCCAAAGCTTCAGAAAATCCCCGGCAGTGAAGCCCAAGATCCAGACTCAAAGCAATCGCCTGCCCCAGGCATTCCTTTGCCTCTCGCGGTTGGGTTCGTGCATGCATGATAATAGATAGGAGCAAAAGGGCTTGGACCTTCTCAAGGCTGGCGTCTGCCTCCTGAACGGCCGCTCCAAGCTGATGGGTGTGGTCCGGAACATTGCTGGCAGGGAGGTAATGCAGGCTGACAAACTGTACCACATCCAGCAGGTAGCTGGGGGGAGAAGAATGCAGGAATGCGTCGCGAGGTGGCAGGAATGGGTGCGCTTGATGGAAATGGAGGAAAAACAACGTAACCAGTTGGTGGTCGATCGGAGGGGGAAGCGAAGAACAGATGGCCTCCCCTTGTGAGGCAGCACATGCTAATGAATCTAAAGGGGTCATCATTGCATTGCCAGTGGGCTCAACAGGTAGTGGAGGGTAGTCTCCTATTGCACCTGAATAGGGCCAAGGCCGTCCTCGTCTGCCTCGGCGACTCGGGACAAAGTGGCAATAGAGACTCAGGTCCTTGCACCGGGTACATCCTGTGAGATTACCATCACACTTGAGATGCTTTTCGCGACAGTTCAGACAGGCAACGGGGACAGAAGGAGGTAGGGTGGAGGAGGGACTCGACGAAGGGTCCATGTTGTAAGGCTGGGTGGATTATCGTGAAATTGAAAACGATTGAAACAATGGGATGCGGTCGAAATTAAATACTGTATTCAAATACACGGCAATCAGCTGACCCACTAGTCAAGACACGCCACTGGACAGATTGAACCCTAACTGTCGAAAGAACAAAATAAATTACATCTATTTTATCTATAGATTTATATCATTTACACCACATGGAATTCCAGTTCGCGGTGAATATCCACCGCACTGGTACCAACGAAACAGCGGTATCTGCCTGGGTCTATTCGCCATGAACGAGACTCCTCATCATACCAACGCAACTCTTCCTTGTCAATCTGAATAGTAACGTCTTTTGTTTCTCCGACAGGTACAAATACCTTGGAAAATCCGGCAAGCGTCTTTTCATAAGTGACGAGCCCTTTCTTTTGGATCTGTTCAGACGGACTGACGTAGACCTGGACTACCTCGGAGCCATTTTGGTCACCAACATTGGAGATGCGAGCATGGACCGAGATGATGGAGGATGTTGTGGTGGTCATGTTCCCATCAAGGCGAATATCGCTGACCTCAAAGCGCGTGTAAGACAATCCATACCCAAACGGCCAAAGAGGCGTGATACCGTGCTTGTCAAAGTGACGGTATCCAACCAACACCTGCTCCCCAAACTCGCAAGAGTCGTTGGCTGCCTGCCCGGGGAACCATGCATGAGAACCGTGGTCCTCCAGCTGGCGAGGAAAGGTGATAGGAGTTTTACCGGAGAAGTTGCAATGACCTAGGAGGGCATCTGCCAAGGCATTCCCGTTCTCCTGACCCTGGTACCAGGCCATGACAATAGCGCGTGCTTGATTCACCCACGGCATTGTTACTGCGCTGGCTGCCTGAACGACAACGATCGTATTAGGATTGGCGTCACATACTGCCTGCACAAGCGCGTCTGTCTGGCCTGGCAATTCCATGTTGACGCGATCGCCGCCTTCACCTTCCGAGTCCTTATTATGGCCGACGACAAGGACAGCTACATCGGATGACTTGGCGCAATCCACTGCGCGACCCAGCATTGCTCGCTCATCTTGCTCTAGGGCAAGACCAACCCGCAGGCCTGAGATATTCGGAAAGAGGGTGTTATCAAAGGATTCGATCGGCGGTAGTGTCACTACATTATCCACCCTCAGTCGATATGTTCTCCCTGCCTCTAAGGGCATCCGAATAGTTCGATCTTCACTGGAGCATCCTAGGAAGCCTGCAGTGACCCGTGACCACTCCGTATTATCAATAATCAATTCATCGTTGATGAACAGCTTGGCCTTGCCCGTATTGGCCACACTCCAGGTATACCAGCCCGATCCCTGGGGTGTCACAATGCCAGATGCCTGGTAGCAATAGGCGGTACCCTTGAGCGACTCTGGCACATCACCATCACTGAAGAGATATACCAGGGAGTCATCCCAGTAGCTGGTTGCTACTGCAGGTCCCTGAAATTCATGTCCAGCGTAGAAAGCCACCTCAAGACCCTGCCGCGAGCCGTCCGGTGTGGTGAGCGTGGCACCTAGTAGCGGTGGGCGGAGACTGAATGGAATACCAGGTTCATAAAGAATTTCCGTCTGTGGATTGGCTTGTCGGATGGCCGTCGTAATGCATTCTTCGGGGGTGGTAATGTAGAATGGATTGACAGCAGCACTACCTGCCCCTCCCGCGGTTGGACGGCGGGCATTGGGGCCCAAAATAGCAATCTTTTGTAGAGTAGAGGGTTTCAGCGGTAAGACACCTTCATTCTTAAGAAGAACGAGTCCGTCCTGTGCGGCCTCACGAGCGATCCGATGAAAGGTCGGGTCGTCCGGAGCTTTCTCGGATTCAGTCCCATCGCCCTTCAGAGCGCCGCCGGAGGATGACTGGGACAGTAGACCAACCCCTTCCAGTAGCTCCAAGATTCGTCGCACACTGGGATCGACGTGTTTGGCGACGTCGACCTGGCCTTGTGCTATGGCAGCGAGGAGCTTGTCCCCACGTCGCACCGGTGGTCCCGGCATTTCCAAGTCGGTAGTGGCGATCAGGCTCTCAACGGTGCTGTTCAATCCGCCCCAGTCACTCATGACTATCCGATCAAATTGCAATTCATCACGCAAAAGTGGCTTCAGGATGGAAGGACTTAGGTCGGCGTGATATCCGTTTATCTTTGGATAGCTCACCATGGCGGTCAATGGGCTCGCATCAAGGGCCATCACAAATGGTTTCATGTATACTTCGCGAAGAGTACGCTCATTAATTGTTTGGTCGACATTAAACCGTCGCGTTTCGGTATCATTCGCGATGAAGTGCTTCATGCATGCCGCGGCACCTTCGCTTTGAATACCCCGAATAATCGCAGTTGACACTTTCCCAATTAAATACGGGTCCTCGCCGTAGCCCTCGAAGTTGCGACCACCTAGGGGCGATCGTGACAAATTCATTGTTGGAGCTAGGAGGACCTGGCAGTGCTTGCGTCGTGTTTCCTCTCCTAGGACGCTGCCCACTTTCTGGACTAACTCCGGATCAAATGTGGCCGCCAACGAGATGCCACAAGGAATGAAAGTTGTCAGTGAGCCGTATGTCCATTTTGACCCTCTCGCTCCAGCTGGCCCATCCGTCATCTTCAAACTCGGAATCCCCAGCCTATCGACGTTCGCTGTTTCCCACATGTTTTTCCCGGCCAGCAGGGAGACCTTTTCCTCTAAGGTCAACGCCCGAAGTAGTTCTTCCACTACGGGTTTCTCATCGTGAACCATCTTCGGCAGTTTCGGGACTCCCTTCGAGGGAGATCAACAGAACAGAAGAATGAGAGTTACAAGAAGAAGAAGAAGAAGAAAAGTAGAGCGTAAAACGAGTCAATCTGGAGACATTCCTCAGTTTGATATTCCTCCACAACTTTAATACTACGGAGTTCGATAGAGAACCCCCAAGTCGGTGTCATAGTATACTGCTCGTATCTGGGGCATCTTTGCCACGCAGCCTCGGTGGAGCCGACACGACTCGGCGACACCCATTTTGGTATCGTGGAATAAATGGGCCTTCGCCCCACCGGTCGCCGAAATAGTGGGTCAATGGGAGAGGCTCCGTGAAAAGATGATTTAAACTCCCGGTGGGATAATCTAGGATCTGGAGCCAAGACAAAGAACTGAACTCCTTGGAGCCAGTGTACGGGTTGGAAGGTCATTCGCATATTTCCGTTTGCTTGGTGTGCTCAACTGCTTGTTTTAATATCGGGATTGCTACTTCTATCTTTCTTTACATTCACACACTCTTTCACATAGATATATATATGTGTGTATGTAGACTTCCAGGATCACGTCGAGGAAATTACCTTGCAAGTGAATCTAAATTACCGTGGGTGTGCCACTAGCCTCATACCGTACGATATTCGAAGGAACGGCATATCCAAACACTAAAAGCCCAGGATTGAACCATATTCCCTTTTGGCTATAGACCACCATGTGGTTCCAACAAAACACTATTCCACATGGCTGAACTAAGATACGAACGAAGCGGGGACAAGGAATGAATCTAGGCTAGATATGGCTTCCCCATAAACTAACCCCGTATTTGCCTGCCATAGGCGGAGGCAAATACTGGCACAAGGCCTGTTGAAAATTGCCTGGGGCAGAAAATGTGATAAAAGGCGAGCAGAGGTTGCGCATAACCCGTAATTTCAATCCACTGGTCAAGTTAATTTGAATTTTACCTCCTCCTGCAGCTGATATCTATGATATGGCACATGGCACAGACACCACGATGCCTTCGGCAAAGTCCAACCTCACCTGGACCATTTTCATGGTCATGATATTTGGCTCCCTTTCCTCTGCCGGATTTGGGTTTGACCAGGCCTGGTGGTCAGCTATCATGAGCTTGGATCAATTCTTACAAAGATTTGGATCCTATGATCCGAGCCACGACAAATGGATTCTCTCCTCTAGAAATCAGTCTATTGGTACTGGTATGGGTTACGTTGGTGTCATTCTGGGCGTAATATGTGGTACACCGTTAAATGAACGATTCGGACGCAAGATGACCCTCTACATCCAGTCCTTTGTGGTAGCAGTGGGTGTCATTATTGAGTCAACTTGCACCACTAGCTATGCACAATTCGTTGTCGGTAAAGCAATTGTTTACTTTGGCGGGGGCATTGCGACCAACGCCATCCCCACATATCAGGGGGAGTGTGCCCCACCGTCGTTGCGAGGACTGATGGCCGGCACATACAACGCCTTCCTTATGATTGGCGGCTTCGCCGCTGCACTCATTGTATACTTGTGTCGCTATATCCCCAGTGACTGGGCCTGGAGAGCCGTTGTTGTGGCGCAAATTGGTATTCCTGCTGTGGGTTGGGTCAGTTTACCTTTCCTGCCAGAGTCCCCACACTGGCTGATCAGACAAGGCCGACTGGATGAGGCAACCAAGGCGCTTCGCCGTCTGCGTGGCCCCGAATTCCCTGCCGAAGAGGAGGTCATATTACTGCAACAAACCTTGGAAGAAGAGCGGGAATTGCGAGACGCCTCCAACTGGAAGGATTGCTTTTCTAATGCGGTTAATCTCCGCAGGACAATTATATGTGTCGGGGCTCAGATCTTCCAACAGGCCCAAGGAATATCCTTTGTCGCGAACTACCAAGCGGTTTTTCTTTCCCAGATTGGGTTTCGCGAAGTGCTACTGATGTCTGTCGTTGTATATGTCATTGGAGTGGTAGCAAATCTGCTAAGCATGTTAACCGCTGATCGATCGGGACGGCGTAGTGTCATGCTCGGTGGCGCAGCAATGCTCGGTGCGTGTATGCTGGTCATCGGCGGGCTGACAACGCGGGGCACGTCGCATATGTCGTACTCTATGCAAGTAGCAGCGGTTGTCATGCTGATGCTCTGGTTCTTCTGCTTCCAGACCACTTGGGGCCCTCTCGCTTGGGTTATTACCTCCGAAGTTCCGCCAACGGCCGTCCGAGAGAAAATGGTTACGCTATCTGGTTTTTCAGCCTACGGTGTCGGTCTGGTTATTGTATTTGTGAATCCCTATACCCAAGATGCCATTGGCGGTAGCATCGCTTTCATTTACGGGTCATTGTCGGTCGTCGCCTTCCTATTTGTGTTTTTCTTCGTGCCTGAGCTGCGACAGCGAAGCCTGGAGCAGATTGACGAGATGTTCAACGAGCAATTGCCAACTCGGAGCTTTGCATCATACGTATGCAAGCTTCCTGATCAAGGGCGGGTTGAAAAGGAAACTGAAGCGGTGGAATATGTCGAGTCCCTCCCTTGAGTGCAAAACCACTCCTGCCTACCCTGGGTTGTTTTATCTTACTCAGTAGAACAGCTGCGGCAAGCACTTTAGCTTTCTTGTTTGCTGGCGAGCGCCACGAGTGGTGTTTCCATTTCATATTTAACAGCTACAGATGTATATGAGCTGTTTATGCTATGGATTCATTGTCCCAAGGAAATGTATTTTACCACCGGGGGTTTGGAATGGAATAGTTATAGCAAAAGGAGTTGCAACTGTCGATGTTGAGGGGGCAAGGGTAACTGTCCATCATAATCAGTAAAGCCGTTGTGACCATAGCTGTGGCAATATTGATTTAAAATAATCATATAATTTATCAATTTCCCTCGGAGTCCCTTGGAGTGTGCTGAGCGTCAACCATTTCCAAATGCGGTAAAGAAGCCCTTATTTTCAGAGCTCCAAAAGTTCAACTTCTATAGCGATTTCCTATAGGGCGCCTGTTTTATTCCTTGACTTCATTCTCATGTTTAAATAAAAGCAAGTTCAGATAAAGCGTGAGTCGTAATAAGCTTTGCTGGACATACTCTGTATAATTCGTCTCGTACAGAAGGGAAATAAAATGTCTGACTGCATAGTCCTAAGCCAAACAGTATAGGAACTATACTGCTGAGGTTCTACTCAATGACCGACTCATAAAAACATCCGATTAATTAAGATACCCTGCAGTCGTCAGGCTACCATTCTGGCCTAGTGCCGGGATACAGAATGCCTTAGGGTTTAGTAATTTTTTCGCCGAATTAGTGGGTCGAAGGAATACCCACCGGGCTTTGGCAGCGACATACGATTCGCCCCAAGTACAATCGAGGATAGAGATGATCCCCAAACACAGGCTAAACTTAAGATATGTACATTGATGTTCCGTATAGCCGGTATATGTTCCTGAGCCTGGGCTATCCCTTACTAGGCTATCTCTTGCGCAGTCTCTATCTGTTAGACCATCCGTCATACCCGATTGGTGCTGAAGTCACATGCACTTATATATCATTATATAAACAAAGATATGTCTTGAATATTTCACCCACAACAACGGTCGCACCATGGAGTTAAGTGCCTCTGATACAGAAGCCAACAGCATGGCTACCTCTCAGGGAAAGCGTGAAGAGGAGCTACCGGACTGGGCCGCCGATCCATCCAACGCCCAAAACTGGAGTTTGGTCAAAAAGCTATACAACACATCCATTCCATCCCTCCTTTGTCTGCTTATGTGAGTATTCAGCTAAGAAGACATGATTGCGCTGACGGAGCTGACCTTTGCGTGCACTTAGATCCTTTGGCCTGGCCATCTATTCGCCATCTCATGCCCATGTGCAAGAGGACTTTCACATCAGTAACACCCTTTCCCTCCTCCCATTCACCTTATATGTGTATGGTCTGGCTTTTGGCCCTATGATCTCCGCTCCTTTGAGTGAGACCTTTGGGCGCCGCTTCGTCTATATTATCATGACACCACTGGCTCTGCTATTCATTATGGGTGCTGGTTTTGCCCGAAATTTCGCTACCCTTGCCGTGTGTCGCTTGTTGGGCGGCATCCTGTGCTCTGCACCTCTCGCCGTGGGCGCTGGAACCATGATGGATGTCTGGTCGGGCCCAAATACCAACCGCGGGGTGGTTGTGCTGATGGGAATCGCGTTTTTGGGGCCCGCTCTCGGATCCCTCGTGGGTGGATGGATCGCCGAATACAAGGATTTCCGGTGGTCTCAATGGACAACTTTGTTCCTCGGAGCGGCACTATGGGTCTATTCGATGGGTGCCCAGGAGACGTACGCGATCCCTATCCGCCGCCGCCTAGCGAAAAAGGCCGGACTGACTCCTCCACCAAAACCGATCCCTGATGGTCTAGCGGGAATCAAGATTCTCATGACAGTGACGCTGGCACGACCTCTCTACATGCTGATCACCGAACCCATCGTCACCCTCTGCTCACTATACTCCTCCCTGAACTTCTCCGTGTTGTTTTGTTTCCTGGCCTCCGTCCCGCTGATATACAGCACTAATTACGGCTTCTCGCCGGGTCAGTCAGGACTGGCTTTCATTGGTATCGCGGTCGGTTGCATCATCGGGGCTACGGCGTTGATCATCATCGACGCATACACGTTGTCTAAGCACCGTGCGCTGCGGCCGGGGGAGCCAGCACCTCCAGAAAGAATGCTTGTGGCCGCGATGCTGGGAAGTCCCCTGATGCCTGCGGCATTATTTTGGTTTGCCTGGACCTCGCAGCCGGGGATACATTGGATAAGTAGTATCATCGCCATGGGGCTCTTTGGTTGTTCCAACATCATGATATTTGTACGTTCTTACATCCGCTGTAATGCGATATGCTGCTGACGGACCGTGGTATGCAGGTCTCGACGATGTTGTACCTCACCAATGTCTACGGAGCCAAGTCTGGGGCCTCAGCTCTGGCAGCGAACGGCCTGCTGCGGTATGGTGTGGGCGGCTCTTTTCCTTTATTTACGATCCCTAGTAGGTTTTTGTGGCCCTTACGCTGGCGACGGACACTGACTGATTGATGTAGTGTACAACAATCTTGGTTTCACCTGGGCATCCAGCCTGCTCGGCTTCCTCGCCATCGCCTTTGCTCCTCTGCCTTGGATCTTTTATAGATTTGGAAAAAAGATCCGTCAATCCAGCTCTTACACAGCGTGAGCCCCTTAGCTCACCCTAGGTTACCAAAAAATATGGGCCAATGCTATCTGCGACTGCTACAACCGAATAGCTAACAACCACGACGGAGAACAAGAAGTCTGTTCCTGGTCAAGCAGGTGCCGGTGGATTGGCAGCATGAATTTCTAATATAACTAAGACTCATATGAATAATAGAAACATAGACACCCAGACATATAACTAAGCCACAGAGCCCGTACCAGGCTTGAATCTCTCACTTTGTACACCCTTATCTAGACGGTAACCCGAAACGGGATCCGAAGGACTTAGGCTCTTTGTGCTTGAAGTAAGCCCTGCATAACTTTTCACCATAGAAGAAATGCTCACGGGAAGCTGGATCAGAATCAGGAAACCCGACACTCTCGCCTTGCGCTCAAACATAATGATGCAGTCCGAGACACCGAACGCGAAATGTGAAATCTCTTCACCCTTTTTGATCCTTTGAGCTTGAAGCTCCTTTCTCACGTTAACAGAAGAAACCATCGCCATGCCAATGGAAAGTACGGCAACCCAACCCAAGTACTCATTGTTGATGATCACTACCCCTCGAGTCTGGAGGAACTGGTAGCCTGGAGTGTCGGGCGCGTCAAGGGTACGGATGCCGGAAGGTGTCCTTTGTTTTCCGGAGATCTGGCGGCAGAGTTCCAGATAATTGTGACCGACCTGCTCGTCTGTCTGGACTAAAACTTCGAGGTAGGCCGCGCCTTCGATGACATCGATGATTTCCACAGTCCTGGACACAGGGGCATGCTGCCGGTGATAGTCGAAGGAGTTCAAGAAAACATGAGTCCAGAGTCCATCTTTGAAGACATCCCCATATGTTTGAGAGCTGTCATCGGGAAGCTGTTCGTCGCCATATGTACCGAGAAGGTCCTTCACTCTCCACGGAACATTTTTTAGAACCACCTCCTCTTTCACAATCCTCCACTCTTTCTTCTTCAGGACCACCTCGGAATCTTCGCTAATGGCATATGCTCCAGCGAAGATAGAATCAGCAGGGAAGGTCACGATATGATCATCGTCGGGGGCCGCGATCTTTCAAGGGTTGTCAAGCTTGCGGTAAAAGAACTTATTGAACGTTGTCCAGTTCTTAGCGTCCGCCTCAGACTCGAAGACACGGAAGAGTTGAGAGTTTCGAAATGTCGTTATGCAAGCCTCATTGATCGAAGAAGGCTTGTCCATACTGCTTCCGATCTCTTTGGCGAATCGGACCACCCAGTCTGAGAGAGGTTTGAGGGGCTTGTTCAAATTTAGGGGTTGAATTTTAGTCAGACGAGAAACCAGAGGCTCTTGGGACAGAACGAAATAGAAGACGCAAAGGATGTAGTAGATGTCTCGGCCTTTGGTCGACTCAGTGGGAATCCAGCCTCGGACCAGTCAGTCGGCGAAGTCAAGAAAGCCACGGGCTGAGATAATGCCGTACTTATCGAGCTCGAGGATATCCCATCTGTGAGCGTTTTTGACGGCCTGCTCGAGGCCATCCTTCTCTCAGAGCAGCTCTTCTCGAAGTTCCCGGACAATTTCGCTGTATCTTGCCATGATGACTTGATGTCTCGATAGTCTGCAATGTGGAAAGGTGAATATAATCGTAAGGAGGATGGGGGGAATAATCCAGACGTGAGCAGATGTTGATGTAATACATATATATCTCCTCGCCCTTCTATCATATGACAGGGTAGACACAAAGCCTTGAGGCTCTTACATCGGAGACTGGATTTGGCGATCATATCGGCGTTCTAGACTTAGTATATCTAGCTTGGGAGAAGGCTCTTCAACATCATATGAGGCCGGGATTGGTGTCCGTGAGCTGACATACACAGTGCTCGTGAGATATAAAGTTATCGTGCACTGAATATCACCTACAGAAGGCCACGCACGGGATTCAGGTCCTCCAAAATCTGCCAGACCTTATCGCGAATGATGCTAGTAGGAAAAAAAAAAAAAAAAAAAAAAAAAACCCCAAAAAGTTATACTCACCCCATCGTGAGGACTGACTTGATTTAGATTAAAACACCTACCACTGGATGCTCGGAGACACCGGGAAACTAGGTTTCCATAAGCAAGTTCTTCAGACCCAGGGACAAACAGCTTTCATAACGTAACTGCCTTCCGGAGTTTCCTTATGAGAACATAGTATACACCCTCTCTATATCTCAGGAATCCAAACTACAGCCCTTCTGTAGGGAATGTAGCCCCTCGAATCAATTATACATCAGTTAGCCTGTGGTAGTATCTATTATGCTCCGCTGACGTGACAGTTGCATACTATATCTTGAGTGTAGATCGCTATGTGGGGGACAGGGTAATCTGTTCTAGACGTCACATTATATACGGCCCACTCGTAATGATGAGCCAATAATTTGAAACATCACTTAAACATTTCTAATCATATGTACAGGACTTTATTCAGTCTGTGAAAACGAAGGTAAGGCCATGTGTGCTAGAAAGAATGTCTTCAGCTGGGCCAAACGGTCACTACGATCAGACCCATGGGTACTATTTCATACAAATGCTCATGGAACAATCACTAATATTCAAGGACTACTCGAGAAGTTCAAAATATTCCAGTGAGTGACAATAGTTGGCGTACTGAAGCGCGACTGCAAACACTTTATCGGCAGGCTCTTTGTTCCATAGTCTCCGCAGGACAGATGCAATCTACTTAGCAATGCAGTTCAAGGAGGAGCCTTGGTACTCGCATTCTGCGATCACAGTTAGTTTGTAACGTCCATAATGTGTAACAATCGTAGTGATGAGATACTGACTTCCGGAAATAACCTTGGAGTTGTCGCTCGGACCGCTATAATACTTGCAGCCTGAGCCCTTCTTGTGGCTACAGTTATTGGGACAGTTGCAAGCGTAGTCTGTACGAGAGATTAACATCATGTCTTCCTGCTATGCGTCCTGGGGAACTGACAGGGGGAGGTAGCAATTTCGATGTGGCCTATGCTGCGTGGAGCCTCTACAGCAGCTCCGACAACCTGGTGGGCAGCGAGGAGCGCTATAGCAGAAAGTAGGGTGGAACGGAAAAGCATCTTGAGCAGAATTTCTGAATGAAGAGTGTTTAATTTCGAATGATATTCGAGAGTGGATGAAGACTTATGAGAGACAGATGAAAACCAAAGATTCTTTGCCCTTCTTATATCTGTTGACTGCTTGACCTAACCGCTGTACAGCTATAGGTACCTCAGTAGCGCTTATCTCACGTTCTCTCTTGCATCCATCCAGAACGCAGAACAGAACCAACAATTCCCTCCACAATCCTTCTCTGTTTCACTATGTAGAATAATACTATCCTCAGTAAGAGGTGTAAGCCCGAAAACAACCCATGCGAAGGGAGGGACAAGACGAAGACGGGAAAAAACCCGTCCTCTAATTGCCTATGTCACACCCACGTGGTAGTTGCGGAGGATCATCTACCAAGTGAGGGCTACGTAAGACTCATCATACACCTCTATTATTATCTCTAAACTGCGCTTTCCAAAACCAACATATTCACTCCAACCCTGAAGCCGCAGGACCAAAGTTACGCCCCTAGACTCGTTTTTGATTAGTGTGGTGAGATATCTCGTTCGTATAGCCTCGGATGTAACATAATAAAAGTTAAAAGTTGACCATGCATCATTATTGTTCATTTACAAGCTGTATACTTAGTTCGCTTCGGACCGAGAATGCCGGTCCTTGGCAATGCTTATCTGATTATCTTCCTTGGGAATCTTCAGACACCGTGCGGAGATTTAGGATTCCTGCTAATAGTTAAACATAGTTATATCATGGATTCTGCTTTGTTGTTTTGAAACTTGCCAGGGAGGGCCAACTTCTCGTGGCTGTCTTCCCTTCCCCATAGTGCGCATAAATGGAGAGAAGGCACAAGAAGGAGAGAAGGAAAAGGATCATGAACCCTTGTCCATAACAAATGCATGAAAAACCAACAAGGTACCGGAGAGAGGGAATGTCAGACCATAGTGGTAATCGATTCACCTTTCCCGTCTAAGTAGGTCTTAACGAGGCCAACAGGCAATGCATAAATCTAGCTATCATTCGATCAAGTCCAGACGGGTTTCGGGTTGCCACCTTCCTTCGGCTCAGTTGGCCTCGTTTCTGGAGCAGTGTGTGGTGTGATGTAAGACTACCTATGAGATGGATTTACAGACAACAGGCTAATGCATAGCTATCACACCTTACCCAGAATGCCCCGTCCCGGGGCCTTAGTATTCTAGTTTGGGGGCGGCCGCTGGCCTTGCATTAGTTCTGAAGGATCTGTATTCTTCATCTGTATATTGCAACTTTCTGCATCGGAGTAAAAGAACTTGGGGTTGGGACCGGCTAACTCCGGATCTCTTATCTCAGGGTAAGAAACTAGAGCACTTTTCTATAGTGTCGGACTTAAGGGGTTTGCGCCCCCAAGTCAACCCGCCAGCCTACGGGCATGGGAACCACGAATCGGATTCCTACGGAGTCTAACATCTTATTTGGTGTTTTATAGGCGAAAATGGTAGCATTATCTTAGCATCAATATACCACCAGCCTCGGTCATCTTCACGAGTTCTGGCCTCTACCAAAGTACTGAACCATATAGCCAATAAGTGTATAAATACTTTGCTTGATATGCGAAGAGGAGTGCTTGTCTTTTCCAGAGCCGATACAAAGGCCGATTTTACAAGCATATTCTAAGAACTTCTTTGTACAAAACCACACTCAAACAAAATCCTATTCTTCAAAGATGCATCCCATTCCTCTTGCCGTCTTGAGCCTGATAGCGACATCATCGCTCGTGATTCCCAAGGTACTTGCTCAGTCAGAGAGCAGTGCTTGGGAGGCCATTTCGAAAATGAAAATGGACCCTGAGGGATATTTTCACATTGCTGACGACGGAGTGGCACGATCCTATGATGGGAACGATGCTGTTATCGACTATGTTCCGTTGGCCAATGATCAGCTTATGCAGCTGCTCTCAAACCTGCCAGAGCCTTGGCAGCAGGAACTGGATCATTTGCACTCCATATTTGATGGCGTCGACGGACTTCAAGTTGTGGATGAGGATCAGTTGCTTAACCCGCCGGCTTGGCTTCGGCGTGTCGTGGATCGTGAGCCACCTCAATCTCAAAACCCTAAGCGCGAGGTCGAATCCCTCCTAGAGGGTAGAGACTGGTACTGCGTCGGCCAGCCTTGCACCACCTCGAGCGCTTGCCAATTCCTTGGTTGTTCAGGTTGTGCATTTATTGATCAAGTCATACCGGGAGGAGGAGGAATTTGCCACCGATAGTCCAAAGTCGAGGTGTCGGATCTGTGGAAGTTGTCGAAACGGCCTTCAAAAAACAGGATATTGCGGGTGTGACGGGTTCAGTACTGGGAAAGGGGGGGGGCTATTGTACGCACGTGTGAGATATTTTCCAAGTTCTATTGGTTGAACCTCTTTGCATTAGCTGTAATAGGTCTAGTATCAGCTTCCCCTCACCAGACTTACTATAAGAAACGCTCGTCACCTCCTATGGTCTACACACACTTTCTCTCTAGAGTATAACACGATCCAGACTTCCCCATTGTATCACAAAGACGGACCACTTCAACCATGTCTTGCGTAGTAAGAGTATTTCTCACAACTTGCATCTGTACGATACTGACGCCGTAATAGCCACGGCCGGATGACCAAGATGAAGAGACGTCACAGACCAGGCCGTCTCTCAAGCACTCCCCATCGCTCCAAGGCTTCCTCCACCTTGCTAGTGATGGAGTGTACCGCAGCTTTAGCTCCAGCGGCGAGGTAGTGGACTATAAGCAATTGAACCCGGCAGAAATTGCAATAGTTCTGAAGGACTTTGACGGACATATCGATTCAGAGGCTTTTGAGAAAGTTAAGCAGAAATTGCAGGGTGTGGATGGCAGAAATGTGACTGATTTGGACCAACTGCTTCACCCAGGGCCAGAGCTGCGTCCGTTGAAATTTAACAAGTAAAGATTACACAATGTGGCTACTTCCTTCTACCTGTCCCTGACCCTTGTTTCCTAAGTTCATTTATTAGCCGAATAAATACGGTATTTCAGCCGAAGACCATCTGATCTGCTACATGATCACATGAAACTGCTCCTAAGATCTGTGAGCAAACGTATCAGATTTCCTGGCTTCCAGATCTCGCGAACGCTTGGCTGGCCAGCAAAGTAACTCGCTGAGCTCTCGGAGGCTCGGTGCAAATCACGTTCCGACAGAAGCCGAAAGGACGGAACCCACTGCTTGGCCTTCTTAGACACAATGTAATTGAACCACCTACACGGTCTACTATAGGACCTACTCCCTAGTTTACAACACGTAGCAAGTGGGTAAATTGGGCCATCGAAAACCGTTTGTTTCTCTACTTCACTTAGTAATTCTAGTATGTGGCAAAAGAACGATTGTTTACGTTTTTCTATGTCTTTCGGCAGGTCAAAGATCAAGATATATGTGTGTGTGTATGCTAAGACTGCCAAGCCACGTTGTTTCGCTTCAGTTGCGTGGACGATGGTCATGTAAGGGATCTTGGCAGTTCATCTTGCTCTGAGGGAATCAGCGCTTGCTGTGGACCCCTGGAACAACACCAGACTGGCCATCTAAAGCAATTATACCTTCTGAATGACTTGTTGGCAAATTGAACCGAAATTGTAGGTCAGCATCACGGCGAGGTAGGTCGTATGTCTCAGTTGCTGGTTACGAATGTATGGGGAGTATCAAACGGAGCTCTTCCGCATATTCAGTAAAGCATTAGCATTTCACTGTATTCATATTATTATAGGTTACATCCCTGCTCAGTGACAAGTTGCAAACAGAAATGAGCTGGCGACAATCCCCAAACCAAACTGGATCTCAAACTTGAACAATATTGAACATGCATCATATCAAGAACGTCGCAGTTGCAGGTGTGAGTTCTACTGGAACCCATCTTGATGATGGGACGATTGCTGACCAGATTAAAGGCTACTGGCAATGTCGGGAGCAGAGTTCTACGTGTGCTGCTTGATGTGGGAAGATTCAAAGTCACAGTGCTGACTCAAAAGGAAGGGAATCCATTCCCAGAAGGAGTGGAGACGAAGGTCGTCAACTACGACTCGATGGAGTCTGTATCCGAGGCCATCAAGGAACAAGATGCGGTCATAGATTGCACCGTGAGCATGGACGGTGGTTCCCATATCCGCCTTATGGATGCGGCTGGGATCCTGTCTACATGTGTTCAGAAACCCGCAATGTAGAGGGTTAACATACAGTCCCCTGGTCCATTCTTTCTTCCTGTGCAACAATTTCAAATTTCAAAGCCGGGCCATACAGGTGGCGACTTTTGATGTTAAATTTGATGTGTCTGCTCCAGATCACAGACCAGACCGGATAGCCATCAAGACAGACGATGACAACACATCGATCGTCTCTATCAATACAACAATGCTGATAGGCTTCTCCACAGCCGCCATGGTAACTCTCATCGTCAACATAGACTCCCCAACAATTCCAGCTGTCTTCCTCACTTCAAGCATGAAAGACACCTGGTAAATCGATACTTCACGTTCGAATTCACCAGGCAGGTAGTCCCCTATCCTATCCAAGGTTTGCTGGCAGTCCCTCACTCGGCGTCATGCTTGGCCTTGTCTAAATGCCTGAAGAGCACCCACAACAGGACAGTCGCGCCACCCAGGAGCCCCGCAAGAATAGCATACATGACAACCAAATGTGGGTCCTTGGTCAGCGGGGTGAATACCAGGGCGAGACACGTCCCGAGCCCTGCCATCGCAAGCCACATCGCTTGCATCAAGGTCTTCATGCTCTTAGGGGCATGGTTATAGGCGTACTCGGTTCCCGTGGTAAGACAGAACACTTCCGCCAACGCGCCTCCAAAATAGATAGGTATCTGAAGAAATACGGAGATCTGGTTGGGCACCGTGCTGCCATGTGAATCCGAGCACGCGAGCGGTGCTTCGTAGCATGGCCCTGCCTTGTAGATGAGTTTTTGAATCACGGCAGTATAAACCATGGAAAGCGTCAGGATAGCGAACCCGACTGTCATTCGTGCAATTGGTCTGAATTCCACTTTTCGCTTTGTTAGGTAAGGGTACAGTCCCTTTTGAATAATTGGTGCCACAATGATTCCGGACAGTGCGCCGGCAATTTTCATCATGTCATTGGGAATGCCATAGGTTACCATCTGCCCAGCTTGAGAGATCAGATTGTTGAAGGTCTGGTTATAGCAGAGCCAGTGAATGGGAAAGAGCAGCCTGATATGTTCATGTTAGAACTGGTAGGTGTAAGGTGAGACAATCTAAAGGCATGCACATACAATACTCGACAAGTCAGGAGACTTCGTTTGATATCCTCAATAAATGAGTCCGTCCAGGGCACCACGCGACCGTGTCGAAGTTGGGCCTCTGCCTTGGCAGCATCCATTCTGAAACCCCCGGAAATTGCACAGCGCATGGCAGCCACAGCCTGTGGCATGATACTGCTGGTTGGCGATGCTCGTACTAGACCATCCATACGTTAGTCGATGACCCTTACAGGCATTGTGGATTGAATGAACTGACCGAAGTAATTGCGACCAAGGAGGACTGGAATAAGGGCCAGCCACATGACACAGCATGGAATCAAGTAGGCGAGCCAGAAGCCAACATATCTTTCCAATAGTGGTGTAGCATCGGCCACGAAGCCCACCACGTTGATAGCCCTATATTCACCGTCAGACCTATTAGCGCCAACAAGAGGATATGATCTACAGACCAGTAAAACACATTGTAAATATATGTTATTGTTAGCTCTCGGCTGGTCACAACCCTCTCTCCTTTCTTCCCGGTCTGGATTCGAAATTCGGTTTCATCATATTGGTCGGCTAGAAGAGATCAGCGTAACATCCTTCGGGCCTCAATTGACTTTCACTCACCGATGAACGGGACTACAGTGGTTTTGAACGCGCCTGATCCAACAGCCAGTAACACACAGGAAGCGATCACCCCTCCAAGAGCGGCTCCCTCGTGAATGGTAACGGGCAATGATGTTGCAAACAGAATTGTTGCGCCCATGGCCTCAATGCTGTCACCTTATTAGCTTCGACATAAAAGTACGACCACAATACTAGCGGAGGGAACAGGATAAAGAGTGAACAGGAAGGTACATGGCAGAGTATAGCATGGTCTTGTATCGGCCCAAGAAACTATCAGCGATCACAGCAGCTGGGACCGGCATAATATAAGATCCAATAATCAGCACGTTCACAATATTGGATGCAGTTGCCTGGTGCAGTCCCAGGGCACCAGGTACCTCGCCGCCCGTGGCATTTTGCAGGTAATTCTCTATAGAGACGGTTAGCCCACGGGTCCAACTAATATACAGTACGTACGGGGAGACAATTTCACGCACGCAGAGGGGCCGTTGCCCCATACCATACAAAGCGTTCCAAGATGCCCGCGATGCATGCTACCCAGAGTCGGGCGGGAATCCGGTCGACGACATGGAGAAGATCGCGTACTTCGTCTTCGGTAGCCACGCGACCGTCTTCATCCGAGTCAGGGAGGGAGCCGGTGGCATCCACAACGGTGGGGACATTTTTCTCAGGAAACACTTCTGGATTCTTCCCTATATTCGACGAAGAAAGCAAGGCACCAGAATCAGTATCATCCCCCGCATCACGTCCAGGAGGAGCCATCACCAACCGTGATTGGGAGTTTGGCTCTGCGGTGATTTCCGCAGAGCCGTTCACATCGGGTATGGGACCCGCCATTTTTTTGGTTAACAAATTTGCTGGTGAGCTAATGGCAATTTTTGCGAAATTGCGCCAGCAAAAAACGTTCACGAAAGCGTGTGTGGGTGAAGAGAAGAGAAGAGACCAGTATATTGAGCCGGCTGGACGGTTGAGAGTAAAATTAGAATCAGAATCGAAGTTGAACAGTCGTTTAAGTCCTTTAGGTGCGCTGACTGCACATGATCCAGCGACCAGGGTCAGTCTTACTCGGGGTTTAATATTGTTATTAATTCGTCAGTTGATGAGTCGTATGGACGATCAGGTCTACTGTGTATGGAGGAAAGAGCAAGAACTACACCCGATGTGGTAACCCGAACTGTTAGCCCTAAGGCAACCCTGAGGCGATGTAACCCTCTTATCCCGACAGGATACAAGGATTGCATTCTGGAATTGCTAGTATCGATTCCTTCTACTATGGTTGAAGTTTAAATGTATACGTGATCGGCCCCATTTCGTACTCGTTCGAGTGAATCCCTGTTCTGCTGGACAAGGACTTGCTCAAATATATATTTGTTTGGATTAAATCGCTTAAATCGCCCGCTTTCTCGTATCTCCACCCCTGATCCTCCACTTGAAGAGATAAGATACAATCGCCTATAGAGCTATATTTGTATTGTCCTCGGGAAATATATCAATACAGGGTTCTGCCAGTGGCTTAGCGTCGGTCCGGAAGACGGAGGTAGCGTCGCAGGTTTTCAGCCGCTGCCCTGGCAAAATTTCGGGAGTAACCCGGCTCTAGACTTGGACCAGCAATTCAAGCTATTTTGGGTGAATACTTCAGGGCTATTCTTTCTAAGCATGGGAACCCCAATCTATTATCCAAGCAGGCCATACGTATCGGTGACAGCGACTGATCGTGTGCTTTCCTCGCCAGAGCTCCTCTGCGAAATCTTCTCCTGGATTAACAAGGATGACACTTTTTGTTGTACGGTAGGCAATGAGGCGGAGGACGTTTTCTATGAAAGCATCGACTGGAGCAAAGTCGGTTCTCTTAGTGAGATTGACTGGAGCAATTTTCCAGAGGCTCATAATTACGGCAAGCGTGGCGTCTTGCTTCGATGCAGCCTGGTCAACTCACTATGGTGGAGCGAGGCTATCCGATTTATATGGGAACGCCTATCAGGTGGCCCCTGGAACACCGATCTCCCAGGCTGCTTTGCGGGATTTCTTGATCCTTATCGCAAACAGTTTCACGCAAACTTGGTCAAGCAAGCTGATCTAGTCACGATCGACGAAGATAATGCAGACGCCCACGATCGTCTAATTGAAGGAGTTATTTTTTCCAAACTCGAGCGGTTGTGTTTGTACTGCCCAGAAAATGTTGATTATGTTCCACAGCTACAGTGTCCATCGCTAAAGATACTGGAGATTGATCCGTATTTTGAAAGTGAATTCGGTAGAAACAAATATGGGCTGAGCCAAGAACAGTGGGATAAAGTGTTGGATCGCATTTCTGTGCGTTGAATGTCACTATCCTAGCAATCAGTGTAATCTCACTAATCGGGATGTGGTGATGTTATTGTTTAGGTGCTTTTTCCAACCCTTCAAACCGTTAATTTCTTGGATTATGCGCGTGTCTGGCCGGGAGCATTAACGCGTTTTGAGAAACGCCTACCGGCCTTGGAGGCCTTCGACAAAAAGTCTGTAGTGGAAAGTACAAACACAGAGATATGGTGATCGTAGAAATGCGCCTCTTCCAGTCCAATATTTGTGTTGTGTATTACAATTTGCCACATTCCCGACGGTCAAGATCTGAATACTCTCCGAGCTCCTTCCTTCGCGTCTCTTTTACAATTATTGGGAACCTCGCAACCAGAATGCAATGACAATATCGGATAGACTGCTTCTGTGGTCGTCTTTATACCTCGGAGCAACGGGGCCGAAAGAAAGAGAGGGGCTGAGATGTGCTCTGCTAGTTCTTGGGTTCTTGTTTGCTAAGGCTGTTAACCTTCTGTAATGGTAGCCAGGAGGGGCTGAAACTTGCTGCCGAAATGATAGAAGCTAGCCGGTACTCTGAAATGTCGTGTCTTTGTCTAAGAAGTTGTAACCCATGTGCCTGTGCAATATAGATTTAATCTTCTAGTGTGAGTGGGTATTCAGATTTTGAGTGCTGTCCTCTAGCGCAGCAGGCCCTGCAAGGCTTATCATAATTGCACTTTCTTTATGGTCGGCACCATTGATTTCTGACTTATGAATGGCTATGTGATAGACTACCTTGATCTTCTGAGAATAGTAGGGTACACAAGCAAATAGTATAATTCTCCGTTTTCAAAGTCTTGGCTCAGTTACCGTGATCGTGATCATGTTCAAAAAAAAACAAAAAAAAAAAAAAAACACAAAAAACTTCTCTTTCCAATTTTTTTGGTCCAGTTTCTGAACCAAAGCGCAGGATCAGCATCGTCAGTGTCTCAAAGTTCTCAACAGGAAAAGAGGAAACAGCCAATCTATGCTTGTCTTTTATATCATAGAAGTAGGATTAAGGGAAGAAGCTTCTGGTAAGAAAAGAAGAAGTGAATAGTTACTAACATATCCTACAGTGTGATTATCTTAAATCCTGTATTTACTGTTGCTTCAAAGAAACTTCTATACAATACAAATATACAGAGGGAACAAGCAGCAGCTATGTGTGTTAATCTGTATTAATCAAAAAATTTACAGAAGAATGTGTGTACTTGGAAAATAGGTTGACAGAGTTGGAAACTCAGAAACCGCAGCCTGAGCAAACCAAGAAGAGATATAAGTGCTGACTTATATTCTTCTCTATAAATTTGTTAATATTATATAAAATACTAGATCTTGTCAACAGTTTGTAAAGAAAAGAAAAATACTTCTTGTTATATATTAGTCGAGCGGTATCCAGGCAACTACTACATCATATACTTAGTTGTTGGATTTTGGAAGTTGTTTGGGCATTAATAAACTGTTTTGTGCAAAAAGAGTGTCCCTAATCAGCCGACGAACGTTTTTGATTTATAGACCGACGTTTTTTGATAGATCTAGATAGAGCATAATACTATCAATATGGCCTCAATTGGAGCAGTTGTGGTAGAGAGACTATTTCAAAAGAGGCGAAAAAATAAAATTTACGAAAATAGCAGAATAGTACGGGATGAGCCGGGCAATATTTTCAAAGTATTACTGCGGTGTACAGGGCTCTTGTTAAAACCAGTAAGAAAGATTATGGGTTCTCAATAACTAGCAGTCAAAAAAGTTGATTAAATAGATCTATCATCTTATTGTGGTTTACCTCTGTCTCAAGTAGAGTTGATATCGGGGCGGGTTTAGCGGAGGACCCTATCAACTCTCCTCTCTCTCTCTATTTATTTATTTGATTTACCGCACCCAGTGTTATATCACAGTAAAGGCAATAGTCGATAGGTTTACAATACAAGTAACACTCTAGAGTGACATGGTAAGCGTATAGTTCCAACGACGGCTGCTTTTGTACTGAGTGAAGGCTTGCCTGTAATATAAGTTGAATGACGTCCATCATTATTAGATATGGATTTAGTGTTATCTCTACTTTATACAACAGGAGCACAATATGTGCAACTGTATGGGAACTGAAGAGCACACTGAGGAAATACGAAGACCATGTGTCATCATGTCTTCGTTGGGGAAAGGTAGCACGGAGCCATTTCTTTTTGCACTAAAGACATGTTTTCTGCTTCACCGAGGTCACCAGGCTTGTGCAGGGTCCAATAGGCTATAGTTATCCGAATTGCCAATTTGGTTGACGATGGTGAGAAACTCATACGATGATATGCCAATATTGTCAAGGAACTCTATGTCGCTGGCTGTGTGCTGAAGAACATCGGGCGAAACGCTTGGGTCTTCAACCAGAGGCAGATCGATTGACTCAGTCTGTACCGTTGACCCCCCTACTTGGCATTCTCCGTTGCCGGACATGGGCTGCTCGTTCTCCGTTGGACTGGATAATGTTAAAGTCTGCAACCCACGCCGCTCGATCCGTGTCGCCAGTTCTTTGAACAGTGTTTCTAGATGTGCGAGCTCGCCCTTCCGAACTGCAGCCAACTTGTTGCCTTTGTAGATCATCTCGTCCAGAATCGCATGTACCTCCTCACTGTATGTTTGGCCTTCAGCCACGTGCGGAAACAGTGTATTTGCCATCGCTAGATGGATTGCCGCCGCGTAGGTGAATTCCAGATCGAAAGGAAGGAAGACCTCTATGTCATGATTAGTTGACCTCCATGATTGGTTTCCGAAAGCGAATTGAGGCACTGTACCGAGGAGGCTGTCTTCATCTGTAAGGATTTGGAGTGTCTTTGCAGCTGATTTGATCCCTGTCGAAATTAAACTCTTTGTAGGAGCAAGAAAGTTTTGCCAATCTTCCTCTCCATGATCTAGTTTGTCTAATCTTTCCTTGAGCACCGAGAGGAGGAGAGGTCGTGTTGCAACAATAACACACTTTGCAGGATAGCCCAGTCAGCCAAGAAAGCAACACGTGGAATTAATATTGGATAATACGGATGGATGGTTATTATGCACTGACCTGGTGGTATAGCAAGGTGATATGCCGTGTCCCTTTGGGCATCGTATCTACCGAACTTTGAACCTGCATGTGAATGATGCTCTCAATCTCTTGCGCATGACCGGCCATCGTGTGCAAAATAGATCTGGTCGATTCCAAGAACGTGCCTAATTGTGTTTTCTCATTCTTGTATATGGCTAACATCCATCGCAATCAGCGCCCTGCCTCCAAGTTTGACGAAGGTTATGTTGATCTTACAGGTCAATATTGAAGATAGCAGATGTGACAATCTGATTTGTAGACTTAGAGTAACATCTCGTTGCGAGCATGTGCTGGGTGGGTCGATCAAAGTAGTTATATCGCTGTCCTGTGTCGTCATGGGTAGCCCTAAAGATGAGGAGAGATGGCGATCCATGATATATAAGGTCCACCAGAGGTTGCGACACCGGGTGACGGTCGCTGCGCCTAGTTCTTCTTCGGGAAGTTCGGTATGCAAGCCTTCTAACTGAGCTATTCGTATCGCTTGGCCGACCTTGTGCAGAAATCGATTGTCAATGGCGCACAGTTGGAGCGGGGCAGTATGAATGTACTAGAGGGCGTTACTCACGTATACGTGCGCTGATTCTCGATGATCAATGGAATATAAGTAGAGTCCAGCTAACGCCAACGTCTCACTTGCTAACAAACTATCCTTCCACAGAGATGCGTGGTCTGGCATAAGTGCCATTGCTCGTACGAAGAACTTGGAGCCGGGCGGGTCTTTGATGTTCCTGGACTGCAAGAGAAAAGCGTTCCCAAATGCTAGAACGAGTAAGAACTGGACGAACCAAAGGCGAGATTCATTAGCCTTCTCAGCGGCCTTCCCTTCATAAAATTCGTGTATATGTGCCAAGAAATTATCTTCATCAAAGAAGCGATATTTCACGCCAAGGTGAAACTTAACCGTGTTAAATAGATAGAGCGCGTGATCGATTGAGGGCAAACCACTAATATCAGGAGGGCCCTCAGCTGTCGCCTGCTTCCACTGTAGTGGATATATGTCTTTGTCAAGAAAGCTCGGGGTCGTATAGGGAGATGCAAGTTGTAGTTTCTCAGACAACATCACACTAAGCCGTGCGGTAAACGACCACACTGATGTAGGAGCTAGCCAAACTGTACGTATGTAGGTTAGTGGTTATATCTCGGTATCGACATAGCTCCCAGGGAGAACAAGAAACGTACTCCAGTTCCGTTTGTTCTTATATGTATTCTTAATGGTTCTCGAGGGTAAAGTAAACGGGCTTGTCCAGATGCTGCGTGCATGGTCAATCGTTTTCGGAGGTAAAAACGGTTCCTCCGGTTGAGGGTAAACCGGCTCTATGCCCCTTTAGCCCCAGAAACTCAACGCAAGAGATAGCAGCGAGGCTCACCTTGAGACACATTGTCGGTGTCGACTACGGGCTCAAAAGCTGTATCAGCAGACCGTTTGGTCCCCGTTGGACTCTGATGCTCCTTCGCCTGGCGTCGCAGTTGTTGGAGGTAACTGGAGCCAACATGACTGTGGTTATTTTGCTGATGCGCGACATAACTTTAAAGTTGTTGCCGACGAACCTTTCCGTCACTGTAATCTTGTTGCTTCCTTCCACAAATCGGCATTTCACAGCCCGCCGCTGGCAGTTGGCGCACGGTTCTTTGCCGGAGCACTTGATTTTGCTCTGACGGCAAGCAATACATCTGCAGATGCCAAGCACGTCAGATTAAAGATAAGATGAAGGACAGGAAGGTTATTTACGCGTTCGCAGTTCGCCTTAGCTTGCGGGGTTCGATTGGGACCTGCGTCGCCATATCCGACCGAGAAAAGTGATGCCTATCAGTGAGGTTTGAGGTCGGAGATCGCCACAGGGGTATGAGTTGATAACAGTGAGGGGAGGCGCGTTCGCATTGACCTCGTATGCAATGCCCCCCGCATAATTAGAGCCAAGTTTCATGTCTTTCTTCATTGGCTACTTCAAACGGCTGGAACCGCCCAGAGTTCTCTTCTGGTGGAGACTCATTAAGATGGGCTGGGAGAATTAGCTATCTTCAGCCCTAACCCTAATGGAAACAAGTGATGTCTTCCACAGAACGTTCCTGTTGGGGTTATTCTTCCTATATACAGAAAGAACATCTGCAGATCTTATGGACGATGAGATTAGACTTACCATATTCGGGATGCTACATTTTGGGGTAGCATTATATGGCTATCCTTAATTTTGCTTATTATTTGCTTATATCTAGAATCCCTTGTTCCCCCTCCTCTGCCCCCCTCTTTTGATTTCCTTTTCACTTTCCCATTCCCCCATATTTTGCCTCCCCTTTGCTGGGTCCTGGCCATAGCATTTTGTGCGCCAATGATATTAACATATGTTCCTTGGGTCGGCATGTGACGTGGAGCTGGAGCATAAAGTCAGATGCGGGGAGTTGAAAAACCAGCCAAGTGAGAGGATTCCCGAGTGGACGGGGATCCACATACCCAGAAAAGTAAGTGGAATATAGACTCGGATAATCGCCGTCTTGTTGCTCTATGCCTGATTAGGTTCTAAATTCCGCGTATGTGGAGACGACTGGATAGTTCTCGTGTCTCTTTACCCTATCATTAAGTGGCCACCCATAATTCATGTAGAGGCTGGTCATGCGTAGTCGAGTAAATATCTAGCAGGACTATTGTAGGTCTCGATTCAATCGGACATCCCCCTACACAAGCCTACCTAATTTCTCTCAATTGCACGTTACATAGTGTTATCCTCTCTAAGTTCATATAATATATGAAAGGAAGCATTAGGAATTTTGATCATAAATATATATTCCCTTAATCCCACTTGGCCAAAACACTACATGGCGCTAAGGTGGTGCCTGGAACACGCTCTCCTAAAGGCATGTTACTTTTATTTTATTTTTTAGTTCAATTTTTGCTTTTTGTTTATTACATCCCCACTAGTCATTACTATAATACTACATAAAAGTTAAAGAGTCATTAGTATATCAATTGTGTAAGGGTGGGGCAAACAGCTCTGGTTGCCGGTGCGTTAGTGGGTTCTAGGGCTCTTGCGAGCAATACGGGTCTTTTTGGTTCAATCCTTGGATCAAGTGGCTACTAGATTCGGTGTATTATAGAACGTTCTTGAAGGTATGATATGCACAATATATCTAGAGGTTCGTAGAATGCACTTATGGAAAATGGCAGTTCAAACCATCACTGCTTTCGGTATATATGGCCGTAGATACCGCCCAACATATGTTAATGTAGCCACTGCCAGTATAGGGTAGATAAGCAGCTTTACGCGGGAATAACAATGTCGTCTCTCAGGTCCAGTTTCTTACACTCACTGAAAAGCATGTCTCCCAAGCCGTCCTGACGATGTAATATTCCCTTGTTCCATAATAAATGTTACTTTCGGCAGCTACTAAAAAGGATAGTCGAGTAACCCTAGTATAGGACAACCATGCTGAGTAGCTGGTGCCTTCGGACGTTCCATGAATCGTATCGTTCGCCCGGCCAATAAGATGGAACACGGGTGTCATTCACCGTCGCGCTAAAATCTAGCCAACTGCCTACCAAGCAGGGTCAAGAGAACGCTACCGTAGTAAAGGTGACTGACGATCCTTTAGCGCACAGCTGCTACGGTAGCCCCATAAGTGAAGTCTCCCACCTAAGCTCAAGGTTGTTCCCGCGATCAGCAATGCATAAGGGTGAATGGAGTAAATGGAAGTACAACTTATCCTTGCCTTACCATAGTAGGTATTGCGCAGCACTACTGTTCTGCTTAAAGGCCTTTCAGCTTGGCGAGCTCTCCTATCAGTTGTAGTACATGAATCTATCATACTTTCAGGCTAAGACTGTTCTATTAACTTCCATACAATAGAGACTATCCCACGGAGCTCATGTAATACCGAAAAAGTTAAAAGACAGGAATAAGGTCATGTATTATGTATATCCTAGCTATTCTTTCTACGTCCTAGTCCCTGTTTGGCATCAAGGCATAGTTCTGCTGGTACTGCAAATGATCTCATTGCCTCTGTAGCTTATCCAATATATCGTAAAGCAGGCCTGGCCCACTATCTCATTTTTCAATAGAAAAATAGGCCTTGCTCAAAATCATACAACATCAAATTCCACTGTGCCCCAGCCCTCAAACGTGCATGTCCAGTGACCCGTTTCCTCCATAGGGACGGCTTGCAAGCAACTGCCGGGCAGAATCCCTTGGCCTGGTTTGAACTCCATATCATAGGCAGCCAGGTGATTGACCAGCCATGCGGTAGCAGAAAGTGGGTTTCCAAGGATGTTCGCGGTGTTGCCCGACATAACTTCCTTATCATTAAAACGCAATGTGCCTCGGGCGTCGCGCAGGGTCAACTCAGTAAGCTTCCGTGGAGTACCACCCACAATTACAGAGCCGGTTGAACCGTTATCAGCCAGAGTATCGGGGAGGTCGATTGCCCAGTTCTCCACACGAGAATCGATGATTCCAATAGCGGGGATAGCATAATCAATGGCATTTATAACGTCGGCAACAGTGCAGTTTGGCCCACGGAGATGGCCACTCAGAACGAAGGCTGGTACCAACTCCACGCATGGCTTGATGTACTGCTTCAGGATGAGTGTTGTCCCTTCATAGACAAATGTACTGGCGAGCAGGAACCCGTAGTCTGGATGAACCAGTCCGAACGAATCCTGCATCACTTTGGCGATGTTTTCTAGTTTATAACCGGCCAATCACTTGCTATTCTTAATGGATTCCTCCGCAGTGATTCGCTGAACTTCGAAACCACTCTCGGCCGCAAGTGCGGGCCATGTCTTCGTAGGGGTGTCGATTGGGGTTTAATTGCTGCGCGCAGTTCACTCGCTTGCATAGCTCCGTTTCAAACTTCTCAGAGGGTATAGGTTGAATAGCGAGTGGAGAACGTAATGGATCAGAAGTTCAGATATTAAAGATCTTCGAAGACCGCAGGCGCATGTAATAAGTAATTCTAAGAATGTTTGGGGATTAAAGCACGAACTTCTCGTCGTGCTGTTCGTCTCTTATGCTACGTGACTGGCAAGGGTATCCCGAAGTCGCTCAATAAACGACCAGGCATAGTTATTGATCTAGACGAGAGTAGAGGTCAACATGCCGCGCTAGTAGATAGCCGGTAGCCGTTCCCCGAGCCTATCTCGGATTCCTCACCCGATATCCAGGACGATCTATTAAGCCCCCACTCCCTCCCAAAACGTTTGAATTCAACCTACGGCAATTTCGGGGCAGTGCCACATGGCTAAAATGCTTCTATTTCTGTGGTGCTGATAGGTAGCGTATCTTCAATTCTGAAAATTGGGGTTGGGGCTAGAACCCTCGTCGGATTTCTCGGGTCGGACGGGGAACGGGGAATAATCTCGGATACAGTAAAAAGCCTCCTGCTGATCAAATCCATTGCAGAAATGGCAAGGGTTCCCGGGAATATGTTGTGTTCCTCTGATATCTTTACTATGTGTTCCTTTTACCCACAGCCGTGAAGTGTATCCCGCACAGCTCCCGGAAGCTTTAGTTGTCTGCGGAGCAGCGGTTACAATTCAACGACTACAATACGCCAGTTCCGAGTTAGCCGATAGTCTTAGACATTCCTCAGGTGATTCGACTTACGGTGGCTAATGCTTGTTACCCACGACTCAAAATAGGGTGCTAGCTAAGACAAAATATAGGCCTTCTCGGTTGAATCCACTTCCAGTCGGTCTTAAAGTCCATTTCAGATGAACTGACAGAGGATTCGGGGTATGATGCGAAGGATATTAGAGAAAGCTCCTTTAAGCGGATGCAATGCGAGAACAGGAGAAGGTGACCCAGGAAATGCGATCGAGAGTATAGTGAAAGGTAACATTCCTTATTCATGAGAGCCCTTGGGTCCCGTCAGCCGCGTACAGAATCAGTTGGCCGCATATTATCAAAGTTTACAGACTAACAGCTCTCTAGTTTATCGATGGTAAGTTGTCGGGTAGGTGGATCCACATCTAAGCTCTTCCCTCTCTACGGTATAAAACCCCAATGCGGGAAATATTGACTTTGATGACGAGATAGGAAGAATGTCATTCTCAGCGCGGATTTAGTCGAACTGAGACGTAAGATGGTGGCCATGGCCATCAGGAACTAGAAGACAGTATCTTCCAGTCGGAGCTGTAGTGGTAAGCGAGAAACAGTAAAAGTCCGTGTTACTTCCTGATATTCATAAGTTCTTGCTTTTTTAAAGCAGAAATAGCAAATCTGATTCTCCCGTCCTGCTCAGGTGGATGTTTTGAATTTTGACGCCCTTTTGAAAGGATGTTTGATGGTTGAATTCTCGACCGCGGCCAAAACGCGTGATTTAAATCGGCCCAATTCGAGGCTGAGTAATCCCGCGCGATTAAATCACAGACGTCGTGTCGCTGCTGCTTCTGCATGGCTCCAACTGGAGTTGCTCCACGCTGAAACCTCTTCCGAGAGACCTACACGTCGCGTATACCATAGATAAAGACGGCGATGTGTTTTGCTTCTCCTTAACACTCGTCATGAATGGCATTAAACGCCGATCCCGCACAGGCTGCCTGACATGTCGGACGCGGCGAGTCAAATGCGACGAGAGAAAACCGATGTGCGAGCGCTGCGAAGTCGCTAATGTAGAATGTGCTGGATATGCTGCGAAACGGAGCTTGGGTGTTCGGCGATCAATGCACAGTTCGATCTCCACCACTTCAACTGCCTCGCCGTCAGACCCGGGCTATGCAGGGGACGCCACGATACGCCCCCAGGTCCGACTAGACGGCCTGCCGCTGATAGCTTTGCCAAATAACCCCACCTCATCACAGCTGCCACATCCTCGAGCGCGTGATGTATTAGCTTTCCACCAGTTCCTGTTCCGGACTATGCCAATGTTATTTCCACCCGAGAGCCTCTCCTTCTGGCGAGACTACGTTTGCCAGGAGGCGTGGGGGGTCGAGTATGTCTTTGATGCTGTCGTTGCCCTCGGATGCATGCACAGAGCTACTTTGCTACTATCTCAACAGACCAAGAGCGACCACGATCATGGCTTCGGCACCAAAGTCATTGCCATTCAGATGTATTCCAATGCTTTAAAAGGCGTATCGGATAGTCTGGCCAGTACACAAATCCCGATGGCTCTTCTCTTAGGGGTCCTGATCCTCTTTGCATATACCGAGGTGTGGCCCATAATACGGGATTAATAACAGCAACTAATGAAAACCTAGAGCTTTGATGGAAACGTCCCGGCGACAATACGTCACATTCACATGGCCAACCACTACTTTGAAGCAATGTGTGCGAGAAGCACTCGAGAAGCAGAGCGGTTTAAGACGCCCATTGAGTTATGTCTCCACGACCTGGATATCGTCCGCCGTGTGACCTTACCAGATCTCAGCGTGATACGAATGATATCACCGTTATATAGACCAAGCATAAATCCTAGCGCTGCGTCGGCGTCATTGCACGAATATCTAGACTTTTCACCAAAACATCTGCTACAACAACTTCTCGATATTGGCTCCATGGACGGCGACATCAAGCCATTGATATGGTGTCCAGTAGCAGCTCATCGAAAACTGATGCCAGAAGAGAAAATAGTTGGCTTCATCAAGCAACTTAAGGAGTGGAAAAATACCAATGAAATCCTATTCCACAAACTTGGTGTTGATGAGGCGCTCTCAGAGCCCATCAACTTTGACCTTGCAACTTTAGCAAACATTCCAATCCCCCCGCCACCGCATCCAAACCTGCCTAAGGATTTCTGTCTCGTCCTCGCTCTCTATGTCTTTTACCGAACGAGGCTTTCATGGGCACTAAGCATTTACAATGGGGGCGAGAGCGATCTCGAGCTGGAAGCCTATCATTTCACTTATCAGCTATTGCGATTTGTCACGACAGCCCTGGATAGCTCACAATCCTCTTCCGGTGATCTCCTATTCGGATGTGAGGCCCTGAGAGTAGGTCTTTCACCAATACTCTTTCTCGCTGGGCAGTCCTGTCCGAGGCCAACCTGGCTTCGATGGATATTATTTGAATTGGACCGCAGCGGCCGAGAGGGAGTTTGTAACAGTAAGGCTTTTGCTTCCAGCCTGGAGGTCCTGTCTACTCTCGAGAAACGCGTGGGCCGGGAGCCGAGACAGCCTGATGTGGAATACTTCACCTCACCACATCAGCGTGTCATTTCAGTGATTTTCCCTAATTTGAATGGGCGGGGCTACGTCACATACTACGCTCAAGTTCGGCCTGGCCAGGAAATAGATTCACGGGAATCTCATATCCCCTTGTGTACCGCCAGTTGGGCAAGTTCTGCCAACGGTGGTAGACCTGCCGTAACTACATGTGATGGGACAGATGTCCCCTTCAGTGAATGGGTCATGCATCAGCCTCTAGTGAAGGAGTGGGCAGAATGGTTGACATTCTCCGAGTTTGATCTTACGCAGACGCTTCATGATCACATTAATGGAAGTCGTCTTTTAGTCGATCATGATAGGGTAGTTGGCAGTAAGTGGTGAGCATGGATTTAGGATTGCTGGAGATGCGCTACGCTAAATTCACATTATGATTGGCACCATAAACATTGCTCATCAATAAAAGCCTTCTCGATAAATTTGACTGGGGGAGAAACCGACAGCTCGCAGCCCGTCAACCACCGAGTCCCCGAAAGCACTAGGCCCGCAGATAAATACATCTTTGCCGCGCGGGATATTCTTCCACAAGTCAGGGACGACTCGGCCCCTATGAACGCAAATGTTCTGATTTGGCTGGAGATGACCGGGATCGAACTCTGAATCATGGGTAAATATGGCAATGGTGATCCGAACAGTTGATGCTATCCTCTCAAGAGAGGGCCGCATCATATAGAGCATGATGTTCGGTTCTCTTGTTGCGAGGACCAGCATGACGTCTCCATCAGCCGCAGATCCACGCTCTGCCAGTGCTCTCAGCATAGCGAGGAATGGCGTGATTCCGATGCCACCGGCGACCCACAGCGTATTGAGCTTGTCGCGGTCCATGAAAAAGTCACCCGTGACGCCAACGATGTCGGCGATGACGGGAGTGTCAAAAGCAATACCCTGACCTAGCTGAGCGGACCGGTATTTCCTCAGATGATCGAAAAGAGCACCGGTCACCGCGCCTCCTTTCATTTCTCGCATGGTTAATTCGAAAAATGTCGCATTGCGCTCTTCATGGGCACTAGACACCGTCCAGGTACGGACGCGATCATCATTTATTGAGTTCGGCGCATTGCTATTCATGTGTTGGTACTGCGGCGGTCCTATCCAGTCCATAAAATCAAGCACAATTGCTTGACCGGGGCGAACTCTCAGCTCTCCAGCCCCAGGTTTGGAAATAACTTGAAACTTGAACACCGCAAGGTCAGAAGAGACTTGTACTGCCTCTCGTAGCTTTGCCTTGTGCTCTTTGTTCTCCCTGCCCCGTGCACCTGTCTCTTCCACTAGGTATTTGATCTTTGGACTATATGGACTGCGTTCAACGGGGGTACCATCTTGCTGTCGAACTGGCAGAGCATCTCGGACCAAGACGAACCCGGTAACATGCACAGATGTGAGGGCGGCATGTCTGGTCATGACCTCAAGTGCACGTGGACCTACCAGGTTTTTAGCGGTACCTGTCAAATAGAGAATGTCGCCCGTCGTAAAGGACACGATCGTCAATCCCACCATCCCGCTAGTCTCGATGTTGCCCAAAGTGGACATAAATCGATTTCCTGAGTAGTCTGGCACCACGATCGTGCAGCCATCGGAAGGACTGACTCGGATAAACCCCGGTAAGCCGCTGCGAGCATTCATACCAGTGTGCGGAGGAAACATGTGCAGATCCGACGGCGGTGGTTTGTAGATGGACCCGACGAAGACCGTATCAGCCTGGACGATAAACGCCACTACTTCTTCTGGAAGTCGGTCCTGCGGTCCCAAATGCCGGTGTCGATGTTCAACCCTGGGAAACGTATGCGGATGAGGGATGAGCTTTCGAACGTTGATGTACTTGGGACAGTTCCTGAGCATTATTAGCGTTGGCTCTCCAGTTTCCAGGGCTGTGGTCTTCCAGTGCATACCCTGTTGTTTGGTTCACTCTCAAATGTAGCTTGTAGTCCAGATTAGATAGGCGCTCCACACTATGAATAGTCCCAGCGAACTTGTTGCGCCGTCGAGTGGAGAACTCGATTCCCAGACCAGCAGTCAAGGATTGCTGGGACACTGTGGACACGGCTGGGCTGGGATCAACCCAGGCCTTGACTGTGTCAAGGAGTGGGTCTCCATCCCATAGACGAGCATGGATTGAGAGACTCTGCGAGTCTGGGCTATGGACAAAGCCAGGCTCCCCTGTTGAGCCCGCGACAATCGCTGCCCACGGGCGCCCGTCTCCATCCACGGTTGTGATAGGGATGAAGGGCAGCTTGGAGGTATGGAAGATACGATGCTGCTCGGGCATGATGTTGCGGATTATCGGCCAAGCATCTTTCACGGCATCTGCGTATCCCAGCTTCCGCTGCATCGACATCTCGCCTGGATGCCATCCGTGCAGCGCTGTGGTCGCCATGATGGCACTCGATAGGTGTAGATCGTGAGCGGCAGATGTCGCCAGTCTTTATCTTGAAGCAATCACATATCTGTATAGAGTCATCAGTAAAGCTTCTGACCCACTTTTGTACGATATCGCTATTTGCAACATGATAGAAGGTTGGGGCGGTTAAATCGCGCTGCTCGTGTCGCTCGCTTAGCTCGCTTGCATCGCTTGAATCGCCTCGATGTCCCCCACTTCGATGATGTCATCCTGCTTTTATCTTATAGACAAGAACAATAAGTAGACCAGGTTAGTCCCCAGCTTGATCATGGAATCGTTTCCATCTTCAATCTCATTGATCATTTCGCTAATCACAATGACTGCTCCAAGAACCGTGCCGGTCTACCACTACTTCGACCTTGGCCGCCTGGGCCGCGGAGAAGTAGTCAAGCTGTTCCTCATGGACGCGGGAATCGACATCAAAGAGGTTCGCTATCCATACGACGAGACCTGGTCCGAGAACAGTAAGAAGCTCCAGCAGCGGGGGCTCACCCGGACACGCAAACTGCCGACACTGGAGTACCAGGACTTGATTCTCAGCCAGCACATTCCCATCTTGCGTTTCTTTGCCCGGGACCTAGGTCGCTACGATGGCGAAACCAATGCCGAGAAATTCTTGGTTGATGCGGTGTCGGATATTTATATCGACTGGAGGGTCAGGCTTTACCCATCCGAGCTCTCTATTCCTAGCTAACCACTAGACAGTCCCAATGGGTGGCGAATCTGACGGAAAAATCGGACAAGTACAAGAATGAGGTTGCCCCTGAGTACTATAACCTTCTTGATCAGTACTACAGGGACCAAGCTGGCCCTTACCTGCTGGGCAACTCGGTGACCTATGCCGACTTTGCCGTCTACCAATCTATCGATAACGACGAAAGAACGGGAACACTTCCGGTATGTCCCTATTCAGCTATATATGATCCAAAGCTAATACTGTCCTTCCAGTTGTCTCTCCCAGATTCTCTGGTCAAGTTTAGGGAGGCTTTCGAGCAGCGCTCCAATATTGCGGCGTACCTGAAGGAGACACGACAGAGCTAAGATCTTGCTTCACCGAGTTCAGGAGCATCCATGGTCAGATACAGGTCCTTGCGTAAGGGCCTTCAACTTAGTGTGCCCAGCCCAATTATGATCTGCGCTAAGGTATTGGTAGTGAGGTCAGGAAAGAGGATTTCACTGTGTACTGGTCAAGGCAATTTCGAGAATGACTGTAGCCAATGCAGATAGTCCATTACAATAAAATAGCCCACGCATCGCTAGCGAATTGACTACGATGAGGTTGTCAAGTGTGAAATCAAGTGAAGGACCACGTCTTCCCTCCCCCCAAAGGTCATCCCAAACCGCCTTGTTCCTCCCTGTAGAAACCATCCTAAGACGGACCATGTTTTCGCTGCCCTTCGAAGCAATCCCAAACAGTCATGAAGTCTGGATAGAATGGGCCCTGACGCGCCACAGTTTCCCGTCCTCTAAAGCCAATAACGAACTTGATATGAGCATCTATTTGTGTAGCTTTCGTCACAACACTGCCAGTCCCGCTTCCCTCTACCCTTTTTTTTTTTTTTGCTAATACAGTGGCATTCTTCGCCGTCTGTACCTTTCTTGGGTGGACAGTCGACCAGTTATGAAGAAATATCTGAACTAATTGAGGCCTTTGGTATGATCGTCTTCTAATAGGCGGACTTTTGAAGTCTGATCGGAGCGTGTACGTTGTCGGAATCGCAGGACCGTCATCTGCGTGACTCCCTCGTACTATTTTTGCCTATCCAAATTATGATAACATATAAGACATGACTAACTATGTGGATAATTATTCTACTAACCTAGTTAAGTAATTGAGATGTAGGTACCAAAGGCTGTACATTCCGTGCGTACGGAGTAAAGCCTTACCTGCTTAATTCTGTTACACTTGCCTTGTATAGCCTAGTGTATGATATATATTTAATTCAGTACTAACATTTGTAAAGATTAGTTTACAAAAAATGTTGTTTTCAGGGGAAAAATAGTTACATAAAAGATAAAAGATGACTAAATATGCGGGAAATGGTTCTACTAACCTAGTTAAGTAATTGAGATGTAGGCACCTCAGGCTGTGCGTGGCTGTCTTTCTTCGAAGCCTTAGCGGTGGGGGCCGTTCGATCAACCGGCAGCCCTACAGCACCCGGGAATATTTGCACATTGCTTGGTGATTATTCGACTTGATGAATCAACCAGCGTTTACATACCAGATCAGACATGCATGGGACATTAAGGGGCGATTTCTGCTCTCGTTGAACTTAAATCTGGCTACATTCTGCGTGGGCCAATACAACTCTGATCGTAGCAAGTCGTCTCCAGCTGAACTGATTGATATTTGGATGGACTATTCCATCGTAACCACCTGGACCTAGTAGGTGGGGACCTCAAGGATTCCGAAATCAGCTTTGATATGTATCTGAGGAGAATATAGTAACTCTAGTCGTGTTCCCCCATATGGGACCCAAGTTGTTGCGAGATGCTATTATTACTATTTAGTCACAGAGATGTGCCTGACAGCCTCGATTCTGTTTAGCGATGGGGCCAGATCGATGCTCAGCTGAAGCGTGTCGAGAGAAAATTCGTGCAATAGATATAGTTAGAGACCAAGCATTGCGGCTCGAGACCAAAAGCCGCTTCGCATCTTGGATGCCCTTTTGGGATGATTTATGTCAGCACAGCCTGCACCACTCACCAATCATAGTGCTGCATAGACGTGCACCTCCCCACATCCCTCGAGATCTGCCCTATCTCGACCATTGTTCTGGTCCACCCCAGCTGGCGTTCAAATGCGGCTGAGCAAAGGTTGTTGCATGAGCTTAATTTATGGCCCCTGAAGAAGGACAAAGCAGCAAGAGGCATGTGTTGGAAGTTACCAAATTAGCACAATGACTAAAATACAGTCTATGCCGACTGTTGGAGGTACAGCATCCATCACATATAAAAGCTTCAAGCCCATATGCCCACTCATTCCTGGACTTAAACCTCCTTTTCTTTTCAGTATGCTCTACAGTGAGTTGAACTCAGGCCAGATTGAAGAATACGACATGACTGCGCAGGGCAAGAATCACCCAGCAGGGATTGATGGCCCCCCTCCCTTGCCTCTTGATCTCCATGAACACAAACTCCAAATATTCTTGAACTGGGGTTTCATATTGCTCACGTCCTGTATCGTGCCGTTGGTGCTCTATCCAAGTTTACACTGGGGGGCAAATTTATCCATCAAGATCTGTTTGTGTCTCCAAATTCTTCCTTGTCCATATCAGATGCGCTGACAATTAGCTGTCGAAAACTCAGCTCTTAGTGTAGCCAGCGCCATTCTAGGAGCGTCGACCTTATTTTCACTGGGCATGCGAACATGGCGACTGTTTAAATTGACATCGAATTGCCGACCGCTTAAATCAGAAAGTCGTTGGAACGTATGCTTTCTCTTTCTTATCTTCTCTTCGATTTTCGTTTGTTTTCTTTTTGGTTTTTTGGTTTTTTTTTTTTTTTTTGTTTCTTTTCCCCACCACTGCAAAACTAGAGTAAGGATCGCTAACACAAACTTCCAATTACTTCTTGCATGATGTATAGTTTGACTTCTTCCACTGGAACTATCTTCTGGGCTTTGTACTCGTCACAATCATTATCGTGATTGGTCTGACAGAAGAACCTCCGAGTGTACGAATGAATTCTTTGCCTCCGTCTATTCTCCTGGTACAAGTTGGCTTCACATTAGTCATTACCGGAATACTGGCAAAGCTTGGCGTACGACAACCATTCCCGGTGTCTTCCCTTCCGGCAGGTGAAGTCTTTCGCCCAGGCATCTTAGTGATCATCGAGGATGTCGTTGCGGTAGATGGGGGCAGGGACATGCCGTATCGCGCAGCCCTGATGAAACGATATGCAGCCAGCGTGCGGTTTCAACGCCTAATTGAGGCTTTGAATTGGTTCTGGGGATTGGGTGGATGTATTATGGGCATTGTGTTGATCGTTGTGATTTCTTCGGTTCGCGTCCAGACCTTTGCTTTTGGATTGGGTGAGTTTCATCATGTGCCCCTCTTCCGGGTTTTATTTTCAGGACTCATTTTTCCTGGCTGTGCTCAAGGCTGAACTCTTATTTGAATATCATGAAGAGACACTGAACTGACGTCTTCTTCTTCTGTTGTGTAGGGTGGACGATTCCATGGATTTGGGCTGGTGTCTGGGCGGTTATCACTACTTACTGGGTTAAGTCTGCGCTGCGGGAAGAGAGCCGGACTTGGTCCGAGTGCCGAATGACAATGGCTGTGTAAACTGTTGTCTTCGAGAGATCTTCTATGGCAAAGATAAAAGAAAGATGTCCATCTTTATATCTGCCAACGATGAAGGAAATGAAGGCTACAGTCTTGGTGGCGGCTAATCAGAGGTGACTTATATGTTGTACTCCTTTTCTATGACAGTTTCCAGCATAGGGGCTGTAGTAAAAGAACGATGCATCAACCTGAGTATGACCACTATTATCTACAAAATGAAAGATTAAAACTCGCATGTTAATTAACATAAAATACACAATTAGTACGGGGGAGCAGACGAGCCAAGTAGACCAATGATACTCTGCATCTGGATCAGTTAACTTGGTATCCCCTGACGCTGATCTGCCTAGGCTGTGGAAAACTTATTCTTGGTATTGTAAGATTGATGAACCTCCTGTCGACAAGGATATCATCCCCAGATCCAATCAAAATAGTTTAATATACATGAAAGCCAGAACTCTTCCACATATAGTGTACTTTAATTGATATCAATTTCTATACAATGCTAGATGTGCAATCTGCATTATTGAATCCGCTCCCCCCATTGAGCGTCGACAATATCACCTCCGTAGCTGATTCCCCTATTCTTCATGGCTACTAGCACCCCTTTACTCCACTGCCATTCAGTCTCCCATCCCATCTGCCGAAACGCCGTCAAGGCCGTCTTCAACGGAAAGATCAGCCACTGCACGCCCAAATACCCGATCTCCGGCTGCGTGAAATACAGGACCGACCTGGCGATATTGCAAGCATAGTCCGCAATGACCGCATTGTGCTCTTCAGTCGCAGCGCCCTGGGAATTCGAGAGGCCTCGCATGACGTTGTGCAAGAGGAGGCGCAGGGCCCAGAAGAAACCTAGACCGTCGGCGACGTGTATGTGGAGGAAGTGAAACGAGGTCGCGAAGGGGCCTGGAAGTATGTCGGCGGAGCGGGCCCCCAGCTCGGCCGGCTCCTCCCAGTATGGGATGGTACCGAAAAGGGTTAGGAGGCGTGCATGCCAGGCGTTGAAGCGGTCGTCGAGGTGCTGGCATCTTTGCCAGATCTGTGCCCGGCGTGGGTCATCGGGCAGGCCTTGTATTGTGTGAAGCTCTTCAAGGATGGGTGGCAGAAGCAGCCCAATATCGTACAGTTGCTGGATGTAGTCTTTTGGTCTAGCCCCCCAGGGCTCGATGCACCAGCGCTTTTCGCCAAAGAAGGTGGCCTTATAGAATTGAAGGCCACGGATCATCTACAGCTCCTGTCAGCCTGAACTGCTGGCACGATATTTGGCAACACGGCGAAGGAACGGAGACAGAAATTAACCAACTCACCGCGCTCCTCCTGGCTTCCGCAAATAGGGCTTGGCCCAACTCGCTCTCATACTGACTGCAGCTGAACCCTCTCAGCTGCACCAACTGGTCCACACCTGTCTCATGACTCGTCCAGCCGACCACACTTCCCATCGTGCCCTCATGCAGCTCATACGTCCCTAACACCCGTATCGCGGCCAGCGTTTCGTCTGCAAGCGCTGTACTTTTGTTGTAGATCGCATTTTGCAACGCTCGCAGAGCCCGTTCATGTACGGCCATGCCTTGCATGAGTAATGCTTGGTCGCCCTGGGCTCGCGCTACTTTGGTCATGCAAAGAGCATGAAGGGCCATAGAGAGGAGGGGGCCGCGCCTGGGGAGAGCAACGGCGATCCGCATCCATGGTGCGGCAGGAGCGGTGATATTAGTGTGATGGGTGAGTGGTAGAATAGATGAAGAGGGTAGAAAAGCGACTAGGAATGTATGGAGCATGCCATCGAGATAGATCGCAGCGTTGTTGAGCTGCGGGGGCATATGCGTCATGGACGTCGAACTCGCCCCGCATCGAGCCCCATCTTCCCAGGGAGCAGGCCCCGGGGGCCGCTCTTGGCCTTTGCGAAGGAGCCCCTGAGGCGTGCGATGGATGAAGGCAATTTCCTTTCTGAAGCCCTCGCAGTGGCGGCCGCTTTTGCTGCATTGGCCGCATTGCGGTTCCTGCAGGTCGCACTATATGAAGCTTAGCATATCCTATGTCGATTGATGGTCCCAAGGCATTAATCTAACATACCCCGATCTTGCGTCGTCTGCATGTCCTACATCCCTTTGATCGACCTGGTATACCCACCATAGCTGGCTGCTCAAGCTTCTGGCTTATAGATTCTCTAAGACATAAATTCTTCAACCTTGCGAGCTTATAAAGGCGCCAAGACGTCGGGTAGATATGAAGGCGAGGTTCAGCCGCAGGACGGTGGCCCCTTCAGCTGCTGGTCGCAACGTACATGGAACTAACCCTTATTAGGGGCCAAGACGCGATGTTAGTACGAAGCTTGCAGGATACTAAGTAACTAGCCTGACACTACCTGTTCCTTTGCGGCCCACACTGCCGGTACCTTAACTTGAATATCTCTGGTATACTATAATACACTACTCTGGATATGTAATACTATGGAATAGTACGGGTTTTTATAAATCTTTAGCTATTGAGAAGAACGAGAAGAACTATGTAGCAATGTAGTCATAGATCTTATCGATTGATGCGCCCAGAATGACGACCAAGCCTCGGGAGTTCCCAATGCGGGATAAAAAATGAGAGCACCACTCACTGATCGTATCCCCGCAGTTGATCTCCTTAATGCGGGGGATAGGATCTGTTTAAAGAACGCTATTTACCTATCCTTGACCAGTTATCAAGGCGAGCAAGAAAAACAAAACATAATTACTACTGACCCTCGCGTCGAAACACGAAATAACCATGACTCGCCTTCCACTCCCGGTACCAGCCCCAATCGATCCCTCATACCAACCCACAGCATCCATAGAAAAAGTCCCTGCCACAACACCAATTGAATATATTCTCGCAATTCTCGAGCGGGATGGCGGAGTAATCCTCACAGATCTTGTTTCGAAGGACGAGCTATCCGCGATCGAAGAGGACCTCAAACCCTGGAACCAAAAGCACCGTCGGCATCTCGACCCGACTGTGGACGGTGATGCATTTACCACGATTCCTCCGCAGACAACACTTGTCCCAGGGCTAGTCGGGAAATCTAAGATGGTCGCTCAAATATGCGAACACCCAGTCCTTGAGGAACTGCGACAGCGGATCCTTCGCGATGACTTTGTCCTATACCGCGAGGGCAACGCTGAGCCCAACACGCTAGATCCATTGCTTAGTCTGAGTGTATCGATGAATATCGGCTATGGAGCCCCGCGGCAACTTCTGCACCGTGACGATAACGTCCACAATATCCGCCACACACGGAATCCATTTGTGCCATGGAGCTTCAAGCAGGCGAGCCAGTTTGGGTGTTTAATTGCCGGATGTGAGGTGACGAGGGAAAACGGGGCGACAATGTTCGTTCCGGGAAGCCATAAATGGGATGATGACCGGTGGGCTCGCGCCGATGAGGTTTGCTTTGCCGGTATGTAATCTCCATTTACATGAGTCCCGCATGATACAATAAGGTGTATATGTTAACGGGACAGAAATGTCGCCCGGTTCGGCTTTGATCTTCCTCGCGTCGGCCTTCCATGGCGGTGGGCATAATTCTGTACCCGATTCTATCCGAACGATGCACAGCTTATTCTTTATCCGTGGCCATCTCCGAACCGAAGAGAACCAATTTCTCGCTATCCCACGAAGTAAAGTCCGTGAAATGAGCCCCAAAATGCTGGAACTATTGGGCTACAAAAAGCCGACCACGGCGCTGGGTATAGTAGATAACATGAGCCCGGACGAGGATGTGGATGGCATCTGGGACAGGGCGGTACAATAGTAGTCCATTGGCTCGGTTTATACGCATAAGCCCTTGATGATTGGTGTCTTTACCTTTACATAGTGCGCTTATGCTAGTCTCTGCAGTTGTAAGCCATGGAATCATTTAGAAAATCAATTTGTTATTGCGCTGTCATTCCAGGCGCGCTTTATCGCTATATGCAAGCACCATGGGCTATCTTCCAGAACTAACGTACTGGTCTGAATAATTATCCATAGTGGCAGTGCTGATCTATAGTTGACGGACTACTATACGCTGATTATCTCTAAGTTACGAAGTAGGTTTCCATCACTGCTATCGCCCGATCGCTTGAAGTTTGCTCCTGCGCCCACCTACCCTGCAAGGCAAGCAGGCTGAGACTCTACGAATGGCAATATATAGTATGCTGCTACTGACAGGGAGATATAGATCGAGACATGCGACCGACTTCCAAGCGGAGCCGGGAGCCGGTAAAATATCGCCAGATGGTAACCATGTCCCCGTCGCATATTCCCACACTGGGCACATTACACTTGTTCCTGGGCACTCTAAAGCCATTTTCACCGTAAATATTCATATATAACGATCAGAATCTTTTCCACACAATAAATCGCTTGGGGGTCTGCTATAGTATTCCACAGCCCGAGACTGTCAGGTTATCAGCTCGCCTCGGCTTCTCGTCATATTCCAGGTATTTTTTGACTCTCCAAGGCCATTTCCCAAGTATGTGTACTGGTGTAATTTCAGAAGTGTATTGAGCTAAATGATATATACAGGAAATAACAAGCTGCTGCTATAGGTCATTACATATCCCTAGCCTCAGGTCACCGGGCAGTTGCAATATGGAGTGCCTGGCCTAGTACTACACGAATATCCAATTCTCCCCTTGTTCGTACAGATACTCAATCCAAGGCTGTGACGCTCCCTCAGTAGTGGTCTGTCTCTCCCAAATCCTCTGGAGAACCTCCAGCGCGTACCTTACATTCTGAGCGCGCCAAAACTTCCACAAATGGTCCAACACCTCCATAATCGCTGATCTCTGGTGTTCAGTTCGTGCCTCAGCGCCAATCATGAACGCCGGCCATAAGAGGCCTTTGAAATGACTATCTCCCGGGCCGACAGCTGTGAAATGAGCGATGATCGAATCAAGTGAGTCGGGTAGGTGCGATTCAACTGAGTAAGGCTGTTGCGAAATATGAGGAAAGACCTGGGAGATGTAGATCAAAGCGGCTGCTTTGTATATGCATGCTACATGATACCGGACGGTTGGTTGAGACCCATTGGGGGTTGCAAAAGCCCAACGTTGAGGCGAGAAGGTCTCGGTCTGAGAGAATAGGTGAGCGATAACGTTAGGGTCCGGAGCGATCGGACCTGAACAGGCCGAGTTGACTAAGGAGAGTATGTAAAGGAGGTCTGCCGGACAACCCGTCCATGTTAGGGACTCGGAGCGCTTCAAGATGTCAATCATCGGGATTGATGTGAAGAGAGGTTTATATTGCTGTTTCGATTTCACCAATGTCGAGCCGAGAATTTCGAAGCTGAGATGTTAGGCATACATAGGTCGAAGGAAGGATGATGATTTGTACTAACATGGCATAGCTCGTTTCGAAATACTCATAGAATCGGGAAAACGCCGCAGTTAAGCTGGTCGACTGTGCCAGGTCCATGGATAGGAGTTGGGCTTGCATAAGCTCCTTCAGCCCCTTGAGATGATATGCCCAGGTGTTTCTCCCGCTTTCCAGACATGCCAGCCAAATGAACAGGAAGACTAAAGCAATAACGCCGTAGGAGTCTTGATACGGTGCCTCAAGGTACCTAGTTCTCAGCAGGTAAAGAGCCTGCTGTTTGTGATAGAGATATTCGTGGAACCGGGATGATTCCCTTGCCCCTTCCGCGGTGTCCAGCTCGCCAGGAGACTGCTCGTTGCCGATTAATCGGCTATTACTTAACTCCCGTTGCGCCTGGTGCAGCGCTGCAACAGAAACCATGATATGACAAAGACCCCTACTGGATGGAATCAGGGTCATGAATTCTTTGAACGGATTGTTCGGTCCTAGGTCATATATCACGCACTCCGGGCTGCAATTTCGCTCGACTACGCGCCGCGATCAGTACGTCGCCTTGTCATGTCAGGTTAATCTACATACAATATGCGATATACTCTCGCATTGGCCTTGTCAGGTCTTGGAGACCGGGGTCAATTAGTAACCGACCGATTGACATTGGCGATCCGACGCTTGGCACCGACTTTCCCATCCATTTGCCGCGACTGGCGACGCTATTCGTCCATCTGAGGGGCCGTTCCTTGGCGTACCCCAGGCATTCATCTTGCATTATGTCACACTTGTGACATGCTGGCAGCAAGCGATCGCATCTTCTGCGACGGCGACGACAAGTCCAGCATGATTCTGCGGCGTAAGTCGAGGATGACCTGTCCATCGCCGGAGGTGATTCATGCCAAGGGGTGTGTGCCGTTAGTGGTTGTAGGAGTGAAGATTTAGGGCCGCCAAAAGTCATCCGTGAATCTCACTATCCCTCTCTCGGCAGCCAAGACACACAAGGCTCCACTTGTGCAGCAGTACAGCCAATGGGCGCTCGTTATAGGCCCAGTCATGCTTTCCTGCCTCAGGTGTACAGGCGGCAAACCGTTGACTTATTTCCTGAGATCAGGAAGCGACTGCGGGCAAAACCATCAGTATACAGACATTTTTGATGTTACAGTAAAGACAAGAAAATAAGATGTCCGCATGAATTTGGTTGAAGTACAAGCGGTAATTAATCGAGAAAAGCCATGAGATCGATACTGTACTTCAAGTTGCCAGGTAACTTAGGTCACATCTCTCCGAAATATATTTTCAATTTGTCAACCCACAACGCTTACATGACAACATATTATCGAGAATAATACGAAAATCTACTTAGACAAATCGCGGCTAGATGGAGCTACGTCCACATTTTATCTCTAGAACCGGTTATGCTTGACCCAGCTAGTAACTGGAGTCGACCCAGTCTTTGTAGTCATCTCCCAAGACTGTTTCTTTTGTCACAGCCGCATCAATGGTGCTCAGATACTCTCGTTCTGACGTGTCGGATCCAGCACCAGTATTGTTGAACTCATAATAGAGAGGCGTCGCACCATCTGCCATGGGATGCCAACCTTTGGCGTTGATAATATCGGGTAGGACTGAGTACTGATAGATCACGCGGGCGAGGACTCGCCAGGGTCGGCCCAGGTAGACATCACCAGTCAGATCTACTCCTGACGCTGCTTTGATGTTGCAATGGTCGATGGCATACCACGCAGTATCAGAAGTGGTCTGACGCGACATAGCAGTGATGTAGCCAGCACCATTTGAGACTATGTCGCAATTTTCAAACCACGCAGAGGCGTCGCCAAAGATATAATCGACCGCGCCTGTGAACCGATTAATTCTGATCTGGATGTAGTTGAAGAGCTCGAAGCGGAAAAGGGACCACGAGGAAACGCACCTTCAATTCGAGAATTGATATAATACTGATGGCCCGATTTCGCATACAGCGTATCCTGATACCCCGTGAATTGACATGCGTAAAATCCAAGTCGGTCGGCCTGGGCGACGAGGCTAATATCGGCAATAACTGCAGGTTAGAACTCTCTATGGTTGCGCTTACAGACAAGTGAAACAGAGTAAACGCTTACGCAACGGCCTGCGCGCCTTTTCCATATCCATTCGCTATGTTGATATTGTACACCGAAACCACGTCCGATTTGATATTGACAGTAGCACTGCTATCGAGGGAGCCTGATTCTGGAGACGATATGGTATGAGTGATAGTGACCGTATTCTGCTTATAGGTCTCTGTATCATTTGTCTCCCCATATAATGTCAAGTGGCCCGCATAGTCAATAGTCAGCTGCTCCTCGTACGTGCCAGCTGCAATGTAAATACATGCGTCCGCCGTTGATGAGCCTAGAGCACCCAGAGCATCGCTGATGGTTGAATAATCGCCAGACTTGCCTACAGTGGAACACCCGGATGGGGCGCTGGTTCGACCTGAGTCTCTAGGTAGCACATATGCAGAGCTACAGAGACCGAAGCTCAACAGAGCAATTGTGAGGAGGGAACCGTGCATGCTGGGTCAGCGTACCGAGGTGATGGGCAGTTCGGATATATGCAATGCTGTACACCTCTAGTAATGATGTTCATGGGCATGATTATAAACCCTGCACGTCGGCGTGTCTGGGACCCATGACAAGACATTGTCTCACATGCCTTTGACGAGCTCTAAGTCGTATTTGGACATGTCTAGGTATTCCAAAATTCTTCCATCAATCGGCCAAGTACAAGTCCCGGAATCTGCGGAGTCCCACAGGATAAAAGCGGGTGCTCATTTAGCCGGAGGATTCCCGCCCAATGTGAGTTTCCCCGGACGACGATCACTTCCCCTAATCTCGGTTGCAGCAACAAGTGCAATTTAAATAAAACAAGCTTTAGGCAGCGCCCGGATCTCACGGACAATCTTGATGATGAAGTAGTTTCTCCGTCAAAACAGCTTGCTCTACCTGGAGTCCGGGACAGCCCTGATGTTCGGGCTCGCACCTGTGATCGACATGACTGGCACGATGGTGAGACGTTATTGAGGTTGGAGCCGATGGATTTTGAGTCCCTAAGCTATATATCTGGGCTCGCTCGGCGTGTTTTTTCGATGGTACAAACTGGAAATAAGCATCTGTGAACCTTGTGTAAATCAGTGCTAAAATGATCGGCTTCAATAGCATTTTTCTGCTCTCGCTATTTGGCCTCAGCAGAGCTGCCCCGTCGAGAAGTGAAGCATCTGCCGACAGGACTATTAGCCCTCGTGCTGCTTGCACTCCCACTGCTGGCGGAAGCTCCTCGACTGACGATGTCCCCGCAATCCAAGAAGCGATCACATCATGCGGTGACGGAGGTACGATCGTAATCCCGGCGGATACGACGTATTACTTGAATAGTGTACTCGATTTCAAGGGCTGCTCGAACTGTGACTTCCAGGTAGAAGGGTTGCTCCAGTTCACCAGCTCCACGGATTACTGGAATGGAAAGACAGCCATGATCAGTGTCTCAGACATTGACGGCTTGAAGCTTCGCTCCGTCACGGGCTCCGGGGTTATTGATGGGAATGGGCAAGAGTCGTACGTTGCCTCTCTGCCTTGTTAGGCGCTAGGTATTGACTAACTCGCTTGTACAGATGGGATAAATTTGCCGAAGACAGCAGCTACAAGCGTCCGACCCTACTTTATATCACCGGGGGCAGTAACATTGAGGTGTCCGGACTTCGACAAAAGAACCCACCCAACGTGTTCATTTCCGTCAAGGGTGACACGTCAAATGCCCAATTTACAGGTCTCACTATGGATGCCACCTCGTCGTCGGACAATCTTCCGAAGAATACAGACGCCTTTGACATAGGTGCTAGCACCTACGTGACCATCTCATCGGTCACCATCACCAACGACGATGACTGCGTGGCGTTCAAACCGGGCGCAAACTATGTAACCGTAGAGAATGTGTCTTGCACGGGTTCCCACGGCATTTCGGTTGGCTCACTTGGAAAGTCTGGCGACGATACCGTCCAGAATGTTTATGCCCGCAACATAACAATGATCAAGTCGAGCAAAGCAGCAGGCATCAAAACCTACCCTAGTGGTGGAGACCATGGCCTATCAACGGTGAAGAATGCTACATTCGAGGATTTCATCGTCGATGGGTGTGATTATGCCTTCCAGATCCAAAGCTGTTATGGCGAAGATGACACATACTGTGAAGAAAACCCTGGCAACGCAGTGCTGGAAGGCATTGTCGTCAAGGGGTTCACGGGCACCACGAGTGATAAGGAGGACCCTGTGGTAGCAAATCTGAACTGCGGGTCCAAGGGCACCTGCGATGTTACTATCAGTGGGTTTGAAGTGAAAGCTCCATCGGGGGATGCGAAGATCCTGTGCGGAAACACTCCTTCTAACCTCGGTGTCACCTGTAGCTCAGGTGCATCTGGGTAATAGCATAGCTTCCCACTTAACATTCACTGTAGATGTTTGAACTTGAGACTTTTATTACAGTTATGAGACTAGCTTACCTGAAGCGCAAAGCTTATCTTTTGTCAATATATTTGTAGTGCTCTTGACGGACTGTGTGTGACCTGTAGGCAAACTTGGTAGGGGCTGTGAATTTGAGGGCTTTCTAGCTCTTTATATAGAGCGTTCTTGACCACAGTTGTATTCTTTATCGGTCTAGCATCGGTTTGATGTAATGTCTATCTCGAGGGTATTAGCATCAACATAGTATCATTGTAACTACAGTTCCTTCCTGAAACGAGTCAATACAGTATTCGTAATTCTTCTATTGAATTTAGTCATGTAATATTAAAAGTCTATCAATGTACTTCTATAGTGAACTGTGGAATCACCGAATAGTTGCCCTTCAAATACCAGGCTCCAAACTCTTCAGAATCAGTTCAGTCTCGACATCAGCCACTTCAAGTATATGCTCGGGTGGGTACTGGGGCTGCCAGCCGATCTGCTTGCCATGGGCTGCAGTAAAGGTACACCTGGTGTACGTTAGCATATATTCGAAGATAATACTGAGGATCACGAGTCACATACTTCCCGCCCACTGAAAAAAGCACAATAGATGGGTCCACCCCGAGTGCTTCACCCATTTTCTTTAAGGCTGTTTCGTCTGCCAGTTCTACCGTACTATCATCGACCACACCACGTGTTGCGAGAGCTTTAGCAAAAGCTTCATATATGTCTTTCCAGGCTATACTTCCGGAGGCCGCAAGGAAAAACCCGTTCTTGTTATATCCGATATCGTTACCGAGCAAGATTTGCCGTAGGATCTGCACGTAGAGCGCAGCAGTGTCACTCACGTGGCAAACAGGCCAGGTCTGGCGAGCATGTTAGTGTCGTTACAGAAAGCCGGTGACGATCCACATGCAACTTACAGGATCATCCGAATCGACCTTATAGACTCGACCAGTCTTCTTCGCAGCTTTCACCACTGCAACGTCCTGAATAGAAGTGCGCTTGCCAAACCCCTCCCCCTCTCCATATACTATGCAGGGAGCAAGTATGTACGCTCGCACTCCGTTCTCCTCTGCGGTGTCAATAACCGCGACGTTTGTCCTAAGACCCTGTTCAAGATGTGAGTGAGCTTCGCAATCGTGCCACTTTATGCGCTGAAGGAGGGCGTTCATACCTGGGCAAACCACTTATACGGCGGGGCAGCATTTTTTTGGATGTCATAGAGCGTCGGGTCAGTGTCAAGTAAAGGTCTGTCATCTTGAACCCCCCCATGACGACTGAATTGTTTGGCGCCGGTAGTATGTACGAAGTGCACAGTTTTCCCCGTGCGTTCTGTAACCTTTCCAAGGGCCCTAATCATCATTTCCTGACGTGTCTGATTGTAAGCGTCGATGAGAAAATAAATCACAGAGATCTCTCTATCAACAATTGCGGCTGTGAATTGAACATGGTCGTCAACATCGCAGAACAAAGGCTCTGCGCCGTATTCTTGCACGCATCGGGCTTGCGTTTCAGAGCGAACAAGAGCATAAAGCTTGCCGTATGGAGGTAACTCTGCCCTGTTGAAGTGCGCCAGCAGGGTACCGCCAAGATAGCCGGAGGAACCGGTGAAGAGGATATTGTGGACCATGGTTGATGTGGGAGTGTTGCTTGGTACTGCATATGACGGCTAATCCGATGTTCTTATAATTACCATATGTACCCCCGGTAGCTATCTCTCTATTTCTCTAACGCCGTTCCCGCGACGATGTACGTTAATCAATTTGTAGGTGGAGATATGCATATTCTTTTGCCGAATCCTAAGCCTCGATTGAACTCGGTGCAGGGGTGTGTGCAGACCTGATTACCAACGTCCAATGATTGAAATTAAATCTAGCCCGCACTCCGGTCCGCGATGCGCGGGTTGTACTCCGTCCAGCCACCTGACTTTGGAGCACCCCGTTCATTTCAATGTGAAATAATATCCTTAACTGATCACACGCTATGCCTGCAAATTAATACTTCTGTCACACTCTCTAACTCTTTGGGTTTGTAATATGCACGGTATAAAAACTTCATTTACTCTATGTTCGAGGTTGGTCTGCTCAAATAAGCTCCTCACCAAGCATTTTGTAAATCTGCCAAGTATAGAACACTATGATTGATACTCTGCCTTTCCTCCGACTGCAACTGAAATTGGACGCCCCTCTGAATGACAAGCTCCGAATCAATGTCTCCTTTATTTTTTATTTTTCTTCTCTGTTTGGTCGCGACGTGTATGAGCATCAGCAGCTACTATTGAGCACCGCATCCCCATATCGTAGTGATCGGCCGCCAAGGACGAGACTAGTCCAAGCTCAGCGCCACGTCGAGCGCAAACGCAAGGCACGGACTCTTTCTGCGCATTTGCTCCCTCTTGGAGTTGTAGCTGTTAATAACCACGGTCATATACCACGGCAGTCGAGGGGCAGTGGGAAACCAGCGGACTACCGATTCACATCGAGGGCAAAATGAATATGAAGGCCTCCTTGTGGCTCACCCTTCTCGGCGTAAACATATCCTTTGTCTCGGCCGCGGGGATTGATTTCCCAGCCTCATGCGAAGTCTTTTCACCCAATACGAGGGCTGCGAGCGCACATCGTGAGTTCACTGAATATGTGCCCGCGGGGACAAACCTGACTTTGCCGTACAATGATGCGACATGTGCTCGCCCGTATCAAGTTGTCCCAGTGGACCTTTGCCGTGTCGCATTATATGTGGAGACATCCAACAGATCGGGCGTTACCACGGAACTCTGGCTACCTCGAAATTGGACGGGAAGGTTCTTGGGGACTGGAAATGGTGGCATTGATGGTTGTAGGTTGACATCGTCTTCAGAATAGAGGTCTGTGTCATTTTCAGGCGTACTGATAACCCGTGGCTGAACAGGTATAAAATATGAGGATCTGGCATACGGGGCGGCGAACGGATTCGCCGTTGTCGGGTCGAACAACGGACACAATGGCACAACTGCCGCCTCATTTTACAGAAACTCGGATGTCCTTGCGGACTTCGCTTGGAGAGCGTATGTCATGGTTTCAGCGTGTACGTCGACGTAGCTCAAGATAGCTAATTGTGAGTAGACTCCATCTGAGCACAGTGATAGGTAAACAAGTCACTCGGGCATTCTATGGGCAACCTCATACAAAATCATATTATCTGGGTTGCTCTTTGGGTGGACGGCAGGGCATTAATTCCGCAGTGGAATTCCCGGACGACTTCGACGGCATTGTTGCCGGCTCACCAGCACTGGACTTCAACAACCTTGTCTCTTGGAGAGCAAGCTTCTTCCCTATTACAGGTTCTGCTGACTCCGCCAGCTTCATAAATGTATCAACATGGAAGAACCTGATCCACTCGGCGGTATTGACACAGTGCGATACACTTGACGGAGTCGATGACGGTATCATCGAGGATCCCACTTTGTGCCATTTTCGTCCCGAAGTATTGATGTGTACGAACGAAAAGCTAACCAACTGTCTGAGCCCTGCGCAGATAGAGATCGTGCGGCACGTGTTCCGCCCGATGTACGGGGAAGATGGGCAACTGATATTCCCAGCAATGCAACCAGGGAGCGAGCTGGAGGCCGCAGACAAGCTTTATGCTGGAAAGCCATTCAGTTATTCCAAAGTATACGCCCCTAATCGTTCTCAATGATATCATATGCTGATGCAAGGCAATAAGGAGTGGTTTCAGTATGTGGTCTATGATCCGTCATGGAATCCAGCCGAGTTTGATTTGCACGACGCAAAGGTTGCGGATGACTTGAATCCGCAAAATATCAGGACCTGGCCGAATGACCTGTCAAATTACGAAAAGCGTGGAGGAAAGATAATCACCTTCCATGGACAGCAGGATGGTAAGATCACAAGCTTTAACACACAGCGGTTTTACGATCATCTTTCGACAGCCATGAACATGTCTTCGTCCGAGCTTGACCATTTCTTCCGCTTTTTTCGCATCTCAGGCATGTCCCATTGTAGCTCAGGCCCAGGAGCATGGGCCTTTGGGCAGGGTGGTAACCCTGCTCCAACAATGACACCGTTTAACCGACATGAGAATATCTTGGCTGCGTTGGTCGCTTGGGTGGAATTCGGGATAGCCCCAGAGACCATCCTGGGGACAAAGTACGTGGATGACGATCCAGAGTTTGGAATATCCTTCCAACGTAGTCATTGCAGGTTAGTGATACTGTGAAACCTCGGTTGCAGTGAGTTGTGTTATTAATATCACACAGATACCCACAGAGAAGTACTTACGTCGGGGGGAATCACTGGGAGTGTGCTTTGCCATGACAGTTATTTCATCCAAGCTATGAGTCCAAACGCATCGTGGCTTTCCCGTGCCTGTAGCTGCCTTGTGCTATCTCTGTTGTCTACTAGTATTGGTAGCTTGTTTGGCCTTGGCGCATGTGGGCGTTGAATTCACTGGACTCTTGTGCTTTTGTTCCTGATATTCACTGTTCGATTTGTGTTCCTTCTGTCGCGTATCTCCCCTACTTCCAACTTCACACTGTTGACCTTTCGCCTGTCTTTACAATAGTCTCTTCTTGACATGATCCCATAACTTCGATGAAAGATCTGGTATTCAAACCACCATACCACCCCACAGCCACATCAAAGCAAGAGATGAGAGGAACACGCCGATTACGACGGGGAAGCCCTCCTCGCCAACCCTCGTCAAAGAGACAAAGGACTGAAGCGCCTGACATCTCTACATCCGCCAATATAGCACAGCCGCCAGCTGAACCGTCCCAGGTAAAATATGTCCAATCCCATGCCTCCGTCGACAGTCTTGATGAGACCACAAAGCAGTCGCCCCCCGAGGTGAAGCAATGGGCTGGTGATGAGGATCCCCCAAAGGAGAGACACCATGCGAGCCATACAAAGCACAGTAGCATTTATGGAGCTAGCGTCTCTCAGAACCAGGGTCAGTCGGGCAACATTGGACGCCGTGGCTACCCGCTCTTCTGGTTTCTCCCGGAACGATTTGCAGCTTACCCCTATCGACCCACCGATATTCTGTCGTTCACGGAGTCCCCACCCGAAATACCTTCCTACAAGGAACCTAGATTGGGTACAGTTCCGGTTGGCATGGTCATGGATGTTCCAGATCATGTGGATGAGAGTGCTGGCATCAGAGCTCGTGTGGCGTTTGATGTTGCAGTCTTACACGTCTCTCTTGAGCCCCCCTTTTGGACAATTGCTAGCAGGACCGGTAGACTTCTTAATAGCGCAGACTACTGCCTTGACCCTAGTTTTGTCACTGAGAAACTAAGACTGATCAAGGTCAGAGAGATAATACAGACTCACATAATCGAATTGACCACCTATCGCCATAGATTTCTCTTGTTGCTACGTTCTTGGCGCAAAGAACGAAGGCTCTGGGAGGTTCGACTAGCGCTATCTCAGATCAGACGGGGCAACGACTCGATATTCCAACATCCCCTGACCCATGAAGATCTCGACCATCTCTGCCTTTGGTATCGAGAGCAACAAGCAGCTGAGGACCGTGGCGAGATTGACCCATCTTCGTTTGGCCGGGTCACGGGCATGGTGAATCCGTGTGCGAAGGAAATACAACCCAACGTGCAGGGCGGTTTTGTGAACGACGCGATTTTCACCCGCTTTGAGAAGCTCAAGGAGGCTATACGAGGTGTTATTGCTAGGATCAATACATTACAGGCCCATGAAGACGAGCAGCAGCGGCGTCAGCGGGAACAACGCGCCAAGCGGGAGCAAGGAGCACTTGAGAGTGGAAATGATGGTACGAGTCTTCCGGGAGATGCCTTGCTGGCAGACTTCGAATTTGATACTGAGGAACCCTTCCCCTCAGCTCCAGTGATAGACCCCCTGCCCATTGACCTCGAGTATCGGGCAGCATACTACCACTGGCATGTCGAACGGCATGGTGTTTGGGCGCCGAAAGGCTTGTTCAAGCGCGCGACCTATCTTAACACATTTCAGCTTGCAGCTCCAAATGATCTTGCCTTCTTCGATAAACCACGAGCAGAGTGGCCCCGAGGGCACCAAGGTCTGCTCCCTGAACATGTGGACTATATTGATGATTTTCAGATCCATCCTTGGGGAATACCAGCAACGCGCTTCACCCAAGCTCTCCGTCACCAGCCTCGGTTTACGGCCAATGTCATCTATTCCAAAAAGGCGCGTATGGCCCTGAAGAGTATTGAGCGTTGGTATTTCACGAATAGACCGGTCGCCCTTGGCAGTATTCAAGATTGGCCTCTTCCGTGCGGTGTTCGCGAGGGTCTTTTGGAGGTTATCCAGGAACTTCAGTGATGTCAACAAGATTTGGTATCAGCTGAATTCCTGACTGTTCCTTCTCCGCTACTCACTTCGGTCCAACCCTAAATGATGTCCATTTGTTCGTTATGGATCCTCTCCTCTCTGCTTTGGCTTTCTGGTCTTGGTATAGTGTGATCTGTTGGTCTGGCGAACGCATGGTGGATGATATGGTCTGTTATTGTTTCAGCTGCTCTGCCGATAGATGTCGCTCTAGTTTGATATACATAAACAAAAGACATAAGGAATAAGACGTTCTCAAAATTCGTATTTCGAACACTTTATTAGATATCTAACGTGTCAACCACGTATTGGGCATCACCGCTGACCCTTTGCTCGCCCCAAGCAGAGTATCCGTGTCGAATAATCCATGCCTGCTCTCACCTTGATGGCCGCATTTCGTCACTCTCGTGTCAAGCAGGATGTACACCAGAGTACCGGCGCTGATGTCAACGTGTGCTTATTCGACCACTAGGAGGTAGTATATCCGTCGACCAAGAGCACTATACCTCATCATGTATAATATCTTGTACGGAGCATAGTCCGTTCGTAGGATGGCCATTGACAAATACCACCATGAAATATCTGGCTAGCGTCTATGCCGTTCCTCTATCCTCGCCCCGTCGTTAGTCAAGGTTATATCACGTTCTACTTTGACTTTCCCCCAGCTGCCCTCTTATACCGATCTAAGGCGAGCGCCCGCCTCGTCGCATGGTCCACGATGGGTCTCGGATATCCGTTCTTCTCAGCCAAATCGCCTGCGCCGCGCTCATACGGATCATGGATAGCCGATCCCTGAATTTCGCGCAGCTCCGGTACCCAGCGTCGTATATACTCTCCGTCGGGGTCAAATCGCTCGCTCTGGCGCAAGGGACTAAAGATACGAAAGTACGGTTGCGGATCGACCCCAGTGCTGGAGCCGAACCCCCAGCCGCCGTGATTGGAGGCGAAGTCGCCATCGATGAGGTGTTCCATGAAGTACCGCTCTCCCCGCCGCCAATCTATCAGTAGATCCTTCGAGAGAAAAGATGCGACGATCATGCGAGACCGGTTGTGCATCCAGGCGGCATTGTTCATCTGTCGCATCGCAGCGTCGACGATGGGGAACCCGGTCCGGCCCTCGCACCACGCGTTAAAGTCGTCTTCGTTATATTCCCATTCAAGATCTGTAAACTCAGGCTTGAAGCATTTGTTCATGCTATCTCCATTAGCTCAACCGGACAATGTCTATCGAAAATTGACACCTGCATACCATATAAATGGCCAATGTACCAACACGTGTTTGTAGAAGTCCCTCCATGCCACCTCGCTGATCCAAGACACAACACCTAGGTCATTCCGGTCCAATTGATTTTTGTTGGCTTTCTTAGCTTTGGCCACTGCAGTTCTGGCACTCAACGATCCAGAAGCAAAGTACGGACTCAAAACCGATGTGGTCTGCTTAGGTAGTGAATTCCGCATATCATCGTATGCCGTGGCCTTCTCTTCCAGAAACCTTTCTAGGCGGTCCAAACCCTCGTGCTCTCCCTCTGGATATAGTTGACGAAAATGTTCCCTCTCCTCATCCGACAATCGCTTGTTATCCGGTGCTGCGGGGACTTCACTTGCGAAAAGGTCCTTGAAGACTCTCCGAGCGTTGCCAGGATTAGAGCCAGGTTCTTCCGACACTTCCAGATAATCCGGATTATCCATAAGAAATGTCTGCCATGCACGAAACCACGGACTATATACGGCATACTGGTTTCCCTGTTGGCTACTGAGTAACCCCGGCGGAACAACGCAGGTGTCATGGAGCACGTCAAAGGCAATGCCGCTCTCGACGCACAATCGGACCAATTTTGCCTCTCGACGAAGCTCATCAACTTCATACTCAATGTTTGCAAAAAGATGATTGGCTCCCCACTCCTGACATAAATCAGTAACGCGCTGCGGAATATCCCTCCGTTTCTCCTGCGTTTCCATATACAGAGGAATATCCAACTCGCCCAAGTCACGCTTTAACTGCGCCAATGTTCGCAACGTCAGATCCACCCGCGCGGGACTGCTCACATGCGCCGTGAGATCCTCAGGCGAGAGAATGTAGAGTGCGATAAGAGGAATGGAATGTTCGCGCGCAACCTCATATGCCTTTCGCAGAGCGCGATTGTCGTGCAATCGAAGATCAGACTTGAACCAATGGACCACGGCAGCATTGGGCCGAACTGATAGGCGGGCATCTACTGTTTCTTCACAGACCCGATTCAATGCGTCCATCGGCCGTTCCAACGTTCCGTCGTTGTAGGCTTGGCACCGCTCGTTGCTCATTTCGGGTGGATAGAACTGTCGCAACACTATTCCGAACTCTTCCGCTTGTCGCGAATTAGGATGCGGTGCTGATAGATCGGATTTGCCCCGCTTGTTAGTATGTGAGGTGCTGTTTGCTCCATCTTCCCTAGTACCGTTTTGCGATGGTTTGCGCTTTTGTGGCATGTTGCGAACGATCGTAGCGGTCAGTGTAGATTGAGCTCGTGGCGAGAGAGGAAAGGAGTAAAGGGATACGACATGGGAAAAGCCAATGACTGGGGAACGTCTCCTCATTATATATGAAAGATTTGGTCGGGGGTTGCGATCTCCCCTGGCGATCGCGTTGACTTCATTGACTGGATCGACGCGATGAAAACCCTCTGACGTCAGGACCCGATCGGGCTTCTCAACGTGACATTCAAACCTGAGAAAATAGGCGTACAACAACATTCCTCGTTCACTGTCGCTACTCCTAGGGTACGCTAAACTAATGACAACTCCATGTTGTCATCCATGTCCCACCTTGACTGCGATGACTGCGACTGGATGGATGTCTCCTCTTTGTTCACTAGTATACCTTTTCACTGACGATTATCATTGCATTCGAGGACCTGAAATAATGTTAGAAATCCAGAATGGCTGCTGGCCGAAGAGAAGGGGATCTTCGGCATACGGCTAGGCCTCTCTGATATGGGCAGAGGTGATTGGGCTCGTCAAGTCGGGAAGTCTGACAAATTCGGGTGTCTCTCAACCGTGAGCACCACTATGGAGGCGCCACTATGACAACAGCGGGGCATGTATGCACCTGCCAAATAGCCATGGTGCTAGAATATTGCTTCAATTACTCTTCTCGAGTCCGGGGACTGTTTATGGTTTAGTGACAACATCTCAGACCCACAGTGGCAGCAGGTGGCTCAGCCGTCAGCCTTGTCAGAGCAGCAAATGATTCAAGCTGATAGGCACCTTTTAGTGGAGCATTATTCAGCCTCACCACCATCCATCATCATTTAAAGACTGCCGACGCCTGTGTTGTCACTCCGTTTCGTGCTTCGTTGCTCTTTGCTGCTACCACACACCATGGGTCTCGACGCACTCCCTACCGAAATTCTCTGTCTTCTCCCCCTCTACCTCGATAACATCGAGACCTTTACCAACGCAGCAGCGTCATGTCGCAGACTCCGGGATTGCCTGTCCACAGCACAGCCCAAGACGATCCTCCAGCTAGCCGCCGCCTCGGCCCCCACATTCTTCTCTCCGCATCCTCATTTCCTCGTCGCGGCCACAGCCCGCCAAGCCAGTGACTGGGCATTAGGGAATGACATACGTACATTAGCCCTCCGCGAAGCCTTCCAAGGTGGAATCGACAGCCTCTATGAGTTCTGCCTCCAACACGCAGGCCTCACGCTGGAAGACATCCGGAGAACCCATTTAGCCCGGTTCTCCACCATTAACCCGCTCTCGGACAAGATCGACAGGATGGCCGGCCGGCAGTGGTACGCCACACCAAACTTCTGGGATGGCGGGGTAAGCGAACCCTACACCATCCAAACGGAGGCCGATCGAGCGGCCTTCCAGATTATCATATATGGGGAGTTGTTTGGGCGGAGTATGGACGCCTTCTTGCAGCCGGAACAGAATCTCCCCTATTTCGATGTACGAACGCGAATCGACTACTTCACCTATTGTCTCCCCGATTGGGTTTGTTCGAGTTACCCCGGGTTTACCAGATTGTCCACCGGTCCGTATGCGCCGCACCTGGAGCGGCCGAGGGAAGGAGACCAGGTGGCCATGCATCATATCCTGCATTGTGGTCGATGGCGGCGCATGTGGGCTACTGCGATTTCGTCGGTTCTAGACGATGACGAGGCTTTTATTCATGAGGATGAAGAGAATGAGCCCTGGAAGAAGCGGATGTTGCGTAATGCGGTGCAGAGTCAGGGACTAGAGGGGATGCAACTCGTGACGCTGCCGGTGGACAAAATAGATAAAGCATATGTACAAAAGGTGAGGAGGATGAAGCAGCAGATCGATCAGCTGAATCAGCCTCCACCGGTCGAATTGCTGGGCAAGGGATCACTGACTCCCGTGTCGTTTGCTCCCGACCCTTCCCATGATGTTGAAATTCCATGTAGGGATATGTGGGGGCCGTGGGTAGCATTCAACCAAGATGCAGCGTCAGATACGAGTACAGATTCGGAAGAATAATCGGATCCCGATTGGGAGTTGACATAGTGGCCCAAGGGGGGTTGGCAGCAGGAGGTTGTTCTACGGTTGTTGTACGGTTGTCAACGGTTGGACATATGAATAATTATACCCGATCACCTAAGGAAAAAGGTGATTTTCACACGCAAATCAGAGACATGCGATCCTAACGAGGAATCTTTCGAAGGTTGTCAAAATTAATAAAGCCCTTCAGCTGACCACGGCGAAGTCCCTCTCAGCAGCAGAGCAATTGGTGGAGATGGGCCCATGGTAAAACGCGATCATTGAGCCGTACTTCGATGCTAGGGTGATGCTGATCGTGTCTGATCTCCCCGAAAGACCAACCAACGCTATGCTATTCAATTGGATAGTGTAGTAGTTCCGCGATTACAAAGTCCGGATCATTGATACTACACGGGTACAGCTGGATAGGACTATCAGTCTCACCCACGAGTTGGGAAAGCCTGTTTAGGGCACCCCCGGCCATTACATCGCCAAAAATATGCTCCGAGCATTTGTGGAAGAACTCGGACACGGGTATGAGGATTTGATGGGGGGCGCGCAACTTTATTGAGTAGAGGGGAAGGTGACTTACTGCCCAACACAGCAGTAGAGCAGATTGCACCAGTTGAAAGATCGGATGGTGACGGTACGGATGGTCACGATGTGAATGAAGGAGACTAGTACTAGAGAGCTTCATCATCATATTCTTCTGATACGGCCGCCTGTTTTTATAACATTCGCCTGGTTGCACCACAAGATGGCATGCAGAGGGAAATCCTACTCCATATATAATAGCTTACCTATATAAATACAGGGAATGGAAGAGAGTGGACACACAAGCTATTGAACAACATTTGGACATCTTATCCACTGTGGTAATTACTATTATGGAACAATTGCATAATATATATTTGCAACACTTCCAGTCGTAGTCGTGGTCCACGTCAGACTAGCTACTCAAGGTTTTAAAATGTGTTGACAGGTTATGGTGCAAGATTCTACCAGAGCTTAGGGTGGATAAGAATTGACGTTGACGATGCTTAATGAACCCAGTCCGATCTACGTTGACTTATGCAGTGAAGCTCTTTCATCGATGCTATTTCAGCACATCGCTAGCTGACGCTAAGCCAGATCAGGTAGAGACCGACTGAAAACCAACTTTTCCAAATCCGTAACCTGAGTCTTTCCGTTCTTCAGGAACTCCCGTGGGTGCGAATCCCGCTTCCGAATAGGAAGTACACAGCAAGTAGGCTCCTTTCTTTGTTTCCTCCGTTGCCTTACTTTGGTAGTATTTGATCCACTTCCTGGTTAGTCTCCACACTAAATTTCACTTTGTTTCTTTGTTTGGGAAAAATTACCGTCACATGAGCAACGCTAGACAGCCTCACCGCTTACCCTTCACATTCTCCGATTCATGCTTCAGGGGTTCATTGTGAACTCTTGAAGTCTGGACAGTTCTGACCCATCGGTTATTTAAAAAGTCAGAATGTCTTGCCTTTCGGGTTCTCCTGAACTGACAAATTCCATCGATGAGTCTCGATTCTATCTGTCTCCAGCGGAACCAAGTCATTAGCATTTGTGATCATTCCGAGTGACGGACCAAGATATGTTCTGGACATAAAAACCACCAAAGGCACAGCGCTGAGGGAAAATCTAGATCAGTCTGCAAACGCGCCAGAACCGGTTCTAGTTTTCTAGAAATGTTCCCAAGCAGGACCGGTTCGCGATCGATGTGAAACCACCTATACCGATCGCGAGTTAGTCCGAGGGTGGTTCCATGGTTCCCACTCGTCATCACAACCGAAACCTGAAGCTGTTTTCCGTTCCGGCAACCGCAAAGACCAACTCTGACATCACGTTCCCGCCCGCCAAAAGTTATCGAAATGCCATCCAGGACCACGTCCAGTCTACTCGAATCACGATGGGCCCCGGGTCCAGAGGAGCTCAAGACGAGACGGTCATCCTCCACGCCCCGAGGACAGAACCACCCACCCCCCTCGCAGGAGCTGGCCCGGTTCATGAAAATCGTCGGGCGATTAAAGTGGAAATTACCCTTCCTGGCGGAGGGTTACCGCCTTGCGACGCTCCCCGCGGACCGTGGCGTTGATGTCGCCCATGCGGAGATCATGTTCAAGATTGATTTCTTCGAGTACTATGCACTTCTGGAGCGCGCGATCGTGCATTTACTCGGCGTCTTCGGCGTGACGGTCACTGGTGCTGTTACTAGATCGCAGTCGACTCCGAGGCTTGGGAGGAATAGGTCCCGAGTGGCTGCGCATCGGTATCATGCCAATGTTCTGGACACGCTAGAGGGGGAGACCTGTCCATTGCATGCTGTTCTCGGGAGTGGAAATGTGCGTGAGCAGTTAAGGAAAGCGAAAGAACTTCGTAATCGCTGGAAGACAGCCGATATGTCGAAAGAAGAGGCGGAGACAGATCCGTTCCGTCGTCCGAAGGAGACGGCGATGCCACTCGAAAGCTACGACTTCGACCATATTTTATCAGAAATCTTTATCGGTTTAGAAGATGGACTGGCGCTGGCTCGGGACCATTTGGCCAGGGCCGAGAATAGCACTGGCAATGACTTGTCGGGCGATTCGGAGGCCGATTGGGATTTCATTGTCGATGCTATGGATTGGGAGGCTGTGTGAGATTTCTTTGCATTTTCATCTTTTGTGGAATATTTTTATGGGCTTCATGGGTTTCTCGGCGTTTGTCGTGTTCCGCTGTTCCTTGTATATTACTGTTTTCCTGTATCATATAGAATGCCTGAAGGACTGTCACTCCGTTATACAGACTACACAGTCATGATAGTAAGTGGGGAAAACGACATTCATGGCGCAACCTAAACAAAATTTCATTATAAGACTTCTATAACACATTCGTCCCTCGCTAATAATGTGGCTTCTGATCAAGATCGACCAGTTGTACCACACTATTCGAATCATTCGAATCCTCTCTCTGGGACGATGACGAGTACTGAACCGTGTAGCTGACGGATTTGTTGATCTTGCTCTGCCCATTTGATTGGCCCCTGGCGTACCAGTTGCTCGGTCCGGTGGCATATCGTTTGGTGGATCCGCTAAAAATGCCGGGAAAGAAGTGGTTGAGCAGAGCTCGGGACGACGGAAGACAGGCGCAGATGATGGCAACTTGCGATTCGATGACGGACCAGTGAATCAGGGGATAGATGCCAGCTGAGTCGATTAGCGATAGCCATTAATAAAAACACAGAAGGATCCAAGAACCACGTACCAGTCTGATTCTGGCCCCAGCGATTATTCCAGAACACAACCACTCGGATAATGCCGATGATCGTCAAGCTATGACAGACACTATTAGCGACAACTGCAGACAACGGAGACAGACAGGGCGTTCCATACACCGATCCCATCACGAACATCAGACCGACGGTGAGCTTCTTGTATAATGGCAGCTGCAGTTTGCTCACTTCATAGACCGGCATCAGGACCATGATGGCGTCGACAATGATATTCACCAAGCAGTTGCCCAAGATAGCATCAATAAAATTAATGCATGTCCCGGGATCCTCGTTCTTCCAACCATCCCAAGCTAAATGGACCGGGCTGCATCGCAGTCCATCCACAAGGGCCCATGTGATCCCGATCGATGCGTTGATGCCGATGAGCGTATATGCGAGCGTGCGGAATATGCGGGACTGGAAGATCCGGAGCAGGAACAGACAGACGGATATCTTTGCGAGGGAGATTTGTATCTTGTACATCACGGCGAGACCTTGGAAGTACTACAGGGAAGTCAATATCGAGATGGTTCAACCAAGGCAGTCGAATGGTCGCGATGGCTAACCTTGTAGAATTGAGTAATGTCATCGAAGGGGATATCCCAGATATTCTTGCCGAAGCCATATTTGATCACTAGACCGTTAGCTTTCGCAATGATCATACTTTGAGGACCGAGCTTACTATAGACGTTCAGCACGAACATGGCCACACCCATGACCTATAGGAGTTTAGTACAGTTGCCGCTCAGTGCATAAGAATGATGTCGTACGTATGAGATGATAATGGTCAGGTCATCCCACCCCCAGCCACCACCAAGGTTGAAGCTTTTGGCGGAGATTCGAATGGTGAAGAAAAACGTAGCGAGAATGAGGGGAGCCAAAGTCGACCCCTCAATCAGCGGCGGCCCTGGGCGGGGTTTGATGTTGCATGATTCTTCGGTCAATCGTTGCGTGACTGTCTATGGTTAAACTCTCGAAAGGGCCTACTGGGTCTTCTGGGGACTTACTGAATTCCTCCTTCGTTGTACCGTTGCTGGTTACGCAGTCTACTAGGGCAGTCTGCCGCGAGCCATCAGCGCAGAGGTATGCCGTCGAATTCCACTCCGAGCTGGGAAACAACTGCTGCATGCACGAGATCTGGTGCAAATAAAAAGACACAGTCAGCGACCAGTGTCAAGGCCCAGACATGGTCCAGATCTGGCGGAGAACTTACGGCAGACAATGGAAACTCATTCGGGTTGGGGTCTGCAGCATGCAAACCAACTCCCAAGACCAATAGAGAGAGCAATATCTGGTAGACCTTCATTTTGATAATGGAGGCACTTCAATCGAGTGACCTAGCAGAGCATATTAAGGAGATGGAGTAGATATTACAAAATAAATTGGCAACGGGCCAGCCAGCCTCGCTTCGATATTAATTGTGCCCGCTGTCCGCTGATAAATATACATTTTTTTTTCTCGCGAAGTTTGGAAAACCGGGCTAGGCATCTCCACTAGGGAAAGTGACGCCGAAGAAGAAGTTCCAGACTACACTAGACAGGTTAAGCTTATTTGTCGCCATTTGGTTTCCTCGTGGCATGTATACTACCGGCGGCTCAATATTTGGGTTGCCAATTTTCGGTACTCAGGGTTTGATCGCTAGCAGTGCAGAACCTTTTGGCTCTTCTCTTAGAGTCTTAGCGCTGTAAGTGATCAGGCAGTCTTCACGATAGTTCCTGATCGATCGATTCTCCAAATAAAAAATCGGGCCCAGTGAAACCCAGTCAATGAGGATATTGAGCCCTAGTCTTGGCATGCGGTGAGGCGACCTGAAGAAAACTTTTTCTGGTCCACGGGTCTCCACTTGGGACAAGATCTCGGTTGCAGATTGATGGATCTTACTCCAATGGGATGAGCCCGGTCCCTTGAACTTGATCCTCGGTCTAATTTTCCTGGCTCGTTCCTTGAATCTCAATTTGTTGGTCACGGCTTCCACTTGCCGTCCGGTACACACACGTGGTTGGAATCCTCTTGATCGGTCCCATGGTTTTACCAGATTCTGTGAACAAACCAATTTTTCTACATATCGCCCTCCCACTTGCCCCCTTCTGTATGTTCCCTTTGCTCTTTTTTTTTTTTTTTTTTTTTTTTTTTTTTTTTTTTTTTTTTTTTTTTTTTTTTTTTTTTTTTTTTTTTTTTTTTTTCTTGTATGTTTTTGCCCCTTTCCTTCGCTCGCTCAGGTTCCCTCACCCCATCGAGTGACGCGGATAGTCCGCGTCAAGAACGGATACTAATTAATAAGGATCACATCGTCGAGTCATAAACACCTGTACCTGGCGGACTTCAGTTGCCTACTATCACGAGGTCACCCTTCTAGCGTTGCAGGTACCACCGGACCATTTCCCCCTTTAAGTCAGTGGCTTACCCCCAGGTCAGGGGAAGTCGGAATAGAAGTGTACTCCCGGGGCACACCTTGGCTTAAAGACGCCTCTTTTATTAGACTCTGCTCGCACACAGTCTGGATCTGCTATGGATCTTCCATCGACCGGAGTTTATTCTATATCGGAACATATGAAACGTACCCCATATTGCGCAAACATACGTCGGATTCTCGGTAGAGCTGGAGTTCATTAATCATTTTGTAGGTCTAGCTGCCGGGAAAGTCTCGGGATCTCGCTAATCAGACATGGACCGAGAGTATTCCGGTATGATATCATAGCCTTTATCAATCTGTGCTTCGAAAATCATCAATCCCGCTACTCTCCGAGGTACATCTAAGTGAAACTCCACTTTCCTGTGCAGTCTGTTTTTGCCCCTTTTTTACTCTTTTTCTGGGCACAATCATACCTCTATGGAGTAGGTATCTCGATCTATACAATAATTTAACATGAGGCAGATCAAATATCTCTCCCTTTCAAGATAGAATCAAGATCTCCCGTCGTCCTAAAGTTTCATCTGAAGATCGAAACTACTGCGCTGTCGATCTGAGGGTACAGTCGAATGCTGATCAGGTACTTCAGCAGTAGTCTCCCGATAAGGCAATTGTTATTCTTGTTGAAATGCCGAGGATAGCAAGTCAATCACGGTACTTTCATTTCCCGTGGTGATCAACGTCCCAATCCATTTTCTTAGATATACGGAAAGCTTCTCATAGAGAAAGGGGGTCATCGGACTGGCGAGCCATTGGATAAACACCATAATCGTCTACTCCAGCCCCACCTAGTATCATGGATGCGGTAGAAATGCTATCCTTTGTACAGTGTAGCGAGGATATGTGGAGGGCTTTGTATTCTTGGCTTCTGCTAGCTGGAATATGATAGGTTTATCATGGACGCAACACGCCAAGATTCTCCACGGAGCTCCAACCTTCAGTCATAAAGGACGATCCTAATATCTCATGCATAGCCCTAACAAAGATCAAGTTCCGACTGCGGAGATAATCCAACCGATGAATTGAGTGCAGAATGAAATGTTAATGGCGTGAAATCATTCCAACTGTGTCCATTAGCGGGTGACCAGCATATTCATGGTGGAGTCGTAAAACATAAATCAGTTATCAATTCTAGTCTACACTCTGCACTACACCTTGTAATAGGTGATTCAGAATCAGTTTAGAGTGAGGTACGATTGTTTAAAGATGTCATACTGTAAATACAAATGAGCAGAGCCAATAAGCTAAGTTCTTCCCTATATTAACTATACACCTGCTTCCGAGGGCCAAACTTGTCCCAGGACTCAGAGAACCCAGATCCACGCACCCACATGTCGCTGGGCACTTCTCCGACAGAGCCAACAACTAACGAAACCAGAGTCAGCTTGAAACCCTTACTTCACGACATAGAAGGTGTCTTACCCATATTGCCAATTCTCAGCCACATATCGCCGGTAATTCTTAGACCTCTCTTCTCCGATTCAGCCTCATACACACGGCAAAGCTCCTGTGCGTGCGCAACGGTACGGACAAATTTCGCCAGATGTCCGTCATCACTTGGATGTATATAACTCCTAGCAATAATTTCTGGCCACCCCATGTGAATCGGACAGCTATGGACATCGCTGATTCGGGGTTCAGGCATCTTGCGTGACGCCCAGATCAAAAGGTCCATCCGCGCTTTCATCTCGAGAAGGCGCGCCTTGCTGCGAGTGCTGAGGTAGGGCAGATCTATGATCGGTTTGATGAGGATTGAAAGGTTGGTTATATGAATAAAATAAAAGTCGAATTTGATCTCCTTCTCAGGACGTTGCGCGGTAGCAGTCAGATAAACTATTGCAGTTTGATGCCGTTAGCTCTCATGGATTGATGTTCTCTCACTATGATCAACTTACCAGCAGCATTGGTCATTTCGGCAAGCTTCTCATTTATCTTATCCTCGGGGACTGTCCACTGGCTGGAATACTTCACGAGCACCTCTGAGGCTCGTTTCAAAATCCCATTGCTGAAAACTTCATCGTCACCGCGGTGTGCAGCAGCACGCAACGTTTCGTCTGCTTGCATTTCGTCCATGAGTTGGACCAAAGTCTTATGTGTATCATGCTGTCCAATTCCCCCAGCAGCCTTTTCAGCAGGGAAGAGAAACGGGTGGCCCAGGTAGTCGTCATGAACAGCGGCCTGAGCCAGAGCCTGAGCGATGATGGCGGGCTGCTCGAATTCAATCGCGAACCCTAGATGGATGATAGGATGGAGAAGGCCACTGAACATGTCCGACAGCATAGTCTCTGCTAGCTTATCGCCACGGAAGAGATACTCATTGAGAACGTCCGGGGTGCCTTTGGTAGCCAATTCATGCTGGAAGAAGGCTAAGAAGTTTGGATACTGTTCTTCTTTGTGCATGAGGCTCATGAAGGACTCTTTGTTGCTGAGAGATGAGATAACACCCTCATCCCTAGGTATGCAAGGTCGTTGACGATGGTGTTCCCTCTCATACTGACGTTGAATGGTTTCGGGAGAGGCACCCAGGGCCCAGATAGTGAGCATGAAATGCACGACGTGATCTAAAGATTCTTAGCAATGCTCTGCTGCTCTTTCTCCGTCGGAGGGGTAGGTATTCTGGGCCTACTATGAAATCCGCGATCATTGAGATAGACATGATGATTCTCCATATCATGCTGAAGAACTTCACTGACTTTCCGAGCAGATGCTTGGCTCAACCCGGCGGTGGAAAACACGCCATGATTGTCTGGAGTCAACCAAATCTTGTATGGCGTGGCCATTGTGTTTATGATAGTACTGTTTCAAAGCGATAGAAGATAGATTGCCGGCAATAATGGGAGGGAAACGAGAGAGTTCCAGGGTATTTATAATGAGGAGGAATAGATACGCAAGGGGACAAGGTTGTTCCAAGGTGATAGGATTCTAGGCTTTGGGGGATCGAAAGATAGTGTCAGCAGAGTACATCCAGGTCCAAAGCCGAAAGGCGAAGACTACTGGCATGGGGACTACACTGTTGCCCCCACATGACGCTGTCGACTTTGATATCTGAATAATGCTAGAGTGCGGCATGCCGCATTGTGTCGGTGATGCAATATTGGATTGAATTCTAGAGGGACAACTTGCCCTTTGATGCCAGAGCCGCCAATCGGATTGCTCGGTGTGGGGCACACTAGGATTTCGGCTCTCGCATCTCGCGTTTGATTACTCACTGAATGTACGGTAGATAAAACAGTATCCATATCACAACGTATTGCGAGAAAAGTATTTCCAAGCTCCCAAGGATCTGTCAACCTAGATGAACCATTGCGTGTGGCTCCTGTATCGTGGACATTGATCTATTTATGGTCCTGGTGCTGTGGCGAATAGTATAAATCCTACACGTGACACCAGAGAGCTGTCATTTCATGAAGCTCCGTCTTCCCTCCTTGTCCTCGGTCCCTTCAACTTCATCTCGTTTGATAGAGTCACAGTCACCTTAAACATGAGGACCACAGTCGCTTGTCAATGGTGTCGGTGAGCTTCCCGGTTCTGATTCCTTTCGGAGATCTTCCCACTGGTTCCGGTAGCTCCGTCTAGATGACAGGAAAAACTGGAGGAACTCATTATCTCCTTTGCGAGATGTAATCAATAGCTAAGAAAGTCAATACATAGAAGTGCGAAAATAAAATGCCATCACGATGGGTCCCCGCCCTGTCGGTCCTGCTCGGTGAACCCCGGAAGGCAATGTATCTTGAGCACCCCGAAACATAAATCGAAACGACATCAAAGCTCTTCTAGACCCAAAAGGCATCCCCTAAGACGAGTTTCAGGGGCTACCAAAGATCCAGAGGAACCAGGAACAGCAGCGGGTCGTTCCCTTTCTCACACCGAGTCAGCAAGGGACCAACCTACCAGAATCAGCACGCAATGGTCATTCAACGGTGATATAGAAAGGCAAAGTGAAAACTGGACACAGCCAGCACAGGTACTCGGGCCTAGGGATCCTTTGATGGGGTTGGATGACAAACTCCTGAAAGATGCATTTTATGTCTTTGTCCGTCATTTCCCCGAGTTCGGGTTTTTCCATCAGCCAACGTTTTGCATACTTCTCGAGAAAGGAGGCATTCCAACATTACTGCTTTGTGGCATCTTGGCCTTAAGTTCCCGATTTATGCCGGAGCTGGCCAGTCTTCATGGCAGTCCTGGAAAGGCTTCCGAATATTTTGCGAATTATGTTCGTCAGAATATCATGAGTCATGCCATGACCGCCATGGATATCCACACAGTCCAGACGCTACTCATGTTAAGTTTGTATGACTGGGGAAATGGCGATGGCTCCCGTGCTTGGGTGTATAACGGTATGGCTACCCGTATCATTCATGGGGTTTACGCACAGGTCAAGGAATCTGCTAAGACGGACATGTCCACTTTCAAAAACTCTCAACTGGAAGAGGCATGTAGGACTGTCTGGGCTTGCTTTCTACTTGACGCCATGATTGGGTGTGGAAAATGTCAGGCTGCCAATTTCTCCATGAGTATAAGTAATATCCCTCTTCCCTCGGGCGAGGATGACTTCGCCTTTGGAAATAGTCAGCCTCGTAGACCCACCACATTCATGCAAGCGTGGGATTTTGAAACCAATGATTACCACCCACAAGGTTCATCATCGCCAGAGAAAATGGGATATGACCAAACATTCGCTTTGATAGTCCAAGGCTTCCACATCTGGCAAACTATTTCATCTTGGGTTTCGACCGGGGGGAGAAAACGTGAGTCGCCGTCATCAAGAGAGCCTCCTTGGCGAAGCTGCTCATTCTGGTCTCGCAGTATGGCCGCCCTAAAAGATTGGCGTGCATCACAATCTCCACAGTTAATCTATTCTGCGTCGAATATAAACCTTCAAGTCTACATTTCACGCAGCGAAGGGGAACGTTTCGTTATCACGAACCTTCTCTATTACTTGAATCTAATTCTGCTTCACCGGGAATATATCCCTTTCGTGCCTCAGCTGATCAACCGGCCACAAGGTCCAATACAGCCTCCCTTGTTGATAGAAGAGGCTCCTCTTGGATGGTGGGATCAGAGTGCGCAAGAACTGTTTGCAGCTGCGTCAAATATCATCCAAATTATGCAGGAGCTTAATAAGGGTGGCACCCAATTTCAGACACCATTTACATGCTTTTGCGTCTTCAGTGCTGCGTCCACTCTCTGTTATGCGAATACATGGCCTTACATGGCACCCGGACTCGACCCTCAAACTTCATCAACGATGTTCTCATGGGCATCTGCATGGCTAAGCCAAGCATGCAAGTTCTGGAAAGTCGCAAATGGATGGTACAGGACAAATCTCACTTTATGCCAGCTTTATACACAGATTAAGATGGATCCCACTCAGCTCCTAGATGTGCGACGAGATGTATTCACGGTCCTGGAGGAGAATATCCAGCGACTAGCAGGTTCGGAGACCTTGGATCTAGCCGATATACCGACCGCGAACATACTTTTATTACTGCAGAGACAACAAAGGGAAACAGAGAGCAGCAGCGAGGCGAACACGGGAGAGAGAACCAAGGTGTTCGAGAGCAACGTAGAAGCCTCTCAGGGAGTGCGCGACATAAGTACACCCTTGTTGGTAGAAAGTGGACAAGAGCCTCCCGCGGCAATTCCAACTCTACCCTCCTACCTAAACTCTGACCAGGACCTGTTTGCAAATATTCTATTAGACCCTTCCGGTGACTGGACACGCCCTTTTATTGACACTACACAAATTTCTAGGCCATGAAATATTTGCCCGAGAGAGTTCTCAAAATAGTAAAATTTGCGACTGGCCAGGCTCCTCTTGCAAAACGGCTTTTCAGCGTTATCCTTCCCCACTAGGGAAGCCCAGGGCGATACCTTTAAAGACGAAGCCTGACAATTGGGGCGTTACACATTGCAGTTTTGATACAACAAGCTCACTGCCGAAGATGCTATTTGACATAAAGCTGTTTCTCCGCAGCCACTGCCCGGAAAACCCGTTACATCAATATCTGCAGGATCCTATCTCCAGCATGCAATGAACCAATGCCAGCGCGCCCTACCCTAGCTGACCCTTTCCTAGATGTACTAAGTACTGAGGATCATGTAAGATTGAAAATAATTTCGAAGGATCTCAGTTACACCAAGGGGAAACTTGATGTAGGGGTCATTGGAGGAACGATTAGCAAGGGGCCTCGATGTGAACGTATCAACTTTTATGATCTAGGTAGGGCGCGTGTCATGCAATGTCTCTGTTGCCGGTTCAACCATGGAGAAATCAACGGACAGTCCCTTGGTGGCATATCATAACACTCCCAGTGTAGGCAACGTCTATATAGCAAGACATAGTCTAGGCGATGCCAAGCCTTTCCACTGCCTATCTAGGGTTCCGAACCGGCTCATTTATCCACTGGCGAAGGTAGCTCGACCGCTAATGTTTCATCACAACACAAGCCCTGTTGCAGAGCTCAAGCTCAATGTTGTTGTTCATTCACCTTTCGATTTCGATACTCTTCTTTCAGCATGATTCCTTATCTTACTGAACCAACAGGAATTCGCACGGCAAGAATCCAAACATGATTTAATTGGGATTAAAACGAAAGCTCCAACCAAATTTACGCCCCATAAACCATACGAGATAACATCTCAACGATGGCATATACAGGCTGACCCAAGAAAGGGTGTGCAAAATGCAACATCGGTACATGCACGAGACCCTATGCCCTAGAATATTCCCAATTGGCGCCTTAGTGGAGAATCCGTCCGTTCGCCAACTATGTTAAGCAACACAATTGCCATGTTATTGGTGGAGCCTGGGTCTAATATGCCGAGGGACTCTTGGCATACTGACTCCTGTCTGAAAGTGAGTCCGGAGAAACCTGACATGGCTTGGCGACCCCCCATCTCTGGGCTCAACGTTCTGCAGGCATGGCCCTATCCACGAGCTTGATTGATGGAGAATAGGGCTCTAGAGCCGACTCTCTGACACTGCGCTGCTTTGCCTAGAAACCGTTGTATCGGACAGATTATGGGTATGTTGATTAGGAGGTAGTCTCGGAGCAAGTCAGTAATATATAATTTTGCATTGTTCGTCGTCTCAATCTGTGTGGGCTTGAATTTCTCTCCTTCGTCTTTGTTGAGTTTCTGCATTCTAATCCACTCTCTGTTTGTAATTTCCTTCTGTTAATTTTCAAGGCAAAATGAAAGCCGTTCTTTCACTCACAGCCCTCCAGCTGCTGGCCAGCTACGTGACGGCGCTCCCGCTGCAGGACAGCTCCTTGACCAAGAATGTCAAGCGCCAAAACACCAGCTCATGGAACCCCCCATCGGAACTTGTGACTCCTCTTAATGAGGTAAGACTTTCTCTTAACGCTCTTCCAAGATCGGAAACGCACTAACCCACAGGCTGGATACATAGGTATGGGAACACGAGATGTCCACCTACAGCGACCCTCTCGGATTCCGCAACTACGGATTCGACCAAGTAATCGACGGCAAGGGTAAAATCAACTACTGCGTGCGCTGGGACTCCACCCAGTCGGTGACCCAGGCACAGCGTGAACAGGTCGAGACTGCCGTCCGGCGGTCGTTCAACAAGTGGATAGGCGAACTCGCCGGTTTCGATGGGTTCCCCTACGACACGGTGGATGTCAATGTTGTCGGATGGGCTGTCAAGGACAAGTCCCTGCTGCAGGGCGATACCTCGGGTGTTGAGGTGTATACTACCACCGATGAAGAGGGTATTCCGCAGTGTGATCCGGGCTGTGGACGTTTCTTCCACCAGGATAACGACTACAGTGCCTGTGCTGCTGGGGCTGATCGTCACTATGGTATGCAATCTCATTCCTTGTACCTGATGGCATTGAAGACAAATACTGACGACGACATAGACCAAAGCCTGTGGCTCACTGATGGTTTCGAAGGCGGCGCCGGTGGTGACTGGGGCCAGCGTATCGGTCAGGAGTATTTCATGCAGAACCTCGAACTTGAGGATATCCATATTCTGCTGCATGAGATGGGTCACACTTTTGCTCTGGACGGTATGGTATTCTCCGTTCGCTCTAGGAGACATGGACGCTAATATTTCTAGATTTCTATGACTGGACCCCGACTGGTCAGACGAGCTTCATCATGTTGGCTGGTAGCGCGATGAAGATCACTGAGTTTGACGCTTGGATGGCCAGGGACTGGTGGCGCCATCTGAAGTCCCGCTACAGCCTTTAGATGGCCAATGAAGTGCTTGACATGGGTTTGCACATATTTAAGGGCATCCATTGATATATGCAGCCGTAGGATAGTCGTCTTAGCCTAATTCCAAGTCGAGCGATATTGGTTGGGGTCACTCCAAGTCGACCGCAGCATTATCCAATTCAATACACCCAAAGCTTCTCTGTATGAGGTGATCCTTGATAGTATCCAATATTCGGACTCGATAGAAATACATATTGACCATGGTAGCTGAATGGAACACAGTACAGACAAGAAGAGTAATAAAAGTTTGAGGAGGCGAAGTCAAAACAAAATTACCAATAAATATTCCCATCATCGCCGGCATCTGGACGGCCCAAAATAATACAAGACCTGGCGCCGCAGTGACTGGGAAAACAAAACAAGGGTATCGACTGGTCCAGTCACGCTCGGCACAGCTCCGGGCTGATCTAAGTAGCCACTTCATCCATTTGAGTGTTCTGCGGTGCCGGTGCAGGGGAGTCCTGCTTTCCAAGAGGCCTATAGCCCGGAAGATCGCATTGGAAGACTCCGCAGATGCCGAGAACGACAACGATGGTCAAGGTGCAGAAGAGAAGCCTGATTAAACCGTCTCTTGTGTCAGTATATCTTCATATCATCTGCTAAACCGGAAAAGGTAGAACAAACCAGATCAAAACGGCAAAAGCGATGATCACATTCACGTAATCCGACTCGCCAGCCCCATACGATAACCGCGCGGCCACAGTAGCAAAAGAAGCTAACCAGAAGACCATGGTCACGAAGTAAAGTCCGAGCAATCCGATGGTGATCAATTTGTTGAGACCAGTGCCCACAGTTGCTTTACTCCGGAAGACCCATGGTATGACCGCGGTCGCAACCGAAACTAACATTGTCCATATTGAGTTGAATAGAATGAACGCGAGGATTGGTGAAACCACTATTCTCACTGTCTGGGATGTGTATCCGTTCGTCCAGGGGTCATAGAGATATCCCGTGTAGCCCTGGGTGAACAATGAGACTATGTAACCGGTGAGACCTAGTTCGACGACCGCGAAGGCGAATGTGGTGCCTAGAAGCGCAAATGGCACCGTTGGAGGGAGATTCATGTTTGAAGTATTCAGTACGGGTGCCGAGACGAGGACGACGGGACGGTTGAGACGAGAAGTGTTTGCAGGAAGAACAGGCAATGATATTTAATTCAAGGATTTTTATGCTTTTATTGTGTTGTAACATTTTGTAATCCCCATATTGTGGAGTGTCCCAAAGAGGAAAGAGTTTGCGACATGTCAGACATAATATAGGCCTGTTCGTGTTCCATATGAAGATCGGCAAGGAACCTTGCATGCACGGGTGCTAGTTTGCTCCCGATCAGATACATCCGAAAGGGATGCCCATTCTAGGAAGAGCGTACGGGTTTCTGAGACATGAAATAGGTTTTATTCTTCAATAACTTGGTGGAGAGGATCTCCAATGACGTGACTTGCAAAGCTAGCGCAGATGATCTTCCACAACTGAATCATGCGTGGCATGCTTTGATCGACCTGGTGCTAATCGCATCGATGGAACACATAGCCCAAATTATGCGAAGCAATCAACGAAAGGTAATCTAATCTTCTCCTTAATGAGCTCCAGGGCCTGGACGACTTTCTCGTCCTCAAATCTCTTCGCTACCAGCTGCAAACAGACCGGTGCTTCCTGTTGTTTCTGCGCATCGTAATGCTCATGACACCAACTATCGAATTCATTTCGGGGCGCGTACGTCCTGTCCTTCGCATCCTTTGCGGGATCAACTTTGGTGACAGGGAAGACAATTGCTGGGTAGTCCAACAGATTCCAGATGGATGTGTATCCCCAATAACGGGAGGTGTTAAGCAGTGGCGCGGGTGTCGGATATGCCGGGCAGAGGATAACGTCCATTTCAGGAGCGACCGAGTTCCATTCTGAGAAAGTTAGCACGGGTAGTCTACAGCCAATCCTCCAAAGAATTCGCCGTACCTTGACAGTAAGAGTAGCGGAACATTTCACGCTTAAGGGTCCACTCCCAGACTCCATGCAGATTGAGCTCTTCGACGCCAGGAGTATCGCGGAGCGTCCATGCCAGAAGTGGCAAATAAGGCTCTCCTGAGAGCGCAAGGTTTTGCGCAAATGCCTTCCCGCCATCCGGAGCGTATAGTCTCGTCTTCATTCCGACGTTAGTTAAGCAGTCCTTGGTTTGCGTTGAAGAATTCTCCACAGTTGTGGGTTTACGTGAGGAGACTTACAAGAATCTCTAATGCTTCTTTCTGTTGATAAGGCTTCCACTCGATGACCTCGATATCGGAAGCACAGGCTTTTAACCGTTCGACTGTTTCTTGTAGGGCCCTTGCTACCGGTGGTGCAGGCTTCACGACACCATCATCCCATATAACTCCCACAGTAAGTCTTTTCTTTCCGTCTCGGTAGATGTGGGATTCATTATCACGCCATGGGATTTGGTGCAACGACGGATCACCATTCCAAGGTTTGGCGGCCAGTATAGTTTTCATAAAAAGGTTAATCCCTCCTAGGGTTGGTGAGAGTGGCCCCAAGGTGCCGAGAATTGTTTCACAGCCGATCACATATGCAGCGCATCCGATCAATGGAACGCGGCCATTGGTTGGCTTGAGGCCATAGAGCCCGCAATTAGAAGCAGGAGATCGGATGCTGCCGCCTGCGCAAGAGCTTAGCTTCAGGTATCTGAGATTGATGTTCATGAAAAACACTTTGCGACGTACCGATATCTGATCCAATTCCGAGGGGGCTGCCATAAAGCGCTTGCAACGCCGACTCACCCCCAGATGAACCGCCGGCAGAGAGAGCCGTATTGTGTGGATTCACTGTATTGCCGGTGATGTTACTGCAGGTTTCGAGTGCCATCTATGTTTCTCGGCCGTTAGCCAAGGCATGGTTCTCTTGCTCCCTGGGCATAAAGCACATACCAAACCCTGTGGCTCAGTCGTTCTTGCATATACCACGGCACCCGCGTCGACGAGTATCTTCACGATTTTCGCGTCTTCCGTATTCTTTCGGCCAACCCAGCCGACAAAGCCGGCTGTATTGTCTCGACCGGCAATTCCTACATGTGCTTTGACACTGATCGGTAAGCCGTGCAACGGCCCCACTGGCTTTCCGTGTTCGACCAAGTAATTGTCCAGTTGCTCTGCCCAGGCAAGAGCGCGCTCGGGAAGGAGTTCATAGATGCAGTTGGTCTATACACAGCAAAAGGCGTTAGTCATGACTGCCAAGGTGTCTTACAGTAGTCTTGACAATCCGCTCACCAGCTTTTGGGCAATTCCTGCACGCCTCAGGAAAGCCTTTGTGACCGCTGTCGCAGTCAGTTTCCCCGCGGCTAGAGAGGCTACCAAATCCTCAGCAGGGGTTTCTGTGATGGACACCTCCGAAAGGGAGAGGAGCTGTCGAGGAATATCGATCACCCGGTCGGGGAGTGTTGCAGGCAACGAAGGTATCGGGGGGTCGACACGTGTAATGGAGTCATCGCGAGTCGCCTGCACCCCCTGAGCAATTTCTTGCCAGGAAGGCCTCTCGTTGGGGGTTTCCATTTTCGCAACGGAGCCTAGCGCTGATCGCTTTTTTGTGGCTGCTTAAGCTATTGGCGTCTGCGCAGAAGCCTTACACATAAAGCGCTGTTCAAGGTAGGATCGGAACCCCGGTCTAGTAAAGCGAACCCACGAGCGCAGTGTCGTGGATTTATAGGTACTGTATTTATAACCTATGTTACATCGCTCCCTCGTCGCCATTCCGCGGTGGGACGGCTTTACTTAATTATTCACGTTAGGCCATTTTGTCCCAAACGTGCTCGGTGGGTATTTGTTTGAGATGGCTAATCGCACAAAGATCTTCACTGTCATCAAAAGTCTCCAGGCAGGATGGTAGTCTTGGCACAGGATCAGCATCCTTGTCCAATTCATGCAGACCCCCTGCTTAGCTGAACGTGAAGCGGCCGAACGATCAGGGTCCACCGGATAGTTTCATAGTAGTGCTCCTTTGCTCGAATCAACGTGATAGGTGTGGGTATTGAACTTCGGCCAGGATTATGCTAATGCATCACATCGTCTAGGCACCCGGCCACAGAGTGCAACGCTGTTGTGGACTGGCAGAAAAATTGTCTTGCACGGTGAAACTTCTTGATAAGATCAGGCACAGTTTTCTCGCACAGCTTTCTCGGCATAAGCAGAAGTTATCCTTCGCTCTTTAACGGCTTTTCGAACACAACAAAAAGATCTGCTGAACCCTCGGACGAGAGGAGGATCTTCGGTCGTTTCTTCGTTAAAATGCAGGTTAGCACCGCTTCAGTCCATGAGGACCGAGGCCCGTCGCTTTGGGTTGTTAACAGTATATTCATCGGGCTGGCGACTCTGGCCGTCATCGCGAGATTCGTGGCAAGAAAGCTGAAGAACTTAGCCCTGGCCGCCGATGATTGGGCAATATTTGTTGCACTGGTAAACACAGATCCCGGTTTGGCTTAGACACTGACTGACGCTGGCTAGCTGCTTGACTGGGTTCTGTATGGCCTGTTTATTGCCTGTAAGGATTCTTCCTCAGCCGTAGGGATTGGTGGTTGTACTCACAATCTTTGCATCATCCAGGTAGAGGATATGGACTAGGAAAGCACCGAGAGGTCGTCCAAGAGGCCGATATCGCTGTGTTTCTTGAACTTCTCTATTACTTCCAGATCTTCTATATCCTCGCGCCGCCAACCGTGAAGCTGTCGCTTTTGCTGTTGTATCGTCGGATCTTCGTATCCTCCCGGTTCCTCAACATTGTGTACGCTATAGGCACAATTATCAGTGTATGGGCGATTATCATGACCTTCCTAGCCATCTTCAACTGCAAACCAATCAGTGCGTTCTGGACCGGCCAGGGGAAATGCATCCCCTTCAAGCAGTTCGCCGTCGGATATGCCATCGTGAACATCACCACTGACCTGGCAGTGTGGCTCATGCCGATCCCGAACATGTGGAAGCTACAGCTTCCGACCGCACAGAAGGTTGCCTTAACACTCATTTTTGTCCTCGGCCTTCTGTATGGATCTTTCAACCCCACAAGTGGCTATTTGAGGACCAAATACGACTGACACTTATGTTCCTTAGTGATTGTGGCGCGGCTCTCGTGCGACTCCTTTCGTCGATGCTCGTCCTTGGGAACTGGGATGTGACATTCGACTATGCACGCGGATTCATGTGGTCCATTATCGAAGTTTCCCTCGCAATTGTCTGTACCTGCCTCCCGACGATGCGCGTTATTTTAAAGATTATCTTCAGTCGAAGTTTCGCCCGAGCGCTGGGATTCTCGAGTTTGACGCCTAGACGCCAGAGCTCAAGTAAAAGAAGTTGGCTTCGAGGACCCCAATACAAAGAGATTCATGGGCCGTGGAGGGTGCGGCCTGGCGCCGAGAATTATCACCATAGTGATGTTACCACGGGTGGTGAGCGAGACGATGGCTCTAGCAGGGCACGAGAGATTCGAGTTTTGGAAGAGGTTAAGGTCGAGCTTCAGCATATCAAAGTACCCCCAAATGCAGCGCCATGATTGGGGACGACACTTTGCCTAATCTTCAGCGTACTCACTCGTGGGAATCAAATCGCGATCGGATTGAGTATTGATATTGGCACTGGTGTGAAACAAGACGAGTGGGACAATAGTCCACGTTATGTTGCTACACAGGGTTGACCCGAAACGCACGACGACTGGCCCAGCGAGTATGGTCGATGCCCTCTGCACGAACACATGGTAGAGAGTCAAACTGGTAGCGTGTCTGCTAGTCTGTTCCATGGCCTCCAGCATTTCACATCAAACCAGTCGATGCCAAGACGCAATCTCAGTCGAACTCCAGACCGCTTCACTTCCCTCGGAAAGAACATGCTCTTTGTGCCGCATGTATCACCACCATTTTCAATGATTTTGAAATCACACTACGACGATCGAAAGGAACTGTCTCCTGTCCGTGCATGGCGCCATGAGCGGGGTTCGTCACATCAGAGCTCGCCATTGCTGTCGATTTGGTCGTTGAATGTGTCGCTCGGTGGTGGACACAACCTACAAGGTGTTTTGCACGAGGCGAAAGAGATTCTGAGGCTTTGATTAAGTTTCCATCTCATTACAGAGGTGGATGATAGAACTATGTCCGAGTTGGCTCCAGGATGAACAGGCGGAAAAGAGGTTTAGTCACCTGGTCCCACGTGAGAGCTCTCGGATAAAGCGTGCCGAAGGATGAGCGCCGGCGAGAGAATTCGGTAAATGCAGTCTAGAAACACGACAGACAAGACCCCACGGGGTAAAAATGACAGTCGGGAACCTCCGCTGCGGGGAGAAAGGAACCATTCCCGGAAATAAATAAATATGAATGTCCGACGCTTTTTCTTGGGCTCTTATCGGAAATTTTTCAAGCATGACAGACATGGCAATGCAAGAGAAATTCCCCGGGCAAGCCTCCCGAAACGATGATCATGCCCAATATCCCGATCAACCGGGAGTCGGAGATACATCCACCCGCGACGATGCACAACAAGCAAAGCCCCCTCCCAATGGCGGTTTGCAATCGTGGCTCAACGTGGCGGCGGCCTTCTGTGTGTTTGTGAATACCTGGTATGTTCCAGTCAAGGACTTCTATATCACACACAATGGTCCAGGCACGCTGACCAACTCACTAAGGGGATTAATCACCACATTCGGTGCGTTCCAAGAGTATTATCGAACGGTACTGCTACGCGACCAATCCTCCTCGGCCATCTCATGGATCGGTAGCATTCAGGCCACTCTGATCCCCATGGTGGGAATGATCACTGGTCCACTGGTCGACGCCGGCTATCTGCGCATACTAATCTCCGGTGGTAGTTTCCTCATCGTATTTGGCATGATGATGACAAGTCTAGCGACGGAGTACTACCAAGTAAGTCTCGATCCATACCCATACTCATTGCATGGGGTCTAATCTGAGCCCCTAGGTACTCCTAGCCCAAGCCTTCTGCACGGGATTAGGCGGAGGAGTCTCGTACATCCCGGCGATGGTGGTGCTATCCTCCTCCTTCACGACGAAGCGAGCAGTGGCGGTTGGCTGCGCATCAATCGGGTCCAGTGTTGGGAGCGTCATCTTCCCAATCATGTTCCGTCGCCTGCAACCTCTGATCGGATTTCCATGGGCCGTGCGCTGCATAGGGTTCATCAATCTATTCATGGCCATCATAAGTTGCTCGATCCTCTGTCGCCATCCGGGTAAGAAAACACAGGCCCGTAGTTTAGTGGAATGGAAAGCTCTGAAACAGCCAACATTCATGCTCCTCTCGGTATCGCTCACCTGCGTGATGCTCGCCTACTACGTTCCGATTTTCTATGTTGCCACCTACGCACGGGTCAGATTGAACACGGAAACGAACCTCTCTTTCTACCTGGTCTCCATCATCAATGGAGCGTCGGCATTCGGACGAACGGTCCCTTACCTGCTCGGATCTCGTATCAACACCATCTTTGTCCTGATTTCGTGTACCGCGGCATCGGCAGTCGCCATGTACACTTGGATTGCGACAAGCAATACGGCTGGATTCATTGTCTGGGCCTGCTACTGGGGTTTCCTGAGTGGGGTTCTGGTCACCGCACCGACCTCCATCGTCGCGCACCCCGTTTTCACTCCGGACAAGAACTACCTAGGCACTCGGATGGGCATGATGTGGGGCATTAGTTCCTTCGGAGCGTTGGCCGGGGCACCCATTGCGGGAGCGTTGGTCGACCTTGAACATAAGAACTTCATCCGGGCGCAAGTGTTTGCTGGCAGTTTGATGATAGGCGCTGTGCTCTTACAAATGTGGCCGACGATTGCTGCCGTTAGGTACGATCGTAATCGAGATCGGGGGCCCAAGTAACGGAAGAGAAACCGCTTAGAATAGACAGCGTTGCTGATTGTGTGGGCAGTCCGTGCCTACGAGGCTAGACTGCGTATATTCCAGCTCATGAACCATAATTCATCACATTTTTCAGTAAGAACAACTAGTCATCCATAGTCACCCACCCAACCCACCAAGGAATCGCTCCCCAACTGGCTGTCCAGCTATAAGTGGGTCACAGATCATCCGGCTCACACCTTATTTTTTACACTTTTACAGGCAGGGAAGTGTCGCCGTGGTGTTAATTTTGGTACTGGTACACTTTCAGATGCTACTTCTCTTTGATTATTACAGAATAATGGCTTCTTACAAGAAAGGTGGTTGCGGTGGTCAGCTGGTGATATATAGACCAATAGCCTCACCAATAACGAGAAGGCACCTGCCCTGATCCAAGCCCTCAAAGTCGAATTGACCGTCCTATGCCTCATTTCCGCTTGACCTTCGAGCCCCTCACTCTGAATATATCTTACAGCACGGTCGCCATAATAATGTTGAACGCATTATATATACCCAACGCCGTCTAGTTCCAAACAGGACTCAGTGGCTCAAGATCGTCACACGTTATCGGATAAGGATAAACTCGCAGGCGAGGCTTCTCGCACGTCGACGATCACGGATACCTCGACTGACGACCGTACAAATGGCCTGGAAAGTCTACAAACACAGTCTATGGAGGCATATCATTTTATGCCAAATACCCACGAGCAGCAGGGAGAGCACTTCTCAGGATCGGCGGATCCATCGTGGGACAATCAGATGTGGCAGCCTTTTTCTACCGCGCCTTCGGTATGTTGGTATAACGCTGATATGTTGGATACAATTCTGGACTCTGGTAATGCTTATAGTCTCTGATGACTGTATTTTATTCAAGCATGGCTTTGGTCTGTCTTTGTTCTCAGGGCAACCAGTCAATGGTTATATTTGTTGGAAAAGATAATTAAAATGGACAGGGATATGCGGCAGAGCGCGCATAACTGTCACTAGTGCTTATGGCTATGGTGCTAGCTTAAGTCCAATCACGAAAGAACAAAGAGAGCAGTATTGGTTGGGTGTCTTGGCTGTCTATCTTGTCACACTGCTCTTTTTTCCAGCTCCTAGCGAGACTTATAATTGTACCATGTTGGGATCAACATTCAGCTTCCTCGAATCTCCACCCCATCACTCAGCATTGTGATGCAGAGTAGTTAAATTGACTATGAACTGCGAAAGTCCAAGGTTCTTGGTACAAATAGTGGCTCTCACGTCTTGGCCACGCATGTATCACCAGTTATTACTTAATAGGGTATAATATAGACAGCCATCGGCATAAAAAAAAAAAAAAACCTCACACCCCTGTAGGGAAGACAAAGAAACTATTACACACCTCTATAGGGGACACGTATTTAAACCATTACCTTCTCCCAAAGTAACCTCCTTTCTCCATCCATTCACTGTCCGCCATACTGAATAAAATTAGCCATGCCGTACAAATCCCGCTGGCGGATCGACGTCCCCGACACCCACCTCGCATCGATCCTACTGACCTCACCCACCGCACCACTATCCAAGACCGACAGATGTTTTCTGGACGCCGAACACCCAGACACGCATTATTTCACGACCCATGACTTCCGGCTCTGGAGTCAGCGGTTCGCAGCCGGACTACAAAAGTCGGGTTTGCGTCCGGGCGACCGCGTGCTCATGTTCTCGGGAAATGACTTGTTCTTCCCGGTGGTGTTCATGGGGATCATCATGGCGGGAGGTATTTTCACTGGCGCGAACCCGATGTACGTCCCGCGTGAGCTGGCCTATCAGCTAAAGGATAGCGGTGCCACGTATTTGATCTGTGCGCGTGCCAGCCTCGACACGGGTCTCGAGGCAGCCAGGCTAGTTGGCTTGAGCCGAGACAAGGTATTTGTTTTCGACAACACCCTATACGATGGCCAGGGTGTCGGCGAAAAGGGCTGTCGATACTGGGGCGAGCTGGTGGCATCCCCGGAAGAAGGCGAGGGGTTTGCATGGGACGATCTGTCCACACCCGAGCTGGCTGATCGTACCCTCGCGCTCAACTACTCCAGTGGTACCACGGGCCGACCCAAAGGCGTCGAGATTACCCACAAGAACTACGTCGCCAATATGTTGCAGTTCACGTACATTGAGCGTCTTCATCCGAACTATGAGGCGAAGCGGGGTCGCAAACGCTGTCTATGCTTCTTGCCGTTGTACCATGCCATGGCGCAGATGATTATGATTGCGGCCACTTTAGCCCTGAACACACCCGTGTATATCATGCCGAAATTTGACTTCATCCGGATGCTCGAATACACGCAGAAATACCACATTACGGACTATGTTGTCGTCCCGCCTATTGTGGTTGCCTTGGCCAAACACCCGGCAGTCAGGCAGTATGATCTGAGTAGCGTGGAGGATATAGGGTGTGGCGCTGCGCCATTAAGCAGGGACGTTTGTGAGCAGGTGCAGGCGCTGTGGCCTCCAGGAAAGGTGAATATCAGGCAAGGTTATGGGATGACTGAGTAAGGTTTCCTTTCGCCATTTTCAATGCACTCGCAGATGCTCATGAATGACCGTAACAGAACCACCTGTTCGGTGATGAATTGGGACCCCAGAGAGAAGGGGTTTTCGGCTGCGGTTGGGGAGCTGAACCCCAACTGTGAAGCTAAGATCATGGCGGAAGACGCCCTGACTGAGCTTCTAGAGCGCAAGCAACGCGGGGAGTTGTGGGTACGCGGACAGAATGTCATGAAGGGGTACTGGCAAAATCCGGAGGCGACCAAAGCAACCAAAACGGGAGATGGGTGGCTCAAGACAGGCGACGTTGCTTTTGTGGATGACCATGGCAAGTTCCACATTGTAGACCGACTGAAGGTGAGCATTGGGTTTGACGGGTATAGAACATTAATTAACACATATGACACAGGAGTTGATCAAGGTCAAGGGCAATCAGGTTGCCCCCGCTGAGCTCGAGGCCCTACTACTAGAACACCCAGCCGTCGTAGATACCGCCGTGATTGGAATTTCCACGTAAGACCTTCTTGTTTCTTCATGGCTTGTCCCGCCACTGCAGCGAACGCTAACTTCCACGTAGCGACAACGACGAGCGGCCTCGGGCCTACGTTGTGCTCAAGCCCGGGCAGGCTGCTTCGGCCAAGGACATTACGCAATTCATCGATGGGAAGGTGTCGCCGATCAAGCGGATCACGGGTGGGGTAATTTTCATCGATACCATACCCAGGAACCCGTCGGGGAAGATTCTGCGCAAGATGCTCCGTGACCAGGCTCAGAAAGAGCTGAAGGAAGGCGTTACGGCGAAGCTATAGACAGACCTCCCAACGCATGTTATTTTCAGCAGATGCACTGTCGGTCTTTGTCCCATTACTACCGATATACTAGTCTCTTCTGCAGATGTGCTTCTGATTTCTGGTCACTTTCAGGGACAGGAGAGGGTTTTGCTTCCTTATAATGCTCCAAAAATCGAGAGGCGCGCACAGTGGTCCAATTAGGGATATTTTGCGTAGATGTCACAGTGTCAAACAGGTACCGAGCAATTCTCTCTTCAGTTTCACCGATAATATTGGATGTACCTTGCTGGTCTTTGGCTTCTAGTTCAGCCTTGAGAGAAACGATGGCTATGGAAGCCGCGAAAGTCGAGCTAATGATACCCTCGTAATGAGGCCATGAGAGTAAAGCTCTGATTGCTCTCAGCCGGAGGGCATATCGCGGGCAGTTCACAGCAACCGTGTGAAGTCCTGGAATAATTCCCAAATCCAGTGTAATTGTCGGACGTTCCGTGAACTTCGCCATGTATGTCTCATGGGCTAACAGTAGATCCTCGTATTCGGGGATCAGATCATTAGGTACGGGTTTCTTCATAAGACAGGTTTTAACAGCGACCAGCTGACTACGATATTGTAGTCGAACAATATCTGCACTTTGCTGCCCCCTATAGCTCAGGGTAGGATAATACTGATCGTAAAATGTTTCGAATTGGCGCCGGAAACGCGTATATAGAGACAGGATCCGCTGCTGCCTGAGGCACAACTTGCTGTAATTGGCCTGGACCTCGGTGCTGGAAAGCAACCAACGATTGGCGAGGAAATGGACACCAGCATGGAGCAGGGAGTTCATATTGTGCCGTATCTCTTCTAGACTGTGCAGGGGGCGGATAAAATCCTCGTCGGACAGCTCCTTGAGCCCGTCGTTCGCAAATAAGAATGGGCCAGAACCAAAATGCGCAGATTGAACGTCCAACTGGCGGAATGCCTGGATAACGCAAGACGGGATCCGCTGTTTCTGGGCGTGTGGTGATTCTTTTAGGATTCGGAGACCACCTCGCAAGTGCTGCAGAGCTCTGGTATACTGTCCCAATAGCAACTCGGCGAGAACGAAGAGCAGACAGCATAGCAGTACAATTTCAAGGCGTTCGGGGTCCTGCGAAGCACATCGTCGGTTTAGAAGAGCAAACGATCTGCTAGCCTGTTCCAGTGCGAACCGATGTAAGGGCCGGCGGAGGTTTTCGCCTACCAGCAACAGCTTGGTCGTCTCCGAGTCTTCATGAAGGGCACTTAGCGCATTGGCGGCATGGTACACGGCCTGGTCGGCGCGACTCATCTGCAAAGCCAGTTGCTGCCATAACTGGGAGTCGAAGAATCCGGCTAGACTCGGGATAGAACGATATTGGAAATAGGAAAAGCAGCGTCTCTCATCCGCGGTCGGAACCCAGCCCAAGCACAGCTCCACTTCTGGGATACGTCCCAGCGGGCTCTTCCTCTTAATTGGCAACCGACACAAGTCATATCCCTCACACTTCAGTCCTGCAGAGGCACAGTTGTTGCATTTAATGGGAGCCTCATCGCATTTGATGCGGCGAGCGCTGTGCCAAAGATTAGCCGAGGTTCACCCACGCGTTCGATCTTATCTTTTATTTTTCCTTACCGGCAGGTCCGGCATCCCGTCATAGACCGCCTTCCGCGTTTCCTGCGTCGTGGAGGAGCTTCTGGCATTTCCAGACCAGGTTATGATTCCTGCGCGGGGGTCAAGGGGGTAAAATACAGCACATATATTAAGCTTTACCTAAGTTGAGCTGGACTGCAGCTAGGGCTGAACACAATCAACTCATCCTCTCCCCTCTCGACTGACTGGAAGTGTTCCGGAAGAGGAACCTCGCTTATGAATGGGTGGATGATCTCATGCCCTTCTCTCTCTAGTTCGTTTGAACCCAAGTCCCCACTAATTACGTGGCGTCATCATAATCAATCGCGCTAACGAACCGATCTTTCTTCAAGAATAACCTCGCCAAAGGCATGTTTGTGGATCTGATTCGACTCGTCAGAACTTTATAAGGGGAACGCGAGGGTGTGTGCTCCTTGATTCCAGAGTACTCCGTACACACTATGTCTGCGCCAGCGTCTACCATCAGCGTACGGGGAGGTTTATAGATATAACATGCCAAGGGTCGGATAACACCACAATATAGCAGATTAATAGTATGAACCTTCGTGATTAATATGTAGAATACGTTCCGTCAGTATCTGAAATTGTGATATGGATCATCATCAGGTGATCCTAACTCGGAGCAAGAACATGTACTACCCAATTAAGTCCACTATAACTCAGTATGGGTGCCGAGATTGAAAATAATAATAATAATAATAATAATAAATAAATAAATAATAAAGGGCTCCACAGGAGGGGTCTGAAGGATAGGTTATATCAGGTTCTACATATTCAGCTCCAATGCCAATCTGGACTATCTCGGTGGTCGCCACGTGGAACATCTAGGGTTTCCCTGGCTCAAGGGCAAACGCAGCCGTGGTTCTCCTCATAGCTTCAAAATAAACACTTAATATAATCTAAAGACTACTGTAGATTCACATGGCGCCTCTTCTCCTCGTTTATCTTTCCCATCTAAGGGGCTTTAACAAGTTGTCAACCAGAACATGTGGTACCTCTTGAGAATTCATTGCCCAACCCGACGTGGGCTGGTCTCCTACGTCCATCTGTTCTAGATCTGCGGCACGATGAGATTCCGAGGGAGAGCATGTGAGCATTTCAATGGGTGTTATAGGCTTCCGTGGCGGTCGAGAACGTCAGGGAGCCCATCGAAGGCGTCTGATAACATGTTTATTGCTAGCGTGGTGCTGTACTTACTCGCTTGTGTTCTTCATGAGAGGGCTCCCACGTTGATACCTTGCGCTCAAGCGCATCCTAATCAACGCGGAGGTGCGTACACAAAACGATCACTGCCCCGGTTGGATTAGATGTTATTGCAGTTATTAAATTCTCCTCCGAACATGGGAGGTTATGTCCCAAGGCTTCATAATCCAAGTGCTGGCAAACTGCCACAGCATCCTCTTCAAGACCATGGTATTGGATTAACTCCTGGAGTTTGGGCCCTGTAGACATCAGTGCTCAGTCGGCTCACTTACGCAAATTACGAACAGTTCTTCTGCCACTAGAGCCTGTACAGTTTAATCATCCTGTCGGGAAGATCGCTTGGGAGCGGCCGAGCATTGCCAAGCGTATCGTATACATGCCGCGACACGAGGGGCTACTGACGATAGTTGATTGGGCGCATATTTTACAGGAGAAAACTGGTCATTGGGTCAGACTCTGGCGCATTGAGATTCCAGATAATCAACGGGCGTACTCGCTTGCGGATCGTTGATCCTATCTCCGTAGTGGGTCGAATTGGTGGATTCCCGGGGCGGCTGTGCCATTGCATGTTAAACTAAGTGGGACTATGGATGTTCTCGGAGAGTTTGACACGAGAGGTTCTTTACTGAAGGCGGGGTTTAAATGCGTTCCAGTGGTTGATGACAACATATCCCGACGCGCCAAATATGTCACGAGTCATGACAATGTACAGATTCCTCTATACTGCCGACACAAAGCGTCCACCGCCCTCATTACCGCTCAAAACTGAAAAGGTTTAGTGTGATGGATCCTATGATGTGCTACAGACAAACCAGTCAAACAAACCACAAGAATGCGCATGTTTCCCATTTTAATTTTTGGAAATTCTTCTGGTATTTGCGCTATGCAATATGATGTAAAACTATGTAAAGAGGTCAATATCTTTTATGCTGCTTTCCAGAGCAGATATGCAAATCTAACTGTCTATGTCCTCAACGCCTTGACTCAATGAAGCTGAAAGTTTTCCAAAATTAAATCCCAATCGCAGCAACCAACGCATCCATGGCCGAGCTATGTGTTGAAGCATCCACCTGAGAGACGGGGCCCGCCCAGTCCACACCCAGCTGGTTCTGCGCATTCCGATCGTTCTGCCAGATACTGTTGGCCGACGCGTTGATTACCTTCGCGTACGCGTCGTTTGGCGCGACAGAGTGCAGAAGCTTTAGGTTTCGGATGAAGATACCCTTGAACTGGGTTTCGTTACTGTCACAGCTGTCCGGTTCACACGACTCATGGATGACGTCGTTGTCGTCCGCCAGATATGCAATCGAGGCTTTAGCAAGCTTCGCTGCGGCATCCACGTACGATTCGTTGGAGACTGCCCGGTCTAGTTCGGCGAGACCTCCTAGAACGACCGCTTGATTGTAAGACCATCTGTTCGGGTAGTATTAGTCCCCTTGTCCCAGTATCTTGGCATGAAATATTGAATTGTCCGGACTTACATCGCTCCACCGTTGTTCTTACAATCGCTTGATAATCCGTCGTTGATCGTGTTGTTCGAGTTAATCATCCCGCTGTCCTTGAACCACGTCCATTGTCGGCGAGCCCAGTCGACATAATAGTCGCGATCGGATGCACGGTTGGCCAGGTGTGCTGCAAGAGAGAAGAAAAGCTCATTCGTAATGGCATTCACGTAAACATGTGTAAAGTCGGAGTCGATTCCTCCATTACCACACTTCGATGGCCAAGCTTGACTCTGAACGGCTCATTGTTAGCAACAACGCTTACCAAGTAAATCAAAAGAGGGAATCCTTACCAGATGATCAAAAATCCCGGCTGCCAAATTCAAGTAATCTTCGATTCCTGTCACATCGTAGGCGGCGATCCACGCTAGCCCCCACCATGCATCGTCATCATAGGACCCATCGATCCATTGCGTGGCGTCTACCGAACGCCGTTTGCTCTGGACGGCACTTGAATAGTAGGAATCATTGTTCCGGTCAGGATACGGGTTCGACACAGGCCCGACACTAAAGGTGTTTGCGAATACTCCTTTCACCGTGTTGTTGACCGACTCAGAGTCATCGACAAGCGCCAGGTCCGCCAACACTGTCATGCAATTGGCACCGTTCCACCACCCGCAGGTATTCCACATGCCTGTGGATGGGTTATACCATGTCTGGAGCGTGGTAAGGGCGGTTTCCGCTCGGGAGATAGCGGTACTCTGTGCGGACACGCATGTCGCCAGGAGCAAGGGGGCCAAAAGCGACCGGGGTGAGGGCGACATTTTTCGAATTGGGATACAGAGAGATAGTACGAGATAGGTTAGGAGCAATGGCTATCTCCCTGCTTCTTATAACGCCGGAAAAATTTCAAATCATAGACCCCCACTAATGCAGGAGCCAAGGGAGATGCGAAACACGTAAGTGTGCAGGCAACAAGGAACCAGGGGTGCAGATGCCCTCAGGCATTCTGGAATCGATCAGATGGCCCTGTCACATCCCTGGTATGCAAAGAATGGAGCAAGCCCCATTCTTTGAAACAAGAGACCCATTCGTGATACATCACCCGATTAGCCGCCGTTAATGCCGAGCTTAAACTTCAGACTTCAATCCTCTGCCTGTTCCTGACATTGTACCTGATGGGTCCTGAATATCATTTCCTGATTTGACCGGTGATCCATGGTTGATCTCTGCCAGGTTTTGCGTTGCCACAAAGCTCCGAAGTGCCGAGCTTTGGAAATCGTCGGCGACTGGCCGATATATTGGTTGGATTTTCAATAGTCACCAGTGATAGGCAAATATCATTCCATTTGTATAAGGTTATCAATAGCTCGGGCCGCTAGGATCCATTTCTAGACTGAAACAAAACGAAACTCACAGTGAAAGGGGGCATGTATTCTCCAACCGCTCTTCAAGGGATATACGGTCGAACCTTAGGTGAGCACCTATCGAATCTGAGCCTCGACCGGATCCTGTCCATGGTTCGGATGAACTCAGAACCATCCTATTCTTTCGACCCGGCTTTAGTTCCCTTTCACAATGCCATAAGTGGGTATTGTTTATTCAGCTCTAGACTTCTCGGCGTTTCGGGCATTGAAAATGTGTTGTGGACAGCCCTATTGTGGAGATTCAAATTTTTCGACTGAAAATCTTGAAGTGCTTCGAGTATGTCCTCGCACAACCGTATAGAATGATTGTTCGGCCTTTTCGTTTCGCTAATCCATACCACATAGGTCTTGTTTTCTTTCTTTTTTTTTTTTTTTTTTTGACCCAAAGAATTCTCCTTTTGCTTTTTTATTGTGCTATTCCGTGAGTAAAATCTCTTGTCCTGTCGGTTAAACGGCCGCCAGCGGAGCAGTCCGAAATATATACTCACTGTAGTCCTGAGGAATGTTCCACTCCCCACAAGGCGCACACCCTTCAAATGTCACTAATCGCGTAAATCACAATGTCACCGTACCTAAATTCCTTTGTGGATAAAAGCTGAAACTTCTATTGACTTTATTCCAACGTCAAAGTAGTATACTGCTCGATATCGGAGTCGGTGGATCAGTCATCCATATCCGATATGACGTGCTTCCGGTATCCGATGAGCAACCAAATTCCACACAAATGATTGGGGCCCATCGTGTGAAATCGGTGGGATTCGATCTCGCCTGTTGAATAGCTCCTTCATACTATCCAGTAAGAAGAAGTGAAAGTCGCGATCTGAGTAGACCCCAGTAGTGTCAAGGAGCTTCTATATGGCCGGCTAAAGGCTTAGGGCCAGGCACGCACGACTTTCGGCAATTGCGCCATCGAGCTAGCTTAAGCTGTCGCAATGATAAAATAATTTATTTTCCCTTCGTTCTTTGTAGTATGATGTTTGGAGCGATAACTGTCCGGCACTGCAGCTATGGTCGCTCAAACAGACGCAGTGGGTTGTCGTGATTCCGCTCCGGAGGAACGGGGTGGGACAAAACCTTCTTACCAGGTTATCTCGGAGGACAGCGATAGACATCCAAATGGCCATGGCCATGACGAGGAAAGTGCCTTGCTTTCTAGTCCGACCGCAAATGACGAACGCAAAGTAGAGCTTTCGACCAGTATCAGCACTATCGTGGCCGTCTTACTGCTAGGTTAGATATTGTATTGGCGGGATGATCGGATACCAGGCGACTGACTTGCGATAGGCGAATTCATCTCGAATGCCGATAGCACGCTAGTTATGGCTGCAACGGCAAAGGTGTCGTCTGAATTTAACCAGCTTCAGGATGCCAGCTGGTTGTCGACGGGGTATACTCTGGGGGTCTGTGCCGCGCAACCGATGTACGGAAAGTTGAGCGATATATATGGACGGAAAGCGCTTCTGCTTGCGGCATACGTACTGTTTGGCTTGGGTTGTGCTGTCTCGTAGGTTCAGTATAGCGTGGTGGTGCATTCATCTGCTAACGATTGGTTATTCAGGGGGATCGGTCGGGATCTTTGGACGGTCATAGTAGGCCGAGCAGTCAGTGGTATCGGAGGTGCAGGCATTATGACCCTTGGCTCGGTTATTATCACTGGTATGCGCTTTAAAAACCAGGATAGAGCATTGGCGGTTGACCTTCTTTGCAGATATCGTTCCCCGACGTGAGGTCGCGTCATGGAGAGCATATATCAATATCGCCATGACTCTGGGTCGAAGTGTCGGAGGTCCTGTTGGTGGATGGCTGACGGACGCCATCGGATGGCGCTGGTACGCTCATGAGTGAAAATCCCTTTCAAGAATTTCATTAACAATAGGGTCTTGTTATGGTACCAGGCTGTTTCTTCTACAAATTCCCTTCATCGTCCTCGGTGGCCTTCTAGTGATTGCCAAGCTGAACATCACATACCACGCCACATCGAAAGCCTCTATTCGCCGCGTTGATTTCCTGGGAGCGGGACTACTTGGAGCATCCGTGGTGGCCATTATCATGCTCCTCGATCGAGGCGGCCATGCCTTCCCATGGATCTCACTCCTTTCCTTCGTGTTGGGCGGTACCGGTATCGCATTACTTGTGCTCTTCGTCTGGGCTGAACGCGTCGCAGCCGAGCCCATCTTCGATCTTCGGATTCTGGCCCGACCAAACGTGGCATCCAGCTATATGGTTGGGTTCCTTCAGATCACCAGCCAGCTGGGCATGCTATTCTCCGTCCCATTATACTTCCAAGTGTCACAACGCGCTTCCGCGACCGTTGCCGGCGGCCATCTGGTCCCAGCCGTGGTCGGAAACACGGTCGGAGGTTTATTAGCGGGCACATTCATCCGTCGAACAGGCCGCTACAAGGCATTGTTAGTCATTGGAGGACTTGTCGCTGCAATCACACATGTTCTCATGCTTATCCGGTGGAACGGCCATACGAACTTTGGAGAATCCTTATATATCATTCCCGGAGGTATAGGTACGGGCATCGCATCGGCGTCTGCTTTCGTCGCTATGACAGCTCTACTCGAGCCTCAGGACATGGCCATGGCGACCGGTGGATACATGCTCATAGTCAGTTTCGCCATGACGACTGGCATCACCATGACCAATACGGTTCTCGGATTAGGATTCAAGCATCAGTTAGAACAGAACCTGCACGGCAAGGAGGCGAATAAGGTGAGCAGCTCGATGATAATGATTGGACAACTTGGGTACTGACAACGTTAGATCATTCGTCGCGCGACATCGGATACGAATTATATTGCCAAACTCGAGGGAAAGATTTGGGAGATTGTGGTGGGCTGCTTTGTGGCCGGATTGAAGAATACTTACGGTGAGTCCTTTTTCAGAGGTTCTACTTGGCATGCTTATACTAATTAAATGGGCAGGGATCTGTCTGGTATTCTCTATCTTGGGCTCGCTGGTTGCACTGACGATTCGTCATCATCACTTGTAGAATGCGAGTTGGGTTTGAAGAGCGTTTATGATGGACTGAGAGTTGCCCTTATTATGATCAGTAATCCTTGGTCCTCGTTACAAAATCCGTATACCACGTCCTTTTGTACATAAAACATTTCACCGTTGCGTGAGTTCCAAAGTATTGTTGCCCTGAAGGATAGCTACTCAGCTCTGGCAGTCGCTCGATCCTTACGAGCCGTTTTTCACATCGAAGTACCCTGTTAAATTTCAGCTTCATACTATTAGTATCATTTTCTAATGCTCCTGTAAAAGCAGGGAAGACGTCTGGGAAAGGCGACGCTTGATACGCTTGATGTAGGCTGTGCATGGTTATTCAAAACAACAGCCTTGCGACGAAATAAGTCATATCTTGTTCGAATCGCCTGACGGATACTCTTATTGTGCCATATTATCAACACATTCTGATTATCGCATACATGATATTCAGCTAAACACGCCGAGCAGAACAAAAATGCTTAACCACAAAAAGCAACAAGACAAGGATGCTCAAAGTGGATTCTCCAGCACCCACACATGGTCATGCCTGCCCTAAAGAGCGCAATCTTATGGTCACCTAGCCGAGGTTCATGATGATGGTAATTGGCAACCTAACATGGACTTTTTCACTGCCTATCATTAGCCCTACCATAAGACTGACGAGATATTCAATTATTTTATTTCTTTATTCCCGTATTCATTTCAGTGCACTGTACTGGGCTAATGCGTTAGGGGCTATGAATGTTGGAGGAGGAAAATTCACAAGTCCCATCGACAACAACCCCTTCAACTTTCCACGTCATCACAACAGGGGGAACCCCTGTCCAGGAAAGTTAATACTACCAAATTATAGGATTCATCGTTCCTATTCACCTAATGCTGGTGGGTGTGAAATATCACCCTGGCCCATAACACACCCTCTATAGGGACCGCTCGGCGCTAAATTCACACTTACAGCCGCACCTTGTTGCCAATGGCTTATTCTCAAGATTATTTCTCAAAAGTTCAAACCAGCAGGGCAGGCCGAGATAATTTAAGATATCGTCGATATTCTGTCTGAATCAATCGACTATACAGCCAGTGTCTTTGAGCTTTATGCGTCGTGCGCTACTTGAAGCTCTGGACTGAGCTCCATAGATTACTCTATATTGTCTGCATTTGTTCTCTGCGAGTGACAAACTTACTTTACTACTGGTGTTGAATTACGTAGGACGGGTAAGCTGTTGATGAGTTTCTGCTATCGAACTGTCTAAGTGCTAACTCTGGAGCGTGCAGCAACGTACCACAATACAAGATGACTCCAGTGCGCGCCGAAAAACCAGAATCTGTAGAAGGCTCAAGGCCGAAGACAGACTACGAGCGGTGGCTTGAAGAAAAAGACAAGAATTATCAGATCGCTGAAAGTTCAGAGTACCATCCGCCCATCCCCGGTATTGATGGGCAAGTTCCGCTATTCCTCCATCCCCCTGACCTCGACAGCAGTCCGCGCGAAAGTGGTCACTTGACAACGCCCGATGCTACGGGGTTGCGAGCGCATCATTGTCATGGCGAGTTTCTGCACCGACTGACTGCACGACCGCCCTCTCCTCTGAAGGCTGTTATCACCGAAGTTCTCCTTGAGTCTTGCGTATGGCAGCTGGCATTACTGTCCGTCGTGATTGTTGCTTTTCTACTCGCTGTACAACGTATTGGCAAGCGACGTTGTAGTGGAAGGACGTCTTTAGTGCTCGCATCATCTGAGCAACTGATCCCAGATATTGACGAAAAAGAGCTGGCTTGAGCTACGATATCTTGTAGGTGGAGCCCGCGCCCGAAGCAGATTGCGAGTTGGTAATAGCTGTCGTTTTCCCGTTTTTTTCATTTTCTTTAGTAACTAATTATTCTACTCACTGCTGGTTTAGTGTAATTTACTTCAAGTTGTATGACCCCAATATCTATCCATTTACAGCACAATAAACTAGAGAAAAAGAAAACCCTTAAACATGAGAAGAACTGTAGCAGCGATAGGGCAGACTAAGCCCTTAGGAAGGAACCAGGCGTTCCATTCATAATTCCCAAATTGTAAACCACATCCACCCTAGCTTGAGTCTGGGGTGTGCCCGCGACCCTAAATCTACACCAGCCCCAATGAACCCTGAATGGCGCAGTTAGAATGTCATAATACCTAGAGGGAATGAGCACGCAAACCTGCCCCACAATAAATTGCAATGCAATGCCAATTGGCGGTCCTAACACCGGATGTAACCCTACTCTGTTCCAGGCTAAATATAGCTCGGCATTACCGGATAGAGGGATATAACTTTCGAGTAGGAGGCCACTCAAGACCTATGCGTAGCGACAGGGTTTCCGAAAGGAGAAGAAGGATGGTCGTTTTGGCCCCGATCTGGATCAGATGCTTGCCCCGTGACTAAGTTCGACCTGTCGAGACTAGTCCCACGGGAGGCAATTCTATCTAATCTATCCATTCTATCCGGCCGAGGGCAGGATTAGTAAAGCATCCATTCCGTGGTCTTGTACAGAGTACTTTGGACAACTTGCCGGTAGGGCAGCCAAGACCACGTGCGGCGAGTGATAGTATCAATTGTGGGGCACAAAATGACAGAGAAACAGGGTAGGAAAGCCTATGGTGTCGTGGAAATAATAGGCACGCGATGGCTTTGCTTACTATTTCCATGGATCTCGATTTAGGCGAGGCTTTTGATAAACTGAGCGGGCTTCTGTCTATTAGTGCGAATAGTCGTAATACAGTAGGGTCCCATACAAAAGCTCCCCTGGTTAACTATCAGTGCCTGTCATTGATTCATGTGGTAAAGAAGCCCTGACATCCATGTTGTGGGGCATTGTGGATAGTAACGAAACTAACAAAGAAAAGCATATGAGCCACTATCTTTAGCTGTTTCGGAATAAGTGTGCGTACTTTAATTATTAAATTCAATTTCTACGAGGAAGGGTGTTTTGTACTCCCAGTAAATGATCTACCGTAGTTAAGGAATAAATCATATTTGACGGTTAGCCATTGCGGCTGTACGGCAAGCCCCTTGGAAATCGACGGTTGCAAGTGGTAGTGATCAAATAACCTCTTTGCCAAGAGCCATCCCCACAATGCATTGTGTTCTGCCTAGTGCTGCCTAGACTCCAGGGATAAACTATTGAATACTTCGCTGTTCTAAACCACTCAATACACGATATCCAAGCTTATATCACATTGCTATATTGCCCTCAATCTCAAACAGCAATGAGCTCAATGACAACATCCGTCACCCCCTTCCTCATGTTCGAAGGCGACGCTGAAGCGGCCTTGAACTTCTACGTCCAAACAATTCCAGGATCTAGTATCATCTCCATTACACGATATGGGCCCGGGGAAGCGGGGACTGAAGGGAAGGTTTCCATGGCCAGAGCGAATATCGGGGGATCGCTTGAGGTTATGGCCATCGACAGCTACGTGAAACATGCCTTCAAGTTCACGCCTTCGCTGTCGCTGTTTGTTAAGTTGAACGACGAGCATGGTGAAAATGCGATCGATCGTGTTGTGGGTGGTTTGGGTGAAGGAGGTGAGGTACTTATGCCGTTGGATAACTATGGGTTCAGCCGCCGATTTGCGTGGGTCAATGATCGGTTTGGGGTATCGTGGCAACTCAGCCTTGAATGAAATACTGGGGAGAAACCGAAGCCAGGTACACAGGATGTCTGTATTGGAGTTGGTGGTGATGTGGGATTTATTATGCGCAATCTACGGTTAATGATAGCCCTTCTTCACTCCCACACTCCGTTTCCTAGGCAGAGTGATACGATCAACATCAATCAAGCTAGCTCATATCGAACATGACTACTGTCTGCTTCCTTTCTGCTACTTTCGCCAGACAATTCATACGCACGCTTACCCTCGAGAAACATATCCTCCGGGACAGCTAGATTGGTACAACTCTTATCAGGAGCAGGTCGTGCAAAGGGCCCGTCATGAACGACGGACTTGTGCTGATTTCTTCTTTTCCACAAGAAGAGCACCGCCACAATAACAGCACCACAGAGAGGCACACCTAAGCCAACACCAATGCCTATCCCGAGGTTTTTACCATGAGATGAACTTTCATTCTTTGCTTCCGAGGAACTCGTCGGCGAGGCAGAGGTGGTGGCATCACCATGTAATCCATCCGTCACGGTCGCAACCCCCGTGGGCGTTGGCGTAGGAGTAAGGGTAGAGCTCGAAGAAGCATCCTGATCCCAACCGATCCAGAATCTGGCGCTCCAGATCCCCCCAACTGCCATGTCGTCGCTCGAACCCTGTGCGTTGACTAGTCGGAGTACGAACGGCTTGGTATCATCTCGAGTCGGGTACCCAACTCTCCATTCGTGCCAGGTAGCTGCTGTGTTCACTGTAGCTGTTGTCAAGATCATCAGTCTAATGTGTAGGTACCAACTGCACGTACATGTAAGAGCAACTGGATCGTTGTAGTTGGCGCCCTGAACTAGATAGAGATTGGCGGTCTTGTACTTTGTCTCCCAGCTGATATTCATAGTTGACCCTTGGGTAAAGCACTGGGGCGCTCCGTTGGGATAGAAGAATTTGCCATCGGGCCAGATGTCTGGCAGCGGGAGAAGTACTGCAGGACATCCAGCGAGAGAATGATGAACTAAGAGGAGGGCAACCCACAACCACAGGAGCATGTTGTCATAGATCGGTCGATTTGAGCGACGTTAAGTCTGTTACAGACGTACATAGCAGGTAATGAAAAGAATCCAAATATGTATTTCAACCAAGGTACCGTCATTCACCAAGGTCACACATGACTTCGAGTAGTTCTTCGATCACAGCCGTGGTATAGTCCATGTTTCCTTATCTGACATTGCATTTCCGAGTGAAGCACGGCAGCAGATCCCAATTAAGCATTGCGCGCTAATGTAGTGAAGCTAGGCAGGGGTTCCGTTCTTCCCATTGGCCTCGTTTCTGGATAGCGCTTACCGGAATCGAGTTCGGCCTATGAAGAGCATCGAGATAGGGTTCAGGGTCCATTCACTAAATAAACAAAGACCTGACTGGTGCCTGTGGAAAAAGGCCCCCTCCCCATAGTAAAACTAGTTGATAAGGTAACGTCAAGTCAATGTCACTTTAAAAACTGTGGAGACCGGCTTTCCACTCCCACCGCATCAAATTAATCCATCTCACCCGTCGCACTCTCAGCAATGATTCCCTCCCGTGGGCGAAATATCCCTCTAATTGTGGCCCCTCTACTGGTTTTCATACTGTTAAATTATCTCTTCTGGTTTAGGAAAGACACAGATGGTGCAGAGCAAGAATTCATCCAGCCACAGAATAATACCAACGGTGATCCAGCCGCATCAAATCCATCCGACTGTCCTGAGCTCCCAGGGATACACGACGTGCTCGTGGTCCTGAAAACTGGAGCCACCGAAGCATTGGAGAAAGTGCCGGTCCACTTTAACACTACTCTGAAATGTATTCCGAATTTTGTCCTCTTCTCTGACTTCGAAGAGGAAATAGCTGGTATCCAAGTACACGACGTCCTGCGCAGCGTCGACGAGAATATCAAACAGACAAAGGCAGAATTCGACCTTTACAACCGACTACGTGTATCCGGACGCGCCGGGCTAACAGCAGAAGATATCAACGACGATCCAAGCACGCCATCCGGTAAACCCGATAATCGGGGATGGCTCTTAGACAAGTGGAAATTCTTGCCTATGATCAACGAAACGCTCAATATTCGGGCTGACGCAAAGTGGTACGTGTTCATCGAGGCAGACACGTACGTGGTATGGCCGAACCTTCTGGCTTGGCTAGAAAGGTTTGATCCCAGTCAGCCATACTATATGGGATCCGGGGTGCAGATCCTAGATATCGTCTTCGGTCATGGGGGATCAGGACTTGTCTTATCCCAGGCGGCTATGCATAAAGTTTCCGGTTATCATGCGTCTAGAGTACAGGAATATGACGACTTTACCGCTGGACACTGGGCGGGCGATTGTGTCCTGGGAAAGGCGTTGAAGGATGCAGGAGTCGGTCTTTTCTTCGCGAATCCGATGCTGCAAGGCGACACCCCCTGGACATTCTCCCATTATGGACCCAAAAATGACCATCATTGGTGTACCCCGGTGGTGACCTACCATCATATGGCTCCGGATGATATTCGAGAAACGTGGGCGTTTGAGCAGAGTTGGTGGGCGAATGTAAGTCTACGCTGTCCTGGGCCTAAGGGGAAGCCATACTTATTCAGAAACTATTAGAGACAAAAGCAGACCCTTCTGCATGCCCATGTATTCGAAGAGTTCGTCCGCCCACAAATCCAGGAAATGAGGGAGGACTGGGATAACGCTTCCTCCGATGAGAGCATCGAAGGTACTGGCAGTCGGGAAGATTGCCAAGCGCAATGTCAGAAGGATCACCAATGTCATCAATACTCCTACGAGCCCGGAAAGTGCTTGACCTCCAAGGTAGCCAGGCGAGGGAGTAGCAAAGCTGGCATGGGCTCTGGCTGGATGCCTGAAAGGATTAACAAAACAATGGATAGCCTCGGTTCTTGCGGAAAGATCAAGTGGATCATTCCAAAATCATGATGATAGAGGTTGGCTTCGATTGTTTTATTGTTCCTCTATTCACGGTTGGTGAGTGAATAAATTACTACCAAGCGGTGTCCCTTGTCCCTTGTACATACATGCACACAGTCATCATAGGTTATGAATGTCTTCGAACCCATCCGCAGGCGGCTGGGGAATGAGGCCGATACCGCCAAGAGAAATCCTCTCATTAGATTGCTTAACTTTTATCCACAGGCAACCTTTCGACATGAAGTGGTCATCAATGCAGTAGTCAAAATGCTCTCTTTGTATGGCCTCTCTTCGAACAATGATTGGCATTTAATAGCCAGAATAATATCAGGTCACTACAATCAGCTGCCTTATTGCTTCGTGCCGAAAGAGAAACAAAAAAAAAAGAAAAGAAAAGAAAAGAAAAGAAAGAAAGAAAATGAAAAAAGAAAAGATTTATAAGTGAGCAATCCAGAGAGACGATTTGAAAGAGTGAACAAAATTAAACAGAAGCTGCCAGTCATCGACACACGTGCTGTCCTAAACCCCGACAGGCCGTATGTCAACACAGCTGAGGTCTCAACTCCATTGCTACGTGTGTGATACACGCCATGATCAAGCAATCAATCTATCAAAACTACGATTCTTTTCTTGCCCGGTATTCCGGGAATAGAGCGGAAGAAAGTTCACGGGCAACAGTCTACAACTCCATGGTCTCGCGGCGTACTTGGTGAGTAAATGCCAAAACTCGGAACTACTGTGCTCTCCACTGGCATGTGGTCAGTTTATGAAGGGTGGTACGTTACAGCCGCGCAATTTCCCCAAAGCCATATGAACGGTTGGATCCTAGTGAATTTGAGCTCATTGTGAGGTTTTTATGACCTTGGGATAACACTGCCTTCTTGCTCGAACAGGTCAAAAGATCTACCGGACTGGTCTTTGGCCCCCACGGCAGGGCGACCTAAAGTGGGCGCTTTTACCCTTTTGATCTACGATAATATCAAGCGGTCTGCACCCATAGGGCTAGTGCCTTCCAATTCCCCAAAACAGTGATTTTAAATCAATGATTGCTGGCGCAAACTCTGACGACGGCTAACCCAGCAGCTCCGTCAAATGCTCCAACCCTGACTTGACTCCGGAAAGTCTTGTGATACCGTGTAGCGTGTGGCAAATAAAAGTGTGATAATTATTCATTATTTTATACAGTAATACTCTAGAGTGAATCAAACACAGGATATCCACAGATACACCGTCTCCCGATATACTCCTAGGATTTCCTCAACGCCCCAATCTTCCAGGTTCCCAAAGATTATGCAGTTAAGAGAGCCTCCCCGAGAGGTCCCATGACATATCCCATCAGAACCATAAAAGGAGACCGAGAGCAGGTTTGGAAAGTTGATGAGGGGCTATGGACTGCCCGCCCTTGTCGTTGTGAAACTCGGCGACCTGCTTCACGCCGCGCTCTTCCAAACATGAAGTGACATTGCTTTGATTGCCGTGGGTGCTGCAGAAGCGGAAGCATGTATTCTTGTATAGTTTGATCTGGTTTGTCTCTCCGCAGCAGGCTTGATGATCGAGGAGGTATTGGTGATCATTTGGGAATGCAACGACCTCGGTCGAGTTCCAGAGACCAATTGGAGGTGTACGGACGGTTGCAGGACACTTGCTGTTCGTCATGATTAAGGCGTGTTGTGGTGGATGGTAGAGGGTGGTATAGACTTTAAGGAATTGGATTCAGTCGACTTTTTGCTAGTGATTGCAGTTTTTGAGCTTTATATCCAGGCCAAATAGGCTCGCAGCCAGAAAGTGATCTTTTGGGGAGGGGGAAGGCAATCGTTTTTGATGGTAGACTGAACCTCGAAACGAGAAGAACATGGCCATATTTATCTTCTCCCTGTCCAGCTCATTGATCCACAATTGCTGAAATATGCAGCCCAGCGAGGCTCTCAACAAGGATTAACTGGATGAGGCTCATTTGGCCCCAGACCTTAGTTTGGGGGCAGTGTCGGTAGCTCTATGCTGGCTCTCAACTGCTTTGCTGATTCCTATTTCGCCTCGCCGTTTGGCTCCTACTCTCTCAAGGTCCACCAAGAGCAACGTGGATCTTCTTTAGTGCCAGCTTTTCAAGATTATTTTGGTGGCTACCCTAGCTCAGCCACGGATGTTCATACACCATCCAACAAAACCTGCAGTTATTGGTAGTCGCATTATGAGTTTTGGATATCAATACCCATGTTACCTATTAATCCATGGGCAGTGCCAATTAGAATCTCACTGATGGCTTGTTCCTGGCTTTGGTGGGCCTTTTTGTGAGGCTCTGTTGACCAAGATACACGCTTTTAGTATCCTACATGGCACTAAAATGATAGTTACTTCGCTGTGCACAGCTTAGAACTCACCAATATTGGGATGAAACAGAATTATTCTGCTGCACACTACCCCTTTCCTTCGCTCCTGTTGCACCATTTCTCTTTTCAGCATCTGGGTCAGTTACTACTGGGAACGCGACCAACGTTTTCTAGCTTGCTAGAGTTGTCACTGGCCAGGTATGTACTTCAATGGCCTCCCAGCGATACCTGTGTTTCTCCATAGTGGAGTAAAAGGTCAAGTTCTGAGCAATGTAGTCTTGGTTAGACATCTTGCTTACGCATATCTTATGAATAATAGAAGGTGATCCTTCAACACACACCGTAACAACACAGCGAGTAGGTATAACAAGTCATTGATACATTTCATCTCCGTAGATACAGGCTTTAGTCACTCCTAAAAGTAGCACAGCCAAAAAGAAATCTCATATGACCGGTGGGTTAATAGTAACCCTTCATCAATCATGGTCGCACTCCCTCTTTCAACTTCCCAAATCCAATCCGAGGATGATAGTCGGACACCTTTGTAGCTCCAAAATCCCACACAGTATAAAACTGTTGAAGTAGGGGCGTACCAAGAAGTGCGAAACCCTCACTCCCGCTATCGTCGAAGGGGGGATTGCACGCATCCTTCCTGTCAGCAAAACCCGGCTGGGCGAGTTGATCGCCGGTTAAAGTTAACTTGGGGTCTGTTTCGGACTCCCCGAAATTAAAAGTAATCGACCAGCTGGAGTTGAAGTCCGAGCACATGGGGATATATCCGCCCTGACTAATGGCGGTCCAGTTCATGCCGATTGATGCGTAGATTTCTGAAATGGCATTGGACGGTACCTGGAGTGCTCCAGCCCCGGTATCGAACACTGCTCTACCCCCTTCAAATTTACTGGTGGCTTGCTTTTTGCCTGCATTGCTTGATCCGGTCATCGATGAGAGAGTGGCGCGCCATACCTGATACTCCTTTTCCTGTGCTAGTGGAACATAGGTCAAGTCACCATCGACATACTGCTCCTCCTTCGAGCCACCGATGGTGAAAACACCTTCAGGATTTGTGCTGGTATTCCCGAACTCTCTACCATAGTAGATCGCAAAACGGGGCTTGTCAAGGCGACCCTGCTGCATCAGCGTCTCCACCACCGTCGTGGTGTTTGCGACAGCAATCGTGCTAAAGGCCAATCCCAAGAACCCATCCGCGGAGATAAATGGCCAAGAGGATTCATTCGCAGCCAAGAATGTTTGGTTCCATGTTAATGCGGCATGCCCCTGAGTTCCAGCCGGGAGGCTGAAAGTGTCTGCTACTCCTGGGCCAGCAGTCTTTCCCCCAAAATAATCAATGCTCCCATAAGTCCCTAGACGCGCGCCAGTCGAAGAGGCGGAAATGTTGTAGCCTTTGCGGTTATACCTGGTCTGGTCAGTCTTGTCGCTTTCAAAACTTGAGGTTGATTTTTCAAAGACGTACCCGCTTCCGTTCGGACACGTTGTCGCGCAGTTCTGGTCAACCACCCATGAGGAGGATGAACCGGTGTCGAAATGAAGGAAATGTGTTTGAGGAGGTGCGCCAATATCTACTTCCACGGATGCCTGAGGGCGTTGGTTATGTTAGTTGACGCCTAGTGCACGAGAACCAGTATATCGACCTACATAACTATTGCGAAAGTGAATTGGCAAATCAACCGTCGCACACCATGCCGATGGCAGGATAGTTGCTACAATGGCAATACCCAATGAATATCGGATCATTGTTACCTTTCTATTGGCATTTGACACTAAAGGCGGTAGACACTCGAATGCTAACTGAGACAGATGGAGTCACGAATGCGAGAAATAAATACTCCTTCCCTCTGTCGTCGCCTGCGCCAACGAATATATATGCCTCCCATCGAAAGCCACACCACCCCCTCCTGCCTCCGCACGATAGTAGCGATTGGATAAAAACAGATTATCTACTAGTAGATAGACTGATCTAGCTATCAGTGCCCAAAGAGCAGCAGAGACATGAAGTTGTCGCGATACGCCGACCACGAGGGACCATCATGAATCTGAAACATAGCGTCGGCCCGGAAGGGTCTATCGTCAGGAAAGTCGAATATTCATAGGATTCATGAACCCGTGCCCTCTCGGGCCGCTTCACATATGGAAGCCAAATCGTAGATCGGTAGGGAGCAAGAATGCGATAAGCATGTGTTAAAGCATTTGACCTCTTGGACTCGAGATCTACAGGCTCCAACACCTCGGAGCTTTGTCGGAGGTTCCGGGTCATACGTATATTGGTATCTTGACTATCTGAGACATTGTTTCACAGGACGGCGAATGTCTAGGTTTGCGAGGAATAGTTTTATGTGTATCTGCCTGCATGTACAGTTGTTTGGGAATGGTCCGAAAACAGAACAAGCCGATCATTACGGAATATGCCTCGGAATGTCAATTTAGGCTAATAGCGCAGACAGAACAAATAACCTCGAGGAATATTATTCGACACACACTAGCTACCGTTTCTCAGCTCAGATAAGCGCAGCCCATGAACGCGTGGCCAGTGACATGATCGCTCTATCTTGTCTGACGGATTAAGGTTAGTTGCTTGACGCAAGGTCCAACCGTCGTCCCATGCTGCGTATCGGGTGTGGAGGCATTAAAAATACTAAAAGTCTGGCTTGAGCGATCTCCATATCTCAATCAATATGTTATGAGTATGTTCAAGGTATGTACCTATACACCTCTTGAGACTAGCACCGAAGGCCATACTCCGTACTTGTAGTACAAGATATGATTCAGTACTAGAGAGCTGGTATGTGAAAACGTGTACTCGTTCCTAGTAACGTTTATCCTCTGCGTATCACACTGTTACTTGTGCAGGGAGCGGACATTGAACAATATTAGATGATCTTGGAGACAAGACTAGTGTGACAAGCATAGGGTGTATGCAGACAAAATTCAACTCATAAATAGGGGTCTCGTTTGGGTATGGATATGTAACGACCATCGCGAAGACTCTCAAATTATTGTGAAGCCAACGGCTATGAACGTGCAGACAGTAGCCCTGGAAGGGCTTTCTTTTCTAAAGCTATCTTTTTATTCACTTTCGCCAACGTTTATTGCAATGCAAGTCTTGGCTGCCGATTCATAGGGACGAACAAAAGTGTTTCAGACCGCTACACACCGGAGAAGTCATCTAGTCCCTCAAGACCAGAACCACAAACCTATAGAGCCCTGCAACCAACTATACAACACATTAATCATCCTCCAACCCAGCCAGAACACTAGCCGGCGGTGCATAAAAGGTCACTCCAGTCAACGGCTTCGAGAAATCCAGCAAGCGATCGTGCAAGCCCGGGGGGTTTCCAATAAACATGCGTTCCAACATCTTCTCAATAACCCATAACCGCCGAGTATATCCAATAAAATATGTCCCAAATTCGCCCGAGCTCGGGTTCCCGAAAGGCATATTGTCGCGGAGAATTTCATGTTCCTCTCCATTCTCCTCGATCGTCGCGAGCGATTTGTGTGATTGTTGTTTACCTTCGTCCGCATCATCCAACTCGATGTTTTCCCACTTGGTGCGGCCGATAATTGCTTCCTGCTTCTCGGAGGAGAGGGACTTCCAGCCTTGGAGGTCGTGTAGGTATTTTTGCACTACGATATAGCTGCCTCCGGTAGCGGAGGTGTCTTCTTCTGCGACGAGGATTGTATCGGAAACTGATGGGCCGACTGGGTTCGCTGTGCCGTCGACGAACCCAAGTAAGTCGCGCACGTCAAAGTACCGGAATCCGACCGTCTGATCGATGACTGTAACGGAGTCGCCGAGGAGGTCCATCAATTGGCGTTCGAATTCGAAGCATAAATCACGACGATCTGAGCGGATATGGAAAAGCAGGTCACCGGGAGTAGACACTGCTGTGTGCCTTTCGCCCTTTATCTCACGGAATGGATGCAGCTCGGTCGGGCGAGGGAGACCAGTAAGACGATCCCAGACATTGCTGCCAATTCCGACAGTACATGCGAATTGGGCAGCGAGATCGCGAATAGAAACATTTTTAGAGAGGTCATCGACGCTGGCGAGAGTCGAGCGGACCGTTTGAATGGCCTCTGGACTGTCTTTGACGGATACGACAAGGAAGGTTGCGGATTGTGTCAACGGTGCGTCGACTCGTTGCGGTTCGATGGGGACACGACTGCTCATGTTTGCGCTGGTGCGTGGTAGACGGGTTCTCGATTGAGGGGTGAAAGGACGTGGGATGTGTCTTGCCGAACTAATTCCAGCTATTTGCTGGCTTGCGAGGCTTTTTTGAAGTGGTAAACTAGGGAATGGACGACTGCGGCACCCTTGGGAGAAAGTGTTGTACACAATGTTCCTGCTTCTGGGGATCCTGTTCATATTTCACCACCGTCAGCTCCGGCGGACCTTGCTTGGGCTGGGTCGACTCAGGAAATCAATAAAATAAGGTCACCGAAGCTGAGGTGGAGCGTGAGGGGTCAGCAATTGAGGGCTAATCTTAGGATATCACTTACTCCTTTCGGCGTTGACGTCACTACTCCTGCTCTGGATTGGTCGACCATGTGACTGACCAGTAATGGAGAAACCCTAATTGGCCAATGTTCAAGAGGACTCTCTGATGCTATATACATGCAACGTTGTCCTCGATTGCGAACGTCAAAGGCGAGAGGCCTTGTTGAAGTCGTCAGAGCTCTTATCCAGCCACCTAGCATAGCCATATATTAGTTGAATATGGAGAAACACGACAAGTTTTCCACAATATGTACCTCATACTTACATTCCAGGACATGGCTGATCCATAATTCTAATACCTAGTCATATTCTATTGGTCATTTAGTATTGCCGGATTAGGCTTGGTTTGCTTGCATGCAGAAACTAACCTCAAGAGAGTTAGGACAGTTGGTCCGTGCGATGCGTCGTGTTTGATCTCTCGCCATTTTCTCGGGCGGGATTGACTGACAGCAACGATTGTTCTAGATGCACCGGAGACGGCCAGAGACCTCAATCGCTTAAATAATCATTTAGTACTCTCTCTGTTAAGAAGTTAAGAATGAAGAAGTGTTTCTGTGCAGCTCTGTTAGGATCTAGTTAATAATTTTAGATCTTAATATATCTAGAAGAATTGCCCTGGAATCCGTTGTTCAAACGCCTACCTTCAGGTTGATCATAGACTAGGCTTTTTCAATTTGTCGCATTGCTTGGTATGAGGATTCCTTAATCTGATCCGATTTCATGAGGAATTCGATCACCGTGACAGTCATCCAGACCATTGGGCGCAAGGAGCCTACAAATTTAACAAGTTGCAGTTGTATGGGTAAGCCCGCAAGGTTCGTAATTGAATGTCTATGAATGGGAAACTTTGATTGAAGATTACGATACTGAGGAAGGGGTGAACGTAACGTACAAGTCTGAAATCAGCGTGGGTATTTGAAAAGCATGAACACAATCTTGCAGCTGCGGCCAAACACATTGCTCCATGTGATATGCGCTGCGTTCGATTACCTGTGCTGGTCTGGTTGCAAAAATATTCCATCACCAGTCTTTAGCGCTACCCTCTCTCCATACACTGTGAGCCGCTCTTATAGACGTGTTTTGTCAGTCTACAAATTTACGAGTACCCATTTGGCTCCCTTGCTCTGCTTCCGGGTAAAGAGCCGCACTGTCTTCGTCTTCAAGAGATCTCTGGCAGAGGGATTCGCAGCAAGAGAGCTTTGGAATAAGTGGGCGAAACTCGGACATTCAAGGTAAAAGAGAGAAATATAGGCTTTGCAGACCAAGATTCTAATAACACTTATTTGGCTCATGTATCTGCATTGATGGTTGTCACGTTAGCAACTTGCTGATACGCCCATCCACACTCTAGACTTGCTCTTTCGGTCGATCATAGAGCCAATCACGGTGGATTGGATCCTTTGCTTCAAGGGCTGCGAGCATCGTCGGTCATTGCAACATTGAGAGCAGGGCCCTTCAGATATCGTTCTGTCGGTGAACAATGGCAATGATGTCCCGCGGAGCGTTATTGTAAACCATCAATTGAAGGGGTCGAGAGCATGGTATGATATTTAAAAATGCCGTAGAGACGGGTGAATTTCAGGAAGACATTGTTTCTGAGGGGCAATTTCTACAGCACAACTGCCAGAGCTTGAGATGAGATGTAAAAGGGACATTGTTGGGAATAGATCGAGATATTGAATATCTGCAGGGGGAGGAACAGGGAGATTAGCATATGGAACGAGATTGACGTGTATATCTTCGGGTATACCTGACAAGAATATCGACAACATCTTACGTATAGCGGCCAGTTGTGTAGGTTATGCATCATGGGCATGTGGGGTTTATGGGTGGAATTCAGCTTACCTGTTTCACCTTTATGCAAAGATTAGCGACATTACTATGTACATTAAGTCAGGGCCAAGCTACGTAACCTGTCTGGACGATCTCATCACAACTACATAAATACAAGATCCAGACGTAACTTGCTCAGCCATTCGCACTAATTTGTAGACTCAAGCTATTCCCAAGCGTCTTCTCCCCTAGTCTCCAAATCCATTTCAACATGCCTCGCTTTGATGGTAAAGTTGCCCTTGTCACTGGTGCTGGAGCCAGTATTGGGGCTGAACACCGCCTCTACAGAAAGATTCTGAGCGACGGCGGTTGTGGGTCCTTATATCATCTCGAAGCGGGCAATGGTTATGATGACCCGGCTTGCTGCATTGGAGTAAACCATGAATGGTATACGCGTAAATGCCGTGGCCTCTGGAGATCGTTGTGCGTCTCGATCCTAGGGGTCGATATCGGCCCCGAACCTGGCTTTAATTTTTGAGACTCTTCGGGGTTGGCAAGCCCAGATTGGATCCATATTAGAG